AGCGCCAGAAACAAAAGAAGGCAAGGAAGCGCACGTATATAGCTAGAAAGGGTATTCTATCAGGTGAAGAAGCAGCCGATCGTGCACAACCTGTACAGGAAGGGGCAGCAGAGGAGGCAGCAGAGCCACCGGCCGAGCGGCCACAGCGAGCAAAACCTAGGTGCAGCATGTGCGAATCAACAGAACACAATGCACGTACGTGCCCTAGGCGGCAGGCAGCTAGCTAGTATGTAGCTGCATCAAATATATTTGTTCGTGGTGGAGTAATTCGGAATATTTGGCCTCGGTAGCGTGGTTGGGTGGGCCACTAGCTTGTGCGGGCCACTAACTTGTGGATTACGTTAAGTTAGTTTTCGGAGGCGATTACAAATAATAAACTCAGCCTAAGTTCGGACCCTGTGACCCCCGCCAAGTTTTTGATGATTTGTTCGGAGTGAGCACGCAATCGATTTCAAATCTAACTCATCAGACCGCGCCCTACATAGGAACTGTACCTGAATCAAAAATATGAGTTCGCACTTGGTTACCCATTCAAGTCATTCCAGGTCCCAAACGATCCCTACAACGTAACTATCGTCTTCCATAATGACTTCCCATCTATATGGCGATCAGACTCCTGCGGATGTCAAAAATGCTAAGGTACCCCAGATTCCGCTCTATAAGCGCTGTTCATAACCCACTAATCATGGCAAAACAGGGTCTTCATTTGATCACGCAGAGCACCCCGAATGGCCAGAAAGTACAGATCTTTCTTGAGGAACTGGCCGATGTCTACGGTACAGAATGGACAACTACTCTTATGTCAGTGAAGTATTCATTCCAGATGGCAAGAGCATTGATACTAACACCGGCGTTATGAAGTGACATATCGACGAACGAACAAAAGAAACCATGGTTTCTTCGCCTCAATCCAAATGGTATCTTAACTCCCTCCACTGAATTTCGCAGATACTAACTTGTAACCAGGCCGAATCCCAGTCATCGTTGACAATACTCAATCGCCTCCACATCCAGTGATGGAGACTTCTGCTGAACTCCTGTACCTCTTGAAGTTTGACACTGATCATCGCTTTGGATTCAAGGACGAGCTCGAGCAAAGCGAGCTCATTCAATGGCTATTTTTCTGGCATGGCAGCGGTGCTCCATACCAAGGAAATCTCGGTTTCTTCAGACGCGCAAAAGAGCAGAGCACGTGTAAGTTATAGCCTATATCTGTCCTCCACTCCGTATGAATTCAACTCGACGGTGCTGATATAATCATCACTAACTAGTTGCCATCAATCGATTCCGAAAGGAGACGTATCGAGTATTTGGCGTTCTCGAACTTCAGCTGTCTGGCAAGTACACCGGCCAACCGAAAGAGTATCTTGCTGGGAAGGGCGCCGGAAAGTACTCTGTGGCTGACATTGGGACCTGGGCGTGGGTGAAAAACTGGTCAGCTAGTGGGTACACGGATGAAGAGTTTAAGGAATTTCCACATCTGCTCAAATGGATTGAGAGGATTGCAGGGAGGGCTGCTGTCCAAAGGGGAATTGGCGAGAAATACAAGCCATCCTGAGCTCGCTGTCCTAGTAGGCTGCGGGTTACATCTAAGCCAAATTTGATACTTCGAAAATTGCCGCATCACCTCCAATAGAAAAATTCCAGAAACTTGCGTTTATTTATAAGATGCTCTCATTCCAAACCCCAACAGCGCACGCAATCGAACACCAGCCACCAACCCATAGAAAAACAGCACCGCTTCATGCCACAGCCCCTCCCATATTTTCCAACATGAAATAGAGTCCCAATCACGCCATCTCTTTCCTTCCCTAACTCTCTGCCCCATCTAAGCCCCACCCACCACCTCCCTCATCTCGAACACACCTCCGCGCTCCATCTCCGACTCACCCTCCTCACCACCACCCTACCCCAACAACCAATCCTAAGCCTCCCCACCACCTCACTTCCACCCATCGTCCAACCCGCGTGGGGAGGGGCCTACCTTAACCTAGTATCCACCGCTCTGCTACCGCCCCAACTCCAGCACGCGCGCAGACCGCAGGGACCTCCGCCATGCGCGCAAAGCGGAGGTCCGAAAAGCGGGTCGCCAGCACACACGCCGCCCTCGTCTCTGCCGTCTGAACAGGCACGTGGGCGTCGTGAGCGGTGAGTGAGATGCAGGCCCGACCCGCTTTTGCGTGGGGGGGCGGGGAGGAGGTCGGTCAGATACCGCGATGGCGTGAACGGGGGACGGGGACGGCGGGTTGAGAACACGGAAGTAGATTTGGAATGGGAAACTAGAGTTAGGGTGAGCGTCACAAGGAAGGAGCGGTGAGGTGGAAGAGGGGGGGAGGAGCGTGCCGTGCTGGCCTGCCTAGAGGGGGTAGAGGAGTTTGTGGTACTGGTAATCGCGGAATTCGACGCGAGTTCGAGACGGGAATTTTGATTGAGATGGGACTGAGACAGTTGGAGGAAGGGAAGGTGGAATAGGCGGAGCTGAGTGGAGCTGCGACATGCCGTTTCGCATTAGCCGCGCGATGATGCGGTCGGCCAGGGCCCCGAGTCTGCCACGCCGCAAAAAGCCGTTGGGAGCTCGAGCGGGCCGTTGAATATTTCGTGCAGCTCCGCCACGAGCTGGGCTGGCTGGCCACCCGCCTGTGGGGAAAGAGCCCAGAGATCCCTCACGAGTCCCCGCGTGGGATATTCCAAAGGAAGGATCTCGTAAGCGCTCGCGAACGCTTCCCCCCGTGCTACTTACCCAGCTCTAGGAAGGTCGCACGGGCGCATGCGTAGGTGTGCTAGACCCGATCTACGATTTACTGATCCCATCTCGGGGTTGCGCGGGCGGTCCTCGTGAATAGAGCCACCAGTCGCACAAGCAATGCGCTTCGCCCTTGGACGATTCGGCCGGCGCGGTAAGGCCGGGGAAGCGCTGACGTAGACGTCACCGATGCCTGGTGAGGGGGGGTTACAAGACCCGAAGTCACTTCTAGAGATTGCGTGCAGGCGGTCCGGGGCGGGCCATGCTATCGTGTTGCGGACCGCAAGGGCACAGTAAGACGGACCCGTGGCGACGGATCGCCCCATACGTGCGACAAATGGCAGTTTGCAATTTCTATTCTCGATGCTGTCGAAGTGAGGTGAGCTGAGAAGAGCGGCGAAGCCTCTGAGCCACTGTTGGAGTCGCACAGAACCCGTCTGCTGGGTCGCTGCGTGCTGAGCTGCTGAGGCAAGCAGCAGTGCCAGCGGTCAGGCCCAATGGTAACCTAGGAATCCGGGGAACAGTGCGGAGGTAGGTTAAATTAGGCTTTCTTATTTAGCCAAATGGCAGATGACCACTGTGAGCGCTCATCCTGCCACGCGGGTAAACAGCCAGCGGGGCGGGCGACTGGGAATAGATCCGTCGCTGTGGTTTTCTCCCGAGTGCTGGTCGTCGGCGATGGAGATACCGGCCCCGGAGCTGAGGCTTCAAAGGGAGTGTTGCAATTTTTAATATTGAGTTGACACTAAGGATTGGCTGACCACCATGATTGAGGATACTGGAGAGTACAGGACTGAGACTGGCGAGAAAGGGAGATATGGAAGAGAGCGCAGCTGACGGGTAAGCAACGCAGTGTCACGCTTCCCATGGAAGACAGCCCTGCAGCTCTGCATGCTTTGGTTCTCTTTTGCCGTGTCTTTCGCGCCGTTGTCAGGGAGCAGAGCGATGCGAGGAAATAGATGAAATTGAAAGCGAAGCGACCAATAGGAATGAAGCAATATGAACGAAGGAAGCGAAGAGGTTCCATAGACCTGCCTACCCTGCCTACCTCACTCACCGTTCACTGTGAGCTGGGACAACGAATTCGGAGACAGGCGCCAGCCGCGCTTTGCATCCTTCTTGTCACATTCCCATCCAGATGAAGAAGGAGACTCGAACCTCATATTCTTTTTCGATAGCACAGACCTGATAACAACTCGGCAGCCATCGCTAGCGATCCCCAGAAGGGCTCGCTGATCCCAAGGGTGGCGGTTGCTGGTGGTTGGGAGGGCCCGTCCCTTTGTCTCACGCGCACCATTCTTCTCCGTGTGTGTGGCAGGGAATCCAAGTTCGTGGGACACATGCTGATAAGCACGTGGGGCCGCCTGCTGCATGAGGGGCGTTGCAAGCAGAACGTCCTCGGAGAATCTCGCCCCCACGCATCTTCGAGGCGAGGCGCTGCGGCTGGAGGGGCACATGAGCGTTGCCATGCCCCTCAGAAATCGCGTGCGCATACCGTGCAGGATCAACGGGTCCGGGGCGTGCGCGCAGGTCGGCGGAATCCTACCTGCCAGGTTGGAGATGGCACCGTCTGAGAAAGAAAAACAGGTAATAATGGAAATGGCCACAGCAAACGGCAAGTGGACGGAGAGTGACGCAGTGCTTCCTCGGTGCGAACGGAACACCACCGAAGGTCGTGCGCATTCTGCCATTGCCGAAGAAGCTGTCTGTGCGGATTAAGAGGGGAGAGAGCTGGGATGTCTGAAAGCGACCCACCACCCATCGTGCTGGAATTGGGGATCTTGTACATCCGTGCTTGGCATGCACAAAGGCAATATGTGACGGAAACAGCTGCGGGTGCTTTATGTTCGGGGACCATAAAGGCAGCAACGGGTCTTCGGAATGATTGAGAGCTCTAAATTATGGCGATGAAGCAGGAGTCCTTAGTGAATGGAGATGTATTCGAGGAGAGCATCATACCTTGCTACTTACTAACGGGACACATGTCTTCCGCAGCATTGCCTGGCTCCCAATCCGATATGAAGTTGCAGAGACACTGCCTGTGTACCTCGTTAAACAGTCCATTTGTGAACGTATCGCGTGCTCGCAAAGTGCCTTCAATTTGCACCCATCCCCTGGCACCACCATCGGTCCCGACACCTGCAACCATATCCCGAACCCACCCTCACGGTCTCTGCTTTGACCAGCCGCGTGCCCAACCCATCCTCAAAACCACGCGGCGGCATTTGCGGGTTGGATTAATTGGGCACCAACAATCTCGCAGCACATCCTCTGACACAAACCCACCCACATCCGCGCCCCTGGAGCTGGGAGCTCCCAAAAATCAACACAGGCCCACATCGCAATACCACCACCTGAATCGCTCAGGGCGAAGTCACCCAAAACAGGCGCAAATCCGCCGCGGAAACAACATCCCCTATCCCCCCGTACGCTAACTTTACCAGCAGGCTTTGATCGTGCGGCACCTTCGCGCAGAGGCTGGGACCAGCAATCTCGGGAAGCCGGGCGCGAGAGCAAAACGGGAAAATGGAAACGGGGAAGCCAGCCCCTTCGGTACATAGGTGAGCGAGGGCGCGCGCGGCGGAACATGGGAGCGACATTCCGACGGGAATAGCAGCGGCCGTCGTGTGGATTGGCGGGGGTGTGGGAGTGTGGATGTGACGAGATTGTGACGATGAAAGGTAAGTGCGTTTTGGCGGCAGCGGAAGGGAGGGAACGGTCGGTCCATCCCGTGCGACTTGATACGGATACCCGTCGGCTTGCCGCGGCAACGGTTGACAAAAGCATCAAACACGGTGGTTGCTTTGGGATTTGGATCCGTTCTCTTGCGAGTGTGACACGGCGGAATGCGGCCGTACCTGAGGACCCAAGGGCCCCCAGATTACAGGATCATGAGTGTGGAGCAGACACGTTGTGTTTGATTGGCGTGCGGAAGACGGCACGCGGACAAGGATTCACAAGCGGAAATCCCGTTCATGCCCCGTGCACCGAGAACGGTTAGAGCCGCGCCGGAACCATGCTCTCGGGTCGAGCCAAGTCTCCGGGAAACTGGTTGGTGGTGGTTGGGTGGGTGAAATTGAAGCACCCCATGTCTTTCGGCACCGGCATCGGGAGTGAGCATCTTATCAGACGCCCGCACATCGCTTCTGCACCTCAAGACAGACGAGACGCGATGTGATGCGCGCATCCATGGTGAGACTTGTTCGCGAGGAACTCTTCCCGAAACAGCCCGGCTAAAATGCAGCTTTCCGCAAGAGGATGTCACTGCGCCATGCTATCGGCAAGCTGGGGTTTATCATGTTTGGTGTAACGATACAGCAATACGCGCCAGATTCTATACCGAGTAATACAGCTGCAGTTTCGACGTTACCATCTGTGCGAGCTCTGTCAGAGTGTTCCATGTGAAGGCTGAGGTGCCATGCGTATCACTGTGGCGCAGCCATTTCAGCTGAGCATGTCCAAGAGAGAAATATAGTGACCTCGTCATTCAAGAACGAGAACTCCAAGGAGGGTCTCACCACCGGCATGCATCACGAAAGTCGTTTGTTCCACGACAGATTAATATCGCGGCCGTTGCACCTCCGGAGTCCCCAATATTTTACCCTGTGATCATCCGTTGGAGCTTGTATTCCGCAGTAAGCAAGGCGACACTGGCAGCGATGCGTGCTTGGCGCAGGACGAGAATGTGGGTTGATCAGCCCAACGTGTTAGTGACGACGAATCCGGGGAAGCAGAGGATGTACCCTTCTCGGGTCCCACAACCTCATGCATTCAGTACACCGGCATAATCATGTGACGGAGAATATAGTAGAGCAGTAAAAGCTGCCTTAAGACAGCCCGTACTCGAGCACTGACACAACACTCGGCTGTTTAGGCTCCTGTCTCGTGATTGTGCGAATTCCCGCATGCTGCCCGAGGTCTTCGCCGGACTGCTCTCGCCCTCGTCAGCGCATCTGACTGCTGCGCTGACCTCGAACATGCAGAAGGTCGCAAGTGGCCGCAGTACCTATGTAGACAGCACATGGAGTGACCGCGAGAGCGATGGCGATCTTGCCCCGAGGCGGGTATTTGTGGGGTATAGAAAATATGAAACCCTCCCTCGGCCCTGCGGACCGCGTCAGTGCAGGCAATGCTGTCTGATCACAAGGTGAGGAGCGCAGCCTGGCAGCCTTGCTCTGGGTAGGGACCCCGGGCCAGACGTCTGCGACAACACAGCAACGCGGTTAACTCATGGCCGGGCCGGAAATGGACATCATTCTGGGATGTAACAGAAGACTGAAGGTCATCTGCTAGGCATGGAGCTCAGAAACCTGGAGATCGGGAGCGACCAGCGTCGTTTATTGCTCGAGTCGCAGCCTCTGTCGCAGGCGGACTACGCAGTGCGTTGGTTACTGCCTGGCGACAGTCATTCTTGTGTACAACGCATCGCCCGCTGTGCCTGGGGAAGGATGGCGCAACAAGGAATCGGGTCGCACATGATTCCTGTGCAGCGTGGCGATTCGCGAGCGAAGCAGATGACCAGCAGATGACCTCGACGGCAATCGGTCTGGAGATGCTCGTCGTTACAGACCCACGCTTGTGAATCGCGCGCGTAACTTTGTCAGACAGTTGACTCGAGGCTCCCAGTCTCCAGACATGAGGTCGGGGTAAAGTGTCTCAGAAGCCAAAACGGAGCACGCTGTCCGCCGCACATCCATCCACCACCGTAGAGGCAATGTTTCGCGGGGCTAGGACGACTCTGGGGAGTGTCAGACTGGTGGAATAGTACTTGCGATCAAGTCCGGATGGCGTGTGCGATAAATACCACGATCGAGACGTATCCGATGTTCTGGACCCTGTTTGAAGCCTTCCCGCCCGATCTGGACAATCTGGACCTGATGTTAAATCAACATGCCATGTTTTACCCCACGTTTGAATAGACGCTGCTTCTCGAGGTGGTCCAATCCATGCCGTGATGATTGTTACATCGCGGCCGGATTTTCGTGATGCTCTGTAGCGCCTCTACTGTAAGTGCTAAGTCTCGTCACGGGCAGTGTTTCGAGCACGATGATTGGCAACGGAGAAAGCCCGCCTGCCCAATGGAGAAAGTCACCAGCGCACGCGGGAAGCCTCACGCCTCATCCATATCGCGGGCGGGCAAAAGCCAGGGCTGCATGTGATACTCTCGAGAGGGGTCGCGCTGAGGCGTCTGTCTCCAGGATCGTCCAGGTCGCAACAAAGGCCGCGAAGTGGAGAGCGGAAGCGAACTTGGGCGCCCGGAGTGAGGCGAAAGACGCGATCTAGGGTTGCAGAGATGGCGATTCAGCGGCGATTCAGCAGCGATAGAAGGCCCGCCGTTGTCCAGCCAGCTCCCAGGACAGGGAATCAGGGTCCAGAGGTGGCCGCAAGAGTCAAGTAGGCCGTCGGAGCGGCGTTCTGGGTGCGGCCATTTCGGGCTGGTGCAGCGCAGGGCGGGCACGGAATTGGGCAGAGGTGAAGACAGGGTGAAGACAGGGTGAAGACAGGCCGAGCGGAACAGAGGAATTCATCCGCGGCGAACGTCTAGCCGCATCCGGCTGCTGTAACAGAACGGCTGACTTAGCGGTATTGTCCTGAATCACGCGTCCGGACGGTATCGCTAGCGGCCAATGCCTGCAGCGGGAATCATCAGGTGCGGCGGCGGTGACAGCTGGCTGGAGCCTGGGTGGCCCGTCGAATGGCATCCAAGGCGCTCTCTGCGTCGAGCGTTGAGGCGGAACAGCCAGCGAAGAAAAGCTACCCAGTCCTCTGACCATCAACAACAACGTCGGCCCCGTGATATGGCACAGTGGGATCGGTCCTCTGGCGACGCTGCGCACGGGGCGACCAAGCGGCCGCGTTTCCAGAAGCCCGAGAAGGCTGCGCTGCTGGCCGTGCTGACTCGCCGCGGGCTCTCCCCAGAATGCCTCGTGATGTGCTGCGGGCTGGGCGTGGGGAGCAGTCCAAGTTGGCCCGGACGAAGCGCCCTGACGTCCCCACCGCGGCAATCCACGCACCGCGGCTTGCCAGGCTTGCCGGGCTTGCCAGGGGCGCCGACTCGTGAGCACGCCCGAGCCATGCCTTCGTCGACGCCGCCACGAGTCGCACGCCCTTCTGCCGCCGCCGAGACGGGGAGGAGCCTCGGGATGGGCACCCAGCGCTGGTGTTTGCACTCGCATCGCAGGCCCCAAGCAGCGACAGCTCGAGCACAGGCTAGGCACTGGATTCCGCGCGAGCCGTAGCCACTCGGCGCCCGCGACGCAGCGCAGAGAGCGTGCGAGGAAGAGCGGTGTCCAGGAACATGGGCCGGCAATCCAGCGAGCCTGCAGTGACTTGGGCGGTTGTACTCCGAGCGCTGGCTGGCCTCCCCAGCCGCAGACCCCCATGCTGCGTCCATGCCCCATGCCATGCCATCAAACGCCTCTGGTCCCACAGCTCCGGTAGCAGGCGTGTGGAGGCTTCGTGGGTGCGACAGGTCTCTCCCACCTTTATTATGTGGCACGCTCCCAGGCCTCCCATTCCGACAAAGACTGCCCCGGCCTTACACCACCACGCCCTCGCCCTCCCTCCCTGCGCACCTCACCAACACGCTCGTTCCCAGCCCTCGACACCCTCCCGCCTTATGAACACGGCCGAACGCTCTGTTTGCGTGCGAACCTCACCCTCACCTGCGGCCCACCGTCCTGCCCTGCCGCGGTGCCGATCTTGACGCAATCGCCTCCCAGCGGCCGAACGCAGCGACTGCTCGCACCCTCCCCTTCATAACCACCACCACGGCGTCGCCAGCCAGCCCCAGCGCGCCCACCATGCCCTTCTACTCGGAGAATCCCATTGTCCGCGTGGAATCGGGCGCCATGCACACCATCGAGACGCGCAACGCCGAGAACCTCTTTGGCCTGTGGTCTGGTGAGTGCCCCTTCTGGCTGTGTACAAACAGCCAACTAACGAGCCGCAGTATTTTCAAAGTGCTCAGCGGCCATGGAGGACGGGAAGCGCTACGAAAACATGTCCTGGCGATTGTGGAGCCGCGAAACGTTCTGCTGCGCGCCTGACCACGCCAACCCCACCCCGTTCTACCCGCAGTGGACCTTCACCGCGAAGCTTTCAGGTGACCTCGAAGCGCCCGAGCTGTCTTCTAGCGTCGAGTCCGGCTGCTCTGAAGTTGAACCTCACCAAATACACAGCTCGGCCCGCTCCGACTCATCCTCATCGCGCCCCGAACTGCGCCGGCACGACTCCACCGAGAGCCGGAGTAGAGGGAAGGAAAAGCACATTACACCCATTGACCTCGAGAAGATGGTGAACTCGATCAAAGAAAAGAAAGAGCTGGAGCCACTATCACCTCTGCCCCCGCAGCTCGCGCAGGCCCTCCCCTCAACCGCGGTTCGATCCTGCGAAGACACCACCCCTCGGCCCTCGTCTCCACCACACGCGCACTCGCACATCGTCCCTGAATCCTCCACGTCAACCGTGGCCACAGCGATTGGTAGCGAGTTCTCGAACATGAGCCCGCCCGTCGGCTCCGAGACGAGCACCTCGACCGATCTCAGCTCCCACAGCATCGTGCGCGGCTTTTCGCCTGGCCAGATATCGTCCTCTATGCGCTCCTCGACAAATCTAGTTACCCAGCCATCCATTCTCAAGCCCTCGACACCGCAGAAGTTCGAGCCCCTCAAGAAGAAGGCAACGCCAATGTTCGTTCTAGGCGGTTCTTCCGACGAGGACAACAACAGCTCATTCGAGAGCTCGTTCCTGCAAAAGCGTAGCTCTTTGTCTGATGCGCTGAAGCGGCCAGCTTTCAACCGCAAGACGACTACTTTCAAGGAAGAGGTCATCACGCGTACGATCCAAGACCGCTCTGAAGAGAGCGAGGCCGCCATTGAGACCGACAGCGAGGACGACGATGATGAGGACGACGACGAGTCGGATGATAATGCCATCGAAGACGAGGATTATGAGGACGACGACGACCAGTGGGAGGACGACGACAACAGCGGCCCGTCCAGCGTCACTGACAAGGAGCTCTTCCGACGCGTTGACTCGAGTGCCAACCTGAGATCGCGCCGCTCGCTGCTCACAACACTGATGCACGAAGGCGACCGGGCTAAAGCACTTCAGAACGCAGCGTCGCAATCCACACCCGCATTACGCCGGTCACGGACGTCTTCTCCCAACGGTCCATCTCTCGCCACCTCCCCACACGACGAGCCCGGCTTGATGATGCGCGCCACCCAGATTCCTCGATCGAAGCCCATTATCATGACAACCTCCAACACCCACCCTCCTGCATTGTCTCCGCGCACGACCCGACGAAACATGCTCCAGACCGAACTGACCGAGTCCCTTCGCAAGCACCTGCTTTGGGAGCGCCAGCAGAAAAACGCCACCAACAACGCCGTCCTGAAACGACAGCAGAGCGCGATCTCCAACCCAGCGCTTCGACGCGCAATGACTACCAACGACATCAAAAGCATGAAAGCCTTCCCCGGCGAAGCGACTGGAAAGCCATCCGCCTACCGGGACATGGCTAAAAACAACTCCTCCTACAACGAATACTTCGACCAAGGCCTTCAGGAATACCACCAGAAAGGCTGGTAGTGCTATAATCTCTGCATCGTCATGTGCTATTCTCAGACCACATGATCTTCCACCTTTCCCATCCACATGATTTTTGGTTTTACAGGCGGCATTTATGGAGTGCGTAACGACACACATTCGGCGTCTGCGGGGTCTTCCATTCATGGACCTTTTTTCCTTTACAATCATCACATCCGGTGTCCTACATGGCTTGCGCGGGTGGTAGCCTAATGTTTTTGATTTTCTCTATTCTGCGCGTGGTTTTTCTCAAAATCTGCTTTTTGATACCAACTTTTCAGGGCACAACTGCATGAGCTGCCCATGAGGCTTTACGAGTTTCTTACACTTCTCTTCTTTTTCTTTTCCCGGTTCTCAGAAATCGGGGAAAGACTTTTGGGGGCATTATACGTCAACCAGGCTCGCGCCACGGTTTCTTGCCTTTTTCACATGCTTCGCCCTCACATTCGATGTTTGGGGGCGTGGGCTGGCTAGGCTGCGGATTTAATCCGCATTCTTTGTACTATTACTCACACCCAACCTTCTTTCCACGTTGTTGTACTTTTATGGAGCCCCGAACAAAGCGGAGCCAGGAGCGGTGGCTTGCGATTTGTTTTTATACCCCCGTTGCGCGAGGTTGGAGATGGGGCAATTGGGGAGGGAATGAATAGCATCGATCACATTACATCATATCCAAGTTCCCCCCTCCGTTTAGTAGGGGGTTTGGGTAATTCAAGTACCTAATGTAAAAAAGAAAACGGAATCACGTTCACAAATTACTACTTTCTACTATGATCCACTGCTGCATGTTGAAACATACTAACCGTCTACTATTCGCTATTATTCTACCGTGGCCTAGCTAGTTACTTTATGAAATACTGACTAAACGTCTATACCTTTTTTACTACTCCGATCAGATGATAGTTGCAAACATGGACACCCCTTGGTGGGTTTTATCCTCGCTCAGTCAGCTTCCGCCTGAAGGCCATCCCTGGGCACGCGTCGGAGGGCGAGAACAAATTCGCACAGGAGTGGAGAACGTCTGGTTTTTGTGGATACCCGCGATCCTACACCATCGGCATTGCCCGAGGCGAAACTGCAACCTCGCCGTTCTCCAGGAAGAGTTTTCTTTTTTTTTTTCTTCCTTAAACAACGGGCCCTCTCCCCCCCCCGGTACCGTTCCTGCCGCGGTTGCTCCGTTAACCCGTTTATATTTGTCAGACTTTATCAGGATTTTTTTTCTGGCTGGTTCTGGAGATACGAGAGCAGGATTTTTGGTTGCCGCGAGCAAGCCAAGTGTGCAAAGAGCGGTAAAGGGAAGTTGGGTTATTGTTGGGGGGAAGGGTGGGATGTGGATTGGATGGGTGGCATACGCATGCCATGGGAGCGCTTATGCAACGCTTGTGCAAGACGTGCTCGAGCGGACGTGGTTGCGGCGAATGGGATGAGGGGCGGGTTTGCCGCGGCGAATGGGAGGGGTTGGTTGAGACAATGAGAAACGGGAATAACAATGCGAATCGACGCTCCGGGCGTGTATTGGAGGGGAGGGAGGGAGGTTTCTTTCTTCGGGGTGATTGGATGGCTGGGCGGACAAAGCGAGGTTTACCTAGGTACCCGACTAGGGAGGAGCACAAAGGGGGATTGGGAAGGGAGAATGCCGGAAGGGGAGAGCGGTTCTTTGCTCCCGCGGCATTCTCGCGGTGCTGGAGTGAGGCTTTGGAGGTAGCGAGAGGCTAGAGGTGTCGATCGCAGGGTCCAGTGCGGCCGGATGGCTAAACGGACATGATGCGCGACGGTGATCGACTGACAGCAGCAGGCCGGTAGGTGCGAATTGATTCAGCATGTTATGCAGCCTTATGACTCAGATCGCTGGCCCAAGGGTGGTGACTGGCGATAGCAACAAGACGGAATGCTGGGGTCGATTGGTGTCAGTGAGGGTGTTGAGTATTGACTCGTCACTTGTTTGGAGCTCAACAGCGACGTTGACTGTTGACTGGCGGGGGAGCCGCTAGGGGTAGAGATTCTCCGTGGTGCGATAGGGATCATATCAGCAACGTAGATGCAGTGGTACTCTGATACTGCTGCCCCTTTTGTGGCGGTAATTCGTCAGTGATGGGTGAGTCGGTGACACTATTCACATGAGCGCCACCGCATCCTCGTCTCGGATCGCGCGACGAATTGGGAGCATGCCATAGTAGAACAGCTGAGACGATCCGATATCTGCTGACCCGACGGGCCATCTCGTCGCTGTCGCCTTGCCCGTTGCTCGCGCCTCGCGGTCTGCCTGCAGAGCTGTGGTACTTCCTTTACCCCAGCCCGGGCTGATCTGGGGTATCTCAGCGCCAATCTATCAATATCGCGCGGGGAGGCCCGTGTGCCTCCTGCTCATCACTCATCGGGCATGCTAAAATAAACGTCCAGTGATAACCATCACGATACCCCCAACCGCGGTGGGCTGAGCGGCGAGCTGCACCGCCGCCAGGCAACGACGGTGACCGCTTGAGCTGATGAATGACAGCGCTGGACGGACGGAGGTTCGCTCAGGGAGGGCGATGCGCTGGCCTCGCTGGCCTGGCTAGCCGCTGCGGAGAGGTCATCTGCTCGCGGGTGTGCTGGGGTGCGATGTGAGCTGGCGGCGTGGCGCAGGCAGGGCGTTGAATGCTGCATCCAGGGCGCCGTGAGGCTGATGCAGGTGATGCCGGCAGTGAGGTCCGCGCCGCTCGGGACAGCCGCGAGGGGCTCCCGTTGCGGTTGTTGATGCTCCAGCACCGCGATGCTTTTCGAAGTCACGATGTTTGTGACGAGAAGCAAGCGAGTTGTTGGCTCTCGGCAAGCACGAGCACAGCCATTCGATCTCAGGATTTGGCTTTTCCAAATCCTCCGACGCCTCGCGCTTCCCCGCGACCACTCTCCTGCTCCGTCACAGCGCCAGCCAATTCCTCGCCCTCTCGTCACCTCCCATCGTCACATCACCCCTCATGCCGCGCGCTGCCGGCCCCCATTCGCCGCCTCCTCCCATGCCGCCGTGTGCGGATGCCGCGAAAGCCTCGCCCCAAACGCCCAGTTCGCCCTTCGTGGGGGTTGCGTCGCCAGCCCGACGTCAGGTGCTCAGCACTGCATGCCTCCGTGGTCCGCGACGCGCCGCCTGCTGTCACGATAGGCCAGCCGCCGCTGCGAACGCGATGCGGTGCACGCTGCAGCGACGATCGCAGCGCTGATTGTGGTTGCTGATGCGGCTTCCGCGGTCACGGATCCGGACGAGTTGCATGCGCCGCCATGCAGGCAGTCCGTGGCCAGCCAGCCAGCTCATTTCGGACGACCCGTGGCCGTGGGTTGTCAATATCAACAACGCGTTGGCCTTGTCTGGCTCACGCGGGACTATCACGTCAGGCAGCCAGTCGGCCAGTACGTGGAGATTTGACTATCTGACAGGCTGAGGGCCGTTGCGGAGCCGGGACGGGACTGCTGAGGGGAGGGCCGGAGATTTAACTCATTGGAGGAAGATGACGAGACGCTGGAGGGAGATGACCTCGCGGCGATGCGTTGTCCTGAGACACGGTGGAGCGTGTCTGGGGTTTCTCCGCCTGAGGACACCATCTTGCACCCCGAGAACACGGATGCGGTCAGACTGCTGCATCAGGAAGTGCGTGGAGGGCGGACGCTACCCAGGACGATGTATTGGTGAGATGGCGCTTGGCTATTGCTAATGTTACAGTAAACAAGCAAGGAGATGGATGCGCGCGTTTGTTGACTTCCGATAATAGCTGTAAGATATGCTACAGATATGGATGACATATAGCAAGCTTTGAATACTGAGTCTGATATGTTCGCAGGTCAGTCGCTTCTATCACTTGTTAGTGGGTATGCTTTCTATTTTCACATCAACTCGAACTCTTCACGGCTAAGCAGTCTCTGCTATCAAAAAGTTCAAAATTATGCTTTCTCTATATGCTCGAATTTTCCTTGATGCTCAACTGTCATACGTTTGGTATGATGCTCTGCCCTTGTAAAAACCCTCACTGTTAAAACTTCCTTGAGCGTCATCCGATCACAAGTTTAGGCAGAAAGAAAAGGGGCGTTGGTTCTTAGAGCTTTTTCGCTCCTCATATCCATAATACCATCATTACCAACACTTCTCATCCGGATCTTTTGATACTCACGAAAGTGAATAACCAGTTTAGACGCCGAATCACTCAATACTTCTTGGGCGCCGACAAGAATGCACCTTCCCGCCAGCATGAGCCTACGCAACTTAAGATCAAGCACTAGAGCTACAATTGATCTTCTAGGAGATTCCCTACACAATGCAGTCTCGACGTTAGATTAGACTCCTGCTCCATACGCGTCCGTCATCTGACTACCGCGCCTGCTATTGACACGACACTGCCAATAACATCCCCTCGGAGCATCCTTCCGCCTGTCTCGTCTGCAGACAACGAGCTTTTCATTACGTGAAAGCACGTGAAAGCAGGAGATCAGCACAAGCAAGGTCCCGTGAACGAGGCTGCATAAACGAGGCTGATTACGCCAGGCCTCGACTTCGGAGAGCTTCCTCACACCCCCGCTGTACACAAAGTAGCAACAGCTCCCACTAACCACCATCAGGAGCAAGGTTGATGCTCGCATAAAGGTCGCCTAACCGGAGACCTATCCGAAATCCACGCATTGCCAAAAGCTCTAACGACGGATCAGCGAAGCGACTAGCGCTAGTGCTTCCCGCAGTCTCAGGTTCGCCGTTATGCTAACGTCTAGCACATGCAGAGACGAGTTCGGTTGCTATTCAAGGCAGTTCGTGAGAGGAGATCAGCTGCGATTCTCAGATCCGGCGAACAAGTAGTGCACTTGCTAATTTTCTGTTTTGCGAACTCTGACGTATTGAAGTTGCTTTGCGGGGAATGTCGCCTAATTAGCTCTCTCCTCGACAATTCAAGAGAAGAGCAAGGAACGAGTTCGTGTATTGTACTAAGACGACCAGAGCTGTCTCAAGCCATGTGTCGGTTCGCGAGCGTATCAGATAGCATTTACCACCATCCTTCGCTTTTGCGGAAGATGATCCACCAAACAAGCGCCTGCCACGGTTCCCCCACGGGTATTTCGTGGTCTTGAGGTAGGCGGCTCGATCTCGCATCCGCTAGATGAAGCATGCCATCCAATCATTTGTGCACGCGACGCACCACCTAACAAAGTCCAATCTCCAATTTGCACAGGAAGGCCTTGTTCAGGATCTCAACCCTTGTCCAGAGCAAGACAACGAGGCTGGAAACTAACGGAGGAGCTCCTCTGCACGAGACGCGTTCCAGAAGGATTGCTGCAGTTTGGATCCCTCCCGGGAAATTAAGCTGTCTGCCCGTTGTGGACCGTTGTGCCTACGTCATGAAGAGGTTTCTCCCCCGCAAAGCGTCTAGATGCCCTGTCGCCTGAGTCTGACATGTGCAAGCGTGCCTCAGGAGCTAGTGCAGATCCCGTAACTCTAGCGAGATTCGGCAGACTTCGATCTACCGGCTTCCATCTGTCTTGCCTCGGCGCGATTCTCGGCCCGTCGTGAACGATGCATTGCCGATGGGTTCGGAGCACTGCCGGCATGGACACGGATGAGGAATTTGACTTCGAGATGGATTCTCAGCTGCCATGGGGAGGCTGGCTCTAACATGTGGAGATGACAGGCTCGCTCGAATCTTGATGTGGTCGGCCGAAGGAAAGCAACGGCATTGAGACATCGCCATGGGAAGCATGTGGTGATAGCTTCACCGTTCAGCGGAGCAACGTCCCAACAGAGGAGGTGTAGCTGCATACTCTGTGAGTCGCATCACGCTACCACTTCGTCCGTTTCAGGTCCCGTAGCTTCCCTTCCACGTCGCATCGCGACTCGTTTTCTCCTTGTGAGCATCAACAATGCTTGCAAGCACACGTCTTTCCCCGTCTTTCTCCACCGCACACGGCCGCGTCGTGTTGCTGTCGTGTCTCCAAATTTCCGCATCGGTCAATCGAGCAAGCTCAAGCGCCGGCACAACTCCACCGCCAATCCGCCGCGCGAATTTCTGGCATGCCTGCATCCGGCTTCGCGCCGCTGCTTTACGGAGAAACATTGCTGTAACAAGAGCCCGGCGAGGTGAGCTTTGCTTGACTCAATTTTGAGTTCGCGCGGCGTCGCGGGGAACAACGTTGAGCTTCCTGCGCAGGGATGCGCGAAGCTGAGGAGAGTCAGCTGTCGCGGTTCGAGGTGGCTGCGACGGCGGCCGGAGGAAAGGCCGGTGAAGGGGGGCGTTTCTGCCAGGGTGCTCCTTTACCCCGGATCTACGGGGCGCCCACGTTGTTGACGATGGGCGTTTGTAGTCATGGTAGCCGAGGGATGGGTGTAGGGCTGATGCTTGGGAAGAGTGTGTCAGTTCTCGACTGCAACATGGGATTGATTGGGTATTGGATAAGGATGACCGCTGCTCAGTACTGCACCACGCGGACTGCAGAGTTTGAGCATCTTCAAAGTGGCACCTGAGCCTTTTGCATCCGCCAGAAGAAGCTTCTTCGGGCCGGTGGCAGAAGTTGGGCACCGATCTCGACGTATCGTGTGATGCTCGAACCTGGGATTCGCGGTCGTGCGTGTGACGTTTACTGGGGGGTTTTTCTGACGCAGATCATGAGCCGGCACATGCAGGAACGAACGGCGAAGCACACAGCACAGCACGCGGCTCTGTTGAGCCGGAGACTGGGATCGGGATGTGTGGTATGAATCTTCCGGAACTGGCAACAAAGGGACATGGTCGAGCATGGCTGCGGCTTTCGATGTCGGTGTCACTTTTCCTTACCTCAGCTCTTGTAATATTCACGCGACTAGAGCTCCATTTCACATGGCAAACTGTCCGTCTGCCGCTTTTTGATCCGGCCTAGAGTGGGACCGTTGGCCACCGGCGTGGCATCCACGTGTGTGTGGAGTCAGCAGTCGATGGTACCCTAAAGATCGGTTTCCCCGACGGCACAGCAGCGAAGGCGGCGAAGATGAGAGTTTCAGCTTCGATGGTATGCTGACGCGCCATCGCAGGAGCTGATGCGTTACCGCAGTCGTCAACGCATCCGCCGATGGATCTAGATACCGTGATCCGACATTTAGGCGGATGGGTTTGCTGATCCCATCCTTGAAAGTAAGTGGATAAATCCCGCTTCTGATTGGAGGAATTTCGATTTACCTTCCTGCTTCGTGCCCCTGCTCCGTGGCTCCACGTTTTTCAGGGGTGTTGTTCTGGAAAATTCGGAGGCGCGCACTAAGCATTAGGTGATTCTGTTAAGGTATGAATGCGGCGTGCGATAAGGAACATGGCGGATGCGTATTTCTATGAGGAAAAACCGTCATGGTCTGTGTACTATTCTTGGTTTTCTTGCAAATAGTCATTTGATGTCTCTATTACTGTTTTATGCGTCACCTCTTTCGCCATTCGATCTCTCGCGTACGTAAACCACCATGTCAAAGATATTGAAGTCTGGATGATGAGGGTAGATGCCGAGATCCATTTATCCATTTTGCCGGACCAATTTTGTTACTCACGATCGAAACACAGAAATTGGTCCGTCAGACCCGAATCGAGATTCACGTTGAGGTACATCGCTGTAAGTACCATGCCGCGGAACAATTACGACGGAACAGGTTTAGAAGGACCCTGGCGGCTACCGTAGATTCTCTAGTGCTTCATCGTACCGTGGTTGCTCTGGTCCACTAGGGCTCATTCCGACTCGGGAGCCAACAAATCAGAAGGTCTGTGAGCTTGAATGGGTACTTCGACTGCCACTCACGCAAATCTGCGGTCATAAGAACAGAGGGAGTAGAGCGGAGTAGAGCGGAATGGAGCGGAATTGTATGGCGTCCTCTATCTGATCTCTTTCCGTCCCAGTCGAAGACAGCATGTGAATTTCGGCAGTCAAGGCTCTTCGCCATCGTTACTATCAACTGTTCTTCTTTCTAGCCTCTAAGCATCATCTAGATCCTTATTGTATAAGTCCATGATCTTTCCTACCACCGCTTGAGAGTTCCAACGCATTAACATAACTCAGGAAAAGCAAATCTCACTTCCAATCTGCTCACACTTTGCTAACGCTATCTGGCGCGGCCCCCCGAGTTTACTAATTGCCAAATGTTGAACTTGTGTCTAATTCAAATTTTCGAAAACACCATGAGGCACTCAGGCAGCGGTGACCGAGGTACCTACGGGTATTTGTACATACTAAGATCTTCGCCGGCGTCAAAAGCAAGCTCATTTTGCTGCTACTTAGAGTCAAAGAACTAAACTTGCCAGAATATGGGTAGCTTAGCTGCAGCCTCGAAGACCGTCCTGACACGAGATGAATCACGTGCAAGCGTAGTTTCGAGATATAAGACTTCATCCTCGAGCTCACAAATTTTGATCGTGAGAGTTCGTCTAGCAGTAGTAACATGCCCGCGCCGCCACCATGATGTCTGGTGGTTGCTTGAGGTACTATGACGGGGTCTTCAACATCCATACTCTCACTAATCAATGTCCGGAGAATCAGCGGATGGACCTGACCGAGTTGTGGGGTCTTCCATCATTCTCCAACATGATGAACATCTTAATCGCTGAAATAGGATGAATGTCGTTTCTTTCGCAATTGGTGCGTCGGGCCACCAACGAAACGGTAGAAGCGTTTAGGCCCGGTCCAACCTACGTTATTTTCACTCTTACGTCTTAACTATAGGAAATCCTAATAATTCGACAATAAATCTCAGACAGTAGCAAGCAGGACTCAAGGCGCTGTATAGGTAGAGCAGGGAGACGACGGCTCTTATACAAAAAGAGAAACATAACCTGGGTCCTGGATTTCGAGCGCAACTTCCGCACAGAGGAGTAACAAAGGCATACTGAGCGCTATAGGAGCATGTGGTGATTTCAACGCTGTCTCCTTTTACAAGAGGAATACCCGGGGAGGAAAATTGGGCCCGTAATCGATGTCATAACATCGCACCGCCTTGCTACATAGCGAAGAAAAACACCAAGAGTTTCTACGTTTGTAACTTGTACAAAGTGTCCTGAGGTTCGAATGGAAGCTTTAGGATCTTCGAGAATCCTATAGTAGATTTTTATGCTCCTGTAGCTACCTTTTCCGACGTCAACGGTGCTTCTTCCCGTCACGGCGGAGCAACTTGCTCAGCATCTTCTTTTCGGTTTCCAACTCTCCACCGCATCCCTCTCTTCATTTCCACAAAGTATAGAAGAGCAGAAATCGCGGCCGAGCCCCCGAAGATAGTGAAAGACCACCCAAAGCCAATTCCATCGATCATATATTGGATTACCCCAGTCGCTAAGGCCGCCATGATACATCTAACTAAATTGAATGATGCTTGTGCCGTTGCCGGTGCCTCGTGGTTGATGTCAACCAGGAGAGTGTTGTTGTACTAAAATGCATCGACTCAGAAACCCGTTTCAGGATCAGGAGGGGAGAATATCACTTACATTGAAACATGTCTGAATGCCGAGTCCAGTCAAGAATTGGAGAATCATAGGAATGGAGAGATGCTGTAGTCATCAACTCAACTCCGGCTCAGCTAACATGTTGAACAGAAGCACTTACGGCGTGGTAGTGAACGGCCCAACCGTATCCAATCATGGAAAACGTTGCAAGGAACGTCGGTACGAAAATGCTTCTCATCCTGGCTTCTTCAATAGGGAACCTGGACAAATCATCCCCGCAAGCCATGCTTACTGGCCACAATCCGGTAGTCCCGGTCGATCAACTTCCCGGACATGAGAGTTGATACAAGACAACTAGCGCCGTAAGGAAGGTAAATCAAACCAGCTTCTATGTCATTCAGGTTGTAGATATATATTAATGTCGTCGAGAGAGATGCATGCGAGGCACAGAATATCATGTAAAGAATACTACCAGCCGTAATGCTTACAGCCGTATCCAGACGAGAAAGAACAACCAACGTCTTGAGCGGATTGGGAAATCCCTTTTTCTTGTAAATGATGGTGGAGGGCTCAGGCGATTCTTTTTTCCATGGTCGCATGACGTTCGGAATAAGCGGCCTTGACCATTTCGAAGGCGCATTCGAACCGTTCCCGACGACGGATCGAGCTGTTTCTGGAAGGGTGAGAACTATCAACACAAGGACAATAGCTGACATGATTGACAACAGCTAGGATATCCAACGCCAACCTGCTCGGTATGCGAGGACGCCTCCAAGAAGGGGTCCGAAGCTGGGAGCCGTCGTAATGCTACTTCCTTTAGCGGTCAAACCCTTGAATTAGCAGGAGATAGCTCACCCAAATGAGAGAGCTCCTACGAAGGCACCTCGCTCTGCCGGAGTCGCGATGTCTGCAATAACGCCATACGCAACCGAAAAGGTGCCTGGTTCTCAGAAACCGTGCGTATCCCTAATGTCAAGCGATTCCTCACCTGAAATCCCAGCACTCTGGAGCATTCGCAACAGGAGAAGCGCAACGAAAGACTTCTGAAGCGCGATTCCTACATTTGCACAAAAATATAGGGAAAGCGTGACCAGGTAGACCGGCCGTCTCCCAAACATTTCGGAAGCATCTCCAGCTATAGACGGGGCCACGCCAGATATAGCGAGATATGAAGTCACTGTGAAGTTAATGCGCGCAATTGATGTCTGCAGATCTTCCGCTAAAATCGACAAAACTGGGTAGTAAATGAAACTGCTCAGCGTTGAGAACCAGCCTGCTCCGGCGTTTAAGGCGACAATATACCATCGCTGGCTTTTCGAAAAGACGGCGAATTGGCCTGTGGCTGGCGCTGAAGAGGATTCTGCTGTCGGTGCTGCCGGCATTGTGTTAAAGGTGAATTGAAATGCTCAAAGAGAGGATTCACTGTCATGGCTCATGACCGTTCCAAGTAAAGGGCAAACGGGAGTCTCCGTCTTGCGGCTCAACTCAACGTGGGGAGTCAGAGAAGCAATCAGGTGATTGAATCGCAGTGACAATGATTTGACTCACGGACAAGTTGCGTGGTGCGGATAGACGGTGTTTCATCACACTGCGTTTGTGAGGACTCGATAGGCAAACAGCGATTAGAAAAGGTTGCATTGCTATGCTATAGAAGTTGTAATATAAAGAAAAAAAGGGATAAAGGCGCAGCAGCCTAATATAGGTTGCTGGCGCGCCCACGTAATAGGCACGTGCTCCACGTGCCTGTCTTATAACTACAAGTAAATGCCGCTTTAGGAACAAAGGAAAAGGCCGTCCAAGGGCTGGCTGACAGCGTTGCACACATGCCGACCCAACCTCGCTTTTCTCCCGCAAATGGGCGTTCCGTGCTCAAGGTCGATTGGTATATTCCGTGCACATTAGAAGTCGCTGACGACGATAGCTCAGTCTGATGACTCTCACCAGTCACAGCGTTGAAAAGTCCAATATCTACTCAAATCCCTTCCTCATCCTTTGTCTCAGCTTCACGCTATTCCGGCTTTGTAGCTACCTTCAACCATGTCCACGAATCCGGCCGACGCATATGCTGAAAAGCTGAGACGCGAACAAGAAGCGAACCTAATCATAATCGAGCGTCTGGATGACAACGTTCTGGCAAGTGAGTGTCAATTCCGTCAAACCACGCCGACAGCGCTGAATCTTGCAGAGTTACCAGAAGGAGTGGAGGTGGTCTCTGTGGTTCCTTCCGGGGCAAGTGCGTGGTGTAAGACGTTCCGGATCGACGCGAGGCTGAAGAACGGCGAGATCAAACCTTACTTTATGAAGGTAAGACTTCACTTGTTTGACTTGACTCTTTGGCCTTTGCTAACATGTTAATTCAGTATGAATCTGGCGAGCCTGGCCGACGTATGATGGAAGGCGCATTCCACTCCGACTCGGTCTACTCCTCCTACGCCCCAGACAACATGCCGACACCGGTTGGATTTGGCGAGTTCAAAGAAGAGCCCGACACGTGGTTCTACGTCAGCGAGTTCCACGATATGGTGGACAAGCTACCGGATGCTAGGGACTTGATCAACATTGTCGCCAAAGTCCACCGGGCTAGCATGGGAAAGTCACCAACCGGCAAATTCGGCTTCGCCGTGCCCACATATCTTGCCAACATCCCAAACGATAACACCTGGCAGGACACGTGGGAGATATGGTTCACGCAGGCCATGCAGTCTATGTATGCATTTGAGAAGCAGACACAAGGTGTAGACGAAGAACTGGACAGCCTCTTCGATGGCCTCTGCAAGAAGGTCATCCCGAGGCTTCTTCGGCCTCTAGAAACAGGTGGACGCTCTATCGAGCCTTGCCTAGTCCACTCCGATCTATGGCCTGGCAACTGCATGTTGGACGCAGACACTGGAGAGATCATGGTGTTCGACTCCTGTGCATTTTGGGGTCATAACGAGGCAGATCTAGGCCCCTGGCGGGCGCCGCGATATCGGCTTGGGAGACCTTATCTCAAGCAATATCAAAAAGTCATGGGAATGTCGGAGCCACATGCTGACTGGGACGACCGCAACGCCTTATACGCTTTGTGAGTACTGGGAATGCGCACGGCTTAACCACGCTAATCGCTCTCCAGGCGCTATGATTTTCTGGTCTCTGCCCTCTATCCCAATGAGACCAAGTTTCGCGAGATGTCTGTTGTCTACTCATCTGGTAAATAGCCATATACTAATTTAGCACAGGGCAAGAAGAGAGATGAGGGCGCTTGTAGAAAAGTTCCCTGATGGGCTGCAGGAAGAAGCCAAGCCAGTTGAGAACGAGTATTATGATCAGTTAAACGCTGCAAAGCACTCCGGACAAATGGAACTAGACCCTGAGAATAATGCTGGTAAGATTGGTAGCATTTTCATCCGGGACTAGAGCCAGGGGAAGGTTGATGTTGTTTCGTAGCACTTCCATCTGCTGCTGAAATTGTAGCTGCACAGGGCCATGGATTACGCATCTGGAATGAGACCGGGTAAATTGAATCTAGACAGGACGCCTCAAGTATGACTCATCGGGTTCTCAAAACATGTTTAGCATTAATTTACTCTACCACAGATTTTGCAAGGAAACTTGCGAAATCGCATGAAAAGGTCAACTCGCCAAACGATTTATTCGGTTTCCACATCACGACGTATAATCGGAATCTTCCGTAAGACTTTACTTGGACAAAGTCGTGGGAAGAGTTCTTTTACAACGAAAACCGACAAATGCTAGCCATAGAGAAAGAAACGAGAGGACCGAGCGAAGAGCTCCAGGGGCTTTCAAAGGCTTTGCCGGGGAAGGTGCTCCCTAGACTGTTGCGTCCATTAGAAACACAAGGTAGAACGATTAGGCTCAGCCTTCTCCATAGAGACCTGTGGATCGGTAACGTTGCCACTAATAAGGCAATCGGCAAACCCGCTATTTTAGACTAGTCAGCCTACTATGGCCACCATGAATGCGAGGTTTGCCTTTTGTCAAGCAGGCTGGTTTTCATTGCTTAACCTTTCAGATGAACTGGGCCCATTGCGGTCAATGAACAACCAATGGAGTAGAGACTGCATTGAGACATACCAAAAGTACATGCTGAAGGATGCACCCGTGGAAGGCTAGGCGTCTCGTCATGCGTTGTATGCCCTGTGCACCACTCCACCTTTCTTCTACGCCTTTCATACGACTGAATTTCGGCAGTCGCAATCTTATACTCGATTCAACCCTATATCCAAAGAATGAGTGTTTCCAAACCCGTAAGTCCTCTAATTACGCCTGTCTAATGCCATCTAACCACAGCAAGTCCTACGTTAGAAAAGAACTGGGGCCAAACCCCGCATGATAATAGGTTGTTTGGTACCCTCTGCTACTGCAACAATGGATCGCTATCCCCTTCCTCATCATGATCTTCATAGGAAGGAGATGATATTGCCGGCCGTTGCCGCGAGACAGGGACCCAGGCCAAAAGTGCCAAAATGGACAGAATGACAACTGCAAACCGAAAAACGCCAATTCCCATTCCCTGGATGAAAGCACCAATGCCAAAAGGTAAAAATGCGGCTCCAACCTGACCAGCGGAAGCTGTGAATGAGACGGCTGCGACGTGCAATTCTGCGGGTAGTAGTCGAGTGAGGATAACGATGCCGGAGGCAAACATCGGGCCCATGAAGAAGCCGATTAATGTCATAAAGACGATGGACGCGATGGGTACCTGAACAAAGGCAAAAACAACCTGAAACGCTATGGTGATGAGGAAGTAAATGATGTTTGCGCCACCCACACCCAACTTGTCGGTTACGACACCAAGGGTAAACCTCCCAACAGCCATGCCACCCCAAAATCCGGAAGAAGCCATGCTTGCCACGTAGGGCGTAGCATTTCGATGACGTGTCATGAATGAAACTATCCAACCGGATATAGCGGTTTCTGTTCCCACATATGCGAGGAAGTACAAGGCGATCAGCCAGGTGGCGACGTATTTGAACATGGCTCTTGGATTGATTTTACGGCGTGTTGATACCGCTTCGGTGTGCTTTTCATCACGGTACTTTGATGCGTTTTCGTGTCTAAATGCGAGAAACAGCACACATAATTCTACCACAGATGCTGCGACCTGATGGAGTCTGATCAATTCGACATCATAGTAATCGTCTTCTCTAGGACTTACGAGGAAATAATACCAATCATACCACGGTCTGTTCCACGCAGGCAAAATTGTGCCAGCAAGGAACGGTCCAGCGGCCGCACCCACAGAGAAAGACCCTTGCAACAAGCCAGAGACAGTATTTGCATTACTCCCGCTCGCAGCCCAGGCGCACCACGACCCGTCTAAGAGCCCTGCTCCCAGGGCTACGGCGGCAAATGCCACTAGAACTATACCGAAAGGTGGGTGGGCAGCAATGACTAGGGCACCGAGAATGTGCAGTGTTGGTGCAAAAATTGCAATGCCCTTCTGGCCCCAAGTGCAATGAATAAGGTCGCTGGACTGGGCTGCGATGACGTAGCCCAGAGGTCCTACGATGAAGATGAGCGAGACGTGGAGGTCCCCGAGCGAGTAGTGCTGGGAAAGAGGCTGCAGCATAACACCGACTGAGGATTGGAAGAGGCCGAGTACTATGAAGGAGTACATTGCCGCGCCGACGCGCAATGCAATATGTGCGGAGACGCGGTGCGCGGCATCGTGAGTGATGCAGTCCGAATCTCCAAGTAGTGAACTCTCCTCAGGAGGGGTATGGGCTAACATGGCTTTGCGTGGAAGGCTCTCATGTGTGAAGGTGTGCAGAGGGCTGAATAGGGGAGGTGATTGCTCGGGCTGTGAGATGCACGGGTCAAGAATTTGGATCACGTGACAATAACGCACCCCGAACTAAAGAAAAAATTATTGAGCTCGAAAACCCAGAGCTGCAAAATATAAGCTATAAGGTGTCTTCATGGCGCACGACTGGATAAGGTGTTTGATTACGCAAGAGGCATTTATCTATAGTCACGTGATTCTCTGGATGCGCTTGCCGACTTCGACACCAAAAAACAAGGCTGATGACCTACTCAGCAGCGCCTCTGAAGTCCTACACTGGCCCCGAAGAAATTCGGACTCTGGAAGAGGTGCGCGAAAAGCTAGTAACCAAAAAAATGATCCCCAGGAGCTAGCTGCTGTTCAGCGACGCCATCTGCTACTGTTCGGGGACTAGTACTGTATCTTTTCAAGATCCTGGAAGAGACGTGAAAGAGCAACCTCGACGCATTTTTTCATTCAAAGTCCATAAACAGCCAGCAACAAGCCAGCACACACCAATGTATATTATAGCAAAGTATAAATATGGTAGTTATAAGTCCTGTTCCTTGAAAGAGCAACATTCATAAAGCACCGGCATCGGGATATGACAGGTCACATGTGGCATTTTTCGAGGCGATAACCTGGGAGCCACGCCTCGGGTTACACCGCATCTCGTCATGTAGCTTGCCGCAAATCGGCACGGTCAAATTGGACGCACATCCTTCTCTTCTCCCACCTTTTTGTCACCCTCCCATCCTCTCAACTGACCGTTACTATCAGTGGCATCAGCCAAATATCCAAAATGCCAATGAAAATGTCAACGTCGAACAGGGGAAAGCGTCGGATAGCAGCCTCTTCGCCCAGAGATATGAAAGTCACTAGGACCCAGGGAACGACGAAGCTGGTAAGCTGATTCCCCTTCTAGCCACCCACACCAATGCTAGCCATCTCAGCCCATTCTCAAGCAGGATCAGAAACTCCCAGAGAAGAATGGTGAGTACCAGGGCGAGTACGATCAACGTATGATGTACGAGAAGCTCGAGATGACGGAGACGAAAGCGCCAAAAGTAGTTGTAAAGCTGCCGCCCAAGGAGAAGATAGGTATCAAAAAATCCAAAGTTGTTGCAAAGGCTCCATTCAAGAGTCGCAAACCATTTGTGCTAGTGTTGGTGGACGACCACGGTAAGAGCGTAAGTTACCAATCTTGCTAAAGTCACCACATGGGAGGATGCTGAACAGACGGTAGTTTCATGAGAGCCTTATCAAAGCAGGAGACCCTGGAGGCGACTTGGCCGCTCAGCATATAAACGCTGCCGTGGAAGAGAGAATGCATAAGCTCCCCAACTCATCTGGTAACTACGACATCGTGGTACGCGTGTATGCAAGCGTCAACGTGCTACGAAAAACACTCGGCCCTAAAGATAGCATATCGTTAGACCGATTCATTGACTCGTTCAATGCTTTCCATGCTCTCTTCCACTATAACAATGTTAGCCCAGTTATGAAGAAGATTCAGAAGGTCAAACGTAAGATCCAGCCTCTGTGATTGAGACGCCTTCCACTGACCACCAAAGCAGAGACCTTCAAGCAGTCATTAGATGACAGTCAATGCAAGCACATCTTCTTTTTCGGCGGCCATCCGTACTACGAACTACTGCGATCAAGCATAAAGAGAACGGACCGCGTTACACTGGTCGCATCCACATACCTGGATTCCGAACCATGTCTTCTTGGGTTGAACAGCTTTGCTTTTGAGAAGGTGTTCCGGGTACAAAAACCCAAAGAGTGCCCACACTACAAGAAGGTAAGTCTTCAGGCCCCTAAGCATGATATCCCGTTCGAAATTCTTGAGAGCGCGTGGGCCACCCTCAATAGCGGCAAGCAATCATCAGATTCATGGAGACAGGACGCTTACATTCGAATACCTAGGGGAAATGTTACTGGGGCAAAAAATGCAGAATGTTCCATCCTCCAGCTCAATCTCTTACTGCTCAATCTCCTCCCCCACCAAACTCCGGCATCAAGCTTGATCGTCCTGACCACCCCAAAACCTCCCCTAACCTCCAAAACCCCAACCTCATTCCTCTCAACGCCTCCAGCCACCGTCTAGATACCCATCTCTTCATTTCAAAGGCCACCCTCGACGCCCTCTACGCCAAGGCTGGCGCCCACGGCAATCCTTGTCCCGACCTCCACTTCCGCGGCGCCTGCAACGCGCCGACCTGCCCCCTCGACCATGACCCCCTTACCCCCGAACTACTAGATGAGATGCGGTATTGCGAGCGGAAACAGGAGTGCGATATGAGAGGGGCGTGTAGGTCGATCACGTGCTTGAAGGGCCATGCGTCGCTGACGGGGGATCGGGAGGTTACGGAGTGGGGTATGCCGGATAGGGTTGAAGGGCCAGAGGGGGTGGATTGGAATCCGCCCGATCGGAAGCCGCGGAATCTGGTTGACCTGCTGTCTGGAGAGGATTGCTGTGTTGAGATGGCTGGTGAAGGACCGCTCGATACGTGGGACTTGCAAGGGGAGGACTTGATATTTTTTGGGGATGTAGAGGATGTGGAGAACGGAGGGGAAGGAGTAGAGAGGGTTGATAAGGGTGTGGTGGAATCTAAGGTGGGCGAGGTGGGTAAGGAGGCTGGCATGGCGTATGATATCACGATGAAATTTGCACTTTCGGGGAAGGAGGCTGGTGAGCTGGATCGTAGGATGAGGTCGAGGGGTTGCTTGGATCCGCCTCAGTGGTGAACGGGGCTTAGAATGGCGATTGATCTTGGATGAGGGTGGACGGGGATGAAAAGTAGACCAGGTGTGGCTTTGGGGATGCTACGTGCTTTGGTTTTGAGGAAATTTGTGGATCTCACGATGATATACAGAAGGTGCTATCACGATACTATAGAAAATTTCAATTGGTTGACTTTATAGAGTGCCATCTATGTGAGGATGACCTGTCGTAGCTGGGGTCTTTTCATGACGGACACAATTCTGTTACATGAAGCATCTAGAAGCACGTACCTCCGTCAATGCTATGGAGGACGTAGGAAGTACTTTCAGAACTCATATGAGCTCACGGAACTCAACTCGTGGGTTGCTTACACCGCAGGCTCATGCTCTACTGCCTCCACCTTGTTCTCAACATGATGGGCTTTTCCTTTCATCCACTCGGCGAGCATTGAGATGCGCCAGGCCTCACGGTCGGGCGGCGTCCAGGATCGGTATGCCGGACCTGGAGGAGCGCTGGAACCGACGAGTGGTGGCGGCGGAAGCTCCCAGGGTGAAGCTATCACCGTGTCCGTCATGTCTTGAGCCTCTCGCGCCTCCCTCTTCTCTTCGTCTTTAATGTAGATTTGTTCGTACAGGTGGTCCGCATGCTGCTTCAACCTCAACTTCTCATCCTTATCCACAAGGTCATCTTCCTCCGCGGCATCTGCAGCATTTTGTGCCTCCTTTAGCTTATTGTATTCCTTAAGCCTCGGCCCTAGTTGGTTGCAAGTCTTGCGAATGAGACTCAAGAGACACTGTGGATCGGCTTCGGTAATGTCTGCTATTGCCCTTTTCTGCGCCCATTCCGAGGCCACCGCCTCATTGACAGTGATCCTGTTTGTCGACTCGTATACCAGCATCTTCTTGAGGAAGTCCTCTAGAGCCGTGAACTCGTCCTTGCACATTTCGGACGTCTTCCATGTCTGTCCTCGAGCGAGAAACACAAGATGTTCCGCCAGTGAGTTAAAATCAGGCTTCTTTTCCTCCTTCCACGAGCCGTCTTCGGAGAAATATTTGTCCTTTGCATCCCACTTCTCCCACCAACGCGCTGGAAAAGGACCTAGCCCGCCCATTATAATAGAGATGACTTCGTCTTGGCGTCCGAGCTACGAGTCAAAGAGCTTTTCCTTGCCCAGGATTTCGAACAACGTGCATGCTAGCGTCCAGGTATCAGACTTCGGTCCGAGAGGCTCGTGGAAGAAGTACTCAGGTGGGAGAAGGCACGTAGGCGTCATGAGCTGCTCGCGGTCGTGATTGGCCGCGAAGAAGGCTTCACCGAAGTCGGTAATGATGATCTTGGGGTCTTGAATTTTCTCCACCTCATCGCAGCACAGGAAAAGCATGGAACACTGAGTGACGTAGTACTCGGGAGCCTCGGATCCAAGGGGAAGATTATCATAGCGCCGAAGGAGATTTGTGATGGGGTCGCCGACATGTAAGTAGAGCTCATCTTCGCTCAATTGGTCCAAGCCAGGGATCTGGAAGAGGATGTTGTTGGAGTGAAGATCTGGAGGTTCATTAGTCTGCGATCAGGCGAGATACAGTGAATAATAGGGTAGTACATAGCATGCCATTTCAAGCAAAGAAAACATTAAGCACTTATCTCCATGTACTACGCCGCAGGAGTGAATATAATCCATTCCCGGCATGACTTGAACGGCGATCGACCTCGAAACTCGGAGCGGGTGCTGGTATGGAGGAACTTCGTGCTTTGACATAGCCACACTACAACCAGCGACAGGCATCACTAGGAAAAAATGCTTGCCGTTCGGGCCTCGATGACAAATTCGTCCAGAAGCGACATAACATACATGCTGCCCGCATGATTTGCCTTGTTCGCCGTGAGCAAGCGCAGGATCTCGATCTCGTGAGCGTAAGGCTGCACGTCCGCACAGAGAATCTTCAAAGCCACGTTCTTCTCCTCAGTTGTATCGCGTGCGAGCCAGGTGAGAGAGTAGCCGCCATTACCAAGCTTATGGACAATCTTGTAACGATCATTATGATAGCGGTCGCTTATGTGAGTGGGGTGCTAGCCACCCATGCAGTATCGCTCGAGGTCTTCAACGCCGTGATCGAAGTCCCATCTATAGACCCGGTCTGGAGGATATCTATCGGAAACCTGCACTTTCAGTGGCGAGGTCGGGGCAGGTGGTTGGCCATTCATAGTCGTCGAAGAGTCGGCCATGGGCACTTGGCAATACCTGAAGTACAGAAAGCGAGTCTGAGAGAAGTAAATCGGTGTGGGTGTTTTGAGCTGTGGTGAAAGGGACGTCGACTCCTAAAGTTTAGTAGGAGGCGTCGGAAGCGAGACTGGTGACGATTGGTCAAAAATGCTTCGCACCCCTGTAGTCACCCAATTGCGCGATCTTCGACTTTAACCTCGCTCATACGTCTTAAGGCCTAAACTCACGTCTATTGGTCTTTCTTAGAGCGTAGAGTTACGGGTTAAGTATGGGATAGGTTTGAAATGTGTGGTAGTGAATTAAATTTCGTATGTGACAGGCTGGCTAACACACCTGTACTGCACGTGATTGTTTTTCAGGTATTGGTTCGCTACTTCTAGAGCTCGTGAGACCTATTCGTAGAGGGAATCTTTTCCGTAGTGATACATAACGGAAATTACAGCTTTTTTGTGGGGAACATAGTAGCAACTATATCAGAGCAATCCCAGATAGGCTTCTTTCTTAGGAGCCCCCGTGGATTTTCAAAAACATAGGCGCCATAACAAGCTTCAAGTAGTGCAAATTAGACTGCCTCTTGATTAATCGGCTGTTTACTAGCTAGGCTGATCCTCACAGTGGTTTCGAGTGAGCAAGATTGGAGACAAGCAGTAATAAATCCGTGTGCCCAGACTTATGACTTAGTATTCTAATTCAATGTTGATAACAATGCAGATGAAGATATTTTTACTTCTTTTCTTCATATTATCTAAAGAGTCTTACTTAATGCCATGTTGTAGGTATCGCTGGGTGTGCTCGGGAAAGAGGGTATATGGATCGGTGTAGTGGGTGTAGGGAACCTTTGACTAGCCGTCCCTCGCCGCCAAATTCTAGACTCTGTGATTCAGATCTACATCCTGTTGGCCTCCTTGCCGTCGTCCAGGTCGTAAACCACCGCCATGTTAGCATATCCGCCGTAACCGCCGCCCTAGTCTCGCCTACCAAGCATGGATCCTGCGATCTGTGAAAGCTCCTCGAGGACCTTCCAATACCGCTCTTCAAGTGCCAAAGCTGGACCCGCACTCTCTCAGTTCTCTAAGGGAAGTCATGCGCTGGCAGGCCGGCAGGCCATGCCTCCTTCCGATTTGGCCCCACTCCCGTCGAGTCAGGCTTCACCGGCGTCAGTTTTACATCCATGATCGGGGTATATCGGATCCCGTCCAGATTAGTATACATGTGAGCCGTCATGCGCTCACGGTAGTATTCCATTGCCCGATTCTTGAACGAGATAGTGATATGAGGGTCGTCTGGTTTTATCTGTCCTTGCGTATAGGTGGTGTTGTGAAGGTCCTTGCTGAATCTCTAGTCAGTTCTTAAAGTTATTGTGCCTCTGTACAGTGCTAGGTCAGAAGTCTGGACACACAGATCCAACGCTGCTTGGTTCCAACCTTGCTCACTTGATACCAATGTGAGGAGTACCCCAGTCAGTAAATAGCCAGTTAGTCAAGAGACAGTCTAATTTGCTCTGCTTGAAACATGACATCCCGTCTAGGGTTTTGAAATTCCAGGGGGTACTAGATACAAATTTGGACACGTCTTCTTTTTGATCTCTTTTAGAAGTATGATGATGTACTCACGCACCATAAGTAGCGGCCGAACAAGCTGATTACGTGCGCATGAATCCTCTCTAAGTCGAGCTCTCAAAGCAATTAAACATCTGGACCTCGTAGCCCCTCAGGCGATGGTAATCAATAGTCTAAACGGAATCAACTCTTTGTCCCATTTACTTGTATCCTCTGGATCCACTCTTTCGTACGGTGAGAATCTGAGAGTTCTCAGAATGAGCTTTATTTTCCGGGAGACGGTCAGGAAGGCTGTCAAAATTTCTGATATATGGCACTCGTCTGCTCGCTCGTGCTCCGCATCGGATATGAACCCTGAAAATAATTGATTGGCTAGCTCCTATGGAATACTTGTAAAAAAGGGAAGGTTCCTGACCAGGTGCCATAGGGTCTTTGCTTCACCTTTAGTGCGTTAACCGAGAAGGAAACGCTAATGTCGACCACTAAGCGAGGGGAAGTTTCAGGCTGGTGAAAACGACTGGACTATCCAAAGCGGTGAATATCTTTTAGTAGACTCATACGAAAGGCACCTCTGTCTTCTCGCTTACTATTTATCTTGTAATCTCCAACAAACACCGCACCATCACCCCTCTCCAAACCCTCGGCCAGTTTCTACACCACCACCCTACTCTGACAGCATGGACCCTGTAGCTTCATACCTGCATCTTCTGCTCTCCCAGGAAGCCAGAGGCCTTGAAAAAACCTGTACCACAGCGGCAGAGCAAATGCCTCAAGCCCCACCGCTCTCAATCACTGACTCCCTTACCCCAAGCGACGCTACCTCCACTCTCCCACCCCTCCTCCGCCTCCCCCTCGAACTCCGTCGAGACATCTACTCCCACCTCTACCCCTTCCAACCCTTCCACCCCCCTAACCCCGGAAACCCCACCGAAGACGCACGCACCATCGGCCAAAGCTTCACCGCCGCCGACTTCGCCTCCCGCGACTCGACCCAACTCCAAGTCCTCCCCTGGGGCTTCCCCAGCGCCGGCCGCATCACCGACCCCTCGGACCCAGTCCGCTGGCTGTACCAATCCGCCGCCGAAAAAGCGCTGCAAGACAGCACCAAAGCCCTGCGGCGCGCGCACCGCGCCGCCATTGTGCAACTCTACCCCTGGCGCATGTACGCCAGCGGGCTGGGCATCCTGCACGCGAACCGCCAGCTGCGCGCGGAGGCCCAGGACTACCTCTTCCGCGGGACGCAGCCGCGCATCACCCTCCAGCCCGCCGGCATGCCGCGCATCTGGTGGCGGTACGCCGACGAGTCGCTGTACTGGGCGCCGCTGGCCGCGCATAGCATGGCGGGTCTACAGCCGGCGGCGCTGCTCACGCGGCTGCACGTGAAGCTCGACGCCATTCCCGCGTTGTTGGATTACCGCCCCGTGTCTGGGCATCGGGCGTATGTGCTGGGGATGCGCGTGCAGGTGTGGAAGCTGTGCAAGGCGCTGCAGAAGATGGAGGTGTTGGGGGAGCTGGCGGTGGATGCGGGGGGGCTGCATGCGTGCCAGACGACGACGCGGCATAGTCAGCAGCCGCATTGCTCGCGGAATGTGAGGAAGACGTTTTGGGATCGGAAGCGGGTGGGGCTGGGGAGGGAGGGCGGCGGGGTGCCGTATACGTGGACGCGGACGGATGAGAATCGGATGGCGGCGTTGGCGGGGTCGAATGTGGTGGTGAAGTGGTTCCAGCGGCAGAAGCTAAGGGCGAGCCCGTTGGCGTTGTCGGATTTTGATCTAGTGAGTTTACTGTACTAGGTCATGAGTCTGGTTGGGCATAGCATATGCCATTGCTTGAGTGCCCCTTTGGAAGCTGGGTACCGCCGTCAGGAGCATCCCCACTGGCAAGATGTCGGGCAGCCAAGAGACATTTCAGATTCCGCTGCATGGAACTTGACATGGCGTCTAGATTCTTAGCACCCTGTAGGGTACCTCAAGCAGTGGTATCCGAGTGTGCGCAGACGTATGACCTGCGACTGAATAACTGATTGTCAGCTTTAAACGAAAGGGACTTTGCTGATCTATGATAGATGCTGCAGCCCTTTGCGATGCTGAAAAATGTTCAGAAGGGCTACATCGCCTTCATGTGTACCGACGACGCCGATGTCTGGAGCGATCGATATCGGCTGTACAGGGCCCGCTATGCCTATAGCGAGTATTGCCCTGAGTGCTTGGAGGCGCTTGTCCGACTCAGGAGCACATTTGAGGCTCACGTGGGAAGTCCTCACCTGGGAAGACCTGATGCACCACAAGTCGGACACTAGCACGCTGTAGGAGTGGGTTTAGCTTTGGAGACCTCCAGGGCAGTGAAGGCCTAGGACTTATGAACGCAAAGGGCTAGAAGTTGTAACTAGGACTCCTAGATTTGATGTGGCAGTTCTATTGCAAATGACGCTAGGGAAAGAAGAAACTTTACTATACATCACCGCCCATACGCCATTCCGAATCCTTGGCCTCTAAAACAATCGATAGAGCAGGGCTCACTTCCAGCCATCGAGACAGAAGTCGTTTTCTTATATTCTCAAGAACCTAGTCTGGAGATTCTGATGTCGACTGTATCACTATCAACGCACCAAACTCTTCGTCTTCGGCTTCGTCCCGGTCTTCGTCTGAATCAGCGTCGTCATTATTGTCGTCTGATTCCTCAAAATAGTCGTCGTCTGATGTAGTAGGAGTTGTAGTTTCATCGCTATATTTCCAAAACGCCGTAGGACCTGCGGGTCCGTGGGGATCGAAGTCCTTGTCGAACCAGGTGCCTATGACTCCTCTTTCTGAGCGCACGCCACCTACCTGAATGCTCTCACTCCGCCACCGCTCTTCGCCCCTTTAGACATGTCAGCCAGGGTCCTTGCAAGATTTCCAGGCCACTTACGTCGAGAAGATTGATATCGTTGTCCATCGAACTTCGCCTGATGGCGTCATGCTTACAGTACCTGCAAGGACTGTTAGTACATGGATCGCCAAAGTAATCGCGAGGAATCCGACCTCTGATGCGAGAATTGGCATTAGCATCCCACGAAGCATCTATAGCTTGGGACTTGCCCTCGAAGTTCACGTTTGGTAGTTTGCCCTTTACGGTAGGTGGTTCGATACTCGAAACTTTGATTATCATACGGATAAGTCGTGTAGCTTCTCCGGCGTGAAGTGGACTTCGGGGTTGGTCTTCTGGGGGCTCTTGCGAACCGCCGAAGTTGAATGCGAAAAGATCGTTATAGTCTATCCATAGCCGTCAGCAATTATCTGGATAACCTTGGCGATGACTAGATACCTAGAAAACAAACGATCTAAATTGTCAGCTAGAATCTCATTTAGGGTGCACATTTCTGGGTACTCACTCGAATCCAGTTCCCGGATATGGCATATGGATCTTGAGCTTCCAGCGGTATCTCAGGCTCGTATGGTAAAGGAACATACGATGATTGAAGCGTACTTCGTGCCACTCCGGCGAATGGTCGCGCCCAACTCGGTTCTATCTTCCCCGGCGTGGCAACATAAGCTCTGAAGTTCCGCGATAAGATGATTTGAATAGCTTCGACCATCTCCCAGTCAACGTCAAGAGTCCCGTCGTTGAGATACGGCCCCCAGAACGTCTTACTAGTGTAGTTCCGCAAGTCATACACCCGGGATCGGGCGAGTGCTTGCAATGTATGGCCATGTAAGATCTGCTCAGGTGAGCTCGTACCGTGGTAGCAGTGTAGCCGGGCGGTGAGTTGGCGTAGTTCATGCGGCTCAAGGGTATCGACCGAGATTCGGAATAGACCTGCGCGTTCGAACATAGACGATCCTGCTAGGAATGTCGCTTTGTTGTCCGGATTCTTGAACGAGACAGCTAGAAAGGAAAGATTCAAAGAGCTTCCTTCCGAATCATCTGGGTCTTTTGAGGCTGTGTGGAGAAGATCACTCATCACGCTCGTGACGAGTCCGAAATGGGATGTCTAGAGATACTTTCAGAATAGGTCGAGACAACGAGTGACATTAGGTAATTACTTTGGTTTCCACATCATCAGACATGAGGATTTTCTTGCACATGATTATCTTCGGTAGTTCCGTCTCCCATTGCGGCTCAGGCAAGCCTGGAATTCGGCGCGGATCATCCTGCAAGAGGTCAGAACGCTTCCTTCTTAAGCCAATTGAGCGGATGCAACGAACAAAGTTCTTGAGATATAAAGTTCGAAATATCCTCCGATTCTCTTTGATGAAGGCATTGAAACCGTGAGAGCACTTCGAACATGCAGCTAAGTCTTCGGGATTAAGCTCCTCTATGATGCGTATCAGGACATCGTAGCAGAGATCGAGAAGCTCCATGGCAAAGGAAACGCTAGAGGGTGATTGAAAGGAAAAGGAAACTGTGACACAGCGACGCCAGTGGAGGTGTTACCAAAGCGATCTCGGTATCGAGGTCGTTGACGATGAGACGGCAGGGGCGGGGAGGGGAACTCGGAGATAAGACGGTCGCAATTTCACGTGACTATTGCGAGTCATAGCCACTTTAAGAATCAATACAGATTTATGTCTAGAGCTAGTCAAGTTGTTCTAGATGATATTTTCAGCTGTAGTTCATGGGTAAGGTCACTAAGTACAGCAAATCGTCTCTCTTCCATTTGTTCGTAAACTCATAACCCAATTAACCATTTATGTAATCTTCGCCTAGTTAAGAGATTCGTCGCCATGCATTCCTCCAGACGCCAGCCCATGGAATGCCGCGTCGGCTGATCCCATAGCAGGGCTCTCCAACCGCGGACCCTCACTATCAGCATTAGTGTCTACTACTCCTGGTGCTTGCTTCTCGAAGTTGACGAACCCATCGGGCTGCTCCGTTCTCCGCATTGGCAGCATCTCTTGCTCAGAGCCACTTGTCCCGACCCCTTGAGTGCGAATCCGTCCTTCTTCCATCTCCGCGGCCTCCTTCGCCGCCTCAGCCTCCTTGGCCTTGGACGCATCTTGACCCGGATTTGCAGTCTCAAACTCCAGCATCTTAATAAATTTGTAAAAGCCTGCAGCAACGATAGCGCCGAGGATAGGGCCAAGCCAGTAGATCCAGTGATAGTGGTGGAAGGAGTGGTTTACGACGCAAGGGCCGAAAGAACGTGCTGGATTGAGGGAGCCTCCGGTGAAGTACACGCCTGATTGCAGGTAACATCAGAAGATGCTTGACCAGTTAAAAAGGCGTGTGTGTCAATTACTTACCGGTCAACTCTGCAATGAAAAGGCTGAGGCCAATGCCCACAGGCGCAATGAACGTCCCCTTATGCTTTTCGGCCGCAAGCATGAAGATGGTGAAAACAAGCTCCGCAGTCAAGAACATCTCGATGAATAGACCTTGCACTACAGTGGTGCTACCTCCGAGGGATGTCTGGACTGTCAAAGGGCCGGGAAACATGCAAGCTACTAGTGCAGCTGCCGTAATGCCACCGAGGACCTGAACGAACGCGAGAAGAACACCGCGAAACCATGGAAGGGCACCAATCAAGCACATTCCGAAGGTGACCTATGGGGTGTCAATTTGCTAGCAGAAGATCATCTGGATAGCCGGGACCTTACAGCTGGATTGAACAGTCCGCCACTAATGCGAAAGAAGACCCATGCATTTACTGCTAGGGAGAACCCAAAGGAAAGGGCGATGTATTGCAATTGTTGCGGGTTCGATTCAACCTGTGCCGCCGTCTTGCCCGTTGATGATGATGGAATGTTGTTCGCGACTTGGGTTCCAGAGAGCGCAAAGTATAGGAATAGTACTGTGCCAACGTACTCACCGCACATAGCGATGAAATGGTTTCGGAAGCCGTGAGGTACATACTTCAACAGGGGCAGATGCAATGCTTCTAGGTGATGTTCAGCAAGGGGGTCCGCAGCCTTCGTGAAAGGAAGCGCGAGGGCTAGGATAGACGTAATTAGTGGAGCCTCAGACAACGTAGAGATGACTTCGAGCAGCTACCTGCGGATTGCACGGGTTCCTTAGAAGAATCAGCATGATGTTACCAATGCTTCTTTGGCACGCTTACGTTGATATTCATGGCAAAGATGATTTAGTAGGTAGACTGGGTCTAGTAACACTACTACGTGACGAAAGAAGAAAAAGGGAAGGGCAACTATTAAACAGTTTCCTGGTACTCGGGGCTGTCAGTGACAAATATAGTATAGAACGCCCCACGTCACTTTTACAGGCCAGCGACGATAGCTGTAACGTCGTTCACCCAGAAGCGAGAAACACCGAGAAGCGAGAATTGGTGAGGATTTGAGGGGCCGAGCGGCTAGTCGAAACTTTTCCCAGCGTGACTAAATCTGCTCGCGAAACACTCGTTAATGGGTAATTCTCGCTTCTGGGTGAAGGACCAAGGGACGTTAAGCGACAACCTCTGATCGAACTCCCCAGTTTCGTTAACGTCGTTCACCCAGAAGCGAGAATCACCCATTACCGAGAATGGGTGAGGATTTGAGGGGCCGAGGGCTAGTCCACTCCACCAATTCTCGTTAATGGGTGATTCTCGCTTCTGGGTGAACGACGTTATTCATTCCAAGATCAAACCCTACTACAAGGACGTAAGCCGCGGACAACAACAAACGTCCTGCCGTGCCGGAATTTAGTCAAGGTCGTCACCGTGCGTTAGGAAGTTTCGAGGCAGTCTTAGGCCGGTCTACGAAGACTCCTAGGACAAGTATAATTGGCGCTGAGCCACAACGCTTGTGATCTTCGTAACGGCGGAGGAGGGAAATTCGCAGGTGTCGCCGCCATCTGGCCGTAGCTCGAGCACCATGGCTGGATTAGGAGCCCCGACCAAGATGGTGACGATTCGGGCTTCGTCAGGCGGCGAAGTAGCCTTAATTGAGCGAAGTCGTATAATTAAAAGCTAAAGGGCCAGCCACAGTGACGTAGAGAAAATGAGAGACCAATCGTGAATAACGGACCCTATCTGGCGCGAACGCACTAGCTCCCGTCGTAGAATGAATACGCAAGCCCTCGGTACTTGGCCCGAATTGCCATTGATAAAGCAAATAGGGTCCAGGCCTCGACCGTCGTGCCTTCGCACGTACATACATGTACGGGGAAGGTTATGTCAAAACTGACGACTTACTATTAGTTGGCCCGAGTGTCCCGATTTTGAAGCATTGCGCGAGCGAATTCGCTTGTAACATTCACTAGTAGTCGCATGGTACTCATCCTCGGCTTCCTGCTCTTTACTATTGGGAGACGCAAGACAATCTCTTAGCGTTTGGGCGATGACCTTGTGTTCGGAGCACAGTATGTTCGCAAAATGTGTTCTTTGGGGGCGTGGCATAACAAGAATGTAGCCGCTTTGCACGTTGCTCAGAATCTTGAACGGTTGCAGCACCTACTCTCGATTAATACAGACAAATCTTGGGTGTATATACATACCAGCTCAAGGTCAGAACGCGATTCGTGGACGTTGTGGTAGAGTCCACGGCTGACAACAAGCTACGTATTTAGGTCAGTCGAGGCCCCACGACGGATCATCTAGAGTTCTTACATTGCGGCGCTTGGCATCCTCGCTACCAGGATCGATTCCCTGCCTTCGTAGTATCCAAGCACTTGCTGACTCAAGTTCCTCTTGGACTTCGAAGAACGGTCCTCGAGCGTCAATGATTAGCTCTTGGATGACCGGGGCTTTCTGGAGTCGCTTGCAAAGGTCATAGACGCGCTCCCTCAGTGAAATGATTCGGTTCGGATAGATTTTGTCCTGATCGGTATTTGCTGGGGAAATGACGATATGAACTCGACGTGACATTTCGAATGGATAATCTTCTAGAAAAGCTTGCCATCTTTCAAGGTCAGTCATCTTACTATAGAAGATAGATCACTTTTAAATTGTGCCATGTAACAATAACTCGGCAGCGAACAATTCTGCATCCACCTACCCTCTGAATGGACCTCTGTACCTGTAATCCGCAATGGTTGTAGCGTAATGTGCGACCAGGATTGTCTGCTGAGTGTCGTGAAACAGGCAGTCCTGAACCTCTCTTCGAATCTGGCGATTGGTGCCAGCAATTCCAAGGCCATTCCAGGCGAGACCGAATTCGTTCAGCGTCACAATCCCATCTGTGGCTGCTCGGTGGGCGCGACGGGGCCAATTAGTGCAGGCGCGAACAAACTCATCTTGCTGTGAAGGCTCCGACAACGCTATCGCACCGAACTGCTCGTATTCAGGAGTACAAGGCTCGGTAGTTACGGGGCAATTCCACGACCATACTGGAAGGCCTGGTTCATGTGGGAATTCTGTGACATGATCCAAGGCTCGCCTTTGTAGTCCGTCCCTGCGAACAGCGCCCCAAGGGTACATGAAGCTGAAGATCCGTCGCCGGAGCTCTGTTGGAAGTCTTAGAAATGGCGGAACTGCTGCTGTGTCGTCAGACGCGTCGTCTGAAACCGACTTGACGGTCATTCTTGCGACCTGAGAGCCAAGTTGAATGGTGAAATCCATAGTACTAGTAGTATTCACGTGGTGTAACCGACTACCTAGGTGGAGTCTCCGGGAGAAGTGAGCAGACAAAACTTATCAAAGGAGGTTGGTGTCAGTGACTCCGTGAGATGAGGCTTAGGAGCTTCTGCGTTGCCTAAACCGCGGAGGAAAATGAGGCTAAGAGGGAGGGTCAGTCAGCACGCATATTCTGTCTATTCAGGCGGCTGAGAGCGCTTATAGAGCTCGAGATTGTGATACCGGATACCTAAGATGGAGAACTGGGTAGAGGATAGATGCCGGATTACCGAAGACGGGGTGGTGTCACGGTCTTGGGTGCGACAGGCGGGTAAGGCTGAACTATTTAGGTAAGGCTTGCAAACACCTCCCGACCCAGTCTATCTCCGCAGACCTCCACCTTTCAACCATCTCGTTGCCATCTAGGCTCAATCCTTTACGCCCCTAGTCATCAATGGCTGCCTTTCAGACAGCGTGCGTGTTCACTGCTGGGCGATTCTTGGCCCTCAACGTGGTCGTCTTTTGACCCCTAACACCTACTAATCGCAACGAGATTGCTGGCTGTTATTAATACTGTGTAGCTTCTCCCGACGCCATATCCGTCTCATCAAAACCCTCGGACAAGCATTAATTACTTTGAACTCTCTTAGTTACAATTGTCAAACCAAAAAAAACAACAAGCCCGGTCGGCTCCAAGCACGCTCCCATCTTTGACAGACAACTACCTCCCTAGCATCCAAACATGCGACAAGAACTTGCAGCAACTAGGCACTAGGAGTGTTTGGTAACTCTCATGACGGGCAATACAATGGACAACGGATACTGCTCAGAATGCTTGGACGCGTTGTGAGGGATTTGGGAGGAAAAGCGAAAGCTCTTGAGCTTCTACGACACGGGGTCATAAGTTTGAGCACTCGGATATAACACTACCAGGGCTCACTCCTGCTCGCTCAATACCACTGTGGAGGAGTTATCCCGCTATTTGGTAGCCGCTTAGCCAAGACGCTGTCTAAGTTCCAGTGCATCAATCTTTACATCCTCATCACGGTTATTCCATTGCACAGGCGTTGCTCTTGCTCGCTCGACACTGCTGTAAGGGGTAGCTTAACTATCAGGTAACCGGTAGGCCAAGAGGCTGCCCAATTGCTACTGCATCGTCATTTGATCCGTACTCAGAGTTTCAAACGCCCGAAGAGGTATTCCAGGCAGTGGTAAACGAATGAGCTCAGGTTCTTGGCACGACATTGTGCTTATGCGTGAGGCGGTAGGGTAGGCCTTTTGAATGCAGTGGAAAACCTGTCGGATGGACACACGCTCGCTTTCCATTTTCTAGGCTCGTATCAATGTTTGTGGTGGAATCCTGAATGCATACGAGTCCACTCTTGGCGCTGACATCTAGGCCTCACCAGGTATACATATGTCTGACAGCTAGACGTCGCCCATTTCCTTCTGCTCTGACTCCCGCTCCATTATCCAGAACAGCTACCCAGACTCAAGCCTTGTTTTTCAGTATCTAAGTGTTTAGCCTTATAACTCCCTGGACTTGTAGCTCTCTAGCCTCGGGGCACACCATAGACCACACACTACTACCAGCCACTACGGTTATCCGTTTCCAGACACCAGCGAAGGCCAATGCAGAGTAGGTACGCAACATGAAGAACCTATCTGCGTAATGGGCTTATGCAGGCTGACATATGGCCCGCGCCCACGAAATTGGGGGCCAGTGGATTATTTCAGGAATCTGACTGCATGAGTGCAGGAGAGGGAATGGGGAAGCGAGGAGAGCGTCGAAGTCCCTTCTAAGACCAGTTTCTCAAGTTTTTCCCGAGAAAAGGAAGGTGGAAGAAAAGCATGCCTCTAAGCGACAACAAGTATCACAAGGCTATGAAATCGGAAAAAGACGGGCACGAGGGATCGTCACTTGAACTTTTGCTACAGTCTGTTCGCAGGTCTCGGTGGAAGCGGAGCTGAAAGTCTACTATGAAGGCCGCGGGCGAGGTTGGAGCGACCCTTCTACTGTGTGTGTTGATGCCTGGTTGCTGCTGGATCATCTGTCGGGACTAGTTTAAAAACAATGTGCTGTAGGGGTTGTAATGGATAAGGTTCATATCGATTTATAGGGTTGGAAGCAGTACCCATGAAAGAGCAGGACACCGCGAGTGCGTGATCGAACGCTACTTCGTTTGATCCCACATCGACAAACTCAGCGCTAAAGATCTCAACCCCACCGATCTCCGACCTTTCGAAAGAGAGAACCCCTATCGAACGCAACCTTCAACCCTTCACATCATAACGAATCCGAAAAGGACAAAACCAACCATGATCCATCGCAGAGACCACGCCGAAACACCCCTCCCAACCCTCACCCTCATCCATTCCCACCGCCTAACCACTCCCCCCCTTCCTAACCCCCTCCCACCACACCCCCGCCCGCCTCGCCGTCCTCTCCCCCGCCCCCTCAAACCCATTAAGCTTCCCCACCAGAAAACAATCATGCGGCGCCGCCTCCTCGATATCCAGCACGACCCTATTCCCCGCCACAGCCCCCATCTCATCCGCAAACCTCTTGATATCAAAATACAGCACCTCCACCTCGCCCGCATTCACCCACACCGGCACCGGCGTCGCGAACGGCGCCCTCAGCGCATCAATGTACGGGTCCGAGAGCAGCGCGAGCCCCCCGAGCCCACTATACGCCGCAATGCCCCAATTCACGAACGAGACGGGGAGGTAGTCGACGTGGAAATGCGCGTTCGCGACGACCGACGCCTCGTCGGAGCGCAGCGGGCTGATCCATGGCGAGAAGAGCCAGCACGCGGCCGGGTTCGGGATGCTGAGCTGCGCGCCGTGCTCAGCGAGGTACCGCGTCAGCGCGATGGCGAGGTTGCCGCCCGCCGAGTCGCCCGAGACGATGATGTTCGCGGCTGGGACACGCAGCGCGTGCACGAGGTGCAGGTAGGCGGTGACGACGTCCTGCAGCGCGGCGGGGAAGGGGTTCGAGGTCGCCGAGGCCGGGAGCGTCGAGAGGCGGTACTGCGGCTTGAGGATGTGGGTGGCGCCGGTGTGCTGGAGGAGGAGGTTTGCGGCGAAGCCGCTTGCTTCGGTGCGGCCGTCGCCGATGACGAAGGCGCCGCCGTGCATGTGCAGGACGATGATTGCGGTGCTGAAGTCGGCGGTTTGGGAGGGGGGCGTTGGGTACCATGTTGCGCCGATGGTTGCGGGCTTGACGGCGTCGTTAGAGGCGAGGGGGCCAGCGTAGTAGGACGCTTGAGCGGGGGCGATGGTGATGAATCTGTCTTTCTCTTTGCCGGGGTTCAGGGTCAGCGCGCCGTCCATTTGGATGACGGTGCTGTGGTGGAGGACTGCGTTTAGGAGGCGCCCGCCAAAGGCTTGTTTGAAGGTCCAGGTGGGATGTTGGCGGCCGCGTTGGAAGATGTACTTTAGAATCCAGATGGGCATTTGGGCTAGAGTGGCTCCCATTGCGAAGAGCACGTAGATGCCCTTGAAGGGCTGTTTACTGAGGATCGTCATGACTGTGGAGAAGGGTGAAATGCGGGGAGAGGGGGGAAATGGGACTTGAATAAGTCAGAGGCAAGGAATACCATCGTTGGGGGCTGGATGTCTTTATACCATTTGATGGCTGACATTTCGTTGCACAAGGGAACTTGTCCTGTCGGGCAACAGTCCAAATAGGGTCTCCTAAAATGGTGTGGGGTCCATAAGCCGAGGTGGAATCTGGGTAACTCCACCCACTCCGCAGCTGGCTCGGGGCTGGATCAAGGATGTCAAGTCGTAAGCGTGAACGTTATTTGCACCTTTGGACGTATTGCTTCTAGCTCTTATTACCAAGGCCGCGCAAGAATTTAACCTGTTTAGAGATTCGAGGATCCCTTCCCTCGATTTGTCAGATCTCTTAGGGCTAAGAAGTATTACATGCAAACTCGACCATTCTCTCAACCGTCTCGATTGCCCTCAGAACACGAGCATCTGTAGTTAGGGAACGTAATCCTTGCTAGCGATTTGGAGCCTATGGGTCCCTATAGAATGCTAGACATATGAAAGAGGTGATATTTGAAGACCAACGAGCTATGCATGTACTAACAAGAAGCGGACTCGGCCAATTAAGTCAGAGTAAGCACCATCGATTCAGTCAGCTAAGTGAATTTGAACCTACCTATTGGTAACAATTTTGGAAAAGAGCCTAAACATAATTGAACTAGTCTTGCTCGATTAACATTACAACTTTTCTATTAGGTGCAAGTCCTAGACACGGTGAACTACAAAGCGTTCATAGATTTAGAAAGCTGACAAAGTTGGTACAAGACGCCGACATCAGGCCTACTTGAAATATCGGTTTTGGAACCTCGGAGCATGCTGATTAGTTGCTCAGCAGTCTAGTGAAAAGAAGTCAATCCGATGAATCAAACGAATTGGTGCCAACTGAGATACAAGATATCCTTAAATTATAATACTGTGTCATCCTCAATTTTCTTATCTCTCCACCAACAGGCCCAAGCTTCAAGTGCTTTCGGGTAGAATGTTTCGCTACTTGATCATACACCCCACCAGCGCAGCAATGGTATATAACGAGTCCTACACTGCCACGATAGGACGTCAATGTTTGACATCCGGAACCAGCCCACATGAAACACCGTTCGCCGCCCCAATCAATTTTGGGAACATGAAAGATTGATTTTCCAAATTTCGACCGAATGCAAAGATACAATGGTGGGTATTGAAGGGGTGGATAATCCAACACGAAGCATGAAATGTGTGGAAAAAGGAAAGCCCAAGGCACTGACTGGTAATCAGCGCCTCGAGTCTGAATGGACCATACATTAGTCATGGCAAGCCATCCAAAGGCCAGACCAATATGGTCACTTGGCCTGTTCAACTTGCTACTAGCGATTCAAGCCCATTCCCAGACTCATGCCTCCGCCCAAGAAAGCGTCAGCAGAATTCTCGATACCTTCCATAGGCATCATCCCACTCGAGTTAGCAGCGTGATCCGGCTTCTGGTTGTTCATGCCCATCGCTTGCGAAGAACGCCTATTTTTCATTTGCATGTGCTGCGCCTGTGGGTTTTGTGCCATGCGCTGTTGCGGCTGCGGACGTTGCTGGCTGCGGTTTTGATTCATATGCTGTCTCGCCCATGCTTGCTGGGCCTGTTGAGCCTGGGCTTGCGCTTGCGCGTGAGCTTGTGCTTGTGCTTGAGCTTGTGCCTGGTATTGCTGCTGCCGATGGTCTGCTAGAGAAACCTCCTCCGGTGCCTCTTCGGCGTCGCCGTCAGCGTCCTCGTCCTCTCCTTCGCCATCCATCTGGTCGCCTGCATCATCATCCGCACTCCCGTTGATGGTTGGAGGCGCCGAATAAACCTGTGCTGGGGTTCTCCCGTTTTGGGACAGCGAATTAGAATTAGTGTTGGCCCCTGTTCCGTTGGCAGTTGGATAGATAGGTACTGGCACGCCAGGATCGTCCATGGTGTAGTTTCGAGATCCCAACCCAATCGACTGAGGCGACGCTACAGAAAGAGACCTCTGTGCTGCCATTCCGTTGGCGGCCTTCTTATTCTCACGAACCACTGCTTTCCATTTCTCCACGAGGTGATCGTAGTCCCAGTTTCTTAGATCCGTGCTTCGGGTTGTGAACTGCTTGAGCATGTCTGTACCGAGGTGGAGAGTGGCTGGAGGAGTATTTCCGGGAAATTGAGGATACTGTGGTGTGTTTCCAGATGACCATTGTGCGGCCTTGAGTTGCTCGATTTCCCGCCGCGCAGCTTCCAGCTCTCCCTGTGAAATTTTCAGCGCGTCGTTAGACCGATGGTACGACCGCAAGATCTCCAGTTGCCACGACTCCTGCTGCTGTTCGCGCGACAACGTCTGCCAGTGATTCCACGCCTCGGTTAGATGATCTGACAGTTTTCTCCATTTCTCGTCGAATAAGTCCAGTGTAGGCATAGGAGATTGGGCCATTGGCGATAGAATAGAAGATGATCGGGACGCGCTGCTTTGGATTGGAAGGCGCACCCTGTAGTATGTGTGACATGTGTCCCTAGCCAGCTTAACTAGGGCTTCGAATTGCTTTCGCCCGGGCGGGTTTATTGACCAAGAGTCGGGGCTTGGAAATGGTGATGGCGAAAAGAGGGTAGATGGTGGGGAGAGTATGCGGAGACACAGGCCGGGGAATCCTATGCTGAAGGGGTCAAAATCGAAGGGGCCTGATGTGGAAATTCGTGCACTACAACCACGCGTCGAGGTCAGCAATTAGTTTCGTGTGGTATGGAGAGTTCAAGGTCTTACCTAGCCTCCTTGAAGCTTCCCAGCACCTCCTTCAATGCCAACTCAGCGGCCTTTCCCGTTTCCCATTCATCTGAGGCCTTATGCCGCTGTTCCATCTCAACCTTCTTCGAAACGTGCCGTGATATGTCTCGTCGCGCCTCTGGGACCGGGGCAGGACTCGGGCGTGGCGGCAGGTTGTTGATGACGCCAGTAGCATGCCAATGCAGCTCGTTCAGCGTGGTGCGCACCCTGCTGGGCTGCAGCGGGTCGTCATCCACGCCTGGTGAGTGTACGACGACGGGCGACTCGTCGCCGGTGAACGAGGGGCGCGTCGCCGAGCCGGGGGCCGATGTTTCTTGCTTGACTGAGGAAGTTCGCGCCTGGCGACGTGTGATGCCGCCGCGCAGCTTGCGGATCTCGTCGACATTGTGCACGCCATCGGGGGCCTTGGGGTTCTTGGGCTTGATGTAGAGGTCGAGGTGGCGGCCGAGCGAGGAGGAAGTAAAGGCCTGCTGGCAGAAGGGGCAGTTCTTGTCCTTGGGGGCAGCCAGCTTGGGATTGGCGGCGGTGTTTGACTCGGAGGCAGATCGAGGGGTAGCAGCTTGCGACGAGGGCTCCATGGTGGTGTCCATGGCCAGAGGAAGCTGCGGCACAGATGAAACAGGTGACAAGGCTGGTGGAGGCGGGCAGCTTCACGAGCAGAGGCCCGGCAGTCAGAGCATGGCTGTGTATGGGGTCTGCGAAAGGAGAGCTGTCTGCATGCAAAAGAATGGCATCCCTGGGCGCAATCGAGCCCCCCTGATCCCCTACAGCATCGACGCACGGCTAATCCTGCGATAAATGCTTAGGTAGAGGCGCCAGTGCTCAACATATGACACAGACGCTGTGGTACAAGGCTGCATTTGTACCCATATATTTGGGTGATGCACTGTTCTCCAGCCAGCACATTGAGTCCCGCAATCATAACCAGCGACAGCGAGTCTAAGGCTCTTCTCACGGGATGCATAATGTCTTCATTATATAGGGGTCAATATCAGATTCCGGTTATGGAATAGTGCAGAGTACATAGTTCTATTCTAGGTACCTTTTCTCCTGCAGACATCCGCCGGCCATCGTCAACAAACACGTCTCCCACGCTCATACCGCCTCGCTGGCACGCTTCTTGGTTAGCCGTGCTGCAGCTCTAGCTGCGATGTCCTCGTACTGCTGCATACCCCCATCCAGCTTTTTCAGCTGCCCCTTGACGAGCCGATAGACGACTCCCACGCGGGACCCTGCCTCGTCTTCCGACTCCGATCCCTCGCCAGAGTCTTCGTCTGCGCGAATTCCAGGTGCCAGTTTGAAAGGACTCTCGCCCTCGACCACACATCGCATGAAGAATCGATCGTGGGTGATGACCAGTACCGCGCCCTCATAGTCCCGTAGCGCAACCACCAGTCCAAGGATCGTGTCGGCGTCCAGATGCGTCGTGACTTCGTCCAGAATGAGCAGATGAGGCGCAGACCAGAGCAGCTTTGCTAGTGCCAAACGGACCTTTTGCCCACCAGAGAGCAATGCGATTGGGACATCAGAAGCTGTTTGCCCTTGCAATCCCAAACCACCCAACGCAGCCCGAGCATCTTTCTCCAGGATATCTCCTCCCACACTCTCCATGAGATGTGAGAGAGCCGTCATGGCTGGCTTCTCTGCTGCCAAGGCGTCCAGCTCCTCTACAGCTTGTTGAGAGAAGCGTCCGAATCTTGCGCGAGAGTGCCGCGTTATGGTGCCCTTGGTGGGTGTGAGAGCCGCTGCCCCTTCCTCGCCACTACCAACGATGAGGGAGACCAACGTAGTCTTCCCCGAGCCGTTGAGTCCAGCAAGTCCTACTCTCTCGCCAGGATGGATAGTCAGATCAATGTCCGTTAGCACTGGAGCCACTGGAACCTTCTTCCGTCCTGGGTATGAGAACGACACTTTCTCGAGCGATACCAGAACCCCAGGAAACCGCAAATCGGGTGGTGTTGCAACTAGGGATATCTTGACCGGAGGGTCGAAATCTGGCACTTCAATTTCCCCACGCGCGGAAGTGTGGTAGCCGCCGCGGTCGCGATTGAGTTTGAAGCGTGTACCTTTGGCGCTGACCTCCATGCCGGTTCGTTCGTCCAGCTTCTTTTGCCGCGATGCCGCCTGCTTCATTCTCTTATCGTCTCCCGTCTTCTTTGCCGCTTTCACATTCTCCGTGATACTCTGTTGTGTGCTTTTCTTCTGCCGATCAATAGCTTCTTTCATTTTCGTCAGGTATCTTGCCTTCTTATGCCGCTCCTTCTCGTAATAAGAGAGGTGTCCTCGGAATCGCTCTAGAGTCAGGTTCCGGAGAACGAGCAGCTCTTCGGCAGCCGCGTCGGCAAAGTCTCGATCGTGAGTAACAACGACAACCGTGGTATGCTCCAGTGTGCGTACGTAGTCCTGGAGCCAGATGATAGAGGGCAAGTCTAAGAAGTTGGTGGGCTCATCAAGAAGCAGAATATCGGCGTATTGGCACAATGCGCATGCCAGATCACAGCGCGTTTTCCAGCCACCGGATAGTTGAGAGAATGGGTTGCTAATTCTCTCCGAAGAGAAGCCCAATCCCAGTAGTACGGTCTTAGCTTTCGATTCCGCTTCCGAAGCGTCCATCTGCCAACTTTAGTGACTAGCTATATGTGTTTGCACACACCCACTTACGAGCTCGAGAGAGGAGTGGATCCCTGCAAGCATGTCCGCAGCTGCTTGAGTTTCCTCGCTCATCTTCGTAGGATCAATGTCGGCATCTTCCTCGTCCAGCCTTTCTTATTAGTATTCGACAACCAAGAACACTGCTTCAGACACTTACTGAGCTTGCGACTGCGCCAGCTTGTCTTCCAACTCAAGGAGGGCCTTTTTGGCCTTCGCACCACGAGCGCCGCTTCGTCGAGCAGAAATCTGCCGAGCCTCATCCACTTTCTTTGAAAGGCGCTCATAAGTGATCTTCCGATACGCTCGTACAGAGGCCAAAGAATCGCTCGTATGCTCTACCGCAGCAGAAAGTGCTGGGATATTGAATTAGCTAAAGCTTTTCCACTGGCCAATCAAGCGGACTGACTTCGAGACTCGCGAAGGAGCTGCTCTCGCTCTCGATTGCTGCGAATGACATGTTCTAGCACAGTCTCACTCTCGAGTTTGAGATTCTCCAATTCTCCGTCCAGAGTAGAACGCGTTTGACCGAGGAGAAGAATGCGAAAGCTCCATGGAATTCCGGGGACTTGGCCTTCAGCAATGGCTTTCAGCAACGCTTGAGTTTTGTCAGCGACCTCCTATTTCTTCACCAAGAGCGGGATAGACCAACTTGACTTCCCAGTGCCATTCCGGCCCACTAGGACATAATGCTTGCCCTCTTGCAAATGCAACTCCGCATGCGAGAGAAGTTCACGTTGGGAGACGCTGATGCTGAGGTCTTTCACTAGAATCTACCCGATTGAGGTATAGTCAGCATTGAACATTAGATCTACGAACCACGGAGCTTACCTCTTTCGACGTCGGCGCATCAACAGCGTCATTGTGAAAGCGACTCTGTTGTGCCGTCACATTCAAGACCTGTGAAGCTGATCCGGACTCCGCGGCTGCCGGCTCTTTTCCTTTCCTGACCATCACGAAAACAAGACTCCGACTGCTTTACATCGAGAAATATGTTTTCGGGCCTCGACTGAAACGAGAATGAGAGAGCTTTAAGGCTCTTAGGTGTTCGAACATGCCGGCTTGGCGTGCAGCTAGACCCGCGGGGTAGACCCTTAAATGCAGGGTGGTGAGTCAACCTCGAATTCACAGAAGAAATAGCTCACACCTGAAATGCAACGTTTCGAGGTGCATGCGTGGTATTGGATACGAATTGAGACGCGATTGCCAGCAGAGATGATGTGACTCAGGCTTGTAACAAAGCAAAGTCTGCGGATGACTCCTCAGTTGCATGCCGTGCGAGTAAGCTACTATTCTGGATCGAAATATGAGTCTAGCCATTCAATTTTAATTTCAGTCATTGCGGTAATTCATCTCCACCAGTCAGCTGTTTGCTCCAAGTTGCAATTCAGAGGAGCACCTGATCTAGGTCACGTGGGGCATCGAGTATGTGATTCTAAAACCCGGAAACATACATGAGCTGCTGTGCCCTATACACAAGAGGGTACTCAGAAGGTACATAAATCCGCTTGGCCTGGCTGTTTTCGTTGCTCACAATACGGTGTTGCGAGAACTGGCGAGCGATTGGTCATGAGAAGGATGTCTAGGATCTAATACAACCTAGCTACGAGACGAGTTCACGCAAGATCTGCGTGTTGATTTCTGTAACGCGTACGACTTCATTTAGACCGCGGCCGAATTCAATTCTCTCGAGGTAGAGCTGATATACTCAGCAATTGCCAGCATCTTCTCTTCCTCAAGTCTTCGCCCAACGAGCTGGAGAGACACATGTGCGCCGTCGTATACTGCAGGATCGTCTAGACAAAGTCAGCATACCATTCGTGTAGATCAGTTACTCCCTAAAGCCAACTCACAGCTCTCATAACACGCCTTGTCTATCTTACTCGCCGGCTCAAAGCTCTCATCAAGCTTATCGACCTCCTTATCAACCGTAGTGACCGGCACAACCACCGCAGTATAGTCCAGTAGATTGACGAACGTAGTGTATCCGTAATAGTGATACTTTTCGGGTCGTGCTGCGGGGAACGGGGCCGCAGGGCATATCACGGCATCAACGGGTCTTCCTGTGCCTGTGAGCTCTTTGGTGCTGTTCCAGTATTCCATGTACTCTTTTCGTAACTCTCGGATAGTGACGTTGACGGCGGCGATTTCTGAGGCTTTGAATTGCTCGATGGCCTTGTCGCCGTATAACGCGATCTGGGGTATGGGAGGCTCTCCGGAAAGACCCAAGGCGCCATGGATATCCTCACCACCATCAAATGCCCAGGTTTTGAACTATCGGAAGTTAGTCCTTTATTTGCTTGTGTACAGAGAGTGACTTACCCCGACATCGACAATCCTTTGGTGTGAAGGAGGTTTCCATTCGATGACCTTCGGTCGATAACGTTAGTCGTGCAGTTCCGATGAGTTTCTTGAGGACTTTACCTCATGTCCTAAGTCTACCATGGACTTCTTAACTATCTCCAACGCCCTACGAATAGGAGGGGTAGGAGCGACCACTCCATCATGCTCCAGTAACCCAAACGCCAGTTTCCCAACTTTCGAGGCATCTCCAATCGCGCCAGTCAATTCAAGTATCTTCCTTTGCTGCTCGTACCGCCAGGGGATCTCATGAACTAGGGGATCATGGAGCCACGGTTCCTGGCTCAGCAGGCTCTTCATCAAAAGTCGCAAAGATGCTACACTCGTTGCTAGGGGTCCGACTACCGATAGAATAGAGTTCTGTCCGTCCATGGAATTCGCCATACCCTCGTAGGGCATTCGTCCAGTGGAGGGTCTGATACCATACAGACCGCAAAAGGCAGCCGGAATGCGAATCGAGCCGCCGATATCTGTGCCAAAGCCGACCGGTGAGCCCTTCAGCCCGATTAGAGCCCCTTCTCCGCCTGAGCTTCCTCCACAAGAGAGATTTCTATTCTTCGGATTCGTAGTGTAGCCAATGATGGCATTGGCAGTTTCTCCGGACATCAGAGAGTGCGGAACACTCGTTTTGCAGTATAGCACAGCACCCAAGTCTCGCAGCTCCCGCACCATTTCGCTCTCGACGAACTTCTCTTTGCCGGTTCCTGTCTTGCCTTGGAAGGTGCCTATCCAACCCACATATCCCATCGTCGTCTCGACACCTTTGACGTGGAATTGATCTTTCAGACTAACCGGTAAGCCATGGAGGGGACCGATGGGCGTCTTGTGCTCGGCGAAGTAGTCATCTAGCTTCTGCGCATCCTGAATCGCGGCATCGAAGAAGATTTCATGGAGGCAGTTTACCTGACTTTATTAGCGGACGGTTTGGAGGTGAGGACTCGGGATTTGAGTACGAGCTGGTGAGCAATCGCTGCTCGGTGGCAGAAGGCCTTCGTGACCTCGACTGCGCTCCAGATTCCGCGAACTGTCCGCTTGACTATGTCGTCCGCTGTCGTTTCTGTGATCTCGATTTCTCGGTCTGTAAGGAATTGTTGGATGTATTTCCCAGTGACATCGCGTTGTTCTTCCACGCTGGGGATCTTTTCGAGGAGGTGCTCTTTTGGAATTAGGGCATTGACAGAGTCCCGCTTTGCTTGGGCACGCTGTTTCCAGTCTGTGGCCATGGCTGTGGTAATATATTGAAATCTATCCGCAAGAGTGGGGTAGTTGCATTGGTGAGTCTAAGTCGAGCTTATCGAGACTTGGCAGGTTAGAATAATAGAGAAGGTCGGTATGAATGGTTTGCTCAGGAAGCAACGTTAGAACACTTTGTATCCAGCACTTAGAAGTCTCTCCTCGACTTGTCCGTAAAGAATGTCAATATACTGACACCTGCGGGGCAATGAAGCTGTCTTTGACCTTGGGTCCGTGCTATCGACGGCGATAAAAGCTACTTTCCTAAAGGGTTGTAGTGTCCAGTTCCGTCGGCAGTTCTGTCCCGACTGTCGTCGTTACGTTCCTCTCGTGAAGAATTTCATCACACGGCCGTCGGACATTCTCTGCACCTCAGCGTACATCTTGTCGTAGCGCAGATAGGCTATGCGAGTAAGGTTTTGCTGTCTTGATGCGTTTTGTTGCCGTTCCCGCCCGCGGTATCGACTGATTCGCTGACAATTCGATCTACAACGCGAAGCTCTTCGCATCCACAGGTCACCAATTGGTGTGGGAGACCTTCAAACCCACTCCTCTTGTAGGAGTACTCTCAACACCATTAACCAATCTTGCGCACTAGTCGAAGTCTGAAGGGTTTGCAAGTTGCACACGGCTTATTTCTCAATCATGTCTTAGGCGTTAGTAATAAAATGAGGAAGCCCCTCCCTCTAGTCTGTTTGAATAGGACAGCCGTACGTTGTTTTCTTGCTTCTGCGGCATGACGAGTCACTTCACGGGTCTCAGGAGAGGAGACTTGCAGGGGCCAGGAAAGTCCGAGGCCTTCAGAGCGTCGAAAGAAGATCTTATTTCATCTCATACTGAAACTTACGCATATCGTGCTCAAAAATCAATGGCTATTCACCTTCCTAAAGCGTCGATTCATATTACATCTTGTCTTAAACATACCTTATCGTGACCCCAGAAGCTACCAATAAGCCATAACGAAGATCCCCGCAAACCCCTCAGCGCCACCTACAATGCAAGATGCATATTCAAGGTCTTCTAAGCGTGAGCCGCGCAAAGACGAACCCAAAAGCGTCATTGATATTAAAACCCACCATTCAGACATCACACAACGTCCCGCGGCACCAGGGATACCAGAAAAAGCCTGTTGATACGGCAGATGAGGATGGAAGGGAAGGGTACCCTAAGAGGAGAGACTTAAAGGTCCAATTTCAGCACTCTCAAAATCTATCTTAGTCAAGTTGCTCGACATCCTCTTCTTGACAATGGCATCTATCTTTTTTGCAATTGCTGCGTACACGTTACTATACAGTGCACTGTCAACGTTATTGACATCTTCTGCTCGAGCGCTTCCAGCGTATGGATGCGCAAACGAGACCACCATCAATGGAGTCATATTTCCAGCTTTGATTGAGGCGACCACAGAAGACCTCGTCGTAGGTCTCGAGTCGAAACTCTTCACGAGTGTCGACCTCGTCAATGTATGCCACATCCCAAGTATAGCAAGCATACGTACTAATAGAAATAGGCCTACATAGCGAGAATCCACGAAATGAACTCAACCTTGCACATGGTTACCGAAATCAATCCCGACGCGCTCAGTATCGCCGCAGCACTCGATGCAGAGCGATCCAATGGCACGAAGAGAGGGTACGATGCTTTCATGATAGCAAAGTGAGAAAGAGACTAACTCAAATTGTAGCCCCCTTCACGGAATCCCCATTCTAATCAAAAACAATATCGCCACCTCAGACAAGATGAACAACACGGCCGGCTCCTACGCTCTCCTCGGAGCAAAAGTACCACGCGACTCTACTATAGCAGCCAAGCTGCGCAAAGCCGGTGCCGTCATCCTAGGGAAAACCAATCTCAGCCAGTGGGCCAATTTCAGGAGTAGCAACACGTCCAATGGATGGTCTGCACAAGGTGGACAGACCTACGCCGCCTACTACCCAGGTCAAGATCCATCGGGCTCATCTTCAGGCTCCGGCGTATCATCTTCCCTTGGTCTTGCGCTCGCCGCCCTGGGGACCGAGACAGATGGCTCAATCGTCAGCCCGTCGGAGAACAACAACTTGGTAGGCATCAAGCCTACCGTAGGCCTGACCTCCAGATCGCTAGTGATCCCGATATCCCAGCGTCAAGACACAGTCGGACCGATGGCACGAACAGTGAAAGACGCCGCCTACCTCCTCCAAGCCATTGCCGGAAAAGACATTTACGATAACTACACCTCCGCCATCCCCTTCGACAGCCTCCCCGACTATGTAGCCGCATGCAACTTCTCCGCCCTCACCGGAAAGCGCATCGGCGTCCCCCGCAACGACATCTACGAGGTCGACAACGTCACTTACCCCATCATCGACGCCTTCAACGCAGCTCTCGAGGTCCTGGAAGCAGCCGGCGCCACCATCGTCGACCCGACAAACTACACGGCCTGGGACGCCTTCTTCAGCAGCACCAGCGAGACCTGCGTGCTAGACACCGACTTCGTCTCAGACCTGAAATCCTACCTCGACCAACTAATCTATAATCCCACCGGCGTGAAAACCCTAGCAGACGTCAGCGCATTCACGCACAGCTTCCGCGCAGAAGACTACCCCGACCGTAACACCGCAGAGTGGGACCGGGCGCTGAACATAACCTTCAACAACACGTCTCCCGAGTTCTGGGCATGCTACCAGCGAGATCTGTACTTTGGCGGTACTGGCGGACTCTTGGGAGCGTTGCAAAACTACTCGCTGGACGCGATTGTCATACCGACGGCGTTCTCGTCGTCCATTTCCGCGATTATCGGTGCACCGATTGTAACAGTGCCGCTGGGCTCATACCCGCCCAACACGACTGTGGTCACGAACGCGAGGGGCGATCTAAATGCGACGGCGCCGAATATCCCGTTCGGGATCTCGTTTGTGGGTGCGAAGTGGAGCGAGGCGGAGTTGATCGGGTACGCGTACGCGTTTGAGCAGAGGACGAAGGTGAGGGATACAATTCAGCCGTACATTAAGCCGACGACGGAGTTGAGCGATGTGGTGGCGAAGCGGAAGGCTAGGATATAGAAAGGGGACTTGATGAGAGGGATTGAAGCATGCATTGAACAGTTATCCTGGTTTATTGGGTATCATGACCCTCCACTCCTACCTAGACAGCGCAATCAAGAGCCTAGACTTCATACCAAAACGTGCTAAGTGAAGTGAAACCTTCGTTACCTTCTCTTGTCTGAAAGAGCATCATTCCATCAGTATGCTGTGATGCTGTTCGTGCACTTGTGAATGAATGCACGAACGAGGTCCTGCACCGTTAGTGTCAAAGGATGCTTATAAAGGAGATCGGGAAAGGATTACCTTAAAATCGCAAACCGGCATTGAACCAAATACGGGGTTATTCTTGAGCTTCAACTGAGTCGACCTCGGGCTTGCAATGCCAAATGCAATCCTCGCTAGGAATAGCGGGTCGTCGTGCGGACACACATTCAAAATCCTATCCATCAAGGCTGGATCTGGCTTCTGTGGCGGGACCTGTGGAAGCACCACTTGTTGATGCGTCTCACACCAAGTGCAATGACCGCATTCATCCGGTAGACCATTCGAATCATCGGCGAAATATGCAGCGAGAGCACGGGAAAAGCACTTCTTCCCGGTGACAAGGCCAACGACTTCTTTGGTCCTTTGGAGGGCCTGGCTTTCACGGTCTACCATCTCAGAGTAGAGCTTGTCGGCGATCGCATTGATCTCGGTATCAGTAGACGGCAGCTTGCGTTGTACGATGTATACGTTCTGCACGCCGCTTGTTTTCAGTGATATGATGCCATTCTCGTTCCACTTGCTGAGCCTACCAACTATGTCCGCTCGTACAAGTCCAGGTTTCCTCGATACTGCGTCCACGTCAACAGTAAGATACTTCTTTGCTTTTAAGGCGGAAGCCCTAATTGATTTGGCTGCGAGATCTGTGTCGGCGTGATGGTAAGCTCCATAATCAGTGACCTCATACTGATATTTGCTGTATATCGGGGTAGTGGCACGAATATAGCCGAATTGTAGTTCCAGCTGAGCATACATGACGCTAAGAGGGGAGCTCTTGGTTATCGTTAGTGACGTAGACATGGACCATAGTTCGGACAGATTACTTTGATGTCGAAAGCATTGCATTGTGCCGTATGCGACGCGGAGAATTTCTCCCCAATGCCAAGTGCGGCATTCTCGGGAGAAAATACTTCCTTCAGAAAGTTGCGGACAGAGACCTTGGACGGAAGGTCCCCGTAGGTGAACACGTTTCGAAGGTAGAAGTCATCCGGAGAGAGGAAAAACATGCAGACGCTCTGTTTACCATCTCTGCCTGCCCTGCCAATCTGTTGGGAGTACTCTTCGACGCTTTGTGGGATGTTGAAGTGGACGATGTTGCGTATGTTGGATTTGTCGATCCCCATGCCAAAGGCAATCGTCGCCACGATCTAATAGCGTAAGTTAATCGGGTCCTCGCCAAGTGTGTACAGAAGACTAATAGAATGTAGCCTTGAACTTACAATCATGTCATCGTTCTGCATGAACCTATCCTGTAATTCGGTCTTCTTCTCAGTTAGCATTCCTGCGTGGAATGATTCGGCATTGAACCCTTCACTACGAAGTTCTCCTGCAAGCGCTTCAGTTTGCTGCAGCGCTGTTAGTGAGAGGCGAGTATTGGAGCAAGATCGCATTACCTTTTGAACGGTCACGTAAATTATGGTCGGTCCAGAATGCTTCCTCAGAAAACTGATCAGCTCCGGGTAGTTGTCGTCTTTAGAAGCCGATGACCTGGCTAGCAGGCGCAAGCTACAATGCAGCGCTTAGAGACCGATTTGCAGCGATTGATACCAAAGGGATACGTACTTTGGTCGATACATGGGAGTCCTGAATAAGCCGGTCGTCGGACTGATTCCAAAAGTAGTGCAAATGTCCGTCGCTACCTTCGGTGTGGCGGTAGCGGTAAGACAGATCACTCTCTCGGCTTTGATCTCGGTAGCGAATCGAGCCACTGTTCCTCGTGCATAGTATTAGTGACCCGTCAAAGATACATAGAGTAGGGATAATGTGGACGCCATGGGCGTATGAGGAGACTAACCTTTAAGATAATCCGGCCTAAATGAGTGACCCCACTAGAAAGCATTAGAGATGGTCTATCAAGATCACATCATAGTGTAGGGAATAGATTTATCATACCTCTGAGACACAATGCGCCTCATCTACGGCCAGTAAGCGGACGCCACCACGCACCAACTTCATGGATTCCACGAATCCCTCGTTGTTTAGCCGTTCTGGTGCGCAATATAACAACTTCAAGGTACCGTTTTGGAGGTCTTGATTGGTCTGAATGAACTGTTCTCTCGTCCTAGTAGAGTCTAGGACGGCAGCTTTGACCTTCCGGCGAACAAGAGCGTCCACTTGGTCTTTCATAAGCGCGATGAGTGGAGATACGACGATGGTGATACCGCCGTCGTGGGGTGGGCGATCTCCGGATTGCTTGTCTAGCTCACCAAAAACTAGCGCGGGAATCTGAATACGTTGATTAGAATAATCCAAGATAGAGAAATAGTAATTTCTGTGAAATATTGGAATGAGGTAATCCATACTTGATAGCAAAGACTCTTGCCGCCTCCAGTAGGAAAGATAACCGTGGCACTTCCGCCATTCAAGAGTTGAGAGATGACAGCAGCTTGTTCAAGCCTGAATGCCTCGAAGCCAAAGTTCTCCTTGAGGGCTTTCAGTGCTAATTGCTTGATCCCTTCGGAGTCTCCAGCAGAAGGAAGCTCCCGTGGAGGCTTCTTGGAGAGTGGGAGGTCGTTATCGGCGTCCGCATCATCGCGACTCCGCTTGAGACTGGAATTGGGCTCCGAGATGACTTGCGCCGCTTCTAACAACGCGTCATCGTCTTCAGAGTTGAAGCCAAACTCGTCGTCGGACATGGCGAACGGTGATGGTGCAAGATGGTGGTTGATGTAGAGTTCAAGTCGCGGTTGAAGTGGGGCTGGACGCGATGGACCAAGGGGCAAAAACGCCCGGTCACGTTGCTGACCCCCCTTCTTTCCATCAGCCACTTTTCCAGGGCGGCTTGCAATTATCACCTCATTTCACTACATAGTACAAGTAACACGGATAAAGTAGGCTTATTTCCACTCTGATGTGCCCAGCAGAACCTCCACGTCAACATGCATCAAGATCACTCTACAGCGCCATGATCCAACCTCCTTCCAATTTTCACTCTCTATTCCTTTAATTCGCATCCTGCTTCATTCAGCTCATGTCAAAGTCACAAGCATCAAAGATTCTTTTGCTCACTACTTATATGCAACACGTGATGGCCCCCTTTCTCTTCTAAATATCCGCAATTTCCACCTCAGTCTCAGCCTTGCAGATCTCGACGCCCTATCCCAAAAACAACAAACCATGAATGGCAACTGTTCCTTGCAGTTCAGTTCCATAACGCCCAATAAGCCAATCAAGACTTGCAGAGAATTAGCTTTGCATGCCTTCTTCGTACCTTGTATTGGAGGCTTGAAGCCATGGCCTGAGAGCCTTGATAAAGACTGAGCCAGGCCAGCCTGGAAGCCGATGAGTGCTTCTTGAGCTGAAGTTCCGAAGACAGCAGTCTTCCGGTGTCTCGTTTTTCGTGCTTTTCGCATCCTTCCTATCTTTCGGAGTCGCGAACCGAGAAAACTCTGAATAATACCATTATACGAATTCGCGAATACGCAGCCTGACGCGATGGCAAGAGGTATAGCCTTGTGGATATGCTTGGGGCTGGCATGGACTGTGGCAGTTGAAGCGCAAGCTATGGCTGCGTGTGCTGTGAGTTGATCTCGATTTCATAGTTCATTGCGCGTCTTTGAATCGGAAGCTGATCCTTTTATGCGCACAGCAAGGCTGTGTAGGCGTATCGACCGCGAGCTGCAAATCGACAGATTGCACTTGCAAGTGCAATAGTGCCGACTACATCTCGAGCCTCACGGGATGCATATACGAGGAATGCGACGAGACAGAATCAGCAGCGGCGAAGGAATTCTTAGAGGAGCTGTGAAACGGTACTTATGACACCACTCTCCATACCTCGCCCTAGCGCATACTAATGGTGTATGCAGGTGCTGGATCCCCAATCACCATATCCTCCAAAGGCGCCACCGTCATCTCTGACGACGCGTCTGACAACGAAGCCTTGGAAAATGACTGGAAAGGCATGGAAAATCACCCGCTCGAGTTGCGGCAGGAAACCGCAGGTACCTTCTTCGAAACAGATCAACCCGAAACTGGTTTACCGGCCGAGACTGGCTTCACTGGCCTACCGAAGACCACGGACACCTTCACCACCGCATTCACCGGCACGGGCACCATCACAGGCGCCAGGAGCACAGGCTCGCCAACAACCAGCAGCCCGACAAATGGTAGCCCAACAACTTCCACATCCACACCCACCCAGACAAACAGCGGCGGCGGTAGACTCGGCATCGGACTAGGTGTTCCGCTCGGGTTCATCATAATAGCAGGCTTGGTTGGCCTGGGGTGGTTCCTAGGACGACGAAGCAAGAAACAAGCTGCTGCTGTAGCTAACTCGCAGCCGGAGATGGTGGGCCCGGCTGAGCTGGGTGGAGCAAGTCAGCCTGTTAGCTCAGAGCTGCCGACGAAGGGGAATACGCACGAGATGCCAACTGGAGCATGGATGGGACAGCCACAAGGTCAGCTCGCGCCTGCCGAGTTGGGCGAGAATAGATGAGAGTATGTGTAGAGCTCCCGGTGTATATGGGTGTGAAGGATGGGGACGCTCTTAAAGGGTAATCATGGAGCGTTCGCAGATACTAGGAATGCCACGAAATGAATGTACGGACATACTGACCTTACTAAGGAACAGTTCCGCTCTGTTTGTGTACCATCATGCTCTATACACAGTCTAGCACTAGAAAACTAAACTATCGAGTTAATCTAGCAAAGGACAGCTCCCCCAGTACACTCTCGCATTGATGCATTCAAGATATTTCGCATATATGTTACTTAGTACTGTCGAGGGTGAAGTCGTGATGAAAGAGAAGACGGAGCTAGCATTTACTTATAGGGACCCGATGTTGAATTACAGGTGACGGATATCTATCTTTTTGATCTATACACTCTTAATTCTATCAGCCTCGTCCCGAGTATGACTAGCCCAACTCACCGAAATCTTCATCTTAGCCAAAGCAAGCCTGCCCGCTCAATCAAAATACCCCGGGAAAAGCCAATTCAGCTTCTCAACCGCCTCCTTCTTCCTCCCATCCTTATGCGTAATCCCCCCTGCCCACTTCGTCTGCCCCTCCAAATGCATTGCCAGCACCTGCTCCCCATGCTCCTCCTTACTCAACTCATCCAACACAGCCCCCACAAACCTCCTCGCATTCTCCGAATTCGCCTTCATATGCCCCATCACCATCTCCACATTCACATCCTCGCTATCATGCCAGCAATCATAATCCGTCGCCATGCAAATCATCTGATACCCCACCTCCGCCTCCCGCGCCAGCTTCGCCTCCGGCAGCGCGCTCATATTGATCACGCTGCCGTCCCACGCGCGATACAGGTTGCTCTCCGCGCGCGTCGAGAACTGCGGGCCCTCCATGCAGATCACCGTCCCCTTGTCGTGCAGCCGCACGCCCTCGCCCTCGAGGCTGTGCCCGCACCGCCGTACGATCTTCGCGAGGCCCTCGTCGAAGGGGTCGCCGAAGCCGACGTGGCCCACAATCCCGCCCTCGAAGAAGGTGAAGGGCCGGATGCCCTTTGTGCGGTCGATTATCTGGTCCGGGACTACGAAGTCGCGCGGGCGGATCTCTTCTTGCAGCGAGCCGACGGCGGAGAAGGCGATGATGGTGCGGACGCCGAGGGCGCGCAGGGCGGCGATGTTGGCGCGGTTGGGGACCTCATGGGGGGCGATCTCGTGGTGGAGGCCGTGGCGGGAGAGGAAGGCGATGGGGATAGGGGCGCCGGTGGAGGGGGAGGGGTGTTGGAGGATGGAGATGGGGGAGGAGGGGGCGCCCCACGGCGTAGTGGGAGTGAGGACCGCGGCGAGGGTAAAGTTGGGGAGGCTTTGGAGGCCTGTCCCGCCGATTACAGCGATATGGACGGGGTCTATACGTTATTAGATGGAGTATATACGCTATATTCGTTCCCGAGGTGAGGTTTTGGTAGCTGTAGCTCGATATGGCGGGGTAGTGATGACGAAAAATACGCAGAAACTTGAGAATTACATACCCGCGAAGGTGGTTGGAACACCAGCCATTCTTCTATTCGGAATTGTAATTGAGCGTGTAAGCTTGAAAGGAGTGGACTGGAGACGGGTTGGAAAGCGAACGGCTCGTGTTAAAGTCAGCATGGAAATTTTCGGGTGAAGGAGGGGCCCGGATATACGTCAACCAAACTCCAGCCCAAGGCACCCCACGTGTCAAGCTCTTTAATCCTTAGCGATTAGTCTTTGTTGTAAGAACCAAAAGTATAGCGTATAGCGTATATCGTATAGCAGGTTCATAGAGATTATTTAAAGTAACAACCCCTTGTAATTAAGTCTCTGCATCGATCTCGTCCATACCTGCCCAGTCCTAACTCCCCGGACGAGATTGTCTTCGCAATGAGAAACACCACACAACGAGCTATAAAAGTGGGAGCAATTCGCCGCCCTGCCGCCTAGAGATAAGACCAAGTTCATCTATAACCAACAAGGACGTCGGCCAATGATTCTGCGGGTGCTCTTGGCACAAGATAGAACTTAAATGTTACCACAGAACGGTATAGGGAGGACTACGTATATATGGCCATCTTTGAAGAGCTCCAGAGGCAGCAAGGGAATGTTAAGAAGCGGACCATGTGAAGATAAAACCGTGGAGCAAGTAATTCTTTCTAGAGGAAATTTCTTTACTCAGTTTATAAACCCGCGGCGCGCGCCCTTAGCCCTCTACATCCCCGTACTTAAGGAACCAGCCTGTTTGCAAAATTGTCTTCACTTTTCTACTGATCCAGATCGGAGCGAGTACGGGGCTTAGGAGTGTGTTATAGAGTAACGATTTCCCCATAGAGGGCACTAGGCCTCTACGGGCCGAAGGACGCCTTGGGGAGCATATTTGCGACCATGTAGATTCTTGCCCTGGCGCCCGACCAGACTGCCAATTGATGCGCACTTCATGTGACCCAAAATACTGCCCGGGATCGCGTTTCATGACACAGTACTCGTATCGCTCCTCATCATCTTCAGGCCAGACCAACTTCCACGGCGCACTCTTGGGCCAAGCCATGACATGGCCGGAAAGAACAGTCTGGGCCACAGAGGCAATGCCTGTTTGGCAGAAAGAGTCCCAGAGACCGTAGGCAGGCTCCTCTTGCCACCCGGTTTTAGCGTAGCTGTTGGGAAGAATCAAGGTCACCCTCCGTATATTTGGGAATAGAGTCACAGCATTTGCTATGAACCCCGCCATTATTGTCTGAGTTGCGCCAGTTCTGGGGTCTTCGTTCAGGAAGTGTGAGGCAAAGGCCAAAGAGGTTATAGCGTTGAAGGACTCGGGTCGGAGTATCGATGACAGCGAGGCGAGCTTGTAGCGGATCCATGATGTGGTCGCGAAGGTAATGGTACTGAATGCAAGGATGTGAGCTTCAGAGTATACGGCGCGACAGGTCAGGAGAAGGGAAAGGCTATGGGGCTCCGAGCGTGTAAGGCTGTCGAAGTAATGGGCGTATATCTCGTTGCGAAGCTCTGCGGGCAGGCCGAAGAATGCAGACTCGGATTGAGGCATCGGGGGCCATTTCGGCAAAGAACAAGGCTTCGATGATTGCGCCGTTCCTCGCGAAGTCTTGCTGGCTGAGGGTGTGGATGCAGTCCTGGAGATGACGATATCTCTGGGCATGGTATTGTTCGGAGAGTCCAGCAATGCCAAGCGCAATGTTGATCGCCCGGATTGTGAACACGGCCTTGGAGGTTAGTTTACAGCTCATACAGGCATAGGATCTTGCTCTACAGAGTAGTATAATCCAACAATAGAAAAAGTAATACGTGGTGCGGAATATCTACGGCTGAGCTTCAAGGCCCCCAATATGCACGATGCGGACTGGCGGCCAGTACATATGTTTAGGCCGAATTCGGCCCGGTAACTAGAGTATTTTAGAACGTTCATGTCTTCTCGTCCCTCTCCAGGTCTCTCCTCATCTTTTCCCTTCGTCAACATTGTCCAAGAAACAACAACCAAAGCTATTCTAACACCTAATCAACTACTACATATCTAGAACACCTCATACCTGCTGAATGCCTTCCTTCTAGAGCCGCCCTAGTTTCAATGGGTCCCAATGTCCCAGCGGCCCACTCCGTCTAAAACATTGACCCTAAGGGCTGCATATACGATGCCTCTCTAGCGTTCAAACCCGCTATCCTCTTGAGCACGTGTGTCCACTTCGGTGACCAGATCGCGCTTCTACCAGATCCGCTAATCTCGGACCTGGCCTGGCAACGACACCACTATGTGGCTGGGTGGATGATCCACAATCTTTAAAGCTTCAGCTAACCAGAACTTCTAAGAAGCGCCACAGTTTTTTGCTCCGACTTCGAGCAAGGTACTCTTAGCCACAAACGTGTTTCATGATCAGCCTCAGGCGCACGCCAAGACATTTATACTCATCGATCGTCGAGCCGCCCCTGCTTGAGGTCAACTGCAAACTGTTCACCGGTCATAAAAGGGAACGTAACTACAGCACGGCCAAGGCAAAACGCACTGAGAACGGTCATAGTGGAGCATCGCGATATATCTACCGAGTAACTACGCTTGGGTGTGAGCCTGAACCAAATTAATTTTCAGCCTCGCGCGAGAGGCCGCCTCTCGGGTTTCGTCTACTCATAAGCTTTCTTTTCTTTTAAAGTAAATGTTCGCTCCTATTTGTTTCTCTGGCTGTTCGTACTCTGCGCCTCCGCACTCGCTGATATTTCCTGGTCCTCGCCTGAGTTCATAAAACATTCGTTCTTTCCGTAACGCGTCGCTTTTATACTTATATTAGATACGACAGAACCACTTCGTCCTTACTAACCACTCTTTCTGTGCAAAACATTATGGCGCCACCGCAGTCATTTATTGTGGCGCTCACAATTTTCCTCTTCTCTTCGATCATCAAGGCCGACCCTGCTTGCTATGATTCGGACATAACATGCCCACAGACCACCGTCCAGACTCCTTGGAATGATCTCTGTACCGCAGCCGTCCTCCGCGTTGATTACACGAAGATCTACTCTCAAAAAACTTCCATTTCCAACGTATTGGACGGAACTGGGTGCACCATTACTTACCAATGTAGTGACTATGGCGAAGGAATTTCGGGCTACGTATTTGGAGCCTTGTGAGTAAGCCATCTCCACTATCCTGATAATGCTGTAGGCTTGCTGATACAGTGTTTCACACCAGCATGCAAAGCATCCAGACAACCTGCACACCTCTAAACCAATGCGGAGCAATTGATTCTAGCTTCCCCACTGGGAGCAACTGTCAGATCAGTAACTTTGTTTGCACAGGAGCGGGATGCGTCGATGAGAACGCGGGAGGGAATGCTGTCGTTGTTGTTTCTACTAGTGGATCTGACGTCGCTCCTGACAGCAGTGCGGTTGTTGTGCCCCCTGCTACCAGCGAAGTCGTTGCACCCGTTCCTAGCAGTTCAGAGATTGCTCCATCGTCAGCTGTGCCCTCACCACCATCGGCTGTGCCCTCGCCACCACCGTCGAGTCCTTCTTCTACTGCCCTCTTCTCGAGTATCCAATCAGGACCTTCCCTATCCTCAGAGCAACAGTCCGAGACGTCAACGTACACCTCCATTATCTCAAGTGCGGCGGCTCCCACCAGTACGTCGGTCAACTCTGAACCTTCCTCTAGCTCTTCTCCTAGCAGCACAATTCTGCTCTCGTCTCAAACATTGACAAGCTCAAGCGAGACCACTATAAGCACTATTGTTAGCTCAAGTCAAGCAATCACCACTTCAAGCTCTGGTGCTGTTGTCATTGTACCTTCCGCATTATCGTCAAACGCCCCTGAATCCGCCTCATCTGCCGGCGCTACAACACCGTCTCAAGCGGCCGACAATGCAGATGCGAAGACAAGCGATGCCTCCAACGCTGTCGATGCCCTGAACCAGGATCCTAGCTCCCCGGCACTTGCTCAAGCGGCCGATGTTGCCGTTGCTGCGGCTCTAACTGGTATGTATCTCAGTTCTCAGTCTGCTTCAACACTCATAGTAGCTAACTCAATTTGATAGCTGCAATCGCCGCTGCAACGGCAGCTCAGGCTACCTCTTGGGTTGCTGCTGCCTCTGCCCTGGTACGTGTCCACTCAGCAAGTCAAATCTGAGCTATGCTAATTTACTGAAAGAGCGCTACGCTAGCTGCAGCTCAGGTTGCAGCACTTGCAGCAGTAGCTAGTCCTGCAGCCGCTACTGCTGCTGCTCTTGCGGCGGCTATGCTTGCTGCTGAAGGTAAGATCAATCTGCTAGTTTCTCAATATATTTCATCGTCTCACTCTCTGACGTTCGGTAGCTACGCAACAGGAGCTAGCGAGAAAGCGAAATCCTAAAACGGCTTCGACCTTGACGACACTCATACGATCAACTAGCACCAGCTCGTCTGACTCCTCAAGCCCAGCCGCGTGCTCCCTTCGACAGACCCGAGGAATAGCAGGAAGAGCGCGAATCTCCACCAAAACCTACACAAACTCCATCATAGACGCCACCACGACCGGGTGGTCAGTGTACATGACGCAAACCTGCGACTTCAACATAGCCGGCCAAGCCTGTTACCACTACTCATCCGTGATCAAGAACAACCCCGCCTCTAGCTGGGACACTCTGCCCTGCCCCTTCGACAACGAGAAGTGTGCCCAGAAAACCCACCGCCCGTGGGTAGCCACCTACCGCAAGGAGCACGATGCGTGGTCAGCGAAAGTCCCCGGCAGCAGAGACTGCCAGCGCGACGAGTACCCGCCCGCCAACTTCCTCGCCGAGAACGACGGCCGCAGCGCGCTGTACAAGGACTACTACGAGGCCGAGTACCGCGGGACCAACCAAGCCACAGTCTGGCAGCTACCAGGCCAAGGCTCGCAGCAATACATCCGCTTCCTCAACGCCGCCGACAACAACGCCGGCGGCAACCTCTTCGGCCGCTGCGTCGATCGCGTGGGCGCGGACGGAGGTGTCACATCCGGCGTGGACTACACAACCCACTCGACGCCTAGCACGCGGGTCGACTGCGCCGGCAAGACAGAGGTGTGGGTGCTCGTTACGCGCGTCTACACGCGCCATGCTGTCTCGCTGGTGTTTGCGAATACGCCGAGGGTGGTGGTGGATGATGGGCTGTATGAGAACACGTGCACGCCGTCGCAGGCTGGCGTCGACCACCGCGGGTTTGCGCTGCTGAACGAGGATCCGTGGTTCCGGAAGCCGGGAAGGGCGGCGAATGCGGCGCTGACTTCGCTGTATTCGGTCGCGCCGATGTGGAGACGGGATAGTGGTCCCGTGGCTCGCAATGGGATGGGGAGAGCGCTAGATGAGGAGGTGGAGGTGGATGTGGAGGACAATGCTTGGCTCGCGGAGTTGGAAGCTCGAGTAGTGCCTGCGGAGACTGTTGCGACGGTTACGGGACTTAGCCCACGCGTAGCCATCGCGGCGTCGACAGAGGCGGCTTCTGTGCCGGATATGCCCAAGGAGACCGGGGGCGCGAGGTGATGTCGGAAACAGGGAGCAGGCCTACAGTCAGAGCATGTACGGACTTCCTCTCAACCGTTTGGACCACTTCAACAACGTTATGAGAAGTTTGGACTGAACGACTTCCCTCTACCGCACTTCATCGCCGGCCCCTCTTGTATCAACACAATACCATCATAGATCTATATACGCGGCGCATATAATACTCTGGCACAGTCTTCTCACGGTGTTTTCTCATTCCGGGAACTCAGCTACAATAATATATCATAATAGACCACCGTATCACGAGCTAGTCTCAGCGTTTCCCAGCCACCCATCGCTGTAAGCGTGACGCCCCACATGCCATGGAATGAAGTGAAATGGGATTGAGAAGGATGAAGGTACGAGAGCACGGAGATATCACGGCCCGAGCTTATAAAAAGGTCCAGTCAAACACCGCTATATATTAACATTTATCTTCCACACTTCCCACAAGAAAAAAAAAAATATGGATATCTGGTCCAATGGCCCTGGCAGCATCGGCGAAACTAAAGTTCTTCCAAGGGCTTTTCCCTGCACAGCTTACCTCGTCGGTAAGCCATGGGTTTTTGGCCCCCCCCTCAAAGGTTTCAGGTTTCGAAGCCTCCTGTGATTATTCTTGTTCGCACTGTAATATACATTTTGGAATGTTCTTGTGATAGGATAGCACATGTGACATGGCAAAACACTCATCTAACATTAAGATGTATTCTGTAAGCGTTACAAGGGTATGAATCTTCTGTGATTCCTTTAAGTGCAGTTAGCAGACCCGTCGGATCCTTTCCAACCAAACTCCCAGGATTCAGGTTCATTCAGCCATATAAAAGCCTCACCTACAATGCCGGGTAACCCCAGAAACGAAAAGCCTAGCCGAGATTGAACGCGTCCTTGCACAGATGATATTTCCAGAAAAACACGGGACCGGTCGGCAAATTGATGTGTGTCCTCCCCGAAGAGAAAAAAAAAAAAAAAAGCGCCCCATCGTGAAACCCGGGTTAGAACTATCTACTGGCTGCCAACATCCCACGAACCTCCCCCAACGGGGGCCAACGCGCTCCCGGCGTGCGACCTCACCACCAACCCCCCCGCCCCGCTCCGAACGGTTACCGAAGGCGAATGGAGGTGCGTGTACACAGTGGTGCCGTGTTCTGCATCAGGCCGCGCGCGCGGCTCAGCTGTGCCCACAGTGCGAAGAATTACTTCGACTCGAGTCCCCCCGCAGCACGCGAGAGAGAGAGCACCACCTGCGAGTTCCGCGCCAACAAACCACTCGCAGTTCACACGGACACGGACACGGATCGGCTTACCATAGGTTTCAAAAATAGTTTGTTTTGGGGCATCCGAAAGCAAGTTGCGCCGCCGAACGGCTGACGTTTGCGTTGCGTTGCGTTGCGTTGCGTTGCGTACCCCGAGCGTCGTTGGTTGGGAGGGGGGAGGGGGAAGGGGAGTGTGAGGCTGTGCGGATTAATATATTTGGCAAACCCCTGCACGGTACGGTAACGCTTATTGTATACCACCCTTCACCCCCCCCCCCCCCCCCCCCCCCCCCGGGGGGCTATTATAAGTTAGTTAGTACCTGGGAGTAACTATGTGTTACGGCATCCTTCATCTCCTTCGGCTCGGGAACGCGAGGGCTATTCTTGGGCGTGGGCTCCGCTCGCGGACGGCTGCGTTTGGGAAGGGGGCTTCAGGGACCCAGAGAAACGCGGATTGGGGATGCTTGAAGCGTGGTTCAAACCCGCGATCGCGAATGGCTAGTGAGGCGAGGTTGGGAGTCAGGAGACCAAAGACAAAGGAAGGGAGATGCATTGGGTACGTTGTACTACCACGGTACGGTACCTGGAACTGCCGGCGATCGAATCGAGTGGGATCGCGATCGCGAAACAATGAAACCAAACAGCCTTCCACGTCCCCACAGAAGAGGGAACGCAACGTGGTTTCTTGCGGACCCGCCGCGCGGGTTCCACGACGTTAATTGGGACCTCGACCATCACCACCGCTCCGCCTTTCGCAACTTCGACAAGGTGATGGAAGTCACGACACTCGAAGCAGGGAGTTAGGGTTCTATTTTAACAGATTTTTTCGATTCGAAAGAAAAAAAAAACTCCCTTATATACCCTAACAACCCCACCCTATACGCACGCGCAGGAAAACGCTTCAGCTTTCTCGCAGATCGCTTACCGCTTTCGCTCGATCGCATCGCCGCATCCAAAATAGACAATAAAGCAGCCCTCAACCAATGGCCAGAATCGAACGTGACCCAACCCAACCCATCCCCTAGATACCCAACTACCCTTCTGTGAACGCGCTCTACGACAAGGTAACCTTAATCGTCGCCCCACTCCCAAGCCCCTGGCACCCACCGCTCGCACCCCCATCGCTCGCCGTGCCAACAGCCCCATTGCCGCAGTTCTTCAGCGAGTAGCTGCCCGCCGCCATGCAGCTGTTGCCGCTGTTGCACGTAAACACGCACGTCTCCATGTCCGACGTGCACGTCGGTCCCACGGCCGAGATGGAGTGGCCGCTCATGTTGACCTCGCGCGACACGTCGTAGGTGCCCCACGCGCCAAACGTCGCCTCCAGCCACGTGTTGCTGACCTGGCCGTTGACGAGCTCCGTGTCCTCGTACACGGCCGAGCACGCGCCCGAGAAGGACTCGGTGAAGGACACGCTCTTGGAGCTGCCCGACGCGATGGAGATGGTCAGGGCGGGCACGTGCGCGTTCACCCACGACGTCGCGCCCGCCCAGCACACGAAGATGAGGTCCTCGCCCGACTCGTTGGACACGTCGGCGATGTAGGGCCCGGCGCTGCCGACCGAGGCGGCGCCCTCGTTTAGGCCGACGCCGATGAAGCCGAGGGCAAGGAGCTTGGCCTTGTCGGCGGCTTCGAGGATGGCGCCCGTGAGGGAGGGGGTCGAGGCTGCGGTGGAAGAGGCCGCGGCGGGGGAGGACGAGGAGGGCGTGTAGGCGGGCGCGCTGGTGGGCGTCGGGGTCGATTCTGCCTTCGCCTTTGCGACGGAGACCACGGAGGAGACGGCGACGGCGGGAGAGGAGGGTGCAGCGACGGAGGAGGGTGCAGCGACGGACGAGGGTACGACGACGGACGAGGGCGCGGGGGCGGAGGACGAGGCGCCGTAGTTGACCTTGGACCAGTCGACGTGCTCGAGGGCTTTGGTCCAGTCGACGTTGGAGACATCGTAGTTGATGGCTTCACGTTTGCTAACGTCGCTGGGGCGCGTTAGTAGGACGTTCGCAGGATCGGGGCTTGCAGAGAATCTCACATTTCAACCTTGTCCTGGGCGATGTTGCTGCGACGGGCGTGGAAGCTGCGGTGTTTGAGGGCGCCGGCGGAGGCCTGGCCGATGGCGAGCGTGGCTAGCACGAAAGCAGTGTTTGAGCGCATGTCGAATGGCGTCGATGATGTTGTATAGACAGTTGTTGTAGTTGATTGTACAGTGGAGAGTCGTGAGCCGTCGTTGCAGTGCAGTTGTTCAGTGCGGTGAAGCGTGGAAATGACTTGCTAGAATGACTGAGATCCGAAGATGAGTGTTGTAGGGAGCGACAAAAGCAACAGTACCGCGTGAAGGAGTGAACGCGAATACGGGCTGGATAGAGAAGGACAAGAGAGGCTTTGTAGTGGACGGATGCGGACGAGGTGAAGGAGAAGAAGAGACGCAGGAAACGGGGCGCCAGGCCAGGCTTTCGGCTGGCTGCCCCTGGCGCTCGAGCAGCGATCGGCGGACTGGCGCACAGCGTCCGACCCTGCAAGCCACCGCGCCGCACCCCTGCAGAGTCATCTCTGAGCCTGCGCCCTTGCGGTGCAATCTTAAAATACAAGGGTGAATTACGGGGCGGAAGAGCCCGCGCTGCGCCTGATTGGTGTGCCTGCCAGGAACCGCTTGTGCACTTTTGGCGCCCGAGAGCGTTTCATCGGGAGGTCGCGCGGCCAGAGTGGGCAGTGGGCAGTGGGCCATCCAGCACATCACCACCACGCCGTTCGTGCCAAGCGGCCACATCGTGAATCCCACGTGTGCGCTGGCCATTTGCCCTGACCCAGCGACCGCGTTCCACCATCTGGGGGCCGGCAGCGGGCAGCAGAACCACGGGCAGCAGAACCATGGGCAGCGCCGTGACAGTGCCGCTCCCGAGCCGACCGACTGAGGGGATCCCGACCGACTGACGACCGACGACAAGAGGCCGCGCAATTGAGTGGAGAGCACGGTCGCGTCCGAAATGATTGGTGGGTCGCCCGTCCTTCTTGAAGAGATTGGCCGCCTGCCAGAAGGCGAGAAGTAGCTGCTGGACTCGCTTGTTTCACGATGGAGACCGACGCAAGAAAGTGCCCGGCTTTCTGGCAGATTCCCAACCATGGTTCGAATCCACACCACCACACTCTCGCGCCAAACTCCTCGCCAACTCCTCCCTTTTAGACCCTCTTAACCGAAAAATAGCGTCTTGTCTTCGCTTTCTGCGTAGCGATACCACCTGCACAGCGGTGCCCAACTGACCAGTCGGCGCTGTCAGATCCCACCCTGCACGACTCTGCAGGTCCGGCACTGGATGATGTCGCGATGCAGCAACAGCGAGGCATTTGCGCCGGCATGCCACGCAGCCCTGTGCTAGCGCAGGCCCAGCCGTCCCCAGATCGCCCGCCGATTGAACGGCCGCCAGCCTGCCCTTATCCACCCGCATCAAAGGGCCCTCTCGCCCAGTCGGATCGCGCAAAAGAACAACCACCTGCACCAGACCAGGCTCAAGGCACACCGACTTGCGGGAGCCGAAGACTCTTCATCGCGGCACGCCCATTCAACGTGGTGGAGAATTGTTGGATAACAGAAACCGCTTGCCACCAATCAGATATCTTCGAATTTCTTGCTTTTCCGTTCTTTGCTTGCCGTCGGCTGCTTCCGTCTCTTCACTCTCATTGTCGCAAAGAAAGATGCCAGATGCCTGTTCGGCCCACTCTTGCTCTGCCGTCTCTCGGTCAGATGTAGGTGGGTAGTCGCATGCCCTGAGGAAGTTCATCCCCTCGGCTTATCACTTATCAGCTCGTCCCGTCCCGCAACGTTGACGGCTCACGGGCCTGGACCAACATTCTCGGGTGGGTTCCCGCGGAGGTTCTGCGCGCGCTGAAGAACATGGCTACGGTCCACCCGGGCCGTTGTGACCTGAAGAACTCCGCAACCATCTTGCAACCGTCCAGAGAAGTGCCGACGAGACTCCGATGAAGCACCCTGTTGTGAAGCTTCCACGAGAACGGATTACTTCACTCCCCTAGGCTAGGTGCGCTCTCGAGGCGCGCTTGCAAACGGACTTGGTCAGCAGCGCGCAAACGTTTCACACTTTTGGCTAAGGATGTCGCCATTCGGTTTGCAACAACTCGAGTCATGATCAAAGAAGAGTTTTCTTTGCAAGCCATGCGAGGTAGTCTAGAAAGGCCTGGAAAGGCGCTTTGCGGAACCATTTGCGAGACCATTTGCGAGGCAAAATGGAGTTGCATTCCACGTCCAGGTGGGGTGCCTGCAACCAGCGGGTCGGGGGTTTCCGAAAAGCCTGACTTGCCATGTTCTTCCCTGTCTTAGTCGTGCAGGAATCGCTCGTTGCGAAGGAAGGGATTTCGGGCCTTTTCAGAAGTCGACGGACTATGTTTTTGATTGTTCCTGCGAACGTTCGTCAGCGTTGAAGTTGAGAAATGTAGGCGTCATCTGAGGCGTGTTGTGTCAGCGCACTAACTTCGTTCCCATGCCAGACTTTACGAGCTGCGCAGTAGTATATTCAAGCTCCGCAGACTGTGACAGAGAAATGCGTGGTATTTCCCGTGAGGTTCGTTCATGGTTGATATTGAGAAACGGCGACGTGGTCCGAGGGATGTCGTGGTAGCGTACCAGCGTCCTTTCTTCGTCAAATGGCAGAACTCTGATTAAAGGCGAGGCACAGAATCTCAAGCTCGATGAAAAACCAGTGGGTACTCTTTGTGTGTTCTTGCAAGTGTCTCTCACATTGATGATAAAAGATGGAGAGTCGTCCAAAGAAAGTCGTGGTGGAATGCGAAGTACTAGCGTCATTGCCTCATCAGCCCACCTCACAGAATCACCCCCCACAAAAATCCCCGTATTTCCAACATAGCACGACGAGTACATATAAGTTTCGTAGGATCGAATAAAATGAAGTCTGTTTCAAGTCTCGAATCTCAACATCTATAGTTCCTTGCATTCTCAAATTAGAGCTTGTAGTTGCAGGATGGATGTCCTTGCGTCGAAACGCGGCTGCGCTTTCCTTCCTTCCCTCAAAGATAGCTGCAACCACCACACCACCACCAGGTGTCATGGAATTATCTCAAATGTGAGTTCTTGACCATCCGTAGCGCAGTGGACAGAAATTCCCTGCGCAGTGATTTTCGTGGGTGGCGAAATGCATCAAAACGATAATCGGACGGCTTTGAACATGAACACTTTATCTTTTTTTCCATCAACATCCCGCATAAGAAAGCACGGGCGTATTTCAAACCTACTAGAAAGGCTCTACGCTGGGGGGGGGGTAGTCGATATGCGTTCTCCACTTTTTAGAGACAGTAGCGTAGTGCAGAGATCCGTCCGAGAAACTATCTCATCCATCGTCCATGAAGTATCGTGCTGTAGGCGTTATACCTATATGTTCGAGAGAGCAAGTGGAACTCTCTCGTCTATCCCCGCAGGCAGACTCGCTCCCTCATAAGAGAAGTGATTCTGTATAGTCATCCGTCCTTCTACACCTCGGTGAACGAGGCCGCGCGCCGCAGTGGAGAAACGTTTGTTGCGCGGCCCACTGCGTAAACAACGCATGCTCCACGAGATTTAAGATGAAGGCGTGCGTCACCAACCCCAAACTACCCCGTGATATATCCATCCTTACGTTCATCCCTCTGGGCTATGCCTATCCCGCACCTCTCTCCATCACATCACCACTCACGCCTCAAGACTCAGAATCCGATCAAATACTTTCATAAATATCTCAGACATAGCGCCGCTGGGCACCCACCATTCTCTATCTATCGTCCTCTAAATCCCCCCTCTCCTTCCCAACCCCAGGTATCAATAACCCCTAGCCCGTAGGCCAGGACTAACAATAAGAAATATGCAACACATAAAAAGGGAAAAAAAAAACGAAGGTATCCTATCAAAAAAGTCGCCGCGCCACATGATGCATGAAGAAAGTCGTAAAATCCTCCTGCCTGGCAAGGCCACCTCTAGCACTCCCTTTCCAACATCCCCTTCATCCAGAAGTTTCTACACCACTACCACTCCCTCGCCTGCGGCTGGGTATAGTACCCATCCACGTCATCGTACCCCTGTTGTCGCTGCTGTTGCTGCATCGGCCCTGCCGTCTGACTCCTCGGACCGTCCTGTGCCCACCCAGGCGGCTGCAGCGGCGCTGTCGCGCTTCTCTGCGGTGGCGTAGACCCTGGACCGCGGTTGGGCAGCGGGTTCGAGGCTTCACGACGCTGTATGGCGGCCTGCAGGACTGATGGAAGAGCAGCGGCGCCGGGGTTGGAGCGAGGCGGGGGGGTGGCACTATGAGAGGCGTAGCCATTTCCACCGTTGTTCAAGGGGGGCGGGTTGCCGGGGATTAGGCTCGTGAGCGGACCTTGCTGCGCGGGTGTGGGCGCGCGATAGGGGTCGTAGTCGTCAGCGCCTTGGTAGGGTATTTGGTTTTGACTGCGCTGTTGCTGGTGGCCGGGCCCGACAGGGGACATGTCGACGGGGCTCATCTCGTAGGCAGGACCATGAGCTGGAGCGCGGTGGTCGAAAGGGGAGAAGCTGGGGTCGGCGAGGGGCGAGGGTCCTGGGCCACGACGGCTTGCTGTGCTGACGGCAGTGTTTGAGCGTGGTGATTGGCCTGGGCGAGAATCATTGGCACTCATGGGAGAAGGAGAGTTGCGGTTATCCGAGGTGTAGTTGGTATTGATGCGGGATGGAGGACCGAAGGAATTCTCCGGTCGCATAGGCATGCCGTTGGAGGGTGCTGGCGAGCTTCGGTCCTGAGACATGGGGGAGTATGGACGTTGAGGGCCTGGCGATCCTGTCATTCCCCTGTTCATCGGAGGTCTTGAAAAGTAGTCGGCATTTCGATCCAGTGGAGGCAATGACGGAGTAGGCGAAGCTGATCGGCCTCCGTATCCCATATCGCTTGCTTGACCGAGGAGAGGTGCATTGGAGCCGTAGCTTGCATTTGAGTACGCGGATGACTGGGTCTCCGAACGGGACGGCGGCATAGGCCGCTTGACATCCTCTGGGAACGACGGCAAGGTAGGCGCTCTCGACACTCCAGTCCTGCTAGTATTCATGGTATTGCTCCGAGAAGTGTACGGCGGAAGAGTGGTCGTAGTCTCCACGGAATAGATAGAGTCTTTGTCGCCGTCGCTGTTGAGAACTGGTAGCGTAGGTACTCGCTGAGGCTGATCTGGGCGGCCACCATTCTTCGTCGACTTCTGCTCCTCCTTTCTACGCTTTGCATCCTGCTTCTCCAACGCCTTCTTAACTTTCTTACCGACAATCCTATCCAGACGAGCGTCAATCTTCCGTTTCAGATATATCGACAGCCTCCCGTCGCTACTCGGGATGTAATGCCACAAGAACACTACATAAAGCAAAACAGCGACCAAGAGAGATAAAGCTGCTATCACCCAAACGACGAGCGTGAACAACATGGCTCCGTATACAGCCACTTCCGTCCGGTTGTTCTGGGCAAGATGTGAGAGGTTAATGAAAAACTGCTGGAAGTTGGAATGACCATCGGTGGACTTATTCTGTCCGTTAGGGATTAGGCTGGCTTTCATGACGGCCCACAGGGTAAGAGCGTTGATGACTACTCGAGGTCCTTCGGCTACAATTATGACAATAGCACCTTGGAGTCGATGTTAGCAGCTGCTAGAACAACACGATCAGGAGGAACAAACCCTTGAACTGGAAGTAGACAAAAAGCGCAATATAGTCAACGCCCTTTTTGCTCTTGGTCAACTCGGCAAAGACGAGGAAGCGCCTCCACCCTTTGCCTCCAGGGTTGACTCGCATGCTCTGAAGAACAACAGCAAGAGGGTCGAGGTAGCAATTGGCAACACCACCAGAACGGATGACCCTGTATGCTCGAATCCAGTCGACTGCTAGCAGCACGTATGAGGCGATGATGCTGCCAACGAAGATCCATTTGGCAATGTCGATAGGTATTGTCGGCTTGATCTCGCTGGACCATTTGTTGAAGGCGAGTAGACTGATTGCGGTAAAGCCATCAGAGACGTAGGCGCCAGCCATGATGAGTGAAAGAATCCATAGCCAGCCATATGACAGAGGGGTGAGGCATGAGGAGCGTCTGAAGTCGTCAAGGGTCTAGTGAAGTCAGTAGATAATCAATTGAAGCTATACAAGGCAGATAGAGGTGAATGCTTCAATCGCCGCAGTTCTGCAAAGCCGTGTCCTTGCAATAGAACTGAGAATGACGTACAATGTAATCCCACTTCTGCTCCTCGGTGACGATGAGACCCTTCTCGCGGTCTCCACAGCAGCCCATGATGAGAGTTGTTCGGTATTATTAGGTAGATGAATCCGGTCCACGGCAATCGTCGGGGATTAGGCCAGCTCAGCTGGGCGTCGTCTGGCGACGTCGTTGGGTAAAGAGTGTGTGGCGCGCGTGGTCGTCAAGACATCCAGTCGCGATGGTTCGTAGATAATGTGCAATGGCCGGCTCTGTGGTGACAGTCCAGCTGCTCACCGCCGGGTCGAGTGGGGATGAAAGGCAGTGGTTAGGCGTTCTTGAGGTTCCAAGAGAAGAAGGTTCGGCGCGCAAGGGAGTGTGTGTCGGAGTTGGCCAGTCTAGAGAATGTGCATGACGGGGCGGACTCCTGGAGCGTGGTTGGTTTGATGTGCCCTATGCCCGCAGATGTTTCGAGGAGCGGCGTGTTGAAGGCTGCTGAATGGAGCGAGTGTTCGCCAATGGCACAATAGCGCGCGGTAGAGTATTGTGTCCTGTGGTGTGAATAGCGGTCGGTAGGACTGGATGGAGCGGGTGAAGGAGCGACGGGTCCGGCTTCTCAGTGTCGGAACAAAAGCAGCGCAAAGCAAACCGTAGGTCAAATGCGCAGCATCGAGACAGCAGTCGGGCTCACAGGCGTCTATGCGATTGACATGGCGGGCGCTGAGGGGCGGGCGGGCTGCGGTGTGGGCAGCAAAAGGAGAGGGTCCAGCGTGAGCGGAAGGCGAAGACGCTCGGATTCCTCCGCGTTTGAGATGCAACCCGTGCCCAATCAGCCCGCAACGTCCCCTTGCGGAGAGACTGGCTGGCTGCCGCACTGGGCGTGTTCCTGCGCAAGGCCTGCTTCAGAAGACCCGGGGCCCCCGCCCTGGCCACCGTTGACAGGCTGGCCCCAAGATTGGAGAGGAATCCGAGACCTGCCGTGTCCACCACTCTTTTCGCGACGGAGATACATGAGGTACACAAGCGCCTGCACCACAGCACGTCGTTGACCTTCTCCATACTCCAGACCAGACGCCAGAACGCAAGGCGGCGAGGAACTGCACGCCGCCTCCTACGCTTGGGGCGTGCCTCGGGAACCTGGGAATCAGCAGTACGCCCCAACGTTTGAGGTTTGGGATGCGCGAATCCCGCCTCAGCTCAGCCCACCGTGGATCGAGCAGGTGAGGCGCAGGATCAGCCGCTAGAGCGATTCCGATGCGTTTTTTGGCACTTCATCTCTCGCGCAATCGTGACTTTCCTGGTGTGAGTACATTGGTCTAACACTGTTTGGGTGGTCCGGAGAACTATAGGGCTTTCCAAAGCTGTCGCTTTACAGGATCTAACAATGTGCCGCGGAACTTCAAGCAGTGCTTGGCAAATGTGTAATCTACAAGCCTAGCGTGAGGGTGTACCCTCGAGGCTTGTGGAAGCGCAAGAGTTCATAATGGAAAGATAGGAGATCGGTATGTAAGAGACGAAGTCCCAATCCACAGGCTCAAGAACATGACATCGAGCGGATTTCAGAGCGCATGGGCTACAGAGTCTTCACAAGTTTTTCCGCGAGGTTAGAGCAACAGAAATATGCTTTTAATCCGTGTTGCTTGGCCATAGAGATGGGAGGTCAGCATGTAAAAGACATATGCTCGATTGGAAGGGTCGAGAAAATGGCATCCTGAGAATCTGAAAGATGAATAGGCAGTAGAGTCGCCAAATAGCTAACCACCCCCTAGAAACGCGGCAATTCAATGTGCACCTCCCCGGAAATACATCCGAGACTTTGAAAGATAAATAGGCCTGAGAGGCCATAGACAGTTACCTGCGTTGTCAAAATAGTGTCTTTCCATATCTTGTGCCCATGGGCCCCGTGAGGAAGCATTTGTCATTCAACCCCTCTCTATATTATCTCCATGCTCTCAACATCTTTCGTTTCTTGCCATTCCTTCGGGCCTCCCCTCAATCCTTCTTCTCTCTAGTCCTCAATTTCCAGCCGCAAGATTTCATATCCGATGCTCTCATCTGACACTTGCGAGAAAAAACTTAGAGCGGCGAATTTTAGAGCGCGTGCAGGGCACCTCTAAGGGTCGCAAAAATATGCAACTGTTTGCTGGGACTAGGCAGCGATTGGAGACTCGCAGGACAAGACATTTCAAGGCGAGGAAGTAGCATCATTTACTAAACCCGCGACGCTGATTTACGATCTCCGGAACCCTGACATCGTGGATGGGTCCCAGCAGCTTGATCGAAGCCACTCTGGCGGTGGCAAGCATCTGGCACTTCTCGCTAGTTCCTAGTTCCTGATTTGCGGTCTGTGGAAGTCGACATAGGTGATTGGGTTCAGCGACACTGTCGAAGTCGCTCTAACAGTCGCAAGGGGATGGTAAAATGCCAAGAGTCAGTCACTAATTTGTAGCTTCTGGGGAATGGGACAGGTGACTAGCAGTGCTTTTGTAAGAAGGTGAAGACATGTAAATGTCAAGGCGTTGATTTGCAGCCTCTGGAAAAACCTAAGACTTCCAATACCGCTCAGCCATCCGAGGACCTTCCGACAGCGCTATACAATGGACAATCACCACGAATACAGTGTCTGATTCAAAGGCTTGCAGACGAAGATAAGTCTATTCCAGTGGGTAATAAAACAAGTGAGGCTATTGCATGTGTAGTGTTGATACAGACGTGAATAGGGGCATCTTCGGAATAAATCAAAGAGAGTCGGAGCCTCTGTGCGCCCTTGCCTAAACGCCATGTAATGATGGTATAAACCTAGGATCTTCTTCCATGCGGCGAATCGTTAACCCCAAACCGTAATTGTGTCGCAACCATATCAATCAAAGCCCAACGCCTTCTTCCAGGCCCAGATGCAACACTCCGTGTCCGTAGATGCACATAGACTCAGAGCCATATACCCTCTCCCGGGTGCCAATCTCTGTTCCAATAATCCAATCGCACAATAACAAGGACCCGCTGCCATTCTTTAGAGCGGGGGGTTACTAAGATCGATAGCCATGATGGCTGAGTCCATAGCCTTAGGCCAGCGCTCCTTGTGCCCTCTACGATGCAGCTCGCCATTCCCGTGCAGGCACTCGTCAGACGTCGCATCAATCACGTCGAACGACCTCGGACGCTTCACATACCCATGCGCAGTGAGGTGTTCGCAGCTAGCCACTAGCTTAGCGTCTTTATACGACACGGTAATGTGGTCGGCTTCGACCGTTTTGCCGTGGGCGTTTAAGACGACCAACTTGGACATAGGGGTGGCCGTGGACTGGTGGATAGGACCGCTGGGGTGTCGTTAGCTCATGTCCTCGTGCAGGATCTGGTCAGGGGCAAACATACCGAATCATCATGGTTCGCACACTCCCGTCCAGGAGCTGCAGGGTGTGGAAAGCGGCTTTCGTTAAGCTGGCCTTTTGTTTGGCGAGGGGTGTCTTCTCGTACTAGAAGAAGATGAATTGCTCGAGGTTTGGGGGTCGACGGGGTGCTCGCAAAGGGGCCACGACGGCCAGAGGTGGTGCGGGACCGCAGTACACCATTTGTCCGTATTGGTCGTAGTCCGTCACAGCCTGGCTCTGCTGTTGGGCCGGCGCTGCTTCTGGATGGTTTGCGGGCCGCAAAGCCTGTTGGCGGAGGATGTGTGAGGCTTGTTCTTGGTAAGCCATCAGCTGCTGCTGCTCGTAGTCCTGGTATGCGACCGGTTGGCGGGAAAGGGTGGAGATTGGTCTCGACATCATAAGTGGCTGTCTATAGCCCGTCTGCGGATGCTGGGTCTGGTTGTATTGGCTGGACATCGTTGGCTCGTGGCCATTGTGGAAAAGTCCGATTGTTGGGAGTTGTGGTCAAAGGTCCGCTGGCTGGAAGGACGACCGTCGAGCCACCAACCACCGTCGTAAGCCCTCCCGGCGCCGAAAACACAGCCGTCTGCCCTCCAATTACAGTCGTTAATGGCCCGCCTGCTGGAAGTACACTATGTGTTTGCCAGCCATGACCGAACTAATTAGCCACGAAAATGTCCACGATCCCAAAATCATCATCGGCGACTTTGGCGAAGCCTTCTTTGCCACTGTCCAAGAGGACCGCGGCTACCTAAACACTCCTATCAAACTCCGTCCCCCAGAAGCCTTTTTTAACGAATGCCTCGGGCCTAAAGTCGACGCGTGGACGCTAGCCTGCACAGCCTTTGAGATACTTGGCATGCATGGACTATTCCCAGAGATAGAAGACTTGTGCATAGCTGAAATGATTATCCACTTAGGTCCGCTTCCGGAAAAGTGGTGGGAGACGTGGGAAGCTAAGGACGAGTTTTTCTACCCGGGCGGCTCTCCCCGGGATAAACCTCAGTTCAAGTCGTTAGCTGAGCACATGCTGGCGATGGGCCGCGGCCAAACGCCCGAAGCCTGCGAGTTTAGCAAGGAAGAGTTTGCGGCTCTAGAAGGCCTTTTCAAGAAGATGCTCACATATGAGTCCGCGGACAGGATCACTTCTAGCGAAATGGTGGCTTCGGATTGGATGCAGAAGTGGGCGGTTAGGGACATAGTGGAGCCAGCTCCGCAACAAGCGTTGCAGGCACTGTTCGAGGGCTGCCGGGAGTTTGACCCGATTTTCAAAGAGCAGGACAAGAAGCGGTTAGCAAAAATGGCTAAGTTAAAAGCTCAAAAGGCTAGGGCAAACGCGAAAGAGCACCAGGAGAATAAAGCGGAGGTAAGGGAGCCTCCAGACGAGGCTCCCGACCATTATGCTTGAGCACTAGAAGAGCTGCGACCACGGAGACTGGAATTAGGGTAGCTTTACAGAAAGGTCTGGGTAATCTTGTTTAACACTGTTGTGCTGGGGATAGAGAAAAATTTACGTAATCACGGCGTTCGCAGAGATGTATGCCGTCAGCTTTTTATGGATGGCTTTGCACTTCAGCACTTTGGTAGTAAGTAGTTTTCTATGGTATTGTCATAGCACTATCCAAGTATCACGTTCAGGTCCCCAAAACTTTTCATAATCAATGTTCATGAATATCGTCGATGAAAACCGGTCATTCAGCCCCACTCTCCATTCTCTAAGTATTATTCGTATCCCGACATTCCTTCAATCCTTCTTTCGTATTTTTCCCTCTTAGCCATGGTTTCGAGACTCCAGGAGCTCTGGGTGTACCCCAGACGTGCGAGGAACCGGTGTCTGATTGAAGACTTTCGAAAAGACATCCCTTAAGGAGGAGGAGTTTCTCATTAGGGGCACTCAGGAGGTGGCAAAGAGATGCTACGTAGGCTATTTCCCAGCCCCTAATACACAGACTAGAGAAAAGACATGATCTAGCTGACGTAGGTAGTAAGCCAAGGAGCCCTTCACGGACACGGAGATGTGTATTCATAGCGCACGATCATGGTGTTAATATAAACGTGTCGGAAAGAACATCGAGAACTAAAGGGCTGCACTTTATCGAAGCTTCCGGGTGCTGATTTACGGCCTACGGAACTTTACATCATGCCATATTGAGACAAGCTGGTCGGAGGAGCCCTCACGGTCGCAAGATGGTGAGATTGCTTAGTAGATTCGGCGCCGGTTTACGGTCTTTGGGACTACGTTGTGATCAGGCTCCAAAGATCGCCTAAAAGGTCTCACGTGCTGATCTGTTCTCTACGGGATTTGACATAGGTGAGCGAGTTTACCAATGTTGTTGAAGTCGCTCTGACGGTCGCAAAGAGGTGGCAAAATGCTATAGTGGAAGGTGGATCTGCGAACAAAACGAAAGAATATGCTGATCAGGACTTCGGAATGTCATCGAGGCGATATCAGAGGCCGTAAGATGTAGGAATTCCAACGCCAACCAGCCAATGGAGGAACCTCCAGAATTCTACGACTATGGACATTCACGACAAAGGCAGTGTTTTAATCACAAGCATGCAGATGAGGATATTGTGACGTCAGTGATTGATATTATCCAAAGAGGTTTAGTTACAACCATGTGTGCACTTGCCCAGCACCGTTTGAAGTCCTCCAGCGCATTATTAGAAGCTCCAAAACGACCGTTTGAGCAAGTGCCACAACTCTTCAAGCCACCTCAGACGGCGGTACCTGGGGGGGGAAATGGGGTATATGAATACGGCGGTACCGGTTGTGGGTATCGCTGGGGTGTGTGAGGGGGAAGGGGGGTATATGAATTGGTGCAGTGAGTATAAGGTAGTAGGTATAGGGGACCTTCAATCTGCCGTCCCGCGCCGCCAAATTCCAAACTCCGTGATCTGGATCCAGATCCTGTTGGCCTCTCTGCCGTCGTTCAGGTCGTGGATTGCCGTCATTTCATCATATCCGGGTCGGTCGTCGTCCTACTCGCCTCTACCAAGTGTGAGTTCCGCAAGCCGCAGTATCTCATCGAGGGCCTTCAACCCTGTCCATCGCGTTGTTGGTATCTAGTGGCGGCTCCCTTGATCCCTGGGCGGCACCAAGGAACGAGTAGCCGGATTCGCCGCGACCGTCGTTGTTGTTTTTGTTGTCTTCATCAGGTACCCATTCTTCCCATTCCTCCTCGGAAGTGGTATTGAAAGTCCTGTGCTCGATGCGGTGGACTTTAGTCTCGTCTTCTGGCCATCCGTAGTTCTCACTGTCGTCGTAGGGACCCTTTCAAGGTGTCAGTATACATTCTAGAGATTACAAACAGGTAAAATAAACGGGGCCGCCTCACAAGCCCTCACCTCATCTGTGCACACTTCTCCGCTGCTGTTTGGAGTACCTCAGTACAGCTTCAAAACTCCGAAAGCAACGGCTTTGCCGAATTTGAAAATGCACTGAAGACCTTCAAATAGCAGCATGCACTTGTACACAAATATAGACTTATGGAAACTCAACCTTACGTACCCAAGGACCTTTACACAGTCGTGTCTCTGACGAGTTCTGGCCCCTCGTATAGCCATGCATACTGTAATGGGTACCGCCCTCCATATTGCCTTCATCCTTGAAGGAAATCGTAACATGCCAGCCATCAGGATCAATCGCCCCATAATATCCAGTGGTTCGGTAGATGATGCTTGTAATGCACAATTAGAACAATGTTTGTTTCAAGAACACAATGGCGACTTGTTAGATCTGTGTACACAGATCTATAACTTGACAAGCGCCTGACTTACCGAATGCAGATTTCTTGAATCGCAGGGAACGGTTTTTTAGCCGTATTGAAAGCCGCCTCGGCGTTGATGTTGTTCCGATTGGCATTGCTCGTGGGTTGTTCCACCCATAGGAAGCGAACAGTGGCTTGATGTGGCACTGTTCGTCGCCTAATGACATAAGGCATAATGTAGGAGCGTTTCGGGAAACGACTGGGGCAAAGGAGAATTTCTGTTTCTGGGGGCTCGCCCAGGTAAGCTTGAGTTGTTGACGGAGAATGCAGACTCTGGGTTTGACTTGAGGAAGTTCAAATCCAAGCTCAGGACCGACCTTATATAGTAGAGATAGCAGAGGCCCATCGGCTCACTGTTGGCCGCAGGCAGATTTTGCCATGCGCCAGTCTCTCAAGAGCCGTAGTTAGCCTCTGCCGGTAGGCCTCCTATAATAGAGAGTGAAGACATCACAATACCAGCGCCGTTCAATTGACAACGCCAACAATAGCGGCACGCATGGGCGGGCTTCTTGTAAAGCCGACCTTGCCCAGTCGTTGAATAAGCCGGCTATTGCTCGTGGGTGCGATTAATGCACTATATGATGACCGTGCTCAAAGGTGAATCTGATACACGACCTTGGGTGAAAGCGGATATATTATGGCTGTCGAACGGGCGCAGGAGCTATTGCGGCTACTCTGGGCTCTTCAAGCTCCATGCATACCACGGGGGAATGATCACAATGGACAGTATTATTACAGTTCTATGCACATAGGGGCTGTGAAGGAGAGTTGGAGATACCTGAGTACTCAACAGTTTCGTACTATGTTTGGAGGCGTAATTGCCTGGGCCTGCCCAGTATGCTCTCTCGGCCTCTCTCTGGGTTTCTTGCACAGAACAGAGAGGCAATCATCGTAAGGTGACGAGCTTTGGCTTGCTATCCACTACAAGCTGTCTGAGTGAATCGAGTGGTGAGGTCAGTTTTTGGTGGATCACGTGGCTAACGGCTAGCGCGAAACGATCACTAGCCAATAACTAGCGAGCTCAGACCTGAATTTGAGTGGTTTGCTACACATGCTACAACACGCTGCCAGCACCTACTCAAGTTAAGGTCTAAAAGATTTCTACACACCTTACCACAGGATTACGTTGCAAAATCTCAATTTTGGCACATTTAAATAGCAATAGCACTATAACTATAAGTTTAACTTTTCTAAAAAGTTAATTAATTATAGATACTATAGAGATCTACTAGTATTTACTATTAAAAGTAAGAAAAGAAGTAAATTCTATGCGCTAAGTTTTACGGAAGCTCGTGACCAAAGTCCTGGGCCCCCTAAGGTTGAAAAAGCTGGTATGCTATTCTACAAAGTACATATTAGAATACAAAGGGTGCGGCCGAGTGTATAATCACCTTCCCACCAAAGATGCGGCTTTGGAGAGGTGCCGTTTTGTGGCGATTTTGATGTTCCTCGCCTCGCGTACTCGGGCCCTAGGGCTGATCTTCGATCATTGTGAAACAACCCGCTTGGGAGGTGATTGTGCACTCGGCCGCACCCTTTGTAGCAGACAAGCTTTTTTCACCTCTTAGAACCTCTAGATTTCTTAGGAACCACTAATTAATTTAGCCCTAAAAGCTAATAGATTAAAGAATATATTAGGATCTAAGAGCCCGCTAATTTCTAGATCTTCTACTCTTGTGGTTATAGTGTTAAGTTTCACTAAATATACTAACTTTTGCTAGGTAAATGGAAGTGGAAACTCTAATAAACAGTGCGGAAACCCCTTAGACTTCTAAAAGAGGAAAAGCGTGCGTTTCCCTGCACCCGCTAGCCGGCCTAGGCCGGATATCTGAGGAACGTAACACCTACAGTGTATCTAAGCTCGTTGAGGTAAGACATCTAACTCATTCATAAACTCCACTGCCCTGCACCACACCTCATCTGTAGCATCAACAACTCACCCACCAAATTCAACGCCCCGCATGAGTGCACAAACATCTGCCGAGAGCGAGCAACCGAGTGGCCACCTCATCGGCAAACGCCAAGAAATGTCTGACCAACCGCTGGACCTGAGCAAGCCAGGGAAATGGCGCCTCATCGCCATAAACGGCGAACCCGTCAACGACAGACCCATCGATAGCAATTCCAAGGACATCACTACCATGGTGCAAGATACCGAGCATCACGCACCCGTGTTCGTATACCAAAGCTACCATTTCGGCGCTGAAGACGTCGAGCGCTATGTTCCCGGTGGCTATCATCCTACTTACATCGGTGACCTTTACCACAACGGTCGCTACAAGATCGTCCACAAGCTTGGCCACGGCACCTTCTCCACCGTCTGGTTTGCCCGCGACACGATTGAAGAGAAGAACGTGGCATTGAAAATATTATGCGCTGATATACCAACGGTGAGCCACGAAAGCCAGATCCTGGGATTCTCAAAGCGGGAAAATTCGACCATCCAGGAAGACGCTACGTCGCCTCACTTTTGAACGAGTTTGAAATTGAGGGTCCGAATGGAAAACACCACTGCCTTGTGATGCCCGTTTCTGCTTGCAGCGCGGCTAGTTCCAAAGACAAGCGTGACTTGGGCCATTTCTGTTTCCCGATGCCAGTCGCGAGGTCGATTGCTGCGCAGGTCCTCCTGGGTCTTGACTACATCCATTCTTGCGGTATAATACATGGAGGTGCGTGTTCAGTGATCGTTTCATTTAAAGACATTCCAATTCGTTAATTATCGCAGTATCACGAGCTAATTTTTTTGTAGATTTACATTTGGGTAACATTCTTATCGAGATCCCTGGGTTAGACCAACTTCCTGAGGACGAAATCTACTTCCACCTCGGCAAACCCGAAAAGCAACCTCTTGAGCGTAGAGACGGTCTTCCGCTCGGACCAGAAGCCCCGGCTTACTCGGTTTCATCAGCTATGTTAGAGGTTGGCTGCGGGACAGAGGTCGACCACCCGAAAATTCTCATCTCAGACTTCGGCGAATCTTTCCTTGTCACCGACAAAGACAAGGAACTGCATACGTCTGTGATTCTGCGCCCTCCGGAGGCCTTCTTCGAAGAACACATTGGGCCGAAGGCGGATATCTGGACGATGACTTGGAGTTGCTGGCATAGTAGCTGCCTACATGCCTAGCCAGTTACAACTTCTACAGAGAGGGGTTGGGGTACGGTGGCCTACCGTGCCTACCGTGCCTACTGCTGTCTCTAATTAGTGCTTCTGCCTACGCGTACAGTCACTTCCTACGTAGTATATAGTTTGGCCTTCGGGCCCCCGAAATAAGACAGAGTTCACGTCAATTTGCAACCTGAGTCGATGGGATGCACTCTCTTTGAGATCTTGGGATGCGGCACACTCTTCGAGCACTGGTTTCCGGATATGGACCAGACAGTGACGGAGATGATTAGCACCTTGGGACCAATGCCAATGCGGTGGTGGGACAAGTGGTCTGCTGAAGCAAAGAGTAGGTCTTTTAACGAGGACGGATCTTGGAAAGAAGGAGCTTTCGTGAGATCATTGACGGATCGATTGCAGACCCTAGCTTCGAAGAACCCTAGCAAAGAAATTGAACCACTCAATTGCAGCGACGAGGAGTTTGCAAGCTTGGAAGACCTGTTCAAGAAGATGCTGACTTACAAGCCTGCGGAGAGGGCCACAGTAAGCGAGGTGGTGGCTTCGAAGTGGATGCAGAAGTGGGCAATTCCAAGCATCACCGAACCTTCGTCTCCGGTCAATCTGGACTTTTTGGCGGAGAGGTATCGTAAGAAGTTGGCGCGAGTTGCGGAAAACGAGGAACGCAGGGCGGCCATGCGAGAAAGGCGGGCGGAGAAAGATGCACTGCGGGCCGAGAAGAAGAAGATAAGGGTGTGTGAAAGAGAAGAGCTGTCAGATTCTGAGCTTGCTCAATTGGAACTCTTCAAGTGGAACCAGAAACTTCAGGAGGAAGCGGAGCTTCGAGAGGTTGAAGGCGGGAGAGCATCAGGGCCTGACTCGCTCTCCCAGAACCCGGATCACAACTCCTGTACAATAAGCAACCCACCAGTTCCGCCTCAAGAGCTTAGATGAGCTCCGACTTGACAGAAAAATTCTGCTTATGGGGGTCTCTAAAGCATGGGTATCATAATAGGGTCACGATGGCATCAGCAGATGCATGTACTTTTAGGTCAATTATAGATGGCAGTAAACACATTCAAACAATTCTCTATGGTATCGTGATTCTGAAGTAATGACTTGATAGGACCAGTCATTCGTCATATCGTGGATGGTATTATGTGCGCCGCTGTGATACACCACCATGTCCTTTACCGAGATCGTTATCTGTAGTCAATTTGCTCACATGTATGTGATTGCGTATCCCCACCAAACGAGCCATAGTCATCATTATTTAGACAGAGAAAAAGTTCCCTCTACGAATAGGTCTCGCGAGTTCTAAAAGTGGCCAACCAATACCTAGGAAAGAATTACGTGCAGTACAGGCGTGCCAGTCAGCCCTTTACATACGAAAGCTAATTAAATTCTACGCATTTCAACCTGACCCCAAACATAACCCGAGATTCCATCCTTTCAGAGACACCAAAAGACGTGAGCTTATGCCTTAAGACGTCCGAGTGAGGACAAAGTCGGAGTTGTGGCAATCGAGTGACTACATTCAGGGGTACGAGGCACATAAACCAATCGTCCAGTTCCATTCCCACGCCTTCTACTATCAAAACTTTTGGAGTCACTTACAAAACATCTTTGCCCCACAGCTCACAGTCAATACACCCACGTCATTGTGCTTCTCTTAGACTTGCTTTCTGTACTTAGGTATTGCCAAGTGCCCATGGCCGACTCTTCACCGACTATGAATGACCAACCACCTGCCCCGACCTCGCCACCGAAAGTGCAGGTTTCCGATAGATACCCTCCAGACCGGGTTTATAGATGGGACTACGATGACGGCGTCGAAAACCTCGAACGATACCGCACGGGTGAGGGTCGGAGCTTGTGCAACCGGGCGGAAAAATAGTTGTCGCTGGAGAGGTAGGGAGCCTCCAATGGTATCGTGCCACTGCTCGCACACAAGTTTGGCTGAGAGGGGTTCGACAAATGGAAGGTGTTGCAGTATTTCTTCCACGAGTTCCACAATTCGCCCGACCTTCTGAGCGGCTGCAGATGGCTCTGATTCAGGACTGGATTCAGGAGAAGAGTCTCGGGCTCGGGCATACCGCCAATGTCGTTCGCCGCTCGGTTCTGGAGAGTATGCAGAGCGCATCGTACCCGAGTTCTGTTTGAGCTGCTGGGTAAGGCGGAGGGTGCTTGAGTGCCAGTAGGAGGTGAGGGAAGTGGTGTGGAGGAGACGCAGAGGTGGAGGGTGTTGTAGATCGAAGAGACTAGCCACATGTTAGTCGTCGTGTCGACGTCGCTAGGTTTCTAGATCAAGTCGTCCACCTTTACGAGGGACGAGCAAAACCTACTGATCACGTGACCTGAGTATATATCACTCACCATTGGGACGGCCCGTTCACCATAGAAATGGAGCTTTTAGGCCTACCACTCCTAATCCCCGACTCCCGATACCTCCTATATGCAACCACGTCTGACCTTTCCCTAACCTCAACACCACCCAACCATGCCCAAATCACTAGCACCCAGGGACAAACAAGCCCTCCTAATTCTAGCCGCCGCCATCACCACCGCAACGCTTTTGATAGCATACTCAGCCTCCAAACCGCCCACTACTCCCCAACCCACTACCCCCGCAGCCCCTAGAAAACAATACAACAAACCAAAACAGCGCGAGCGCAACCAGACTTTATCAGGAGCTCCTCGAGCAGCTCCGTCTCGCCGGGCGGAAGGGAGTACCCGCGCTTCGATAGAAAAAGAGGCAGTACTCGAAAAGCCGCCAAAGGCTGAAGCTGTGCAGGAAAGACTGGTGCTACCATCCCACCCTCCTCCCGGCTCGCCCCCGGAACCACTATCACCAAACACGGAAAGATGCCTCGCCTACCTCTCCCAAGCCCACAACAACCCAATCTCCGAAGAGATGACTCCCAGATCGACGCCATCTGCAGGGCCAAGCAGCCCAAGAGACAGCACTGCGGTGGCCATAGACCGAACGATCGCAGGCGCGCCATCGGGGCTGCTCGCGCGCCAAACCTTTGTTTCAGCAGGGTCATGCGTGATGGCGAGCGAGCTAATCAGGCGGCTGGGGGAGATTGAAAAGGAGCAGGAGGCTCTGCGGGTGGAGGAGGGCTATGACGAGGGCTACGAAGGCAAAAAAGAAGGCGCGAGATCGCCTGTTGTTACGTATCTCCAGAGACGGCGGCGGCGGAGGGAGGGGTAGGGGGTTGCGGGTAGGATGAGTGGTGGATTTGATTGGCTTCGGTTTGGGAAGTGATTGAATCGTATAATGAGCGTTCTTTGTTTTAATCGAGGGCGAGATGCCTACTATCCAAATTAGCATTTGGTGTCACTTAATCAATCATACGGCTCCTTTGATACGGAGCTAGGGGTATCAGCGGCAGTCGCATCATGGGAGTTTTTGTTCTAGAGGAGTGTGAAAATGCCTACTAGTTAGCATTCGGCGGTATCTTATGAAAGCTTAGGGCCCCATTCCCGGGGGGCTAAGGGTATTAACGGTAGAAGCTTCGCTCGCCGTTATAGTACATGGGATATCTCGTCTTGTGACCAGAATTATGGCACCCACAGCTGGTCGGGAGCGGCATTAAGGAATCAGACGGCAATGAGGATGTTGAGAGAGTGTGTAAATTCCCCCTTGATCAGCAGCCTCTTTTTTTCCAACACCCCCTAAACATCCAACTTCTTCGTTGTTCGACACATAGTCAGTACACTTCAACCTCACCTACTGAGAAAGCCATACTTTATAGAGCTATCAGGCAGCTCTCCATACTCAAACCTTTCTCCACATCCACTTAAACCAACAATCCACTCTAGACCAAGGATTCTAGAAAATGGCCAAGTACAATCTTACCTGTGCGTTACCCCCTCCATACGGCCGGCAGTGAACCACATTGACGTCAAAAAGACTTACTGGCGGCGGTCTTCATCCTCACTCTCCTCTCCCCCGCCTCCGCCAGCGTGATCGGCTACTACAAGAACAACTGCGGCTCCACCACCTGGGCGCACACCTCGCGCGGCTCCGGCGGCGACTCCTCTACCATCGCCATCTACCCCGGCCAAGAGTACTGGACGCCTCTCCAAGCCGACGCCGGCGGCCCAGGCGTGACACTCAAGGTGGACAACAACCCGCAGCTCAAGCACCCCTACCAAGTCGAGTTCTCGTCCCGCGATGGCAGGACCTGGTACGACTTGTCCTCGGTCGACGGAAGCCCGTTCTTGACGAACAAGCGGTTCCTGCAGATTGGCAACCCGGGACAGTGCCCGTGGCTGTTCTGCGATATCAATCAGAGTGGAGTCTGCGAGTGGCCGGTGCAGCGGGATTGCGTTAATGGTGGACCGGTGCAGTTTTGGTTGTGCTAGGTGCGGTGGGATGGTAAGATGGTGCTTGAGTTTTCTTTCTTTGTATTGAGTTTTGCTGACGTGCTGTTAGGGGAAGGGGACGGTGTTACATATCTGAGCTCGGTCTTGGTTATTCCTGCAGACGATGGCACCAAAAGATTTCGAAGGCAGCATCCTAAAATGACTCAATCTAGGAGCCACCTCTGCCTTCGGTAGGCTACGGCTAGAGACGGCTCGTACGATGAGTTAGTTGCTTCTTTGCTTTTTTGACGACCGGGCGCCGGTTGAGACGGACAATGGGTGCCTTGGAGCATCCATTGCACTAGAGAGCACTGCAGCAGTAGATGATTCAATACGAGAACTCGGTGTTCAGGTCGTGCGTCCAGATCGTCAGGAACCGTGACATTTCATGTGAGATGATCTACAAACCGGGCGAAGCGGCAAGGCGGAATCTGGTGTGAGCTGGACCTCAGGCGTGGTGTTCTTGTCGAGGAGTGGTTCGAACCGTGGAATTTAGTGGAGCAGAGTCCGACGGGTACGACGGGCAGGTCCGGGGGAGAGCTAACCACGTGAAAGGTCGTTTCAAGACCCTTGTTAGAATGAAACCTTACACAAACAGTCTAGACTCTGCGAACAAAGCTTGTAGGCCTTGATATATGATTACTGAACCTACGCCAGACTCTAGGTAAATTTTACAATGCGAGTGCCGGCAAGGCAGATTTTCTTTGACGTTGTACGCGCTTTACTCGCATTGGGCAAATGCACACACAGCCAGCGAGTTTGGGAAGGGCGCTCGGACCTCTTGGTGTTTCGACTCTTACCGGAAGGCAACGAACGCGAAGAAAGAAGGCATAAAAGGCAGACGAATGCCTGGCACCACATTCCAAAAGCGATTGACCTGACGTTCGAAGCCACGAATTGACATCATGACATGTGAAAGTATGCGAGATGCTGCACGAGGCGTATCTCGACGTACCTCTAAACGAACGAGAGGATAAGCGACCACGCACAAAGAGCGGTAAGAAATGGAAAATTTCGTGACACGTAAGACAGAATGGCACTTGAGATATGATCTGACATGCAATAGATCTCGGAGTAGGGCAGTGTGCGAGAAGGTCAGCGGAGATGCAGGTCCCAGGTGACAGCGGCCAGCTGGTTTCTCACCTTCTTTCAGCAGTCTTCCAGGATACGTGGGATGGGGAGCACATTCCTCGGGCACTACCAGAGACCCAACGCGCTGGACCATCTGAGACAAGCTCGATTGTCGGGTCCGCAGCGTTGACACAGGGCTGAGCCTGACGCAGAACAGATGTCGACGCCCTGATTGGCTGGCGCTGAAAGTAGGATACCTATTTCTAACGCAAGGACACCTCATTGGCGACCGGAGGAGACGTAGCTCACTGCGTTTTGATATCGGTATCCAATTGCGAGGGGTCGGTATGGATGCTCGCGGAGGCGGGTCTGTGACTCCAGCTGTCAGCAGCATCATGAAGGGGGCATGGACGGGACGGCGGCCACCACTGGAGGCTCGTCCCGTCCCACCATCAGACCTCCTCCCACCGCGAAGAAGGCAATCGGGTCGTCATGCTTGCTTTTTCCCGGCCCTTTGTGGAGTGCCGGTGAGGTGCATTTCCAGCCAAGGAGTCGCAGGCACGAGGTCAGCACATTGCCGAGGACGTCTCTTGGCCGTCCGGAGGCTGGATGCAGCAGTCGTCTTGTCTTGCGGTCAGGCTGGTCGAGGTCTCCGTCGACGCGCAGTAGCCCCGGCGTGCATGCGGCAACCGATTGGATTTGTCCAGGACAGTCATCCGCCGTTGCGAGCAGCGGCCGTCTCGATAGGCTGCTGCAAAGCTTCGCGTCTGCCGTGGAAGCATGATGCATGGAGAGGTGTGGTTTGTTGCCTGGCTGCTGGCCGCCTTTGCTGGGTGCTGCAGCCGCCTCGCCGTCTCCGCACCGCTCCCGGCGTCGAAGGGTGTGATAGTCTGGTGAGGTTGCAGCGGGCAGTCCTCCAAGAAGTGCCAATATGCATCTATTCCCGTCTAATATGCACGGCCTCGTCGCCGTTCATCGCGGCTGCGCCGACTGCCCATGTCTCCCTAGCTCTGACCGCCCCGCTTGTTGCTATTCTATTCCCAGCCCTGTCCTTCATCACCTCAGCCGCACAAATTGGGCAGAAGATGCTCCATTTAAGATGTAGAGCGCCCGCGACAATGGCGCATCCCAATGCCCATCAACTCGCCGCCCTGCAGGCTCTCGTTTCTTTTTCTGCCGTCTCCTGCACCCGCAATGGCCTCGCAAATGTCACTTGTTGATCTCGCAAACACCACGCGTCCCCCAACGAGGGCACACTCCATGGTCCAAGAGCATCGCTCCCACTCGATCCCCCAGCATAGGCCCAGGATGAAGAAGCAGCCGCCCCAGAAGGGCATTGACGACTTCTGGGACAAGTTCTCCACCAAGCATCCCGGCAAGATCTTCACAATTCTCCCGGACAACCTCTACGCAAAACGAGCCGCTGCCCATGCGCCAAAGGGTGCAATTCTCGGCCAGAACGCTGTGGCTTCTTATCAGGAGGCTGCCGAAGCTTGCCGGGCAAAAGTAGAGAAGATAGTGCGAGAGTGTCGACGAATCAACCAGAAATACCGCGACCCCCATTTCGACATTGAATACGACTTCAAGCGCTCGCAGCTGGCTCCGGACATCCCACAAGACTGTCTGTGTGCCCTGAACGAAGACCGGACAGAGTTCCAGCCCATGTCGGTTAAGAGAATTGAGGTAACGTGGAGCCGATCCGTGTGCAATGTTACACTTTGCTAATTGTTCTCAGGACATCTTTGAGAAACCCCGATTCTTCATCGAAGGCGCCACCGCAAACGACGTCCGACAAGGCAATGACGGCGACTGCTGGTTTATGTCAGCACTCTGCACATTGAGTAACAAGGAGGGCCTCATCCAGCGAGTCTGCGTCGCAAGAGACGAGGAAGTCGGTGTATATGGATTCGTTTTCCACAGAGGTGCGCTGGAAACATATTTGGAACGGTCTCGGATGCGTGGCTGACACTGCCTAGATGGAGAATGGATATCGGAAGTCATCGACGACAAGCTCTACCTCATCAAGGAAGACTTTGATGATGCAACCATTGGACGCTATCAATGGTTAGAGCTACAAAACCGCAAGAGCCCCGAGGATGAGTACCGGGCAGTCATGCAGACCGGGTCGAGGGCTCTATACTTTGCCCAATGCAGCGATCCAAACGAAACTTGGCTTCCTCTGCTCGAGAAAGCGTACGCCAAGGCTCACGGAGACTACTCGGCAATTGACGGTGGATTTGTTGGGTAAGCCGGAATCGCGACGACACATGCATCACCTACTGACAAGCTACAGCGAAGGAATCGAAGACCTCACAGGAGGTGTCACATCCGAAGTCTTTGCCACAGACATTCTAAACAAAGACAAGTTCTGGCGAGAAGAGCTCATGAATGTCAACAAGACATTCCTCTTTGGCTGCGGCCAAATGGGCGGTGTCTACGGACAGCGGAAGGGCATCCAGGAGAAGCATGCTTACTCTATCATGGAAGCCCAAGAAATCGACGGTGTGAGGCTCTTGAAATTGAGGAATCCATGGGGCAAGACAGAATGGAATGGTGCCTGGAGCGATGGCTCTGAAGAGTGGACCCCCGAATGGATGCAGAAACTCAACCATAAGTTCGGTGACGATGGCGTAGGAACCCTTGCTTTGGTTTGCGATGCATTGACTAACATGGAAACAGGTGTTCTGGATTTCTTACAAGGATCTTCTCCGCTCTTATCAACATTTCGACCGAACCCGACTCTTTGGACCAGAGTGGACCGTATCCCAGCAATGGACTAGCGTCAACGTGCCCTGGTCTGTTGATTACCTCGACACCAAATTCAAATTGACCCTCTCAAAGCCAAGCCCGGTGGTGATCGTCCTTTCACAGCTTGATGACAGGTACTACCAAGGACTCGAAGGCCAATATGAGTTCCATCTCCAATTCCGGCTCCACAAGGATGACGAAGAGGACTACATCGTTCGAAGCAACGGCACTTATTACATGAAGCGGTCTGTCAGCGCCGAGGTCGACCTCCAGGCTGGAAACTACACTGTCCTCGTGAAGATTAAGGCTACTAGGTTCCCGAATCCGACCCCTGAAGATGTTATTCGATCGACATGTGCCGGTAGAAGAGAGAAGCTCCTCAACATCGGTTTGAGTTACGATCTAGCTCATGCCAAGGGCCAATTTCGAGAGGCAGAGAAGGACAGACTAAAACGCGAGAAGGAGGAAAAGAAGGAGAAAAAGAAGCTGGAGCTCAAGCGCGCGCATGAACAACGACGTAAACTCCGCAAGAAGGACAAAAAGCGGCAGCAAAAGAAAGAACAAAAGATTGTCGAGAAGAAGTCTAAGAAGTCTAGCTCCGACCCCCTAACGCAGCTGGAGAACAAGTTACACGATATAAATGGCCTTGGTATCTCTGTCGAAGAGGAAGATCGACAGCCCAGGGATACTGAGCCGAAGCCAATGCATCCGGCTGTCGCAATGCATCAGAAGGCTCACAGCACGGGCACTATTCATAGTGAAGGCAAGGCGCACGAGCGGTCGCAAAGTCCAGGTAGTGGTGGATTCGGTGGACGCTCGGGTTACAATAAGGGCTTTCAGGGGCGGAGTGGGTATAACCAAGGACGAGGTCAGTCAACCCAATCCACAGTCTCGAATCACTACTGACGTCAAGACTAGATGGTTATAACGCCAACATGCCAGGAGAGGGCTTCAAAGGGCGTGATGGGTGAGTGATCTTGCCAGTTTCTACAAAATCATCCTGCCATCTACTAACGTAATGAAGCTACAACGGACGAGATGGATACAACGGCAGAGACGGCTACAACGGACGAGACGGCTACAATGGGCGAGACGGCTACAACGGCAGAGATGGCTACAACGAAGGCACAACCGAATCCCCTCGCCCTGATACACCCAGCCACCGCCCCGTATCGCCAAACCCTCAACGCCGCGACTCCCGCCGAAACTCCCCTGCACCACCCTCACGCCGCGCCACCCTCACCCCTATCCCCGGCGTGCGCCCTGGCATTCACGTCACTGACCACAGATCACGTCGCTCTGCATCTCCTTTCAGTGACACGAGCGATGGCAGCAGCTGGGACAGCGAGCTTGACGGACCATCGTCATCTGATAGCGATGTAGAAGACTCTGACGCCGCCACACATATCTATCGCTTCCGCCTGGAAGAAGACGACAACGACGACGAGCAGGATGAGTTCGAGCGTGACCCCTGGAATGCAGTTGCTGTGATTGGCCTCAGGGTCTATAGCAAAGACACCGATGTCAGCATTGAGGTTGTCAAACCTCAGGAAACAACAAAGAGAAAAGAGAAAGCCCTCGACGTCGACGATTCTGCAGCCGACGCAACTAGGCCGTGGGATCGTGTACGCGCGTATGTGAGCCAGCGGGGTTACATAGAGGCGTTGGAGCAAGCGGAGATTGAGAAAGTGGGCAATGCGCCGGCGAATGAGGAGGTCAGCAGGCAGGGTTAAAGGGGAAAAAATGGCAGTACGCTTCGATTGGGATAGTAGCAAGACTGCTCAATTTCTAATTGGTAATTGTAATTTCTTTACCTGTGGTCTTTGTGGGGAGGGATATGGTGGTAAACTCTCTCGCTCGGTGTTTGGTAGGCTGTAGTTTTTCGGTCCGTTCTTACGGTATATCTTATTCTTCGTCTTCCATGCGTGCGTTCAGCGATTTAGTCCCCTAATTTGCTTGCGTATACATCCAGAGGTATACTCATGATAATGTCATGCTCCTTCAATCTAGTCCATCCGATTTGGATCTTTGTCACTACAGTCAATGCTTCGAAGTCCTCCTGACGCTCTCTCTTTTGTGCAATGTCGAACTCAGTGTCATTTTGTTCTAGACTCAGCTACCAGTATCTGCGGGCACAGCCAACCATTGAAGCTTTCGGCTACAACAAGCCATACCATACCGCTTTCAACACCCTACCGACCCCCAGAATACCACCATACCGCCACCGCCCCACCCGCCAGCCAATCACCGCCCCTTACGGCTCCCAAGCGCTCAGCACATCCCTACCTCTCAACTCAACCCCTCACCTTCGGCAACGCTCCCCCCCTCTCCAGCGGGAAATACGTCCCCTCGACCCTGCGCCACGGCCCCGTCAGCACCTCCTCGCCGACGAAAAGGCAGACGATACACACCTACAGCACAAGCGGCACCTCCAACGCCCCCTCTCCAAACGCCTCCCACGCGTCGTCCACGGCGGCATCCCACGCCAGCGCCAGCCGCGCCATGATGACGGCGTGCCAGCTCTCACAGACGCGGAGGAGGCGCAGCGCGGTGCGTAAGGGCAGCGGGTTGAGGACGCGGTCGAGGAGGGAGTGGCCGAGGGTTAGGACTTGGGCGATGGGGGCTGGGATGGGGAGGGGGGTTAGTGGTTGTTGTGGAAGTGGTGGGGGGGGGGGGAAGGAGGGGGGGCAGGGGGATTAAGAGGAGGGCAAGGGGACGCACAAGGCTCAGCGAACAGCGCGCGGATTTCGCGGTAGAGGCGGAGGTTGCTGCGGGCGAGGCGGATCTCGGAGAGGTCGCGCCGGTGGGGGGCGTTGGTGTCAGCATGTGGCGGAGGGGGGGGGGGGGGTTTCTTGGGGTGCGGATGGGATGGGGCGGCGGGTGTGGGGAAGGGGGAAAGGTTGGACGTACGTCCATTCGTCCTGGGATTGCTGGGTATTGCGGGGATTGGCGCCACACGCGCTCCATGCGGCCGTCGATGCTGTCGCGCTAGGTGGTGCAGACGCCGCGCGCGGAGATGGCGGTGGGGAGCGGAAGGTGTTTGAGGATTGAGTCGGTGAGTTCAGGGATGTGGAGGAGGGCGCGGTGGGTGGACATTTTGGGCGTCGGGGCGGAGTTTTTTGTGGTTTGTGGGTTGGTGGTAGTTTTCGGGTGGTGCTGGAGGATGGCGAAGAGAGGGTGTTTGGGAGTAGTCGGATCTGGGGGGTCTAGAAGGCGGCTTCGCCAACAGGAGGAGCTAGGAAAGGGAGATCATGGGACAGTGAATAGGTATCAGAGCTTGGGATATTAATCACTCGACAGGCTTCGAGTAGGCGATTAGCTATGCGAGACTGTAGATGGCATCCTCTAATTATGGTATTGAAGTGAGGATGGTCTCGTAGTGACCTCCAAATCGAGCACTCTTTAGCTACAACCCAACACAGCAGAGAAGATCACTACATACTCAAGATGGAGGACAACTGACTGCTCTAATTCAGCTACTCATCACCACAAACCGCCACATCTTGAAGGTATTCAGCACGCAAGAAGCTTCAGTCTCCGGCACAAGGCCCGACAACCAATGTCCCCAAGGTTCTCCAACAGACACTCCATGAGTCGCCTGTTGCATCTGTTTTGCTCCTCCCCAAGTCATCGCGGCTCTGGCGAGTGGTAGTTTGATGCCCCCTTCTCCGCCACAGTGCCATGACGTTCTTGTTTTCATCGCTTTACTCCGCTAGCCCTCTACCGTACCATGACGTTCTTGTTCTCGTCGTTTTGCTCCGCTAGAACCATGGCGGCGCTGTTCGCGAAGTTTTGAACCCATCCGTCCCTCCACATAGATCGTCTCGAGCGTCACTGTTGATTCTCCCTCCATAAGGACTTAGTGCACTTGATGTTGCTGCCCCCTCACTAACCTCGAGGCCTGGCTACCTCGAGGTTGTTGCTGGAAAGGAAGTTTGGGGGTGGGGGGTGCCCTTGCTTTATACCCCAGAGGAGGAATTTGAGGTGGCCCCTGCGCTGGAGTGGCTGGGTCCTGGAAAGTCGTGGAGGCGGCGGACTTGTGTGTCAGGCGGCGGTAGGTAGTGAGTGAAAGCGGGTATCGGGGGGCCTAACTTCGGCGTAGCGTAGTTGAGGAGCGTTCACTAGTCATGGGCGGGGCGGCGGCGGCGGGGGACCGGGACAGTAGAGCAGCACTAATAGCCTGCTGTTGAGCGTGCGGCATAGAATCGATTGGACGGCGTTATTTCTGCGAGGCCAGTGATGAAGATAGGCGGATCGGGCCGCGTATTGTTAGCAGTATGGTTCGGCTTGTTAAGGCTAAGGAGACGACGGGAGCGGCACGAGGGTGTAGGATACCGGGCAAAAGAGCATTGCCACTGGCCTGATTTTGAACGTACGGCATAGAAACAAGTGGAAGCGGCAGGTTTGCGAGCACAGCACTGAGGGCTGGCGGGCCGGGCCGTGAATTGATAAGATGGTCGTGCGGCTTTTCGAGGGCGAAGGACATCTGGAAGCCGGCTTGAGGCTGCGAGAGACTGCACAGGAAGGACTTCCTAGTAGCATGACCCTGGAGGACCTAAGTTGGGTGCGCGGGAGTGAAATTGGATCTCACCTTGAAGGACCTCCGCCAACTGCGCCCTTATAGCAACCACACTCTTGAAGGGGGCGATTTAGGACCCTCAGTGCGATACTACCATTCCTATAGCGATCTGAGAGGTGTTCCAAAGATCTACAGATCCTTATAAAGCGTATAAAACGCGGTGAAAGCTGTTTTGAAGCCGTTATTCCTTCTTGATGGGGCGTAACGTTGAAGTGTTGAGAGCACGTGACGCACAATCCGCGGTGTTTTAACTGACGTCCACACTCGCCTCCTGCTTCTCTTTTTATTTTTTCGGCCGCAAGATCTCACAACAGCGTTACCATTGCTCAGCAGCACGTCTCCTCGTTGCCCAAGCTCTTCGTCGTCCGCATAGCAGCAAAGAAGCCGCCAAAAGCTCCGATCAGGTCACAGGTCGAGCTCCTCTTCCTCTACAACAGCCGCCGACAGCGTGCCTCCTCTCCACCCTCTCGCCGCCCTCTCGCCGCCTCTTCTCCGTTCCGCGTCGCCGTCACTGTCGCTTCTTTCGCCATAAACACTACCCTTCTGGACAAACTTCCCCCGCAACAGTAAGCCTACCCTACCCTCTCCCACCCCTCACGTCTAACCACGCACAAAGATGGCCCAGAACAACGACCAGGCGCGCAGCATCGTCCACCGCGTGACCGTCCTCTCCTCCGACCTCACGGTCTACCGTGTCGTGCTCCCTTTCGCCGCCACTATCCACGGCGAGCTGACGCTCACGGAGGGGGATATGATCCTCGTGACGAAGAAGCGGGCAGATGGTACGCCCTCCTCGCTCCTTATTCAATGATAACTGCTAATACTTGCGGAAGGGTGGTGGCTTTGCGTGCGGCTGGAGAACCTGGACGCGCAGGGCTGGGCGCAAAAGGAGTGCCTCAAGGCGTACCAGCACCTGCAGTGGGCGGGGTACGGGGAGTGGGCCCCAGTGCCTATGGGGCCGAAGAGGGAGCCGCCGCCGAGGAGGCATTCGTCCATGTTCTGAGCGGGAGGGTGGGTGCTTCTGGGGGATCGTTTGGAGGGGAGAGTGGTGGCTTGTGGGAGTTGTTTCCGGAGGTGGAAGTCGGGAGAGAGAGAGAGGAGTTTTGGAGCAGTAGATAGAGTGCTGGAGGAGCTTCGGGGGTGGTATAGACGTGGAAAACAGGTTCGGGATGAGAGATGATTTGGGGAGTAATGGCAATGGCGTTTGAACGAGCATGAAATTTGCCGGTTTTGATGAGTGATTAACGCTGTTTGAGGTGCTTTGGATACAGAAAGTTTCCGGGCGAGATGTAAAGATAAGGACAATTAGAATTGGACCGGTGGTTCATCTCTCCTGTTGACACTCTCATACCGCTGATTGAAGTCCTCTTGTAGGTGGAAAGAATTTCAGGTAAGACGTAAGATCCGGGGCCCACAAATCGGACTGGCGCTTGAGTGCTCCTGCTCATATTAAGCTTTCGCCATCTGAAATCCTACAGCACGTGAATAGTAACTCAGACAATATTTCCGCTCCGAGCTTTACGAATCGGACCGGGGCTCACAACGTCCTGATACACTCTTTTGGCATCGTAACAAGGTCCGCCGGTGTTTCTAAAAAGTCTTAAACAAGAAGTGGAATTCGTAAAAGAGGAATCACGTTAGCTTTGATATGATGCTGGTTACACGCGTCTGGCCCTGCCCAGCAAAACCTAGTTAGAGTGTAGCCTTTGCAACATCACAAATTAGACCTGGCATTGGATGTTCCTCAAAAACCCGTAACAAGGAGTATACGTTTTGCCAGTATGGGAAACTCCGGATGGTACCCCTGGCATACCCGTCTTTGAGATCATAAGATGTAAAAGGCTCGAGGTTGCAAATTAGGAGGCTGATCTTAGGTTCGTGTTGGAAGCAGGCGTTACCGTGAGTAGAGCTATGCGTTCTGACAGTACGGAAAATATTAGATGGTACCCCTGGCCCACCCGCGTTTAAAAATATATGATGGGAAGAACTCGAGGCCATAAATCAGGGGGCCAAGTTTGGTATTCTCCTAGACGTGTGGCAAGAGCTGTACGCTTTGACCCTACCAGAAGCTTTGGATGGTACCCCTGAATTGTCCGTCTTTGAGAACAGATGATGTCAAGAACTCGAGGCTGTAATCCGGGAGGCCAACTTGGGCATATGTGTTTTGGACGCCGGCTTATTACTGTGAGTAGAACTGTGCGTTTTGAGAGTACAGGAAGCACTAAATGGTGCCCCTGACCTATCCGTCTTCAAGAATACATGATGTAGAGAATTCAAGGTTGCGAATCGGGCGGGCGGCTCTTGGTATCCGTAATTTCGTGTGGAAAAACGGCCGTTACAACTGCACATCGTTAAACCCCTCATATCAAGGCAGATTTGGTTGGTGGAGACAGGCGTCAGGGGCCCTGGCTCATGGCTCAACCCCCACCTGAAACCTATGACGAGAGTTCCATAGTTTGCACGCTGAGACGTGTTGACAGGCTGGCATTGAGACTGAGTCAACGTGGGGTGTAGGAGAGACAGCCGATGGCCTTTGAGACGCACAATGTCGACTGAGACAGAAGCCTACGAGAGAAGCTCTCACCTGGCCCCTACCGGCTCTTAAGAGCATCCAATGTGACCTTTTGATGGAGTCTCTGAGCGGAAATGTCAACCATTGATAAGATATCCGTGCCACAGGATACTAATCAGTAAACCGGTACCCCTTTCCACCGGACCTGTTCGTTTCAGGAGAAACTTCACACACGGCCCGTCGTCTGTGCGTTGACAGCCATCATTGGCACCCGTTCCTGCACCCCGCTCCAGCACAGCAGCCAGGCTGGCATCACGCCGCTGTGCTTGCCCATCACACCAATACAGGTGAGGTTGGGATAACGTGGGGTGGAACTAGGGATATTCGGCGTCGTGGCCCAATTAGCTCCCGCATTGGCGCCCCGCGAACAGCACATTTATCGCAGGGGCAGGCGCGTCGAACCTCCAACATCACCACCATCAAAGCCCTCGAGGGGGACCGCCATCGTCACCCCAACGCTGCGGGTGTCACTGACTCTCGAGCCTCGTCGGATTCCCTCAGCTAGACAGCCTGTCTAGACAGCATGGCGGAGATCTCAGAGCCGCCGCCTACGGCTTCAGACGCCAGTGAAGCCACCCCTGCGAATGCTGCAGAAGCTTCAACGCCCTCCACGAAGCCCGACTCTGCCACCGCTGCGAAGAGGAAGACGACTGCTTCTAGCACAGCTTCGAAGCCGGATCCTGCTGCTCCCCGGCGCCCCCTTGCGTCGTCGGCAGCTGGGTCTGCAGCAAAACGCCCGACCACCACCTCCCGACTATCGACGACGCCCGCGAAGCCTCTGACAACCTCTTCAACACGTCAATCCACCCTGGGATCGAGTCTGAGCAAGCCCCCGACGCGCCCAGTTCCCGGCTCGACAGTTCGGCGAGCAGGCACAACTTCATCCTCGAAGACAGCGGGCTCAGATCACGATCATGACTTTGCTTCTCTCACCTCTGGAGATGAGAACAAGAAGCCGGGCCTCAATGGCACACGGCGGACGTCAACACTTTCATCGTCGACCACGAGGGCTTCACCTTCCAAGGCAGGCTCCGCCGCAGAGAGGCGATCAACAGTTGCACCACCCAGTACAAGCGCACCCCGACGCCCAGCAGTCTCATCGCGAACAAGTACAACAGATACAGGAGCAGCTCGTCCGCCCCCACGGATGTCGCTGGCGGCTGGAACTAGGCCGACAACGACGCGTCCCAGTACCACCGCCAAGGCGCCCACCACAACTTCACGGGCCACTCCAGGACACTCTAAGAAGCCTTCAACATCTTCCACCGCTTCGTCTACTGTGGCTGCTAGCACCTCTAGCCTGGCCAAAGGGTAGGCGAGAGCAAATCTGTGATGTATCCAAGCACCGCTAACACCAGTGAATAGAAAGTCCCCTGCCTTGAGCGGACCTCCCAAGGCCGACCTCTCGAAAGACAAGTCCGTATCCGATGCCGAAGTCGAGTTGCGCTCTACGCCCTTTTCTCCGTCTGACGTCGAAGCTGTCGCCGAGGAGACCGCTAGGCCAGACACTGCTCCCAGTGGCTCTGTGACCGACACCGACCTCGAGGAGAGGAAGAGGAGGAGTGCACAGATAATGCAGGACTTCCTGAAGGAAACCACCTTACGGGAAACCATGCAAGAAGAGAGCGACAAGCTGAAGAAAGACAACGAGAAGCTCACAAAGGAAACGACGAAGCTCAAGAAGCAGTTGCTCGAGAAAGACACGTTGATTGCAGAGAAGGAAAAGCTGTTGGCAGACACACAGGTACAGGGGCAGCCGAAGGCTTCACCTCTGCAGTCGTCTCTCATCGACCAGATGGAGAACAAATTTGCGTTTGAGACCAGGGAGCTTCGTGACCAGAAGGAAAAGCTTGAGGGCGAGCTTGCTACGGCCAAGGCCAAGAAGCAAGAGGTCAGTGAGACCGCGAAGCACGAAGCAGAGCACTCAACTGAACTTCAACAGGTCTTGGATCAACTCGATGCTGAACTCGCAACAAAAGAAACAGAGTGGGCGAATGAGAGGAAATCTTGGAGACAAAAACACGGAGACCAACAAGCTCTCATCGATGGTCTGAAGAAAGAGAAGGCTGAGCTGGCAAGCGGTTCTGACGCACACAAGGCGGCGTACGAGGCTTTGAAACTGCAGCATTCCGAAGCTCAAGCAGCCGTGGAAGATCTCCAGATCAAGCTGTCCACGCTGAGCAAAGACCATACCGACCAGCTCAACACTCTGAAAGGAGAGCACGAGACAGCTCAGAAAGCTCTTTCCGACATCCAGGGCCAGATCGCGGAACTCCAGAAGAAACACACCGACGAGCTCAGACAACGGGATGAGGAAATCGAGCAATTTGCTGGAGTCCGGAAAGCTTTCGAAGCGGATATTGCTGCAAAAGACCTTCAGCACAAAGAGGCTTTCGAGGAAGCTGAGCGGTCCTTCAACGAGAAACATACCGAGTCGCGATCACTCGTCGACGAACTTCAGTCCCAGATCACCTCTCTCCAACAAAGCCATAGTGACGAGTTGAACGGATACAAACAGACGGCAGAGACACGGATAAACCAGCTGCAAGAAGAGCTGGAGGCTCTGCAACACCAGTCTGACGAGACAATCGAGAGCTTGGAGAAATCGCACCAGGAACAGACAACGAGATTGCAGGAAGAACTGCGTGCCCGGAACGAAGAACATGAGGCTGCCCTTCGCGCCAAAGACGAGGAGGTGTCGAAACACGTCAGTACCTTGGATAGCCTACAGGACCAGATCAAGTCCCTCCAACAAGGGGAGACCGATGGTAGCAAAATTGTCGAAGACCTCCAACAACAGAACGGGAACCTCCAGGAGAAAGTTGCGGACCTCAAACGCTCCCATGCGGACGCATTGAAAGCCAAAACGGACGAAGCTGAAGAGCTCTCGAAACAACTCGACTATGTGAACGACCAGCTCGCCTCTGACGCAGCTGACCTTGAACGTCTGAAGGACGAGAACGAAAGCCTCAAGAAGTCCATGGAAACTTTCGAGAAGTTCTCCCAGCAGCAGGACGTTGAATCTTCTGCGGTCGTAGCCAAGGTTCGAGCTGAACTTGAGGAAGCGGAACATAAGGTTGAGAAACTCAAGTCCGAGCTTGAGACTGCTGAAGACCGGCACAATCAGGACCTTCAATCCATTGGAAAAGACCACGATGAAGAGATTGAATCTATCCGAGCTGACCTGGAAGGAGATGCTAAGAAACAGTTTGACGCGCTCCAAGCTAAACATGACTCGCTGTTGGAGGATAAGACGACTGCAGAGGCTAAGCATGATGCTCTTGAAAAGGAGAAGGAGCAGCTGCTGAATGAACATGGACAGGACCTCGACGCTTTGAAAACTGAATTGGACACTCTTGAAAAGGAGCTGATTGACGTCAAGACTGAAAAAGAAACTCTGCACGCGGAAAAGAAGGCCGCTGAGGAAGCCCATGCTAGTACTCAGGAGGCGATCAACAGCCTTCAGACGAAACTCGATGCCCTACTCGAAGAAAAGAACGCTGCCGAGGATGCGCATACTTTGGCCATCGAGGCACTCAAGGCCGACACCGACGCTTCCTCTAGGCAGGCGATTGATGAGCTGCAGGCAAAACACGATGCTCTTCTTGAAGAAAAGAAAACTACCGAGGATGCGCATGCTGTAGCGATCGAGGCACTCAAAGCTGACTCCGAAGAATCATCCAGGGCTATTGACGACTTGCGGTCGAAACACGATACTCTACTTGAGGAAAAGAAAGCCGCCGAAGAAGCACACACACTGGCGATCGAGGCCGTCAAGGCCGACACCGATGCTTCCTCCAGGCAGGCTATTGAGGAGCTGCAGGCGAAATACGAAGCCTTGTTGAAGGAGAAGACTGCTGCCGAAGAAGCACACAGTTTGGCGATCGAGGCCGTGAAGGCCGACACCGATTCTTCGTCTCAAAAGCTGATCGACGACCTTCAAGCCAGGCATGACGCTCTTCAGGAAGAGAAAATGACTATTGAGGCGAAACACAAGACAGAATTGAAAGCCTTAGAAAAAGAAATGGACGACAACGCAAGCGCGTTTATCAATGACATGCAGACGAAGTTTGTGGCGCTTACTGAAGAGAAGGACAAAACTGCGGAACAGCATCTACTGGAGTTGTCGTCTTTGCAAACCGACTTGGAATCAACCCACAAAATTTCTATCGCCGATCTACAAGCTAAACACGATGCCCTCGTCGCTGAGAACACGGAGATCGAACAGTCTCACGCCGACGCCATCGCTCATCTTACCGACTCCTTGAAAGCTGAGCATACCGAAGCACTAGCTACTCTTCAGTCCAAGCACGACGAACTCACCGAAAAGCTCTCTGGTACCGAGAAAGCTCACGCGGATGCTATCGCGCTGCTTAGGGAGGAACTCAAGGATGGCCACTCCAATGACCTCGCCGCTGTGCAGGCCAAGCTCGGCGAGATCCAAGCTCAATATGAGAAGCTTTCAGAGGAGAAGACTGCGGCTGATAAAGCTCACGAAGACGCGGTTGCTGAGCTAACGAAGGGAATGGAGAACAGTTCCTCGAAAGCTTTGAAGGAGATGGAAGTGAAATATGAAGAAGCTCTTGCACAGGAGAAAGAGTTAGAGCTCAAGCATGCTGAAGAGGTGGAGAGTCTGAAATCTACTCTCGAAGAAACTTACATTCAACGCCTACAGGAAAAGGAAGAGGAACTGAAGGCCTCGGAGGATGGCCTGAAGAGCAAGAACGACCTGCTGTCCAAGCATGAGGAAAGCTTCAGCGAATTATCCAAGGCCCTTGAATCTACCCAACAGGAACTCCTAACAACCAAACAATCCCTGCAGGACGCAGGACAGTCTAGCGCCGCCTCACTCCTGGAAGCGCAGTCCAATCATGCCAAGGAATTGGAAGATGTCGTCCATCAACACCGCCAGGAGACGGCAGAGGCCCTCCAAGAGCAAGAACGGAAGTATGAGAACGACCGCGCCGAAAAGAAAGCACGTTATGCCCGGGTAGCGCATCTGTTGCGGATTGTTCAGGATGGATTCATACCAGAGGATGATGGTGGCGAAAAATCCCCGCTCGAGGGGGTGAAGTTGGAAGACTTTGCAGCAGAAGCTGACCAAGAGGAAGAAGAGGCTATAGATCAGGTCGCCCGAAAACTGGAAGCCTTCTTCGAGCGCCGCAAGGAAGCCATCAAGGCAGATAAGGACATTCGTGCCCAACATGCTGATGTTGTGGAGGAGAGGGATGGTCTGATGAGGGAGATGGAAAGGATGAAGGGCGATGTCGTGCGCAAACACCTTGCGATGATTGAGCCGCTGGAGAAAGAGAATGAGCTTTTGAAAGAGAAGAACAAGCGGCTCGAAAATATACTCTCTGCGGGAGATCGCGTCGCGCGTGCTGCTGCCACTGTCGGCGAGCCTAGGAGCATCGACACCGTCGCGGAGGTGGACGAGGAGAGCGAGGACGGGGAGCAGGCTAATCCCGGCGCTGATGCGGATTCGGTGTGGTCGGGGGCGGACGCTGGCACTGAGGCCGGTGGACTTGAGGCAGGTGAGTCGGCTCACTACGCTGGCGGTGTTGGTGGAGAGGAGAGGCGGCCCAGAGAGGCCCTCGGCACTGTCAGCAACCCTCCTCGTCCCCGATCGGCGCAGCCTGCTAACTCGCCTCGGCAGATGGCAAAGATGAAGGAAGCCCTGCGACAGCTGAACGAGCTAAATGACGACGCTCTCGCGGAGAGTTCGCGAGCGGCGGCAGCGTTGTCGAGGCGGGCGGGCGCGAGGATCCAGCAGAGGCGCGCGGACAACAGCAATGAGGAGTCGTAAAAATGCTAAGCGCGTCTCTTCGCTTCTAGGAGCTGGAGCGACGACCGCGAGCCACATCAACGGCGAGAACACGCTGCACCTGGGCCCCTTCATACACACCACCACGACGACGATTTTCTACTCTATACCCCTGTGAGCCGCGCGCTCTGAGATAGGCGGCGCGGCGACTTTTCCTCTTTTTTGCTCCTTTTTCTCTTGTTGAGTTGGCTGCGAGTTCCTGAAAATTCGACCCATTGCGCTGCGGACGGAAGCGAGCTAGCGATAGCGACCCTGTTTTTCTCTCTCTCCGCGTTGCGCGGATGGCGTGCGTATACCCACTGTGGATGGATAGATGCATAATGGCCGAGGCGAGGTGTCTGGGTTCTGAGTTTTCTGAGGTGGGGTGGAAGGGGGGATTGTATGTAATTACGAAAAATGGAGAAGTGGTGTATCCCCGTTATCCGACAACTTGCGTGCGCTGTGAACGATTACTTGGTTACTCGCGTCCACTGCGACCTAGGTCTGCTCAGCACTGTCCGAGGTGTCCTGGTGAGCTTAGCGGTTCCGTCAAGACGGTGAGTCCATGGCGTTTTCGGGCTTCTCGAAAAGGTGGCGGGGGGGGCACCCACGCGGTGGGGTAGTGGTGGACACGGGTGCAGAGGGAAGGAAGGTAGGCCCCGGATTTGCTATGCGGTGCTAACTGACCATCTAGGAACAATCTACGAGGGAGAGGGGGGTTTCAGCGTTCATGGGCTGGAAGGGGGCCATGACTAGGCTAGGTTAGAAGGAGGGCAAGATGGTAGTTATGCTGATTATCGCATTTGGATCCATGAAAGGGGGAGCGGGGGACGCTGGGCGGTGGGCGGTGGTGGGGCTGGTGTACACGTTGTTGCTTTGGGAGCATGGCCGCGGGCTTGGTGGGTTGGGTATGTATGCTGCCTGTTTGATGGGTTGTGCTACTCTGTATGCTTAGGGATGGGCTGGGAGGGGAGATGGGGGATGGTTAGTGGCCACGGGCATATACGAGGAGAGGGGCGTTAGTGTTGCGAGGTGCTTGAATGCTGTCTGAGGTGCCCTGAGGAAAGGTTGTCGTTGGGCGAAGAAGAAGACGTTTGGGTCATGTCATTCTACAATCACGTTTTGAGGGACTTCGGATAGCGGGAGCACGATGGGCACCGGGGGGGAGGTGTTGTTTAGGGGGGGGCGTGCGATTGCCCTGATTGCTAGCCATCGGAAGATGGGATGTAGACTTTCTAGGATTCAACCCGTATCAAGGCATTATCGTCAATGTGGAGATGGTATGCGTACTCTTGGTTGCTAGGTATCCGTTCCAATTCGAGATTTCCATTAGCAAGCTAAATGTAGACAGTTGCTTGACAATATTCATGATGCCTCAGCGAGGTTAGCAAGCGCTCAAGACGGGAGTCTTCTAGCTCATCCGGTCTTGCGAACGGTACCGTAAGACTTCAAACTGTCATATACAGGCACGAGAATACATGATTGTGTATTGCAAAGCTAATTATTTTTTTAAAAAAAAAGGATACTTCTAGATTAAAACTTTTGTCCGCTAGCTGCGCTATGCATATCAAACGCTATGCCACAAAGGAAACCCCCCTAGTCCTCTAAGACGGGCGCAAACTTCGACCTCTTCCTCAGCGCCAACCCATACCTCCAAAAGATCAACGGCGCCGGTATCGCCGCCACCGCCACCGCCCCCAGAATCGACGACGCTGGCCCAACGCCCAGATTGTGGAACATCGGCTGCGCAGCCAGCGGCAAGCCCGCGGCCATGAGACTCCTCAGGAACGTATTCGCCGACACCGCGCTCGCAGCATACAAGCCATACGTATCGATCAGGAAATTTATACACTGCTGGAAGATAAGATTGAAGCCCCCGCCAATGAACATGGCCGCAACCGTCGGGATCGCCCAGTGGTACTCCGGGCCCGCGGTCCAGCCGAACCAGAAAAGCCCGGTGGGGAAAATGAGACTGCCTGCGATCATGGGCGGTAAGCGAGCTTCGGGGACGGGTCGGCCCTTCGCGGCGAGGGAGATGCGGCGGTAGCGGGGCTCATTGGCAAGGTTGATGGTGGTGCCGAAGAGTATGATGCCGACGAGCAGGCCGAGGAAGGGGAGGCTGCCAACGACGGGCGCGAAGCCGCGGTTTTCTTCGAAGACGATGGGGAAGACTTCGATGGTGAGGTAGAGGATGCCGTAGACGAAGGAGGCGTAGAAGGCGATGCAGGTGACCATGGGCTCGGTAAATAACATTCGGAGAGGGCGAGAGAGGTGTTTCGTTAGGATGCTGTTGGCATCGAGCTTCATCTGCTCGTGGGGGTGGAAGTAGGCGTCGTTTCCGGTTTCTTTGCGCATGGCTTGGGCTTTCCATTTCAGAATGACGGGACTGTAGACCTCCGGTAGGCAGAAGACGGTGAGGGCGAAGGTGGCGAAGACCCAGATGGCTGTGATGTACTCGGTCCAGCGCCAGCCTAGGGATGGGTTCACGAGGAGTGCGGAACCGATGACGGGTCCGATGGTTGGGCCGCCGACGACCATAATGCCGTAGAAGTTGATGGCGCTGCCGCGTACTTTGGGGTCCCAGATGTCGCCGAGTGCGGCGGATACATTGCTCACGGGAGCAGAGCCGAAGAGGCCGGCGAAGAAGCGGGTGAGGAAGATGGAGGCAGCGTTCTTGCTGACGGCGGTGCCGATGGAGAAGAGGCCTAGGATGAAGAAGGCGGGGAGGATGCTCCACCGGCGGCCCCAGATTTCGGATATGGGGGCCCAGCATAGAGGGCCGAAGCCAAAGCCGAGACTAGATGATGGTTTAGATAGTTGCTGATAATGGCAGGGAGAGAAGGAACTTACATGTAGAGGGAGACTGATAGCACAGAGACTTCACGACTCACACTCGCATACTCCGCAATCGTATTCCCTGCGGGACCTATAATGCTGGAAGCCGTACTCGCCGCCAGTGCCAGAAAGCCCAGTTGGATAGTAATCCATACTTTGTACGCAAACTTCCAATCCCTTGGATTCGTGGGGTCGTTTTCCTTGAACTTGACCAGATAGCGGTTCTCCTCGCCAGCCTGCAGCTGTTTTTCTCCTTGCGGGATCGCGGCTTCCTCGTCGCGAACTACACCATTTGATGCCGGCTGCGCTTCCTCCTCATTCGATTTCGAAGCTACCGACGACGCGGAGGATGTAGTTCTTGACATTCCAGACGTATTGCCCAAGCGAAAGACGATGTGAATGGAGGCATAGCGAAGGGTTGCGGCTGTATTATGTATGATGGCGCTGGCTGAAGCTATCGGTCCTCTTGCACGGTAAATGCGGCATGTGAGGTGGACGCCGTCATCGACGTCAAGCAGGGGCAACGGCAACCAGCAGCCGGCGGAGATGTACGCAGCTTCTTTTCTCCTTTGCAGCCTGCGTATTTGCTGGAACCCTAGGTATATCCTGTCATGCGCGGATAAAAGGGCTCGGCCTTCGCCTACAACTCAGTCCGAATGCTTTTACAGAATTGAGATGGAACGGACGTCTACTCCGAGCTCGGAGTATAAACGACAGTCTGCCTTCGCTGGGGCATACTGCGATGGTACCGTATGCAGGTATGAGCGGAGTGTGCCGGAGCCCGATCCTGAACGGCTGGTCCAATAAGAAGCCGAGTCTTAAGAAGTTTCTTGCAGGGGGGTTCGCCATGTTATTAGTACTCGCAAGCTCGTCTAGAAGACAGTTCGTGGGCACGCATCTTCGTATGGAGGGCATGACTGGGTGCAAGAACGCCTCAGTCCGCGGCCGGAGTTGGAGCCAGACTCTGCCGACATCGGGGGCCCATCTGAGCTGACCGTTTGAGGAAATGCACAATGCAGTGAAGAGATACAAGGTAAGGACGCGAAATCTATGGATATATACAATATATGGCTGCTTGTTTACGCTCGTTGACCAACTGAGAGCCTTTTGGCTATGTGATTTCTTAGATCACGTGCTAGATGTAAGCTTCAGAGCATTACTGGACGACGAAATGCTCAAAATTGTGATCCTCCACATGTCTCGTCGTGTGTATGCGTACACCGTCTTGTTGCTTGTAGCAAAGAGTGTTCGCAAACCCATGCTGAGGCATTGCGGCTCTTACTTTCGGGCTAAGTTCGTATGCAGGAAATGCTCCTTCATTCCCAGACTTACCGCTGCGCCGAGAACCGCAATCCCAAGCGCTGTACCCCACACGCCTCTGAACGCAGTCATGTAACACTCTATCGCCGCATCTTTCCATTCTGGCGGCAGATTCTTCACCTCGTCGATGCTGTCTCGGATCCGAGCAATGATCGCTGCGGCGCCCTCCTCATTTCCGAATGTCGCCCACAGCTGTGACTTGAGCACGTTCTGGAACACGGCCGACGCAATGGTGATCCCGATAGTGCTGCCGGTGGAACGGAACGCATACGAAGCTGATGTAATGACGGCCTGGTGCTCGTGGTCTACTGCGGCGATAAACGCAAGCAGAGTGACTGTAAGCATTCCGCCATATCCGACACCAGAGAGGAAAAGGTAGATGAGTGGTGGGATAACGGGGGTGCTCGCGCTGAACGTTGCGGCTATGAGGATGTAAGGAGTAACCAGGATCGCCTCAATTATCGCGTTGAGTATATAGTAGCGGCCTGTAGCCTTGATGATGTAGCCGGCACCTAACGAGCCGACAGCAGCCCCAACGGAAGTCGGGATGATGCGAGCCCCTGCCTGTGAGCTTGACAGACCACGTGCTTGGAAGTACACGGGGACGTAGAACGTTATCATCATGGCAGACATCGTACAGAACCAATTCGTGAGACATCCGCAGGCCACCGTACGATCCACGAGTAGCCGGACAGGGATGATGGGCTCAGCTGCAACGCGGTCCTCCACGTATATAAATAGGCCTAGGAAGACTGCTGACAGTGGCAGCGAGACCAGCACAAGAGGGTGCGTCCACGGGACTACATTTCCTCCGGAATTTAGGCCAAGGAGGAGTAGGACGACAGATACAACGAGGGTACCAGCACCGAGGAAGTCGACGCGCCTGATCCTGGAGACATTCTTTTCCTTCACTGGTATCTTTACCGTGAACCAAACCAGAGCGCAGGATACCACGATGAATGGGACTTGTATAAGGAAGGCGTTGCGCCAACCCCATGTGTCCGATATCCACCCACCTAAGACACCGCCAACGCCCATACCTAGGCCGTAGAATAGGTTACCAAAGCCTTGCCAGAGGCCTCGGTTTCGCAGAGGGATTATATCGGTGGTTACAAAGGTGGATATGGCTGTGAGGCCGCTGTACTCTGTTAGCAATGCATTTTCGGGCGCCAAACAATATTGGTTTTGAGAGCTCACCCTCCACCCATTCCTGCGACTACACGCCCAAAGATAACCACCCATTGTTTCGTAGCCAGACCACATATCAAATTCCCAGCGGCGAAAAATATGTTGGAGAAGACTAATCCTGTCCTCCGGGAAAAAATATCGGTTAACCGGCCGCTGAGCGGTTGGAGGGCCGCGTTGGCTATGTAATAGGATGATGCTACCCAGGACAACAGCGTCAGGGAGTGGAAGGAGTTGGAGATTGGAGCGGCAAGTGTAGCGACCATGGTGCCGTCTGGGAGCTGTTAGTGATAATACCGGTGCTTTGGGCTCTTGGCATACATACCTGCTGCCGCCAGGAACACGCCCATCCAGATGCTTGCGAGGGTAAGAATTGCCTTGCTGGTGCTGTAATCGTCTGCAATGGGTGTCCCATTCCCGTCTTCGCCATTGGCATTTCCTCTCTCAATTGAACCATTGTCGGGAATGGGATCTCCTAGGAGAGGGCTCTGTTCGGTAGGGTGCTCATCCTGGGACGTCGACATGCTGCAATGCGGAATTGACTTTTCTAAGTATCACGGGAGGTCCATTAGCTGGTCTCGGGGAGCAGTTGTCGAACAAAGGTGCGATAAGCATGGTTGTGGCGGGCCTAACGTGAGTCAGCTCCCAGCTGCAGCAAGCTCCATTGAAGTTCGCGGGGATATCGGATCCTGCCGAAGACCTCTTCCAATCTACCATATACCTACAAACACCAGTTCTCGTTCCAGCATGGGAAAGAAAGAGAGGATAAACTTGAGTAAATTGACTGACTGCACGTGGTTTATTCTTGAACTAAGGTTGAGAGCGTCGATTCAAGACTATGCCGTGGCTCGAAATTCTCCTGACTACATCACAACCGCATTTGAAGCCGTTCCGTTGACTTTGGGAATTACAGGACCTGAGATATATCAGTACTGGGCTGCTCATCAACGGCTTACGAGGTTTGGCCCCATCCCCAACCTTCACGGCTTGAAGGATTCACATTCTGCCATAGTTTTGCTTCTAAAGTAGGTCGGCCACCAAAGATGTCATCTCCAACGGAGAAAGTGCTTTGGGCTTCGTTGCATGACCTCGAAGAATTTCTTTCATGAGCGAGCTTCGAAGATTCGAAAGTTACAAGGCTCAGAATTGAAGGCTGCGAGCATCTGAAAAATTGCCGGATAGTTCCAACTTCGCCAGACCTTCCTTCTACACTACGAAACTCATGATATGAGGGCGTGAAGGGATCAAGCTTACAAGCAGAGCTTGGGCTTTCACAGTCAAACTAAGCATGGTGCCTAGATGCTCAGCTTATTTGCGACCCGTGGTACAGCTGGTGGTACCTATCAAACGGCCACCACGTGCCCTTGGCATGCCTCGCAGAAAGGCTCGAAGACAGCTAGTCTCTGTCCCTTAGGTGTTGTAGTCGGATATTGACGGCTGAGGCTCCGCGAAATGATGATCCAGAAGACCGAGAATACACATTAGTACCCTTGGTAGGCACTGCGTTTCTTCTTTCAGCGCCCCCAAAATATCCCAACACCATTCCCTGCGTCCCGTCTTTCGAAACGGGCATGAACGTAACGATCGATTACCCCACAAGAACTGGCCGCTGTGGCCCATTGGACTCGTTCCTGGCACACACAGTTGGGGTCCGCTTCAGCCTCTTGGTCCGTGAACACCTACGTAGCTCCATCACCACCCCTGTAAAACGGACTCCATGGTCGTCCCCAAGGCCTGTCCATGCTTTGGGATTCCTTATATCCAGTCAAATGTCTGCAATCAAGCACGTTTCGACCTCATCTTCACTTTTACATAAATACCTTTACCCTTCGCAGTTGTTCTCAATGACGGCGCCCAGAGCGCATTGATCCTTCTCCCTCGCTGACCTTCTATTTCGAGTCTGCGCTTTGTCTGCACCACCTCTCTGGAGCAGGATAGCCACAGAGCCGCGCCGTTTCGAATGCAGAGTATGGAATTAATGAAGTCATCAGCTCATAGCGGTCTGTTGGTGGTGGCGGCGCGATGACCTTACGGGACTTGAGAAGGGTGGGAAACGGGTTTGAATGGTATAAATACAATAGCCGTGGTTTCCAGTTGAACAACTCATCAGAGCATCAATTCCTCCAATAACTCTATGAAACAAACGCCATTGCACTCTTCTACCTCCGCACAAATTCCAATTATGCTCAACTTCGCTACTATTCTAGCACTAGCCGCTGCCCTGCCGCTGGCATTCGCATCCCCTCTTGCGAACCGCAATATCCTGATTCCCAACGAGAATGGTGAGCTTGTGTATGCGACTCCAGACCAGCTGTCCGAGATCGAGAACAGCCGCATCAAGCGCAGCATGCTGTCGAAGCGTGACAAGTGCAGCGACGGAGTTGCCCCAACAGACGGGCAGGACTTTTTCAATTGCGAGCAGTATTGCGAACGATCCACTGCTCAAATTGAGGGAGCTGGAGTAAAGGGTAAGCAGTAAACCTCCACGCGTTACTCATGCTAATGCCAAATATAGTGTCGGATGATATCAACTGTACTGTCGGGAAGGGAGGCACTTGTGCTGTTGCTCACGCCATCACTGTTACCATCTCCGAATCCGTATCCATCAACCTTGGCGGCACTTCAGGTGCAACTGAAGAGGGCATTGCCACCTTGACTGCAGGAGCCAGCTTCACCTGGACCAAGTCTGTGGCCACCGGAAACACTTACACTTTTACTCCTGCGTCCGGTTCGTTCGTCTTCAATCCTACCATTCTTGATCAGATACTAACAGTTCATCCTTCAACTAGGCGACCAGGGCTACATCATGTTCAAGCCCCATCTCCAGCAGAGCTGCGGAGATTTCCAGGTCTTCACCTTCAGCCAGAATGATGATGGGTCAGAGACCTACTGCGATGTTCCTATCTTCTCGGAGGACACCAATGCTTGCGGAACCTCCCCTATGAAACTTTCGTCTGGCGAAGCCGATGGCGTAAGTCTTATTCCTGCCCTTTGAGATCGTTCGCTAATTGATGATCAGACCTACTCTTTCTGCCGTCCCAACGGTGATGGTTGCTAAGTCAGCCCTTCGAAGACGGTAAATTCGATGGCGATATGTGCATTTAGACCACTTATTTGTGTATACTGTCCTATCAATGCATAAAATTACTTCTCTCTGTTTTTATGAAGTCCACGCCGCATGAAAGAATTGATACATGCAATCGGCGAGCTTACCAGGCTTTCCAAAATTATCACAAGCATCTCAAGCGGTGGTAAGCAAGTGTGCCCAGACTCCTAGCAAGATATTGTACTGCAAAGCAATGCGAACAAGGCGAGCAATATTTCAGTCTTATCCTATGTCATCAGTGCTAGAAATGGTCAGAATGAAGAAATTACAAAGACGCCCTATGGGCAATCCCTTTATGTGGGATATTTGATGATAATTATATTCTTGATTTAAGTAAAGTACCATGACATAGCTTTGGGCACTCTTTGCATCTACCTAGGGTATCCCGATAGGCTTTTAAAATTCCATCGACGATACAAAGATTGACACCGTTGATGCTAAGCTACCTTTTAACCGGCCCGTAAGCGATGGTGTTGAGAGAGTAGGAGAAGAGGTGGAGTATAGCTTTCTTGGGAGGCGGCTGGGAGGTTGGTAAAAGAATGGCGGTGTGAGCTCGTGTGGACGGTGCAGTGGAAATAGGACTACCTTTTACCTGACCGAGGACGTGCTAGCTGCCAGGTGGGGTACCCCTTACAGTGGCGTCTAGGTAGCAAAGGATAAGCACGAGTAAATCTATTTCCGCGTGCCTACACTTAGGACCCGGTACGGTATGTGGAAGTGTTGAAAGGGGCGCCGGATACCGAGCGTCCGAAATAAACATGGAGCGAGCCATCAGGTTTCCAGAGGAGGACTTGCGGGCGTGAATGGGTCCATCCAAAAGGCTGCTGACGTCGCCACGACAACAAATATTGCTGGCCGCCTCGAGCTACAGCTCGCTCCAACACTCCATCTCCTCCGCTTCGCTTGCTCCACACCGTAGCAACACCCAAATCGCTCTCGCCCTGCATCTTAATGACAGAGAGCGCGTGCAGCATGATACCAGCCTCCTCAGAGCGAAGGTAAGACATGGTCTCAATTTCCTGTTATGAGGCCAGTCCTAAAACAGAACCCAGGAGCGACATGGCCACAATCCCCCCCGAATCGAGTCCTGAACTCGAGAAATCCGCAGCTCAAAAGGTCGGCCAGATTGTGGAGCTTGTTGAGGAAGTCCTATATCATCTTCCATTCATCGAGGTGCTCTCAGCGAAGCTCGTTTGCAAGCACTGGCACGACATGGTCAACCGCTCTCTACCTCTCCAGCAAAAGCTATTCCTCGCTCCAATGACATACGCCCCAGAACTTCGGCTCCCCGGCTACATCCTCCCTTACGAAGCTAGTTATGAGCCTGTCACGCACCGAAAAGAAGGCCCGTACATCGTACAGCCATGGGGTGGCCGACAGTGGCACCCACTACTCCAATATTTCATCCTGACACCGCGGTGGTTCCTCAAATACACGTTGGAGCACAGCTTTCTCCACTTGTTCTGGGTTCAGGACACTGGTATGCGCGCGATCCGACGTGAGATCAAAATCCCCGATGTTGTTCTTCGCCTGAAGTACTTTGCAACCGCTCCGGACGGCGAGTGGCAGCGTGCGCTCTGTTGCCAGCCTCCCATCCAGCTGCTGGAATACGAGCTCGATGAGGACCTTGAGATTGATCTCATCGCGGGTGGTACAGAGCATTTCCAAGCCTCTCACAAGCTGAAGGCTGAGTCTGGGGCAGCTGGCGTCTCGATGGGCCAGCTTCAGACCTGCATCCGCGTCATCTTGGCCGAGGTAGAGGAGGTCATGGTTCAAGCTCAGGAACTCAGGGAAGGAAAACGCAAGGCGAAGTCGCTGTTGTGCAGCGCGACCAAGAACACAGTGGGCACGTCGTTCAAAGGACCAAAGATCGAAATGCGCAGAAAACTCGGAGACCTGCGGCTTGCTCATAAGACAATGGTGGAAGTGGTTGGGTCCAAGCTCCGATGGTGCATGGATATCTTTGGGACTGAATCATCTTCTGAACCAGACGGAATGCGTCCTCCCATTCGTGAAGAGGCTACTTGAGAAAGGCAAGCCGAGGGCATTCGAACAAGGCTAGGAGCCACAGCAAATGTTGTAGTAGATGGCCTCACCTTCGTGTATACCTCTCTTCCTCTGTTTCTATACTTTATGGAACCACGAACACATAAAACCTCTACACTACCTTGCTACGTGACAGTGTTGATTGATATAGGTTATAAGTCTGGGCACACGGATTCATTGCTGCTTAGCTCCAATCTTGCTCACTCAACACCACTATAAGGAGCAGCCCGGCTAGTAAGCAGCTAGTCAGTGAAGAGTCAGTCTGATTTGCACTACGTGAAACTTCAGGTTGCCCTAGGTTTTGGAATTCTATGGGGGTGCCCAAAGCAGTGGTGAAAGTCTGTGCAAAGACTTATAAGTTCATATTTCGAATCAGCAATCTCAGGTGAGGAAGTGCCTGTAAGACCTTTTATAATTTGTCCGCGCTATGAAGTTATAGTGCTGCTTCTCACAGTACACCCTGACTCCAATGACCGCAACTTGAACCTATCGAATCAATCCCATGTGCTATACCTCGACCTCAGAGGGCTTTTAAGCCGCGAATGATCGCTAACCAAGTGGAACGAACCTTCAAGTCGTGTAATTATGCTTCTTACGTTAGCTCATCTTGTATTGTTGTAGCTGATCAGATCGACTTACAAGACTCTGCGCTCCATCCTCTAGGATCAAAGGACGATCGTCCCAATCACGGTCCCAGGACACGTTCTCGGCACCGAACAAATGTCTGCACCACTTGAGCTTGTACTCAACCGGGTCAAGAGCTCTCCATAGGTCGCCTTGCATGGTTCGGAGCCTGCGAAACTTGTCGAACCAGCTTTGAGGGGGTTGAGGCCGTCCAGCGGGGCGACGTGGTCTATTGATGTCGTGTCGAGACAGCATGCGGCTGTCTTGTGGTGAAGCCACCGTTAAGCGTGGGCGGGAAGGGAGGCTGGTTGTATCATTTCCCTTCCAGACAGTCTGCTTTAACTCCTCCACACTCCGGTTGAAGTTTCTCAGCTGAGTCGTAACGGAGTTCACCTCGGCCACTAGATCCCGAAAAAATGTTTGTATCTGACCCATGGTGATACCATCTGACCCATCCTCTGGAACCATTCTCATGAGCGTTTCTAGATGGCCCATGCGGTAGCGGTGGTCGGCATGGGGTCCTATGCATTCTAGAAGCGCCGTAGGAGGCTGGCAGCACAGCGCACGTTGCCACTCGCCATCAGCAGCATCCGCAATCTTCTTGACCAAACATATGAGCTCTGGGTATCGTGGGAGTGTGACCTTGCTACCTTCCCACTGGAGGATCACTGTGTTATAGCAACGAAGGTCGAAGTCGAGTCGAATAAAGCTGCTCGCTGGGTCACCATCCGGCTGCCAATCTCGCGTCTGGAAAATCTCCTGGAGCATGGGGTGCCACTGCTGCCCTCCGATCGGCTCCACCACGTAGATAGCCTCCTTCTGATGGTTGCCGGATTCATAGTTGGCAGACTTCGGGAGTATGTAGCCAGGAAGCCTTAGGGTTGGAGGGTATGTGAGCGCGACTAGGAAGAGCTGCCGTTGGATTGGCAGGGAGGCTTTGATGATGTCGCGCCATTGTTTGCAGACGAGTTTGGCTGCAAGAAGGTCGACAAAGGGTAGATATCGTAGGATTTGCTCCGAAAGTTCCACAATCCGAGCGACTTTTTGAGCGGCGGATTCTTCGGGTTTGATGCTTGATTCGGGGGGTGAGAGAGGCACCATAGCCCGCTCATGTAGACTGACCTCTGTAGAAGAGTCGGTTGAAGCAGGGGGTGGTGGCTTAGAAGCCATGGCGACCTGCTCCGAGTCTGGCGGTGGTGATGAGGAAACGGAGTGGGTTTTAGATCGAGGTTGCCAGGGGTACCTCAATTAGCAGTTGCCGACGCTAGGCGTTGCTTGATTTTACAGGTGAATGGTGAGCTACTGCTGCAGCTTTGGGTAGGCTAAGTCTAACCCCATTTTCTGTAGGAAATCTGGGAGTGCACTCTTATCACGGGGTCACGTGAGTATATTCAACCATGTGTTTTCCAAATTAGCTCGATTAGGTACAGTCAAGGCCATGAAGCTGGGCACAAGGATATATCACTGCTCCGAATCCACTCTTGCGCTCTCAACACCACTATAAGGAGTGCCCCAGCTAACATGCCTCCATTTAGTCAAAAAGTAGCTTGATATCCACTGCCTTGACCTTTGCATCGTATCTACAGTTTCCAAAGCCTTTCGGGGTACCCCAAGCAATTGAAAGGAGTACCCAAACTTATGTCTTAGTACAAACTTCCAATATGCTTCCCATACTTGTGAATCAAGCCCCCAAAGACTTCATCAAGCGGTATCAAGCATTCCTTCCCTCACGACACTGACGCGTGAGGATTGAGCCCTTCCGCGCACCGAACCTTCGCTATCTGGAATGGTGGGTTACTATCCCCTTCATACGCCCTCTTCTCCCCAAAATTCGCTCAGTTTCCCCTTGGAAGCCTCAAGAAATGAGCCAAAGCTTGAAGAATGGTCGCGAATGCTCCATGCGCGGAGCCTCCCAGATCAGCGTCGCGAACATAGAGGTTGATTGGGAAGGGAGCACGAGTTGCCAGGGCTGGGATCAGGATAGCGAGGTCAATTGAACCGATGAGAGTTAGGCCGGGTGGATCTCTAGTGGGTACTGCCATGGGTGCTCCATTAGGTACTCTAATAAGTGCGTTGCTAGCGGGCTGAAGCACAACGGGTGGTGTGGAGGTCTGGACTGCTGTACTCATACTCGTGGTTGTACTCGTACTAGTACTACTAGTTTCTCCTGATGAATCTCCTTCTGATCCCTCTTCAGCTGCAGGAAGGCTCGGATATGCTACCCCGCTAAGTGGGTGCGCCTGGCGGCCTTCAACCTCTCTACCGACCCCCCGCGTAAGTGTAACTCTTCGGCGCTTTGTTAGATTCGGGCGTCTACGCATCAGCGGGCTTTGATCACTCTCATCGTCAGAAAAGTCTATGACCTGCCGCTTTCGTACCCGTTCCAGTGTCCAACTAGCGTCTTCCTCTTCTCCGAATAAGGATCCTTGCGAAGCCCTTGGTGCGGTGTTTGCTGATTCTAGTTGTGCATGGCTGGAACCCTCCGCCTCCCCCTTTGGCGACTCTACTACCTCATCGTCTGACGCGGGTTCTGGTTCGCTGCTCTCTGCTGCCAGCAATGCCTCCCAATCTTCATCGTCGATTTCATCGTCGCTATCACCATCTGGCACGGTGAAAACTGAGTCCGAGTAATCGGCCTCCTCGTCGCTTTCTTCCTTGATAGACGAGTTTTGCGATGCCATAATGTGGGGCAAAATGCGCGAGTTGGAGACGCTGGTGGGGATGGTGTGTCAAAAATACGGGTGGACGTCGTGAAGAGAAGCTAGGGGGTGCTGTAGCTGGCAGACAAGTGCGCTAACGAGACTAGTAAATCAGCACGTGGTGAATGGTGACTGCTCTACCTGCTTGAATTTTGTCTTCAGAAATGGCACGCATACACTAGAACGCGGCGAATACACTGGGCAAACTATTGATTGGTTCGCTTTTTCAGCTCTCATCCGAGCCTGAGGGTATGAATATCATTGCATATGGTCATTTTTCCAATATAGTACAGTTCGTGCAAGCCGCTTTGCATTCTATAAGATATGTAGAAAGCCGCCTGAGAAGAGTCCTCGAATATATGATCAAGTCTTGCATATCTATACCTCGCACCGGGAGGATGTCTTCATATCACTCAACGGCCTCTTCCAGCCTTTCCATCCGAACCTCCATCTACCTGTAATCCGTCAGTACCGCCATAAAAAGCGTCACGAAGACGCGCCATAGAGTGTCCGACCTCTGCCTGCCATGACCGATCGGAGAGGTACAGTGGAACTCCATCACGATCTAGCAAGTGGTAGTATAGGTAGTAAGCCAACCAAGCTATAACTCCTCCGGATATAATCCGACCGCGTGTTAGTCGGGGAAGCTGATCGCGTGCGTGAGTGATAGCCCTCGTAGCTCTCGCGTTTGCTGAAGGAATTGCCGTAGCGAAGGGTACCAAACTAACGAGATGGCTAATCAGGCTGACAGTACTGGCATCCCTGATAGTGGGCCGAGTCACAGCGTTGGTGTCCGTAGGGTCTAGTGCCCTGAGTGCCGTCGTGGGATTCGTGACTGCGTCGTCGTTCATCACTTCGTCCTCGATCAGGATGGAGTTGGCAGGAGTGTCCTAGGACACATCAGAACGTCGGGGTACAGTAGCCCTAGATGCTACGTCCCTCTTATCGGAGACTCGAGCTGCTTGGTGGGTTGTGCCTGCGATTTCCCCTGCTTCGCTTTCCTCAGATGCCTCGCTTTCGTCGAGGGAGTGAACCCCACTAGTCGTAGCGTCGTTGATGCCCGTTTCTGCTATTGTGGGCACGGGCCCGGTCGATCTGGTGTGATATCGATGTTGTGCAGGGCTTGTCAGGAGTCTCTCGTTATTGGACTTTGTAGGCTTTGGTGTTGGCATGGTACGGGCAGTTCCAGTTGCCTTTGTAGCTGGACTTGACGCAGTCGGGACTATCGTTGAAGAGACGGTTGGAGTGGGACCCTTTCGTTTCGTGGTTTTCTTTGGTGGCATCTTGGTGCAACCAACCTGGGCAGTGCTTGAAGGACTTTGCCACTTTGATGTGAGAGTGCACTTCGACGATTAGGAGGTGGTGGGGGTAAGTGTGGTTAGAAGGTGGGAGGGCCTCTGATAGGGTGGTGGGAGGTATGGGATTAGGAAAGGGAACCAGTTGCTATGTCCTCACTGGGAACTTATGGACAAGGAGTGGTGCTGGTAGAGGTGAACAGGGAGGCCGTAGATAGTGAATGATAAGTGACACTTCGTACACCCATCACATGATCTATTTATTAGCTGAATGTAAACACTGTTGGATCGAAGTGTCTACTTGGTAAATCTCTGAGGATTCTATCTTAACAGTACTGTGTTTTGTTCTAGTGGTCTTCAGACAGTGTCTGAGCAAGATTTCGAAATCTGCGGCTCCGGTTCCAGCTCCAGACGCGTATATACAAGGCCTCTTTTAGTGGCCGTATTACATTCGTTCGTTCGTTCGTCATAGTTTATGTTCCGACTTCTCGTCAAAGAAAGCAAGAGCAGCAACACAGAAAGCGTGAATTCCGGTACGCATCGTAGGTTGTATCACCGGCGCAAATCTCGCCGTATGGTTGGCGGGAATATCATCAATTCTTCCCTCCTTCAGCCTCTGATCAAACAGCCCCTCCTCTATTCCTCCCCAATGCCAAAACGCACAAGGCCGACTCTGCGAAGTTGCGAGGACCGAGAAATCCTCCGCAATAGTAGTAGTTGGTATATTTGCATCAAAGTCGCCTTGAAAATGTTCGCTGAAGCTCTTCGCCAGCGTTTTCATCATCGACTCGTCATTCACTGTGTTTGGCAGATGCCGAGTCATCTTGAAAACGGGCGCGACCGTCGAACCACTTGCTTCGCATTCGGCTTTGACGATTCGCCGGATGGAGGCTAGAAGCTTCTCGCGCGTTTCCGGTCGCACGCTGCGTATGTCGATGCCAATTTCTGCCGAGTCTGCGATGATATTCTCTGTCTGACCCGCTTGCAAGCTCCCGACGGTCAGAACGGAAACATCGCTTGGATTGATCTCTCTACTGATGATAGTCTGGAGGCGTACTACAACGTGAGCCGCCATGACAGCAGGGTCAATTGTCCGATGTGGCTGCATATGTCAGCTCTTGAATGAAATAGATAATGTGTAGAATAGTATCCACCCACCTGTGACCCATGACCACCAACCCCAAACAGTGTAATTTTCATACTGTCCGCCCCTGCCATAATCGTGCCCATCTTCGATCCTACACTGCCCGCTCTCATTGCCATTACGTGCTGGCCGAGTACAAAGTCGGGCACGGGGATCTTGTGCTTATCATATAGGCCATCATCTACCATCGCCTTCGCTCCGCTGCCACGCTCCTCCGCAGGCTGGAACAGCACAATTAACGTACCGCTCCACATTTGCTTCAGGTTGAGAAGCGTTTCAGCTGCAGCGAGGAGACATGTCATGTGCATGTCATGACCGCACGCGTGCATCACAGGCCGCATGACGCCCCCGACGTCGAGCATGGTGACTGTGCTGGAGTAGGGGAGGCCGGTTGCCTCTAGGATTGGGAGAGCGTCCATGTCGGCGCGTAGGAGGATGGTTTTCCCAGGGCCATTCTTTAGCACGCCGACAAGGCCATGACCGCCAATGTTGGTGGTGACTTCGAAATCCTGGAGACTTGATAGTTGGACTGCAATCGTTTTGGCAGTTTCAGCCTCAAGATTCGAGAGCTCGGGGTGCTCATGGAAGTGCTTATAGAGCGCCTCATATTTCTCGAAGTCTACCGGTACGGCGAGAAGCAGGTCAATCAGAGAACTGGTGACTCGACCTTTTGAATCCATAATTAAAAATCGTAATGGCGGTGTAGAGTACGCCTAGTGAAAGGATTTATTAAAACAAGGCAAATTTGGGGCTTTCTGTGAACTGAGATCTTTACCGAGTTCTACGACTTAAGATCCTAGGTGGGTTTTCATAAGGTAGCTGGCAGTACGATACAATTCGAGGGTTGCGACTATGCACGTTATCCGCTCTCGGGCATATTAGCGGCCCGGCTGACTAATGCCCGAAATGTCTACCATACCCCCTTCAAATTATATAGAATTTCTCTCAATACACATAATAGCTTGTTCCACCTACATCTTGCTCGTTGGCCCGTTTCTGTATACTGCCGCTCACCGTTACCGGCAAACCCGTCGTTGAATACCCCTCAGTGGATAGCTTAAAACGCGTTAATGGGTCATTCTGCCAGCTAAACCTTTAGCATCGAACGATGGACTACCGAAATCCACTTGTCGGCATCTGCTTCTGGTTGCGACAAAAGCTCTCTCCTACTTGGCGGAAGTCATCAATCTGACGCTCTTAGGCACGTGACTTTCGGAGGTTTTACGGTCACGTCTGGGACTACCCCCATAGTACGTATGTGCTCTGCTTCTCGAATCGAACGCGATGAAGAATTTGACTCAACAGTACTCTGGCTCGCAGACCGTATTCTGCGACTAGCGAACTTGAACAGATGTTTTGACTCATTGTGTAGATTGGTTTTGTGAATTCTAATGTGGTAAAGACACTACATTTATGGGTGCCATGGGTGGCTGACCTCTCTCCGCGGCTACAAACTCTCTATATACGAGTCGAAGAAGGAAGCTTTCCAGATTCATAGCAATACTTCTCTACCAACCATGGCGAAAGATCTCATCGAGAAGGCCTCCAATAGTAAAACCAACCATTTCAATGATGATTCTTCGCAGTGGGTCTACTTGTATACCATTATGCTCAAGTAGAAAGAACATCCAGCCCAAGATAGCGGGAGTGACGATCATGCTACGAGGGAGCCGACTTCGTGGCTTTAACTAAGAACAGGGATAATGTTACGTCGTCATTCACCGAACAAAAGAGCAAAAGGTCAAAACCAATATTTCGCAAAAGAGCTTGATCGAGAGTCGAACATTGCCCCCATTCCCGGACTGCCTCCGCTGCTGGGACGGAGGACTATAATGGGGTTCTTTGGTATTGCGGCGGGTGAGGACAGGACCCACCTGCACCGCGCCCAGTAATGGGAGCAATGTTACAGCCTGGGGAATACAGCGGATGAGGACAGGACCCATCTGCACTGCGCCCAGGGACCCGAGAATGAAGGGCAATGAAAAATTAATCAAACTATATACCTTAAGCAATGCTAAGCAGTGTTGTGATGTTACATCCACTATCTCGGCCTTTTAACCACGTGCACCATAATTCAGTCCCTTTGCCACTCTTATAGCGAAAGTCCACTGCCTGGAAAATGCCTTCGATCGACAAGAAACAGTCCGTATGCTTTACACGTGATGTAATGATCCTTAATATGTCGACGGGTAGAGTTGGGAGCCACGGTGTAATCAATCTAGAAGATACGGCGCACATATAGACGCCGCCTTCAATACTAATCATTTTTGTATTGGTATTAAGATGGCGTTGGAGTAATTCTTATGAATCTGGTCCTTTAAGAGACATTTTGAACATATTGATCAGGCGTACCGGATCGCAATGTATCTCCAATACATTCTAAAAGTGGATGGAACGTAGAAAATTAGAGAAGTTGTCCAATACACTGCATAGATGCTACCGCGACGTAGTACTAGAGGGCCTAACAACATTCTTATATTTATGTAGTTTGATGCTGGGGTTTCTGCATTGCTTTGGTGGTTGAGAAGGCAATCTTCGTTCGAAGTCGTTCGAAGGAGAGAAACATCGACATGCGATTCAAGCTCCATTGTATTATATTATGTACGAGGGCTGCAAACTTGTTTTTAGATTCGGAGTCGAAAGTACTCGACATTCTTGACTGAAAAGATACTTTTGACCTCTCGCTACTTTAAATTGGTTGTGTGGCTTGGTCAGTATGGCTTTCTTGTTGGAACCCACAAGCCGCAACCATGGATGAAAAGACTGACCCAGACTTCAGCTTGTGGGCCAGCCAGTCTAATTCCATGCATTTTTCTCACCCTCCATTTTGTTTCCGCCACCTGTCATTTTAAACACACTTCAACTACACTTGCCAATTCCCCGAGGGAGAACTACGAGCACATTGTCGCAACCTTCGTAGTCCTAACTCGTTGAAGTTATACACTACCATCCTTACCGAGATACTGCCCGTTTAAGCTTTCTCACACATTACCGCAATTCATACACCTACTACCTCGACCGCTATTGAAGTGGCCACTCGAACATACACTTCAGCACTTCAAGGCTTTCCAGAGCACTCCGAGCTAGCGCTAGCACCATGGATGCGCACCTAACACAAAAACTCGCCGCTCTTCACAATGCAACCGAGAGCCACCTTCTCCAACTACCCAATGAAGTTCTTTGTATGATCGGCAGCCACCTTTCGCCGGTATCTTCGCTCGCAGTCGGACAGACATCCAAGAAGCTACGATATGCTATTCCTTTTGTTTTCTTCCCCTTGAACGAATTCGACCCAGAGACCTCGAGATTGGAGAAAAGGAACCTTTCGTCAGTACCGGGTAGCCCGGAATCTCTATCTTCGCGTCGTATCTGGTGTAGTGCGTGCGGAAGTCGACACTCAGCCAATGTGTTCTCGCCACAGCAACGAGCATCTGACCCACTTAAGCGTCGCTGTCTTGGGATGGAGAAGGAGTTCTACGCGTGTGCACACTTGAGCTTTACACACGCTGAGCTAGACGCAGCCATCCCTCGCGGATATAATGGCCTATTCTGTCTACATACCGATCACGTCGTCCCGCATTGGCCGAAACAGTGCTATCCAGAAGTCGAACGGTACATCAGAATGGGTCATCCTGATAACTTTGAAGTAGAGAGATACTGTCACCGCTGGTGGCTTCCAATCATGCAGCATCCTCTCTCTACTACCGTCCCTGAGTTCATACCAAGACTCAAAGCAGCCTTGAGTACACTGGACGTGCCGCTATGCTCGCATTCACGTCTTAGCGACGATTATATCGTACAGCAGGTGCAGGCAATCCTAGAGAGGAATTGTTATGAGCACGACAGACCCTGGAACTCGCTTGCGGAGGCCTGGTCTACTTGTAGGCCGCCACATCCCTCCACGCATGGTATTAGTATGTCTAGTTGTCCGGGCTACTACAGTGGTTCCCACAGTTGCTGGAAGACAACAATTCCTGTCCGTTGCAAGGCCGTCAATTGCGGTTGCTATTTTCATATACATAGGACTTACTTTCCCACCACGAACCACAAAGATGTTTTTCTGGAGGTCAGACAGGATTTTAAAAGCTCGGCGCCAGCAGAGAGGGCATGGTTGGGACTCGTTTGCACCGAAGCTGAATGGTCTGGCATGGACTAATATCGAAGACACTCATTTACACACAAATTCTAGAGAGACATCATTAGTGCCACCCCTAGAAAACCTTCCGAATTGATCACTCGATACCTGACAACAATTTGCTTGACACTTGGCCTGCTGTGACCCGCCACAAATGCCCGTACACCATTCTGCCACCGCCTGTGGCGTCCCATGGTATTTACAGCCTCTCGATTTAGACGGAAGTCCCACGGTTTTAACAGCTAAAAATCTCAAACAAACCTCCCTAAGCAGCGACAGAGAAGTGTACATAGATCAGAAGTGTAACCCGCAAAATATTGTCAAGAATTACAAGGGGTGGCAGAATAGTGTCCCAATATCTAGAACCATGTACTGTAAACTGCAATCGTAGCTCGTTACCGACGCCTCAATTTCTTCACTTCTATCGCGGCTTCATCAATTTAAAATACCATGATCAACCTGCATCAAATCAATTTGATATCCATCAACCGACCTCCTGCTCTAATAACCACCTTCCACCGTTGACTACCCAGATCAGCGTCCCTCTTCCCTCCCACACCTTCTCTCGCACCCCTCTCGCAACCCCTGGCAAAAGGCATCCCACAGCCTATTGGAAGCATGTTCAACCTCCGCCAGCCATTCTCTATCACTTCGATATAGAAGCACGCCATCACGATCTGTCAAGTGGAAGTAGAGCCAGAGAATCATTGCCGGAGTGAAGACCAGGAGGAAAGGTCTTCGCTGGATAAAGATAATGATGTATCTGAGGAGCCGGAAGGCGGCGCGGAAGAAGTTTCCCATGGCGTTGTAGCGGCCGAGGAAGTATGCAATCGTAAGGAATAGGATGCAGGTGGCGAGGTATTGGTGAGGTTCGGTGAAAGAGGATGTAGATGGCTCGGTAGACGTTGCTGTAGAGTTGGCGGAGGTCGGCATGGTGACTAATTCGGATTTCACTCCTTGTCGGAGAAGGGCTGGTTATGGTACTGACTTTTGGCTTCGTTGGCGGCCATTTGGTAGCTCAAAAATGTCCTATCTCGAAAGCAAGAAGGTCCTGGGTGTGTGTCTCGTTTCTTGAGTATGCCTTCCAGAACACGTTGAGTAGTTACTAGTGAAAATGTACAAAGTCAAGATGGAGCGAAAAATTGGGGTAGGCGAAGATGAGAAGTTGCGTTTATTTAATTAAGCAGATTCACATACTAGAAAGCGGTGGAAAAGGTGAGTTTGCGAATCTTAGTGTGTACTTCTTTTACTCATTGCAATCAAACAAACTCACAGGCCACGTGTGCATCATATCAATGAATACTATTGAGGTTTGTCACAAACCCGTCTGAAAGAATGCTTTCATCTGGATAAGCAGAATGTTCCACATGCTCTAAACAGCCCGCTCATGGAACCCAGACTCAACACCAAGTCATCCTCGCTACCAGGCTCGAAAGTCGGAGAGGTCCCACGCACTCCGACAGTTCCCCCTAGAATGACGAAGGTCTCCATCAAATTTGCAGAGATGGAACTCCACTCACTACCAGAGCCACGCCTTCGGGTACTTGACTAGTTGTCCAGGAATGCTTGGATATTGCTGTCAAAAAGTGAGAATCCCACAGACCAAGCACCATTCCATCGCCCGCTATAGGGCTTCTGTGACATCATATGGCTCCCATCAGACATCACAACTCACACAATCGTCTAAGAGAACCAGCTCCACGAGCTCCCTTTCGCCGTATTCTTGTTAGGTTGCATTTTCGGAGAGAATTGATCGTGGCCAGGGCTAAACACTTTGCAAGAACCGCTGTAGTAAGCGCAGCCAAGTTCCAGGAGGGAATCTCCTAAAACTCTCAGGACGCGTTGTGGGAATCGGAAACCAAGCATGTTCAGAAAAGTGAACCAGGGCCAGACGATGGCCCATGTCCCAACCCAGAGTATGAAGAGGAAAGCCAAGAAGCACAGAACCAGAGCGATTGGGACGAGGGGGTTCTGGGGAGCTTCGTAGAAAGCTTTGCAGAGTCCCTGGTAAAGAGAGGTTGTTAGGCTGGCAGGGCGGACGGTTGAGGGTAGAATGCCGTTGGTCATGACATTCGAGTTGGCAATGGGGACGGGGACTACGGCTCCGCTTAGAGCACCGCTCGGTGGAGCATTCAGGTTCGCAACGGCGACTGGGACTACGGCTCCGGATAGGGTACGGCTCGATTGGGTGTTCGCAATGGGACTGTTAAGGTGCTGCATTTCGGAGTTCGCGCGCTCTGCAATCTGGCGGACTCGCTTTGGGTCTGAGAAGATATCACAGTCAGTTAAATTGCCAGTGCTACTAAGAGTACAAGGTTTTACGATACCGGGACTAGGCCATGTAGTCTGGATAGCCCGACGTCTACTGTCGAAGCTAGACGGGCTTTCAGGATTGATCTCGCTCGAAGCCTCAGAGGACTCTAAGGCGGTAGCATGAGAACCCCCGGGTGCTGTGGAGGTGAAGGAAGAATCATTGGCCCGATCTCTAGCAGTATGTGCTGCTCCAAATCGGACGATGCGCTTGTCTTGGCTATCCACAGGCGTATGAAGACCTTCGGGGCTTGATGTGTCGGACGATCCGATGCCGGGCGACTGATTCTCGGCGGAAGGAGAGAAGATGGTCCCCTTGCGAAGGCGACCCGGACCACGTCTCGTCGCAGGTGTGGGAGATTCCCCATCTACTGGAGACGGAGTGACTAGCAGCTTACGGGCCGACATTGTGGCAGGGCTGCTCGTGGCGGTCGAGCGAGCTTCTTTCTTGGTCATGTTTGGCATACTCTCAGTGATCTGGGCAGATGATGGGGTGGATGTGTTAGGTAGGAGGTTCGGTAGCCTGGTGGTGAGGTTGCAGGTGTGTGATGTTGTTGATGGAGGGAACGTAGTTGAAAAAAATTAGAGCGGCTCAAATGCGCACCTAAACAGCCTGCCGACCCTTTTGATGGTGAATGACTGCGTCGGGAGTTCCCACGGCATCTTCTTTTAAGACACCCCTGCTAGATTGATACAGTACCAAGACATACGTTTGGGCACCTCTTGCAACTGCCTGAGGTATCCCGATGAGCTTCAAAAACTCTAAATATGATGTAAAGGCCAACGTAGTGGAACTTAGACGACCTTTTGATGAAACTGATACCTGCTAGCTGGGGTATCCCTTTACAGTAATGCCAAGCGAGCAAGAGCGAAGCCGGAGCAGCGATATATCCCTGTGCCCAAACTTGTGACCTAGTACTGTATCATTGAGTTAAACTGGTGGCGCTCCCAATGAATCAATCCATTTTACTTAGAGAAAATTGTATTGGGCATTTGAAGTCAGAACAAAGCGGAAGGACATCCATGTTGATGGTCTTCGTGAGCTTACAAACTTGCTACAATTTATGAAAAGCTTAAGCTCAAATGGCATGCCTAAGCGTAGCTCTAAGCAGACTAGAAGCGATTTGAAAGTGGGATCACATAATTATTGAGCATATTCTACACACTTTGAAAGAACCACGAAACCAGTAGATACTGCTGTTCGGTGTCGCGTTAAAGCATGCTTACCAATGAGAAGCTTCTTCGTTCATTGTCGCCAATCGACAATGCTGATGAGGCGATGGTGGAAGAAAGGATAAAGGGAACAGGATTGAGGTTGAAAGAGGGTTTGAAGGGCATTCCGAACAAACTCCGGCCCGAGCCTTCTCAACTCCACTTTTCCCCCAATCGTAGACCATAAACCATCATCGTTCCATCTACATACCTTTCGCAACTACTGATACATCGTGAGCATAGAAGAAGCTACTACTTGAGGTAGGCCTCAACGACGCCATAGTTTGATCCTGTGGCCGTATACACCTTCTTTAGGTTGAACCCCGCGTCATCGAGGATCTTCGTCCAGTCGCCCTTGGTTCTCTCCCTTCCATTAAGAGTCATCATGGTCATATCATACCAAACAGCTTCTATGTCAGCTTTTTCTTCCGGGAGACACATCTCGGCAATCAGCAGCCTTGACTTTCCAGGCTCCATGGCGTCTGCGACGACCTTCAGAATACGGACACAATCCTCATCCGACCAGTCGTGCAGACAACGACGGATGTAGTATATGAGAGCTCCTGCCCATCGATAGCTTATTAGTAAGCTAATCACTAGAGGTCTCGCGTACGAACGTACCTTTCACTGGCTGCGGCGTGAAGAAGTCGTACTTCATCTTCTCCACACCAAGCAAGGGTTCGCTGATATCATCAATGACAGCAGACCGATCTTGCAAGATAACTCGTCCTTTGATGGGTCCGCACAACTCTTTGATGCGGAAGGTGGTATGGCCTTTTCCTCCTCCAACGTCCACTACCAGCGGCGTATCGTCCTGGGTCTCGAACTTGCCAAGCTCCGCCTCGAAGGGGAAGATAGCCACCGTCGGCATGGCTGCCTGAGTCTGTGACTGCATGGCAAAATTGAATGTCTGGGCCCGATCTGGATACTGATCGATGTGCTCCCACATCGACTTCCCGCCCGTTTGGTGCGCGAACGTGTAGGGATTGTGGGTCTCCGACTCTGGGTTCTTCCAGCCATCCTCTTTCAGGAACTCACACATTCTCGCCATTGGAGGCCAATACTCGTCTAGCCTATAGTTACCAGTCAGCTTACCGAAGATCTGGGTTGTGGTGATGCAAAATCCCTCAAGTTGGCCACTCACATCAGCTTCACCAGCCCGCGTAATGCAGGAACGATGTACATCTGAGAGTAGGGCGTATGAGCGTAACTCTCCGGGCCAACTTCAGCAATTGGCCCCTTCACGGTAGCCATTCTCATGAGCCGGACTACACAGATCGTCAATCTTTACCTAATCTGAAGAAAGCATCGTCATCGACTTACTGAGGAGTGGCTTGTCGACTCCTAGGCTACCTGCTAGGTCGGTTGCTGTGATGCTCGAACCGTCCAGAGGAAGCTTATCGAAGACATCCATCTCGAGGAGTGTCCGGCAAGCGGCAGTATGCGACATCTAGTGTATCCATTTATCAGTACCCGGTCGGTTCATTGGTGAAATTATAATGACTCGGCAGCTTGTGGATTTATTACGTTCTCGAAATGCTCGAAGAGCGTATCAACGGGCCCTCGAATAGCTGCCAATAGCTTCCAAGTATCCATGACCAGAGCATTTCGTGCCTCAGAAACCTCGCCGACCTCCTCGATTCCATCTTTGCCCGTGTTCTTCGTTGAGATACCCCTGTACGAATCTGCGAGGGAGCTAACCCCCTCCAACGCTGTTTGGATGGCCGCATTCTGCGCGGCGACGGCTTCGGCAGTGTTCATGTTTGCTTTCTGGGGGTCGACTGATCGAAATTGATTGATTGTGTGAGCGTCGACCAGCTCCTTGGGATTCCAAGCAACAAGTCACACGGCGGCAAGTGGGGGAGGGAAGGTGAACGGCCTGTGTTGTACTTGACCCTTTGCAAGGTTCCGGCGCTAGGATTAATTATAGTGCTGTACTCCGGCACCGTGGAGCTGGCCAAGGTGCAGGTCGCCCAATCGAGCCCAGTCACTTCACCTGTCCCGAGCGCAAGCTCACCCGCTTTTCTCGGAGGCGATCTTCACGCCAAAACTCTACCCGAACTGCTGAAACGGCCGCTATCATTCTTCCCGGTAACTTTGCAAGGGCGGGGCGTCGTTCCTGGGAACTTCCCCCACGACATTCTTCTGAGTATCACATCTCTGACGGCCTTAAGCTCACACACACAGCCAATGCCTGGGCCCAGTAGAGGATGCGCAACGACCGGCTTCAACCGCTATCATGGTACAAGACTGTGTTTGTCGTTACACCGGAGGTCACTCGTGTATCCTTCGGGTTTGATACGATCATGTTGCACCGCGATGAAATCTGGATTCCCAGCGATTGAGACGACCCGTCCTCTCCTTTTCGGATCGGGCACAGGCCGCAGATCAGGCAGTAGGACGAAGAAACTCGGAAGTCAATGTTGTAGCATCTACTACCCAATAATAGACCCAGTCTGGCTCGTACAGGAAGCGTATCTCTCACCGCCAGATATCAACCCACGATCGACCCCGTCCACGGGTCCCTTGTTGCTCTAAGTATCAACGGGCTGTGAGGCTGCGGGCCGTCCCGTGGCGGAGAACCTCTATCGCTATACAAAGGTATCCTGTATATAAGAAGCCTTCACGATCCCTTGAAGTTGCCTTCCGACCATCTCAGAGCCTCGAATCTTCCTTGCGGCCCTTAAGTACGACTAGACTGTCGCACTTCGGGAAGTGAGGACTTGAGTCTCTAACCCCATTTCGCAAACCCCGGCTGTTACCGAACGATATCCACCAATCCTCTGGCGCCCCGCACAAGCAGGGAGTGGATCTGCATTCTAGTCGACAGAATGCATCGGCTCGCGGCAGTGGCCTCAAACACCAAAACCCATCGCACCTTGTACTGACGCGGCACCCTTGCGATTTGTACCTCTACTTGTTGAATCTGTACGCTGTCTTACTACGATGTTGCGCTACACTACCATGAGCATAAGGTGCCGAAGTTGTCTCGTCTGACTCTCCCCTTCTCCGTTCCTGCTGGTTTCCATCTACTCATGCCATCTTCTTGAAGCCACTCAGCCGCTTGACTGTGCTCCTTGGAGTGCTCTTTGCGATGGCGGTCGATATTTCGCATCTGCCGGCGACCACGCCTCCGTCGGGCGTGAAGGCCAATTTCGATCACCCCGATTCAATCGCATATCAAGTGATCGCTCTCAGCCTCCCGTTCACGTGTACAGCAACTGTAGTTGTTCTCTTGCGAATGTACACTCGGATACTGATTGTGCGCTCGCCTGGACTCGATGATCGTAAGGACTTTTGCTGCTGAGGTTCACGGCTTTCCCACTGATTCTCGTCTAGTTACGATCGTGATTGGACTGGTACCACCACCGCACTCTGGCATCCTCAGGCCACATAGATTGACGACTTTTAATAGCTGATATCATGGATCTTCTGCGCTCTTGGGATTGCGAGTAGGCACTACCTGCCAGTCCTTAGCCAGCAACATCCCACTAATCCTGATCGTAGACATTCCATACGGCTACGGGATCCACCTATGGGACCTCTACATCCCCAAAATCAAACACTTCCTCATCGTACGGCCACTCCTAACTCCCACACATAGCCACTAACACCCCCAGATCGACCTCCTCGGCCAAGACTTCTACTTCGTGGGCACCTGCTTCGTCAAAGTCTCCATCCTCCTCTTCTACCTGCGCCTCAACCCAGACAAGACCTTCCGCCGCGTCGCCTTCGCCATCATGACCTTCGACGTAGTGTACTCCTTCGTCAGCATCGTCGTCGCGACATTCGGCTGCACGCCGATCGCCGGCGGCTGGGACTTGCTGATCAAAAGCTCGTGCGTGAACAAGAAGGCGTATTATTATGTCGCGGCGGTGTGTAATATCGTCACGGATTTCGCGACGCTGGGGCTGCCGGTGCGGATGTGTTTGAGGCTGAATGTGAGTAGGAGGCAGAGGTGGTTGTTGTTGGGGTTGTTTGGGGTGGGGTCGTTGTCAGTATCATTACACCTGCTTCAACACCTCGCCTATTAGACTGACTCTTTAAGTGCCTGCATCATCTCCATCGTCCGCCTCGTAACAATGCTCCCCTCCCTCCACAGCATCGATTTCACGCGTTACAAGGTCCAAGTCGCTGGATGGGCGTACGTACTCCTTCTCATACTGCCCACTCGATTCCCCCTCCTTACATTCCTCATGCTCACCCCATCCACAGCGAAGTGGAAATAAACACCGGCATAATCTGCGCCTGCCTACCCACGCTAAAACCCCTCCTAAACACCGTCTTCCCAACGCACTTCGCGCCCTCCTCCAATCGCACTCCCGCCTCCTCTTCGCCGTCCTCGAACCCCTCAAAACGCTCCCGGGACAAGCAGGTCGAGAACTTCTCGCTGTTCTCGCTGCGATCGCTGAACGCGGGGGCGCATCAGCGGCTGGATGGGGAGGGAGAGGTAGAGGGCAGAGGGGCTGTGGCAGGGGTTGATGGGGAAGAAGGGGAGTTTGGGAGAGTGCCGAGTTATGTAGGGTGGGGACGGCAGACGGGGAGGAGGGTGCGGGTGCGGGGGCAGCAGGCGTGGGGGCAGGAGAGGGAGAAGAGAGGTGTAAAACGGAAGGCGCGGAAGAGGACCGATAGAGAGACAGGACAGGGGCAGGGCGAGGGAGATGCGCAGTGGAGCGATAGCGTACAAAGGATCCTGAGAGGGGGCGGGGTGGCGAAGACGACGGAGTATGCGATTGAGATTGGGGAGGCTGGAGAGGGAGGGAAGAAGTAAGGATATGAGAAGTAGGAGGAAGGGGGAGAGGTGGATGTGAAAGTAGATATACCCTAGATAGAATATGAGTTAGAAGCATGCATATCTTCTGCGAATCAGTTTGAGAAATATGCATTAGGCGTGATGCTTTATCTTCTACCTCATTCATCCTTCTCCCCTTTCCCAAACCACCTAGCTTTGAGCTTATCGAGCCTAGTCCTCAACGCGCCTGTCAATCCGCCGGGCTGCCATCCCTCGATCTCATCTACAGCTACAAAGCGCCGCACAAGTAAATTAAAGATGTTCCCAAATCCGAGCGCCATGACGGTACTGGTGAGAATGATGACATTGTAAGGCATACTAAAGTCGGGTGTGGGAAGTGGGAGGAGCAGCGACGTGGTTCGTAAGAACACAGGCGGCGCGTTGGGATTCCCATCGGATGGTAACAGACGGATGACAGCTGGAGCGACGTCGAATCCGCGGTTGGCGTCTGGCGGGTACTCGGTGTAGCGTAGGATTGCCTTCTCGAAGTCGTACGTTAAGATAAGTGATGAGTGCGCGGGGATCTCGAGGAGGAGCTCGAGGTGGGTACCACGGTGGCGGTCGACGGCGGGGCGGTAATATGTCTCTTTGATAGGGTTAGTAGACGCGGGGGCGCCAGGGATAGAGGCGCGTAATGTGTGCAGATAGGGCTTCATGAACCAAGGAAGTGATTCGAGGTAGATGAGTGAAACGGGATAGTCTGAGGGGTTGGTGATGACAGCCTGTACACTGCCCCGTTCTTGACCATGACCGTTAATGGAGCGAGCAGCGGTAAGGGGTGGTTGGGGGAGGAGTAGAGGGGTTGGAAGAGTTTGTTCGGGGAGGGATATATCGAAGTCATCGCGGCCTAAAATTGGGTGGTCAGTCATTGTATACAATTTATGCGTGAAAGGCCACTTACTTGGAAGTTTGTAGCATCTTAATAGCCCCTCGCCTCTCGGTACTTCGGTGTATCCGCCATTAGTCTTGATGTCCACATTGCGCTCTGCGGGGACATTAAGGCACACTGTCTCAGCATTTTCACCTTCTTCACCTGTAATAGGGCAGGCTCCTTTAATGGGCCTTCCAAATATTTCAGAGAGGCTCCAAGATGGTTCTGATGTTTTAACCAGTGGAAAACAGCTATCCTGCGAGTTGTAGGATTTCGAGGTATCGCATTCGATATCCTCAATTGGAAGAGGGCGAGGGATTGGATTATCTAGACATGATTAGCACGAGTCTCGATGCGTGTAAGGGGACACGAAGTACCTCGTGGTCGTTTCGACCTGTCCAAATCCAGAACCATGTCCACAGTCTGCTCCATCTCGATAACGCAGTCCGAACCATCATTGTTGCAGACTGGCCTCACATCAATTGACATAGTCTGCCACGACGCATCAAACAGCTTGTGTCCATCCAGGAGGCTTGATATCCCAGCTTTTCCTTTGCATGGGAGTAGCTTGAGGAAAGGCGTCAAGTTCTCCGTACACACGACTTCGTGCGGTAGCGTCCCGTGAAGTAAGTGAAGATTCGGCGAGGACATATTGGGGTGGTTTCCTTCAGGCTTAAAGGTCATTACTGGCCGTATAGTCTTCGTAGAATCGATAAAGTTGAGAGAGGCGCAAAATAAGCCCGAGAGTGCATTCGTGAGGGTCAGCCATCTCGCAAAGGCACTATAATCTCTTAGCTAGGTCCAATTGAATTTAGAGTACGAAATCGTACTTTGCCTCACTCTCTGCATCTACCCAAGCCCATAATTCGACTCCTGTGCCTCCTTCTCTAGCTCCATCCCACGGTCTTGCTCCCCAGCTCTCCGCATCCCACCGCCCTAGACTAAACCGCAAATGGAGCTCCTTTGTGTTTGCATGTTGTAATATCTGGCCTAGTGACCGGGGGAAATATCTGAAATTCTGGCGCTCGAAAGAGCTTGAGGATTCATTACTGCGGAAGTTGAAGGACGCGAGGAGGGCGTTTTGAGGGAGAGGTCGGAGAAGAAGGCGTTCGTGGTAGTCGGAACCAGCTCGAACAAACGATGTTAAAAGACAGAGAGAGACAGCAAGAAGAGAAGAAAGCATGGCAGCCTTTCAGCCAAGGCAACGTTCACGATAGTTTCATGGTGTTGAGGCGGCGGGTGCGGAGGACGGGAGAAGCCGCCGATCGCGCCAAGACTTGTCAATTTGCCATCAATCTCCAACTCCAACCTCCACACCTCAACCTCCCATATCTCCTCTGATTTGACGTCGCAGAAGCTCACTCATCATGGCGGCTGAACAGAGGAAGCTGCTCGGTATGCCTTTTGGCCCCCAAATATACAAAACACCGCTAACAGCTCCCAGAGCAGCTCATGGGCGACACCCTCTTGCTGGGCCCCGGCACACGCGCACCCCAAATCTCTATCACCGACCCCAAAGTCTGCCCCTCCTATCTCGCAGGCACCTGTCCGCACGACCTCTTCACAAATACGAAACAGGACTTCGGTCTCTGCCCCAAAATCCACAACGAGGGCCTGAAGACCGAGTACGAGGCTGCCTCCGACGAGCAGAAGCGCCAATGGGGCTTCGATTTCGACTACATGAGGGACATGCAGAAGTACGTGGATGAGTGCAATAGGCGCATTGATTCGGCGCAGAGAAGGCTGGAGAAGACGCCGGATGAGATTCGGCAGACAAATGCGCTGGTATGTGCCTCCCTATGCTATCCTCCTGGCGCATTGCTAACGTGGACATGTCAATAGCTCAAACAAATCAACGACCTCTCCAAGACAATCCAAAACGGCCTCCTCGAAGTCGCTATCCTAGGTGAAGAGGGCCAAGTCAACACCGCCGTCACCGAGTTCTTCAAGATCAGGCAGGCGAAGCAAACTAAAGAGGATCGCGAAAAGGAGCTAAAAGCGCTCTCGGATACCTCTGGTCCGTCTGGTCACCAGAAACTCCAGGTATGCGATGTCTGCGGCGCATACCTCAGCAGACTCGACAATGACAGGCGGCTGGCGGATCATTTCTACGGAAAGATGCATCTAGGGTACGCGCAGATGCGGAAGACGTACGAGCAACTGCGGAAGGAGCTGAAGGGACGGCAGCCTCCGCATCGGCCACCTCCAGAAGACGCGGCTCCGCCTAGAGGAGGAGGAGGCTACGATGAGGGTGGCTTTGGCGAACGGGGTGGGTACGGTGGGAGAGGGTTCCGCGGTGGAGGTGGCTTTGGTGGTCGCGGGGGGTTTAGAGGTAGGGGAAGCTTTGGTGGTGGGCAGCGGTGGTAAAGAGCTCTGGATTCCACACCTTTGCATATGAGCGTGGCGTTTCAATGGGTTGGGGTTCAAAAATTGATTGGCAGGGGCCGGAGTCTGCGTAGGTTCTTTAGAAACTCTTTCTAAGCTCTCAAGATCAACCGTAATGTTTCATTAGATCACTATTTCCGCTTGCAAATCTGCTATCTCCGAGCAGTCTCTATGCATATGTATTCCTCCTTAGCATCTGGCGATGGGTAAACCTTCTACATGCTTCACCAATCAAGCTTTCAGCTGAGAACTTCATAGTAGCATCGCTGGGCTCTACAGAGATCTGTAGCCCAACTGCCACCAGGCATTGCTACACCTCACGAGTGGGCGTCAGACTTGTGCTCGCTGCTACCAAGTCACGAGCATGCTTACCAATTAATCACGTGATTTGCTCTAAGCTCTCAGGCTATAGTATAAAGGCGAAGCTTTGGTCAGTGATTCAGAGTCGGGCATGGTGATTACAGTGGAGAACGGTAGCAAAATTTAGTGCCACTCACGTAATGGCCAGTGAGACTGGTGGAGGAGCTTATAGATCAAACCAGATCTGACCGGTTTCCATGTCCAACAACTTTTGCATGGGATCTCGCAATGTGGTCCAGTCAACTCGAAGGACGGTAAAAATGATGGCGGCACTGTGTGGTGGTGCGCTGGCGCCGGTAAAATGATCATCTTCTATCTTCCATGCTACTGTTCTTCAGATATGAATACAGTTGAGTGTCATCTCCTAAGAGTATCGAATATTTCTTACTTTTCTGTCCAGTCATCTACTATCAATAGCCTTTCATGCGAATGAGCATCATCGCCTCCAGGTAGGCTCCTCCACGCCCACTACTTTCCCATGCGGCTGGCGAGAGGTGTCTTCGATCCTCTCCGCCTCCTATCCACAACACTGGTCCATGGCGTGAATGATTTGCACACCGCCTCAGCCATGAAGTGGTTCGCGATTCCTTTTTTGATCCACCGCTCCAATCCCATGCTGAATTAGTATCTTCTAGTGAGCGAGCGGTTTATATATCCCTCAGCGAATCTCCGGGAGCACTTTCCTCCTCTTTCCGTTCTGTCGGGGCCACTGGTTCCGGATCACGCTGAAAGTCGCAACTTGGCGAAAGAGACTACTCCTATGGTTACGCTGAAGTCATGTTTCTGGTGGCGGCTCACAACTTCTTGTCTTTCCGTTGGGTTATGGACTCTTCTATTGTTGATCTTAAGTCACGAGGATACTTAGCTCCAGGCACGTGAGAGCTGAAGTTCCGCTGCACTGCAGTATAAAAGTGAGACTCCTAGTCAGTAACTTAGACTCAGCATGGTGTTTGTGGTGAGCAAGATGCATCAAAATCATGCAACAGGCTCATTCCATGGCCGGTAGTGGTTCTGTGGTGGATGGATTGCTGCATCGACACGGCTCTTGCTGCAATGTTATGTTCATATGCGCATTGCGGCATCCCTCATGTGGGCCGTCAAATGACACATTGAGAGAATCCAATGGCGGCGGTGGCTGTTGGTGTGCTAGCGGAGATACAGTTGTCATCTCCTGTCTCTGACGATGCTCGTCATTAGCTATGCGTCTAATTGGATACCGTCTGCACTCATAGCTGATAGAGTATCATTCCATGCTCTATACCGTCATTTGTCAGCTTTCCTCTGCGGTAAGAATGAGCATCATCGTCTCAAAACCTTCTCCGCGCTCACCCACTCCCCATGAGGTCGGCCAAGCGTCTATTTCAACCTCTCCGCGTCCTCTCCAGACCATAAAAGCGGCTGCAATTGTGTTTCTGCACCGCCCAGCCATTGGGCCGCGACTAACTCGGTGTTGATCCTCCCCTCCGCCTCTATGTCAAGCTCCAAACTTCCAGTGACGGGAAGGTTCATATACCCCACGACGAATTTCCGGGAGAATGTTCCGCCTGCTTCCGAACCTAAGTATAGCCAATGGGAACATTCGAGATCATAGGATTGTCACATGGCAGTGGGAAAGATCGGTTTGGTGATGACATTAGGGTGGCATGCTAGTGGGCAAGAAAGGGAAGAGACAAGATGCCGATGATGGTTATAGCAGGACCAGACTATTCGCGAAAGGAATTTTACACGGCATCAATAATGCATTTACACTAGGACATTTCCTGGCATGGCAGAAAGACAACGAATCAGAAGACTGCTGCGAATTCGGCGCGCAAAGAGATGTCAGCAAGAAAAGATAAATCTGTACCTTCCAAAACATATATTCAAGAACTGTTAGTTAATAAGATGACGGTGGAACTTGATGCATCTAAAGATCCCAGGTTTAAGATGCTGGCGACTCGTCTATAGTCCGAAGCGAAGGTAGATATAAATGGGTCACTGTCGTTTCAAAATTGTAGGAGTATATAGTCGACCAGAGAAACTAGGTCAAACGAGGACAACCTTTCGCTTCTCAATAGCTTCAAATCGGTCTGAGGCACTCAACCCTTGGAAATTCATGGTATCCCAGTGCATCGTGGCAACTCCAATCCTCCTGTGTGTTTCAGAGTCTTCTTTCCCAGTGTGCTCGACAATAAGCGCTTCCACATTCCCAAATCTTTCGAAACTGTGATCGGAAGTAAAGCCGCCCCACGCTGATTGCCTTGATAGTCTTCGTCGTTATCAAAGAGCGCATGACACTCAATATCGTAGCCAATCTCCGGAGCCGAGGTCTTCGTGACCCATATTTTACTGATGTCCAAATCAGTCTCCCAATCACACCAATCATTCTAGCGTTGACCACGAGCTCGGCGTACCGCAGTTGGCCAAACGGATTGCTTGGGTCTACAAGATCGACCCTAACATTTGAAATGTCTAAACCTGCTCCTCCCAGTTTGAGAGAATTAGCGTTGATTAAGTTTGGGAAAGCTCCACCGGTTGTGTCAAGTGAGGCCCAGCTCCATGGTGGTGCTCTATACACACGCAGTAGGCTTCTGAGCAATAAGGCTGTCGTACCAATTTTCTACACGCCAGAGTAATGCCCAAGGCAGTTCGCCAGCGAAGAATCCTGCGAGGTAGTCTTCTTTGAAGATAGCCGCCATGTGCTCTGCGATGCCGGAGAATGCGGGGTACTTGTCTATATCGAGGTGAGAAAGGAAACATCCAGAGTAGGCTTGGATCATTTGCCACCAAATCGTATATCTTCTGCTGGGCTCGTTTGGGACTGGAGTATCCTTGGGGGGTGACTGAGCTGAGAGATCCGGTGCCTTTGAAAAGCTACCAAGGCCCTCATTGAGTCCATTGGGAAACGTCTCAAAGCGATATGGGTTTTCCAAACACTCCCATGAGATCTATTTAGTCTCAAAATAGAGGACCCTTGGCGATAGGATGCGTTCTTGAAGGACCCAGGTTGGAGTGAGTGCCGGTGTTTGAAAGTCCGAAGCGAAAGCACGTGATTTACACATAAATCCATCGTCTCCCTTAAAACTTATAAATAAGACGTCTCAAATTGTTCAAAGGGGGCATAAAGTCTATTGAAAATGGCTGGCCGACTGTATGTAACCAAAACAAATACAACTATTGATGGTATACGACGAAGTCTCGTGAGACCCCAATTCGGCTCACAATCCAACTCTCTCGAATCGCGATGGAAAAGCCACTAAACTTCGCAGTACCCGATGATTAGATCTTGAAGAATATGGCACATGGGAATTGCAGATCAAAACCCATAGCGATGACGCGCGAAGAAGTTTCCCATGCATGACGTCAGAAAAGCTAATCCATAAAGCCGACGACCATTGTGCCATTACCACGGGAATCCCCAACAACCAAAATCCCACAAATTAAAGCCCATTACATCGCTCATATCTTCTCTAACCACTTCGATTCCATACTTCCAACTCATACCACCAGAATGCCACTATTCCGCCTTCCCCACCGCTTTCCCACCATCGCCCACCCATCTCTCCGCACCACTCCCATATCTCGCTCATTCGCAACTACACCATTCCGACAATTGAAAGAAGATGCCAACCGAAGCGGAGACGAAATCGAAGCGAAGAAGCAGGAGCAGCTGAAAAAGCAAGACAAGGGCGAAGGGCATTGGCATGAAGAGCTTGGAAGCCAGAGCGAAAGTCACGTGAAGGCAGATCAGCAGAAGGTGGACGATCACGACGAGCATATGGAGGATTTGCAAAAGGAGACGGCAAAGAAGGGGGAGGAAGGGAAGATATAGGGGGGAATGGGATGTGTGGAGCTAGAGAGCAGGTTTCTGGGCGTGGATATCAGGCTTCGTTTTGACTGACTAGTCATCTACTATCTGGGCTGCTCCTGACAGCGGTGTCGAATGAACAAGCCTGGAGCCCGAGTAGTCGTATATCTAGGCACTTGTACATACGTTATTGCAGTGGAAATCAGCCTGCTCTTGGCCGATCAGCCACCTACTAGCTGGGCTGCTCTTGACGTTGGTATGAATTGAGGAATAGTACAGCCTAAATAGAGATATCCGCGCGTATCCATCTTTATGTTCATGCGTTGAATTTAGACTACCTCTTGACTGGTAAGTCACCTGCGAGCTGAGCTGCTCCTGACAGCGGTATCGAGAGAGCAAAACTAGAGTCTGAGCAACCATATATCCATGTACCTTTACCTCTACTTGTATCAATGCAATAGAAATCAGACTGGCTTTGGCTGACCAGCCACCTGCTGGTTGGGCTGCTCCTGGCGGTGGTATCGATTGAACAATAACACAGCCTGAAGAGGGATATATCCGAGTATCTATTCGTATGTCCACGCACAGAAAACCAGACTACCATTTGACTGCTTAGCCACTGCTACCTGGGCAGCCCTTGACAGTGGCACCTAGTAAGCAGCAGTACGTACGACTTGACTGGTGGTATATATGAGCATGTGGAGTTGTAGAGGATTGTGCGGGATTTGGATTCTTAGGGGTTGAGATGAAGCTACCTTTTGACTGACTAATTAACTGCTGGCTGGGCTACTCCTGACGGCGGTATAGAATGAGCAGGAGTAGAGCATTGATAGAAATATGTCCGACCCTTCATCGTCAGGTTCATGCATTGAAAATCAGACTACCCTTTGACTGACCAACTGCCCGCTAGTTGGGCCACTCCTGATGGTGGCATTAAATGAGCAAGAGTATGGTTTCGTCGGTGGTATACCTGAGTGTACGGATTTAGAGGGGATTATCCGGGATTAAGTTCTCGGTCATGGGAATTGGGCCCCCTATTGATATACCAGCTAACGGCTAGCAAGGCCACTCCTGACAGTGATATTGAGGGAGCAAGATTGAAGCTGAAACAACTAGATACCGTACGTTCATCTTCTGCTTCGTGCAGTCGAAATCGGTGTACATTTTGGCTGGCTAGCAACCTACTCGCTGGGGCAGCCCTTACAGTGGCATCAATCAAGAAAAATTAAACCCCGGCGTAGTACGGTATCCTTCATACAATAGAATCAAACTGCCTTTTAACCGACCGAGTGCCTCCCAGCTGGGCTATCCCTCACAGCGCATTTAAGCATGCAAAGCTGTAAAACACGATGTAGAAGTTAATACACTACAGATCAGATGACTTTTTGACGGACTAGTAATCTGCTAGCTAAGCTCTTCCTCACGGCGCTATTGAGCATGCAAAAGTGTAGAACACGATGTAGAAGTAAATACAGTGGAGATTAGAGAACCTCTTAGCTGACCAAGAATCTACTAGTCAGGCTCCTCTTCGCAGCGGTATCAAGCATGCAAGTCAAAATGAACGATATTAAGATCAATGCAATAGGAATCACACAACTTCCTAATAGTGTCAAGGACAGTTGGAAAGATCATATATCCGTATGCCTAAGACTATAAGTCAGTGCTCTAGGTATATACATCGTCCTGCTAATCTGGTTCCTGGATTATGTCAAATATATGCACACCCGTCTACCACCGCCAGAGGTGACTTGACAAGGTAGAAGACCCGTCAAAAGATAGGATTCAGGTTCGGAAAAGGATTGGGGTCACCTCAGACGGCGCTAGAATGATTGTAGTACTGTAGAAAAAGAGCTTAGAATTCTAAGCTGTCATTTCTAAGATCCTCAAAATCTGGAGTGACCAGTAATTCAGTTGTCTATGTACACCTATTTACCACCGGCAGAGAAGGCCCGGCGAGGTATAAGGCCTAGCAAAACGATAGGTTTCAAAATCAAGAAACGGATTTGAGGCACTTCAGACGGTACTAGAACGTTAACAGTACTGTGGAAGAGGAACTGACATTCACGAGCTGGGACTTTCAAAACGTTCTAAATCAGGAGTACTAAGCTAAGCGGATGTCTATGTGCCCGTATCTACCACCACAGGAAGTTAACCGGCGATGTATGCGGCCAGTCAAATCGATGAGTTCCGAATTGAAAAGAAGGATTCGAGGCACTTCAGATAGTGCTAAAACGATCGCATTCCGCAGAAAATGAAGTCACATTTATGAGCTGTGATTCCCAGCATCCTAGAAATTTAGACCAACAAGTCCAGTGTCTGTCTATGTGTACATATCCGTAACATGGGACGTTGCTCGGCAATTTGTGAGGCTCGGTAAACTAATGGGTATCAATCAAACAGCGTGGGCAGTAATCCGTCCAATCCTCAATCCGTCCATCGGCCAGCCAGTTAATCCACACCTATTTAATCCAATCTACCGCCCCAGGTGTCTCCTGCTAATTGGGATTGGTTTTCACACGACTCTAGATTCCTGGCATTGCTCGACTCCTACAACTCGGCAATGGTTGCCTCCAATCGCCCGTGTGTGACGCCCGCTGACTTCGACGGGATGGATCACCGAGCGGGTGGACTGGGAGAATACACGAGCAGCACGATCTTGGAGTGCGTGAAAGACCGCGACATATTCAGAGTCGTACCCGCCAGTGTTAATGGCAACATCCTCTTTAACATGCACATGGCTGCGAACCATAACCAGTAGCCGGGAACTGACCAAATCTTGTCCATATGATTTGGCATCCGAGTTTGAGGACCATCTTAAAATCGAGTGGACAGTCTCCATGTCGAGACCACTGGGGCCTGAAGCACCACCCTACCACCCCTCCCAGATCTCCTGGCTAATGCCCAGACTGCTCGCAGTGGCGGCGATTGATAGAGTTTCGGATAAGGTCAGAACGGCCTTGTCGACGCTCTCGAAAACGATGCCGCTCTGGTGAAAAACCACAACATTACCAGCATATACTCTAGGCCTTTGAGGTTCCACTGGAACCCTAGTAACACCAGTCGGGTGTGGTGATGCCGAGCCAATCCCGCATAGCCCCGTACCAGCATATTATCATTTGGGGCTGTCTTCCGGGGCTTCAGGGAGAAGAATTTCCGTACATAGTACTCAATGTAGATGGGTGGAAAGATTGGCATCAAGTCGCCGACCGCATACCGCGCCATTAGTGGGTGTTGTTTCTTCAAATTGAGGGCAGGCAACTCGTCGATGTGTGCCTCAGGCCCACAATGCAGAGCGACCGCTTGAAGTTTCGCATAATACGAGAAAACCGCTTTTCACTCCGCCAAAACAGTAGCTGTCGAATCGATAAGGACAGTTCAAAGCGCTTCAAACGGCACCAAGACGGTAGCAAAGTAGTAGAAGAGCTCAAGATCATGAAGTAGTGTTTGCTATTGCCTTTTTTTCCGCCATAGATATATACAATGAGTGGATTGACTTAGGGCGTTGATAATCTCACACCCCCTAATTCCTCCACGCACACCCCCTTTTCGCTATTCGCACACCCCCTCCCCCCCTAGTCGTTTCACCGCCTTCCTATTGGCTCGGAGCAGCGCGGAGCTTTCTCCGGGCATTCACCTATACGTTTATATACACGTGATGCTATACGCGAGGCCGTATGTAAGGCTATACAAATTGGAAAGAATGCGCTATAAAATGGAGAGGCTGTATAGCCTCTCCATTTTATACAGCCTTGCGTATAGCCTTATGTACAAGCTTATATATAGCCTTAGGTACAAGCTTACGTTTCTATTCTAGAAGTGCCTACGTGCCTATAAGTATGCCAAATCCGTTAAACCCTTACTATATTACGGCTCCTTTGCATCGAGCCTGGCCCCCTAGCATCGCCGCCTACACCTACTCTTTACCCTGATTAATATACCCCTTAATTTCCTTATTATACGCTGCAAGCTGACGTAGAAGCTCCTCTCGGCTAAGCCTCTGTGCTTGAGGATGAGGCTGAGGCTGAGGCATAGGCTGAGGCGTAGGCTGAGCGCTATCTTGCCTCTGAGCTCGTGCCTTTTTCCGTGGTACCTTATCCTTTGCATCAGGCGGCCGACCGCGCTTCTTAGTTGTAGGTGCAGCTGTAGGTGTAACCGTAGGCGCTGCTGTATGCGCTGCCGTAGGCGCTGCCGTAGGCGCTGCTGTATGCGCTGCCGTAGGCGCTGCCGTAGGCGCTGCTGTATGCGCTGCTGTATGCGCTGCCGTAGGTGCTGCCGTAGGTGCTGCCGTAGGTGCTGCCGTAGGTGCTGCCGTAGATGCAGCTGTAGGCCTAAGAAGGGCTGGATCAATACGAGAAAGATCAACCGGTGTAGCTGTCGACTGATAGGCATTCCGAGCGTCAGGAGCTGGACGAGGGACTACAGAAATAGGCGGTGCTGGCGGCGGAGCTGTCGGCATGCGTCCTGGAGGTATGCTCGTATGTCCACTCTGTCTGGTTTACTACGGTATTTTGCTAGGCCGTAGCCCCGCGCTGATGCGTGCGCTTGTAAAGCAATATGCGCTTCCTCTGCTGTAGCGTAGTACGCCAGCCGTGGCGGCTAGAGGGCCATGGTGAGTGTATTGTAGAGGGAGAGGAAGAGGATGTAATTGATTGCGATCAAGGCCGCATTTGGAGAGAGCATTTGGAATTAGTGAGCAAGTTAAGCGAGCGAATCGGAGGCTCCGGAACACCCCTCCGAGCCAATAGTAAGGCGGTGAAACGACTAGGGGGGAGGGGGTGTGCGAATAGTGAAAAGGGGGTGTGCGTGGAGGAATTAGGGGGTGTGAGATTATCAACGCCCTTGACTTATAATGAAAGAACAATAACACAATGAAAAAGAACCAACTACCAAAGGCACATATTGACATAAGAAGTCTAACTAAAGGCCCTTAAGACCCTACCAAAAGGTCCCACAAGCCCGATAATCCAGATAAAGGCCCCGAATAAGGCACGCGCTGCACAAGCCCATTCGACCCACGTTTTTAATCCTTCCAGAAGTCGTCATCGTCGTCGTCGGGGAGGGCATATTTAGACAGCTCCTGCGCCTCCGCGAGTATTTCCTCCGCAGAGAGGCTAGGGGGAGGCGTTACAGGAGAAGCGGCAGAGCTAGAAGCGGTCGCAGAGGGTGCAGCCTGCTTGGGCGGATGCGACACCGAACTCTTTGGTGTGGCTTTGAGCTTGGCCTCTGTACAAACGCCTTCTCTCAGCATGGCGGCGTTTATCAAAGGGCCAAATGTTTCTAGCTCCTTGACCAATTCTTTGACCAAATCCTCCCGTGGCTCTGGGAAATTATCCACCACGTTGTACAGTTCAAACAGAGCCGTTGGACTCCAACTCCAATGACTCCACTCGACTTCAGCTTTGTTCAACGGAATATTGTCCGTCTGTATCGCCTTGTTGGTCTCGCGGAGAATCGCTAGCAGGCTGCGGCCCGGGCTCTGGCAGTCCACGCTGTCGGCAATATTATTCAGAATGTCTTCGCAATACAATTCTGCGCGTCTGCCCTTGCGTCCGTAGTAGTCTAGATTCTCCCCGTGCAACTTGGCCTCGGCCGTGGTATAATGTGGAACTTCCGCGTCAGATGGTTGCGAACCGCTCTGCGCCTGTGCCTGCACCTGCGATTCCGTTGACCGATCGACAGCTGGTGTATCACCAGCTTTGGACTGGAGCTGTTGACCAAATGGGAGGGAGAGTTGATGGAGTGTCGAAGGTTGCTGTTCTTCTTGGGTGGAAGTGGCTTGGGTGGGCGGTGGCTGCTGCTGTGGCGAGTTCTCTACCATGGCACATGTGCCTGTAGTGTTCAATGCTGTCTGGAGACGTCCCACAAGTGTCTCCAGCTCACGACCAACTTCTAGAAAAAGCTCCGACTGATAGACTTTGGCAGTTCCTGCCATCTTTTGAAGCAAAACATTAAGCTTTTCCGGAGACCACTCAATCCACTCGACCTCGCTGTTATTCAGCGGCGTGACATCCTTGCCTAGACGGTCATTCGCTTCGCGGAAGAGTTCCTTGAGAGTATAGAGGCGATCATCATAGTCTTCGTTGGTATCCAATTTCTTGGATAGCTTCCTGCGATCAGTGCGCACAGCTTGGCGTTTGCCCTTCAGCCAAAACAAATTGTCTTTATGAATCTGATGTGATGTGTTCTGCGGGATATTTGGGAGGAAAGGCTGCGGTTCTGGTTGTTGATCGATATCCATACAGTCGGAGTCCACGAACGAGTTTGGAATTGAACTTGTTCCAAGGCTATGTCCAACGCTCAGAGGCGCAGAAACTGGACGAGGAGGTACCGGAGTTGATGGAATGTTTTCTTCGATAGATGGCTGCGCGGTTGGCTGCTGCACAGAAAAGCCAGATCGCATCTGAAATTCCTGCGAGCCTAAAATCGGATTCCAGGTGCCGAAAACATGGTTCTCTTGCTTGATGTAGCATAGCCCAGGGGTCTGACGAGCCCTAATGCAGTGTTGGGCAAGGCGCTCCAGAGCTTGCGCCAGGTTTTGGGCGCGCGGGTCGTCCATGCTCGTGGCAATGGTCCGGAAGATGGTCTGGAGATGTTCCCAAGGCCAATTCAGCCACTCCAGCTCTGCAGCATTGAGGTCCGTCAAGTGGCTGTCCAACTTGGCGACCGCCGCTGTGATTGCAGTGGCAAGCATACACATCGGCCAAGTACAGTCTTGGCCACGATTGAAATTCTTCTCGAAATTGCCGATGTGTTCATTCACATGATGCCTCTTCGCAGCGACCCATTGTAACGCCTTCGTGCGGTCTTTCCTGGCTCGTGTCTCGCGAAGCTTCTCCCCGAGAGAGAGCAAGGCGGATGGAATAGGGTGCGACGAAATGCTATTGGATGCGACCCCTGGTAGTATTATGTTAAAATGATGAAAAGGTTGAAGATATGCCAAGCCACTTACCAAGAGAATGGCCGAAGTGGCTGGTGTTGCTATCCTTTGTAACAGGGTACTTCCCCATTGAGCCAAAGTTCTGGCTTATCCCATAATCCTGTGTAGCCGAGTACTTCCCCATAAAGCCGAAGCTCTGGCTGACGGGGGCCGAATAAGGGGGAGACGACGGACCAAATGAGAGACCAGTTGATCCGACTGAGGGCAAACCAGAGAGAAACTGGGACGGTGGCGAGGGGGGAGGCGTTGGGGTTTGGATTGCCTGGCTCACGTTGGGGCTCTTGGGCGAGAAGCATAGAATTCCTCCTAATATCACAAGTAAGTCAGCATGAATTAGGAACGACAAAGTGTAGGAGAGGAGAAAAGGGATGAGTGTACCTGCTACAAAGGGTTTGACGTAGGAATAGGCCTCCCAATCTATATATTGATTAGACGTTGCTGCACTATGTGGACAAGAATCTACGAAATACCTATAAGTCCCGCCTCATCGTGGTATGTTAGCCATTTATTGACCTCTTCGCCGGTATGCCGAAGGATACTCTTCATAGTCGTAATTAGGTAAATTTGGAACGTCTGGCAAAAGCTAGAGGCATTCGGTAGATCCCTCATGGCGAGATGGAAGGCGTCCGCGAACGTAAGGTCGGCAGAGCGCATACCGAAGAGACCTCCGAACAAGGACATTTGCTGTAACATCGTATTAACATTGCGACAAATTGCACGTCGGCGAGGTTATAGCGCCGCGAAGGGAGCAGCATATGGCAGTTCACCCACGAGTAGGTAGCACTTACAGACATAGTTGGAGACAGTGTATAATGTGTATCAGGGAGGAAGTGTTGTGATGGAGGAACCGGTGGTCTGCCGGAGTGACGTGGACGCGGAGGCTTGGTTGCGCAAGTAGCGATGCAAGAAGCAAGCGGTTTGAAGCTGTGTGGTATGCTGGAGTTGAAGGCGCTGGTTGGTGTCACGTCGATGTACCGGTGTGGTGGTGGGGAAAAGAAAGTTTTGATTGTCGGCGCGAGGCTGGCTTTAATTTATGGGGAGAGGCGGGCGTGGAGCTGCGCCGGCCGGGGTGCACGGCAGGAAGGGGACGTGAACGGCTGGAGACGGATAGCAGACGGAGTTTTCCATTCACATTCACCACCTCGCGCTCCTGGGTGCTCGTGATGTCACGATAGGGGGTGGAGGTTGAGACGTCACGTGCCCTCCAGAGCAGCCACGCTAGGTCCATAACTTTAACCCCTCCTGAATACTGTTGAGAGTGTATATAGATAGACATAAAAGGGGTAAATCGTTACTGTACAATGACCTTATCTCTGCTGCGACCTACCTTAGTGGCTTCAACGACCGCCTGTGCGAAAAGCAGAGGAAGCGTTGTTGCTGAAGATAGTCCGATGCAAACAGGGGAGAAGAACGCATATCCTGCAAAACTTCACTGACAACACTTCAACAAACTAAATATGCGTTTAAGGGGACATGTGTCGTACGTCTTGTTTTGTTGGATATAAGATGTCTCAGAAGACTACACCTGGTGTGTACGGCGTACATTAATAAGTCATAAGTCTATGCACACAGATATGCCGCTGCATGGGCCGCAGTCCTGCTCTCTCGATAGCACTGTGGGATGTGGCTAAGCTAGCGGGCAGCCGGTAGTCAAAAGGCAGTCTGATTCTTACTGTGTGAACCTTTGGATTGCGTTGGAGTCCTAATAAAGTCAGCTACACGGAAACGTCCCAACTTAAGCGATACTTCGAAAATTGATACCACTGTCAGGAATAGCCCCGTTGTTAGGTAGCCGGCTCGTCAAAAGATAGTCTAACTCTGGCTACATCGACTTTGACGTTGATTTTCTGTGTCCTGAGTTTCAGCACACGGAAATAGCAGTGCTGAAGGTAGACTTTTGCTTACCTAATACAAGTGTCAGGGGGAGCCCAGCTGTTACGTAGCCGGTCGATCAAAATGCAACCTGATTTCCACTTTATGGACGACCCGGGGCGCAAGGTTTGCGACTATTACGAAGCCACCGCAAACAGCCTTTAAATGACACGCCAAGAACCGTTTCGCTGAGAACTAAAGGATGCTCCAGGGTGGAATGCGATACTTCTAGAACTCGCACGTCGTTTGATTAGCATGACGGAGATTATATGAGAAAATACGGAGAGATGTGGAATCAGGGATAGTCTTTGGAAGCATGTCGTCGACAAAGGAAATAATGGGACATTAATGACATGAGCTCGGCCTGACTTTTCTATCTTGACTTATACACGATGCTATAAAGGGCTTCCGAATCGTTGCTCTGGATCCGAAACCCAATTTCAAGCCTGGGCTGGCGCGTCCCAACACGAACGCGCGTCTACCTTTATGTCCAAACGCTTGAGACGAAAGCAACCTTACGGTGAAGTGAATAGTATGTTTTGTCTCGGCGCGTGGTAAGTGACGTGGCCGGCTCCGTCACATAGTGTTTATGTACGACTTGCTGCTCCCTTAAGCTCCCAGCATCGTCGCCACCACCATTGCCATTACCACAGTTCCGCACCCCCCGACCGTCCTTTCAATCGCAACAATGAACTTACTTCGCGGAGGGTATCACCAGCCTCTTCATCTACAAGACCTTGAATGTGAACGAGAAGAACAATGCCGGCGTGCTGCAGACCGCAGCGTTTAGGGTTCTCCTGAACTGCCCAGAGCTCTTGGAGCAGATTCTCCTCTTCCTACCCCTTCCGAACCTGTTCGTCCTTCTCCGCGTGTGCAAGCTGTGGCACGAACTCATCGCAACATCGCTTGCCATCCTCCGCAAAATGTTCATCCTAGCGCCGAATACAGGTGTCCTGACTCCTCGAGATGTTGTCCAAACCACCATGAAGATTCAGTACAACCCCATCTTCACCCCCGAGGACCTCTGGTACGAGGGCCATTCGCAGAGAGCGCTACTGCCAATCATGCACCGTGGAGCCTCTCTCTATCACCAGAGAGGTAACCACTGGGTTTTCAGTTGGCCAATCGACAAACTCGTCTTCCCTCGTTGGAAACATGGCCAGCCGCCATCTCTGATTGAAACTTGGCGCAAGATGTTCCTCACGCAGCCGCCTGTCTCTGTCGTGAATATATGGGTTTGGGGTCCGGCATGGCTCTGAAGAGGACGTCAGTGGCATCGTGTCGTGACGGTCAGAAACCAGAAGGGAGTTACAATTGGCAACATTCTAGAGGAAGCAATAGGCTGGCTGGACTCGTATTGGGGGGATAATAAAGAGAGACGAGGAAGGAGGTACTGAAGGAGACTAGGAAGCTTTCTGAGTGGATCAACCTCAATCTCATCGGCCCGACGGAGCTGCTACAACTCGATGCTTACGGTTGGTCTTTGGTTGCGCCCGGGCAACCATCAGGGGTCGGGGAGGATTGACCTCCATCGCCGACGAGCTCGCAAATTAGAGGTAGATACAGAATAAGCTGCTACCAACCACTCAATGTTGAGCAGCTCTCCAACGTCGTAAGGAGAGTCTTGGGACTATTAGAAGTTGGATTTCGATCAAACTAGACTCGAGGATATTGGATGAAGGTGGGTTCTTTGATGGAGGTTTATCCTTTGCAAAAATTCGAAACTTAAGTATCTGCGGAGATGTAATGTGGGGTTATTTGATAATTATGGGCCTTACGAAAGCCTTCAATAAAAGATCAGTCAGCTAATATGACCCTTGCGTTTGCCATCATTGTGTCTTTACGACCCTCCAGGCCGTTTTGAACTAGGGCCTTCGTAAGAGCAGGGGAGCTTCGACACCAATGCATTTGTCTGGATAGGCGCCATTTTGGTAGGTGACGCCGATGCACTTCCATAAGAAGTTCAGCAAAAATAAACCTTATTAGATGGATCTGCGAAGGCGATGGCGGATATCCACGAAACCAACTCGGTTGCTGATAGAACTCCGCGTTAAGTCTCATGACATCTACTATAATCTTGTGGATTTTAATAATTGAAGACTCCACCTTGCTCGCAGTACCCTTTGAGTGATACCGCGGCATTTCTTCCGCAAAGTCGGCTGACATCTTGAGTTTTGGTAGAGCTGATTCGGAACACTTAGGTACAGGCACCTGACGGACTAGAAGAGGACGCGCGATGTCGGTTGCAAACGGGAATCACAAAGTAAGGTTTCTATCATGATAGCTATACGTTGTAAAGTTCCAAGGGAAGACATCAAAGTAGATGGAGAAAGGAGGCATGTCGTCTTGAGTGCCGAGGATTCGGCCCCACCTTTTTTGAGTCTAGTCTCAAAGCGGCCCAGTTAAACGAGGCCAGCGGTCATATATCGGACTAGTCTACATTTGACGCAACGTGGGAGTACTGTTTCATACTCTATAATCAGTCACACTACTCTGCCTCTTGGGAACACATTCAGAGCTGTAGGATGTGTCCTCAAATGCGTTGAGATTGTCCTCTATAGCAGGTAGCCACGCGCCCACGTGTTCTAGCATGTTCAACGCTTGGCAAAATTACCCCGCTTGCATCACTCGATATCTACTCCTTCTTCTCAGCTCTGCTTCTAGGCACTAGACTCCTATGCACTAAACCTCTCCTTCAGATCTACTAAGAACCTTTTTCCCTTCAAAGTTCTTTTCTGAAGGCATTGTATTCCACCTACTTTACTAGACAGAGCGACGAGACTCGGCTGAGATACGATCCTCTAGGGAACTTCATCTAAGCCTAGAGAAATGTCCGAACCGCAGAAGTTACGAGTTGGAATTATCGGAGCTGGAGAAGTCGCTCAAGTGATTCATCTTCCCGTCTTGTCTCTACTCTTCCATCTCTACTCCGTCACAATTATCTGCGACATATCCGCAAAGAACGCCTCGCACTGTGCCGCAAAATTCCACATTCCAAAGTCCACCACCTCCGCCGCTGATGTCTATACCAGCCCAGACGTCGATATCGTCTTCATACTCACCTCGGACGAGTTCCATGCTGAGTATGCTATCGCGGCTCTGAAAGCTAGGAAGCACGTCATGGTTGAGAAGCCGATATCGCTCTCCATGCAATCTGCGAAGAGGATCATTGAAGCAGAGAAAGAAGCAGGAGGGCCAAGGGTGTTTGTTGGGTATATGAGACGCTATGCACCAAGCTTCGTACAAGCGTTTACAAGAGAGGTCGCAACGATACCGCGAGTGCTTTATGCTAGATCGCGAGACTTCAGCGGGCCAAACGCTCAATTTGTGTCGCAATCCGGCACTTTCCAGGTGCAAAGTACGGACTTCCCTCCCGGAGCAAGCGAGGAACGGACGAAACGGCTAGATGATCTTTTCGCAGAGGCTTTCGAGGGTCGAGAAGTCACGCTGGAGAAGAAGAGGTACTGCCGTTTCCTTGGAAGCTTAGGCTCGCATGACATCTCTCTCCTACGAGAAACTCTTGGATTTCCGGAGTCCGTTGCTGGCGTATCTGCAAATGAGCCGTTCTACTCGGCGATATTCAACTACAAGAATAAGTCAGGCGAGCCATTTGCAGTCACTTACGAGAGCGGCATCGATGGCGTACCGAACTTCGACGCGCACCTTGCGGTCTATGGAGAGAACAAGCGCGTTCAGATACAATACCCATCACCCTACGTCAAAGGACTACCCATCATAGTCAAAGTTGACGAGTTGAATGAGAATGACGAGACACAGACGAGAGAGATATTATCATCATACGAAGACGCATACACTGCCGAATTGAAAGAGCTTCACGCATGCATTACTCAGGGAAAGACGATCAAGACGTCTGCAGTGGACGCACTGGAGGACTTGACTATATACGACATGATGTACAAGAAGTATGAGGGGATTTGATGATTGCTACTGGAGTTGTTCGCAAGCTAATAGAACGCCTTGATGCATCAAACTCTTCAAATCCAATCGCAGCCTCCTGCATTCTGGAGCGTATCAACGATCTTGAAGATCATCCAGATGTATCACCTTCGTTATCAGGCCCATATATTCGACAGGCACATGGCCCTTGTGAACATGTCGCTCTACGTATCACATACTAGCCTAAAACTGGCAATCATCGATGTTCAGATCGACTGTTTCTATCCATCTTCATGAACGATGTTCAGCATGGTGACTAAGCCTTTCATCTAATCTGCTTGAGCCAGTCTCGTCGATTATTGCGTTGTGCAGTATCGTAAATCAATCGCCTTTGTTGAATGGTCCAATCAGAATCTACAAGGTCATGGTTCCAAAGTTCCTCCACTAGCATCCGAGACAGGTAGTGACGGCCGGGATATTCCTCCAACCCAAGCCAAACGAGGCACACTGTTCCCACCCAAGTATGGTCTGTTGGTAATGAGCTTTTCCAGGACCTAGTGGCATGTAGCATAATCTGATCGAAAGTTTCGCACCCCACACGATACTTGTACATTTTTATCCTGCAATGGCAGTCAATGGCCTTGCAGAGTAACTTCCCATACTCCGATACCTGCTACTGTTCATGGTCTCTCACCGAGCAAGGAAAATGCATGGTTTTCGGGTGTGTGTCTAGGCTTTGCTGTTGAAAGGCGTATTGTGGGCTTTGAAGCAACTTGATCAGGGCGCGTAGCACTTGGTCGTCCGTTGTACGAAGGTGCGGGCACGACGGCTGGTCCAACCCAACAAGCGCTGCTGTAAGCTCCGCAACGGATTCTGAAGCCATGGTGCCACTGGGTATGCGCACTATCGGGAGCCACCATTTGCAATAGAAGCTAGTTCCTCCGGCCTTCATGATGCTCTGACGGGGCAAAGGCGCACTTGACCAGATCCGCGGAGAAGATTCGTATTCGGTTCCAAAGAAGTGGTTGCGATGATCGGGACGATGACAAGAGAACATGTTGTCTGGCTCAAAAAACTCGCAAAGTTCAGCATACGTAAAGCTATGATGCTCGCAAAGCAAAACTTGTGTTCCATTCCTAGACAGCAGCGTTCAGAGGCAGAGGTTGACCTTTGTTGCACAGAGAAAAGATAGGCCGGATAGCGAGTACTGCACACACTGTACCAAATGCGAAAACGAGGAGGCCGATTTCTGTAGGTCATTAGGAGTGGCCCTGGCAGCGCTAAGTCCTCTTTTGGTAAAGAGGAGAGGGGCTTTCCCTCTAATCTAGATATTTCCCAGTTAAATTCATTGAGTGGGAAAATTCCCAACTCCGGCAGAATAGTATATCGCAGCTTCCTGCGGCTTTGGCGTATCGCGAGCTTAGATGTCGGCGAAAGGTGATTGGCGACCATGGAAAGGAGTTCAAAAGGCAGTACATAAAGAGCACTTTGCGTCGCGTTGTGGAGAGCTGCGGCCTTTCGGTCTGGGTATGATTCCATAGTGCAAAAGGGAGCATAATTTTGCGGGCTGCCCTTGACATCCACTTTTCGGGAGTAGTCTCCATACTTTTGAGAAAGCGGCTTCTCGCGAGGGTACGGAGGCGTCTTGGCCGGCGTGGTCGACTCGATGAGTGTTGTAGCTGATGTTGTAGGAGTTGTAGTGTTCCACGAAGTCGCCAGAATCTGTGACGTGTCTAGACTAGACGATGGGAGCACTTATAACTTTGCTCGCGGAGGTGTTACAAAGATAGAAGGACGATTGAAGAAGAAACAGATCATATGGCGAGGAAGATGCCTGCCTCATCCGCGTCGCTCATTTCTCACAGCAAGGCGCGGTTGTCATCGAAGCCTTATCTCAAGCGAGAAAGGTGCTGTGGGTGCCTTGGATTAGCTCGGGTAGTTCTATGATTCCACTTTTTCTGAACGCCAAACCACCCTGCCGCCGCCCCCTTCTTCTTTCCCTCAACACGGGTACATGGTCTGCATCACTTCGACATCAGCATCACCTCGATCGGAGCATCCAAAATCTTCAGAATGCCAAAAAAAATGCCAAGGAGTTAACCCTCAGACACAAGCTGCAAAACAGCGTCCTACTCTAACGCCTTCATCGCATTTCGCCCTCTCGAACACGTCTACTTCGCCTGCCTCTAACTAACAAAGCTTCAACTCTATCGGTAAATATAAAATTCACTAACAACGTTCAACAAACTCTAAAGAAACGCAACAGCGAATTGCCTCTTCTTTTTTTCAAATCTTGCTAAGACGCATTTTATGGCACAGACCTACAGCCACCATTGACCATGCCGTTGAACACGCCATTGACCATCGCCCGTAGAGAGAGTTATGGGTGGGCAGAGTAAGGCCAGTGGTTCGAAAGTACAGTACTAGGTCAGCAACTTTGGCACAATGATGCCTTACGACTTGGGCTTTACTCACGCTCGCTCGACGACACCACTTCAAAGAGTATCCTAGCCAGCAGGTATGAGATTGTCAAGAGTTAGTCTGATTTCCAATGCATCAGTCTCTGCATAGTACTTTGAGGCGACACCAATGTAAGTAATAGACCAACTATCAGGTCTACTGCACGTCAAGAGCGGATATATTTTCTATAGAATCAATTATCACATGACGAGTGGATAACCCAAGCAGTCGTACGGAGTGCCCAGGTTTTCCGTCTTAGTACTGTAAGTCATAGAAACTCTAAATTCTCGTCATAATAATATACTCTCTTTGTATATGTGCTGTCAAGAAATCAAAAAGGAGTTGGAAAGATTGCAGGCGAGAAATGCCCAGCACGTGACTCCCGACCTCAACCGCTATCAAATATACAAGGAGCTCGAACGATGCTTCACGACAGCTAGTATCAATCAAGTCCGAATTGTGAGTACTGGCGTGATCTCGCGTATTACCCACCGTCTTTCACCGCGTGGCTCGAGGCTAGACCACCCTGCCCGTCCGTTCACATTCACCAACTGCTTCCCTCCTCACGCCCGCTGCCTTCTCGCGCCGCCGTCTTTCATCCGACTCCAGCCGTTCACCTCTCCCGCGCGTCCGTGCACAGCGTCGTCGACTCCCGCAATCTAGCTCCACGCCGCCCTCCTGCCACGCATATAAAACCCAACCCACTCCCCGACAACCCAGACCTTCTTTCCACACCACACCGGTACAGCAAGATACGTTCACATCACATTGTCAACTCCCAGTCTGCCATCTGCACTGTTCTCAGATGTCAGCTTAGCTCCAGCACAGATATTCTCTGCGCCACCACCATCGCGTCTCTCTGCAACTCACCGGCTTCTCACACACCCAGAACTCTCCACTATCCTCCATCACCTTCATTCTACACATTCGAAATGCCAGTAAGTAATTCCCGCGTGCGCCTTGGTCGCCAAATTCTGTTATGCTCTCTTTCGCCTCGCGACATCTTGCGCAAGGAAATGAATACTGACACGACCTTTTAGCACTACTATGGTCTCCATACTGATATTCGCGACATCTGCGCGCCTGTGCCGGACCTGATGGGCAAGCCCAGGATATCCTTCGAGCTGGCGCGTCAGGTCGTCAACCGTGGAGTCAGGAATTACAACCTCTCCAACGACTTCATGTTGGCACGGGAGATGGCCGAGCTGCTGAAGTGCCGTCCTGAGGATATCTGGCGCGAACATGACTTGAGAAAGTCGATCGTTTGCCATCACATCATGGGATACGACCCGAGTGCCATCGCTGCGAATCATGACGGTACGTCGAAAACTCCTCTCCACGCCCATTGCATCTGTCTAATGAAGAAAAGTGAATGAGCAGGATGTCCGTAGCATCCTTCTATCCCCTGGAATTGCCTCGATCAATGGTATGCGCCACCCTCCTCTCTTATATTCTTATTCGGCTATGAGCATTCATACTGACTCCCTTGCGACCTCAGGTGGCCTTGCCAACTCCCCAGTCGGCCATCGCCCAAATCCTTACGGATGTACTCTGTTCAACAGCATGCCAGCTCTGCCTCTCACCCCACCCTCGTCCCCACAGTATGCTGAGCAGGATCTGGGAAGTATGGGACACCACAAAGTCACGAGAGAAGAGTCACCGCCACTTGGCCCAACTGGGCAATCTCTCGGGCTCCAAGACTCGATGACTTCCGGTCTAGGTACGCTACATTCACCTGTAATTATGCTCCGTCTAACTCTATATGATTAGGATACACCGCTTTACACGGCCAAGCGCTGAAGGAGAAGCAAAATCGAAAGGACCACAATACCCTCCTAGAATCTCTGAAAGAGAAGAAAGATTATCTCGAACATCATCTTGCACTGTTTGTTCGCAAGTGGCTTGCTGGTAATGATTACAACACCGTCATGCACGACCTAGGTTCCTTTTTCGAGAGGGTCAACGGCTATCTGGACAAGGATCCAATTCCGCTTAATGACGATGATATTACTTGGCTTGATTGGCCTCTCGTGGATCTAGACGACTTCTTCAAGGTCCTTCTCAACGAGGCGCATCCTGGGTGCCGCTGGATCGAAGCTACTAGTCTAGAGCTTCGAAAGCTCGGAGCACACATAGCCACGGCCAGGAATACTCCAGGTATATGTCTGCTCCGCGAGGGACCCTCATCCGCATCAGGTCATCCTGTCCAGGCACAGGCCCCGTTCACGCAGCCATATCCACCCCAGCACAGCTCGCAAACAGCATCCATGTCAAATATCTTTGGGTATTTAGCTAAGCCCCAGACCACTCCCTTTTCTTCCGCAACCGAACAACAACCGGCACAGATTCATACCACGATGGAGGGCACTGAGGCCAATACGACTCCACAGTTGGCCGACTCCACGATAGAAGGCGGCCCGCTACCACAACCAGGCTTCCCTGGCACATTCGGACAGCCGCCACAGCAGTCGAAAGTTGCTCAGAACTCACCCTTCACCAACCCGATGCCAGGTCATCTAGGGTCTTCTCCATTTGGCCAACCCACAGCCCCGCAGCAGCCGAGCGGGTTCGAGCTCAACCCCCAGCAGAGTTCTCCGGACGCTATCCACGAGGCGTTCCTCACGTATGCGGAGCACAAATCCAAGGATCTCGTCAAAAGTAGCAAAGCGGTAATGAAGAGAATTGCCAACGGCAAAGCATACGAAGTTGAACTTCATGGCCTGTTGAGTGTTCTGAAGCAGAGCAGGAAAAAGCTCGTTGTTGACAAGATACCATTGAATCAGGGGGACGTTGAATGGATTGGCTGGGATGTAGAGGCTCTCTTAGCCGTCGGTCAGGAACTCCACAACTTTGGTAGCCCTCGTGGCGATAACGAGGCCGGAAAGACCCTCGATGAGCTTACTGAGCTCATTCCGCGGTTACAGACCGCACTTCAGACACCAGGTGTTTGTGTTATGGTGTCCAAGCCCGCCCAGGATAGAGCTAGTGTTTCCACCAAGAGCCACCCCGCGCCTACACAGCCATTGCCAGCGAATACACGAGGTGGCCTTCCACGACGGAATGCTGGGCAGGCTTTCATGATGGTCTGAGATGGAGCGTCCACACGCGGAACCGAGGCTTTGAGTCAGGTTTCTTGATTTGAGTGAACTGACATTGTGGATCACGTGCGGGGCAAAAGTGAGAATGAAGAAGTCGGCACGCTGGGCTGAAAAAAGTGGTACACTCACCAAGTACTCTGCCCGTGTGCACACGCTAGGACGCCAAGAGGCTTGGTGCTACGTCGCTAGCAGGTGACTTATTTGACGCTTTTCCCGACGTACAAACTCCACTCTTCAGCCTAATGTAGCGATGACGAGCGCCACAGATACGATCGAATTGCAGAATCGTAATGGAGATACCGATGGCAGGAATCGGCGTACGTAGCTACTTTGAGTAGTGGATAATTTCCTGCGCTAACTGAAAGATAGTAACGCCCGAGCTGTATGCTCGTCTAGTATTAGGCTTTGCGAAACATTCCAAACACCCTGTCTATCCCGGGAAACACTATACTGCCTTAGCACGGCTCCTCACCTCCCCATACCAACGGCTTTCAACAGACGCTGAAAATCCTACTGTCGAAGAGACAAATCCAAACGCGATCTACCTCTACGACTTAGCTGTCGACAGTGGTAAGCCGGAACGAATCCACACGTTCAATACCATAGACGAGATCGACCACTATGATGAAGAAAGTCGCAGAAAAGAGCAAGGAGGCCGCCTCATATTTCTTCAGGGATATCTCGCACCAAAATGGCTCAACCATAATGGATCCAAGTTCGAAATCGATCCTGAATTCTATTTGAGACACCTGGACTTCTCATCCTCAGTGGTTGCCCGAGCACTATCCAATGCTTTCTCTGCCGTCCTCCGCAGAGATTATTCGCGTCCGCATGACGTCGATGATGTCCTGGAATAATGTCCACCCATCTGTACGTGAGACGACGGCATATTTACGCTCATCGTGCGAGAAACAGATGACAGAGTATCTGAAGAGTCTGGGCCAGGGCAAAAAGGTCGTACCCTCAGACTTGATCGTCCGTCACTTCTCCGTATTTGACACTCACCATTTTGCTATCGAGCAGGCGGTGACCATGCACGTTAATTACGACAATCCTGGTTGGACAGGTACGTACGCATGAACCTCTCCAGTGGAACAAAACTAATGCACGACGATGTAGCACTCATCTGGCTCGACCAAGGCCGAGATCTACATTTATCCCGCCACGGCCCATGGAGGGATCTACAACGCGGAAATGCAAGTAGTCTAGCAACCCAGCCCATAATCCAATACCGCAAGCGCATCGCGCTTCAAGGCGGCGGAGCCCCACGCCCACCTAACGGACAAGCTTCCTCCGGGCATCAGCTCGCTTCTACATATGGCAGCTCCCTCCGACCTGAGGTCATGGAGACAGACACCTTCTAGGCGCTCGACGAGATCTTCCGGCTCGCCATCGCCTCCGAGTCGCAATTCCTCACCTTCGTTTTGCACGAGATCAAGCGAGCCATTACCGATGACCAAATACAAGATTTGCAACATGTCCTGGCCCTCGTCGAAGACCACTGCGATCATATCCGCGAAAACCTTTCCTCTGTGAAATCTGGCGGCCATGCCAAATGGCCCAAAGCACCTAAGAAGCTGCGCGCAACAGCACTTGCCAATAAAGAGCAACTGCAAAAAGATCTCGAGTATCTCCTAGTATATTCTGAGCATCTGGTTGATCGGTGCACGGGAGGAATATCTGTGATGATGAACGAAGCAATGTTCAAACAATCTCAGCGCGCGATTGAGCAGACGGAAGCGACAATCAAGCTGAGATTTGCTGGTTTTCTTTTTCGCGCCTCTTTCCGTTGCGACTTCTTTCTTTTCAATGTCGGTGAGGGAGGTGAGCGAGACGCATTTGAGCGTTTGGGTCTGGGCTGTCGCGTCTGTGGTGATGTTGGCGCTGTCATTTGTGCTGTGGAAGTGCGATCTGGGTAAGCTTGCAAAAAAGGCTTGGGCTAAAGTCAGACATCGTAAATGACTGTGTATTATCATATGGTAAGCAATATCCATTTCCCGTAATGGTGAGTTTCCCTTCCAATCTGTCGTTACGAACCAACGCCAATACCAAAATATTAATTGCAATTTCTTTCCATTCTGCAAAAATTTTCCTCGAAACGCTTGGCGGGAGACGCTTCATCTCGAGTAGTAATAAACAACTTTGTCGAAATCTCCGTCACCTAATTGGTTCTAACTCCTGTGATCGTCTGGCACAATCTCCTTCCTCAGTGTCATTGCTCTCTGTAATTGTGCATCACCTTCAACGTCATTGCCCATACTCTTCAGAAGTTTGCCTTTCATGAACGCTGAACGAGATGCCTGGGGTTTATACCAAGGGGTATCCCCATAAATCTTAAGACTCGGTTCAAGGAGGCGACTGGAAAGCGTTAGCGCATGAACGCGAGGAGGCAAGTGAGCTGCATACTTTGCCTCATCTTTCTTTCCTGTTCTGATAAGCTGCTCTGCAAATCGGTAGCATGAATCGGCGGTGATGTAATGGTTATTACCGATGGTGGCGCGAAAGATTCCTAGAGCTCGCTGGAAAAGATCCAAGGCCTCGTTTAGGTTACCCTGCGAGCGCCGAAGGTCTCCAAGCACGTGCAAGACTTTGCCCGACCTTTCATAGTTTAGCAGTTTACAAGAACGAACGTTGAAGAGAAATTGAACACTTACACTATGGACAAGTTGGAATCCTTGCCGAATTTCTGCTCTCGCGCCTTCAATACTGGTAAGAGAATATCTTCCCCCTTTTGCCAATCAGCCGGATCCTTCCTCAGAGCGTAAATCAATGCCAAATGCACGGCAGGCCACTCTTGTTCAATCAAGGTACTGCCAGGGATACCTCCAAACGCCTCATAAGATCTGGTCCAATCCGAAACTGCCTCCTCCTCTTTGCCAGGATCTCGCATTAGCGCCATCGCAGACTCGTTGCACGAATCAGCAAGCTAGAGCGCATCCTTCCTATTATTTCCATTTCTGCAGCCGTCCGACGATGAGATCGGTTATGATCTTGAAATGATCCAAAGCGCCTGGACTGGCAGTGTAAATGCGTGAGACGGCGATGTATTGGTAGGTCTGAGAGAGCATGCGGTTGAGGCCTTCATCTTCTCTGAATGTCTCGGAGGGTACGTTATCTAGGACAGCAAGTGACAGGTCGGCATAAACTCCCATGACTGAATCGTGCGCTCTCTCGGTCATATACCTATGTATATTAGTATAATTCGACCTAGGTAGTAATATTTTCAGAATGAACTTGCCAGGCCACTTCGTTGAAAAGTGCTGCAGAGGCAGTTGATGGTTTGAACTTTCCAGATTTGATAGGCTCTTCAAATAGAGATGGGATCTTTTCAACATGTGGGAAAAGCTGTTCACACTTATGCAACCTTTCTAACTCGTTGCGTTCGTCAAATTGAATGAATGGCCATGAGTTCGAAATTAGGACAATAGTATTCTCATAGACTGCAAGAGTCTCCTCATCGGACAATCTTTCCCTTACAAGATCCTGGACTAGCCGGTGAATGCGTAGCTCGTTGTTCTTCATGTCCTTTGTTATTAGAGAACTGCTCAGGAGTTCAGTGCGACTATCAATATACGCGGAGCGGGACTTTGGATAGTCAGGAAGCTCAACACCATTCGTATCGCGAAACAGTAGACTTTCTTGGATTCTATCAGGATCAAGGAAAGAAAGAACTCGTAGAAGTGCGGTAGCTAACTTGGGAAGGGCTTCTAGCATCCAGACGGAAGAGACGGTTTGCATATAGGATCGCCTTTGGCCTGGAACTGCTGTATCATGTAATTCCCGGCATTTTCTTCATAGTAGGCGAGAAATTCTTCTAGAGACATGTGTCGACGCCGGGTGATACCGCCCATCTGCGTAATACCCGAGGGCAACCCTCCGAGAATCTCCACAATCTTTGTGCATGCCTCTAGACTGTTCTCCTCATATTCGCGATTGGAGAGAGATTGAAGAAACGGACCCGCTTCGTTGAGTTTGAAGGGAGCAAGATCGATGCTCAGGGAAGGTGAATAGACAGTGTCTTTCGAAAGAGGATTTCGACTCGTGACAATCACACAACCGGTGCCGGTGTCGGGCCAGAAATCGTAAAGGATGTTCGGATCGTCGGCGTTATCTAGAACGAGTAACCACGAAGCTTCGTCATTTGCCTTGGGTGTTCCTTGATTTGCCGTAATGATCGGGTTTGAGAGCCAACCTTTCACCCTTTCACGCCTCTCAATTTCGTCCTCTGGCGCTGACTCGTCTTCGAGACCAAGGGCCATTGACATTTCGGTGAATCCAAGGCTCAGCTTCTCCGTTGTATCTGCGTTGATCCAGAATACAGCATCAAATTTGGTTCTTCTAGAGAAGACGTACCACATAGCGACTTCGGTTTTGCCGATGCCGCCCATGCCGCAGATAACGCAGCTTCGAAGTCTTCTCAGTCCAGATTCCCCCGTGGACGGGCTTGCTGGGAAGAAAGTCTCATCAATCTAACTCAAAATACCTTGCCTTCCATAAAACTCGTAGTTTTGAGCTTGCCCGCTGACCATACATACGGGTATCCAGCCACCTCTGACAGGTGAGTCAAAGTCGATGAGGTCCTTAAGTGCACTAGGAGGTAGCATGTTCGGCGACGGAGTTATTGGCGTCGCCGGTGTCTCGAGAATCACTTAGTGCTATTTAAACGGAATTAGAATGGACGAGCTTATTTATCACCCCCCCTTTCTCTAATTATCACCCCCCTTTTCTCTATTCATCACCCCCCCTCGATTAGGCCTAGCTCCGGCCCGTATGAATATTGTTCCACCAATCAAACTCACTCGCTTGCCCGCTCGTGCTCAATACGGAATTTACATCACCTACGCACTCGGTTGTGATGCATCAACACCACTTCCTCTACATCAACAGCCTCATCACCATGGCCCTCCGGGCCCCCCCTTGGAGCCGCTACGCGTCCGTAGAGGAGGGCATGAAGTCTATTAACACTTGGGCCAAGCGGGAAGGATACGCGATCATCAAATACAGCAAGAAAATGGACAAGCGCACGCCCCCTCAGGTGCGGAAAGTGCTTGTTCAATGTGATTATGCCGGCACCTATACGTCAGCCAGCAGGAAGCGGAACACCCATACAAAGAAGTCTAATTACCTTATGAAAGGAGCCTTCACGAGAGACCTACAAGTAGGTGATTGGTTCTTTGAAGTTAATGTTTCTATTCACAATCACGAGCCGTATGATCCTGAGGATGGCACTCCAGCCGTGCATCGAGACGGTATGGATGAGGCTACAGTTCAGACAATACAGAATCAGCTCAACGGAGGCACGCCCGTAGGTGCTATCTTCAACAACCTTATCGCTGAGGGCCCTGAGGATGCCCCCCCTATGTCCACGCCTGAGGAGGAGGCTGCTCGTAGTGAAGGAACCGGTGCAGCAGGAGGATATTCGGGTGTGAGGCCATGGTATACAGGCCTAGTCGGCGTTCCTTTCAGTCAGCAATTGGACGGTGGCCATCTAGGCACTTTCCGCTTCTAGACTAGCTAGAGTAGATAGAGCGAATAGACTCCTGTTGGCCTAGATAATGCATCCTTTCCCATTCGTGTATACATACTCTCCATTTTACGCAGCCTATACGGAGGCAAGCGAGTGAGTTTGATTGGTGGAACAATATTCATACGGGCCGGAGCTAGGCCTAATCGAGGGGGGGTGATGAATAGAGAAAAGGGGGGTGATAATTAGAGAAAGGGGGGGTGATAAATAAGCTCGTCCATTAGAATCTATGTCTCATCATATAGATTTGGGCTAGTGTGCCTACTGTTTATGTTGTTCTCGGAAGAGCGGTTAATCGGCTCCGAGTGCAGCGTCAGAGAGTCGTTGAACACCGGCTTATTGCACAATAAAGCGACATCTCCGGGCGCTTCTTCTGTAACAGACCGGAAGAGCTTCACGAGACGATTGTAAAAGTGACTGTCTACTTTGACGAGCCACATGCTGTTATGGTCTGCGTCGACCTCGAATGTTTCCTCGTATCGCGAACCTGTTTGGCACAATTGTTGATCGAAAAGCTACAACGAGGTCAGTAGAGGCTCTTCCACTCTTTCTTGAAATGGTTTACAATTTGACGATTCGTGTCACTTCGAATGAACTTCAAGAGGCTATCCCGAACTTTGCTCTTGTTTGCTTCAAAGACTGAAATGACGCGTATGTGCAAATCTAGCTTTTCGAAATGCTGGCACACTTCGCCTATATGCCCAATATCTTCGTCCGTGAGCGATTGCTTCGGAACATCTTTTCGTGTAGACTTCAAGATCCATTTCCGATTCTCCCAATTCTTATCGTCTTTCGACGTGGTGTGTGGGCTGCCGAGGAATAGAATCCCAGAAGTTACATCTTCAAGAGTCGGGGTCTCGGCGTCTGGTGTATGTTGGTGCGCGATCCAGAGAGCCTTGATACCGTTTGTTAATGATACTTGACGTTGGTGGGGAAGAACAATACCTGTTTCAGGATCAAACCACCAAGGCTGTGACATATGAACAGCACGGGCCGTTGTTGGGTCTGATCGAATTTGTGAAAAAACAATCATCATTCATTTGTGCCGCTTTTACATACGTTGGTCTCTTGTTGAAGTTTCTTAATGTCACTGAGTAGTGAGTGGCTATGATTGATGAGCTGCTTCTAAACGGACGTGCCATCCAATTCTAGGTCGTATGCGAAGTACAGCACCCGAGTATCGTTCGTCGTAGCCGCAACAAGGGGCTTGAGCCACGAACATGTTTCGCGTCTCTCTGCAATTTTGAATTGAGAGAATGCGGCGGGCACGATGACAATACTGGGGCTTACAGTTAGACGGGCAACAGGCACTAGAATAATAGCTTACTCAATCCCTTCTTCCGACACGACAGGCTCCTTCAAATGAAACACCAGCTTCAGATGAGAACCGGGTAGTGGCTTTCCTCTCATGTTGAAGCTATAGAATAAATCTGAGAGATGGAGAAGGCGGATACGCCCTGCTGATATCATGCGGCTCCATGGTGGTGGCGATGACACATGTCGGCACTTGCTGCAGCACAATCGAATGTTTTCATAGAGAGACGCTCGTTGTGCTTCCGATACGCAGGTATTCTCACCGTTCTGGGATCAGCTTAGAATGTTTGAAGTCTTTGTCTCCAAGCAGGTACAGTTTACCTACATTGAATGTAAAGCTGACAGACGGAGGTACCTCGGATGCTTTAGTATGATGCCTTGACTTCCAATATCCCCGTCGGGCTCTTCGAATACTGCGGCACAGCAGTCCCCACGTGTCTGCTGTAGAGCGGGTTGTTGAGAACACCTGACGAGGCTAGAATAGGTGCGGGTTCACTACGTTATCAATCGTTTGTAAATGGCATTATGCCTATTGACCAATGAAAGAGCAAGGCGAAGGATGGTGGCGCTCGACCTAATCTATGGAAAGTCGCCATTCACTCGTCGCAAAGCCTCGTCGACTGTGGCAGCTGATCTGTATGCTGCAAGTCATCATGCGGAGCATCCCTACAGGGAAACCGATCACCACCGTCGCTCAGCCTTACATATCGATAAGCAGGGATTGAAGGTGCTACGCCTACACTATCATACATCTGGAAGTTTTAGAGTAGGCAATTAGAGTACACTTAGCGATTAGCCTGCAAACGAGTCAATGTAGCTGCGGATGCTACCAACCTTGACAGCCTTCTACATGTTTCACGGCATTGGGCCACGAATCCAGCTGTAACCATCGCGCGTCCCTCACAGTCAGAAACTCTTAGGGAGCACAAATGCTAGGTTCCGCCTATCAAGAACGAGGAATACTGGTGAGTCCCAGAAGCAACGTGATGATATTTACCAACGATTGCCCCAGGACAAGCCCAACAGCAATGGTTATCACTGAAAGCTCTCCCGTGCGAAAGATCTTCTTGCACAAATAGTGTGCAAGACCTCCTAAGACTTGCGGAATAGTGTACATTGGGAGGATGTAGATTCCTGGATGCACTTTTAGCAATAGACCAGACCATGGCATAGGGGACCTTACCAATACCGATTGCAATGCCACTGGGAATTTGCTCGGTCCACTTTTTCCCTTCAGCTGCGATCCTTATGACCGCGAAAAGGGCTGAGATAATAAAACCGGTCAAGGCGAATACGAAGACACCAGGTGGAAGCCCGCGTCCGTACGCAAGATGCTGATGCAAGCCATAACTGGGCATGTGGAACCGTAAACGTCTCACTCGGAATCGTATAGGCGGATGTAAAAAGTTTATAGATGCAAATGCAGAGCACAGCCCCAAAGGTCGATCCGATGACCTAGCCGTAGAAGAGGCTCTTCGGGGAGGCACCGACCAGATGACCTGTTTTTAGATGCTCCATCACGTCGCTGGACTGATATGGACCCGCTTCGGCAATACCACCAACCAACAGGCTGATGATGGTAGCATTAGGGTTCGATTTCGGGATGAACACCGCGAAGAGAAACTGGGGAATCTTGCCTGCGGGGATAATGAGCCATCGTCAATCCTACAGGACAAAGTAGAGAAGCGCAAACCGAGGATAGATGCTAATGCATTATCCGTCTCTCCCATTGAGCGGATGCTTGCAATTCCCAAAGGAAAAATCAGGATAATGGAAAGGCTGATTTCCCAGATGGGTAGTAGATCCCCGAATAGATACCACGCGATGAGAACGCACAATACCGTCACTCCCACAAGCCATAAGACGGCACTTATGTTAGACAGCGCGTCGTCCGCTGAGCTATTGCGATCATTGGCGTGCAGCTTGTGTAAGGAGTCTAAATCAGGTGGCAAAAGCAATGTTCGTTCGTCTGGTGTTGAATGCCGATTTCTAGCTCCGAAAAGCGAAAACGACGCAGCTTTGGCCTTCGAGTGTGCTTGTGTGAATCTAGATCGAAGCTGCTCAAATAGTCCCCCTCCATAGTCACCGTCTCTTAAGAGGCCAAAAATAACCCAGACGATACCAATGAGGGTGTCACCCAGTATCACTCCTAGCGCTACCCAGATATTCCATCCTTGACTACCATCGTCCCAGTCCTCAACGCGACCTGACGCCCAACCCTTGGATTTAGCAAGGGGAGACAGAAAGGCCCAGCCGATGACGGCGCCCAAAAGCATGTGAGCGGTTGTCAAGGGATGCATTATCATCCCAAAGCCCAAGTATGCAGGAGAAATATCGACAGACCAAGCCCACATTCGAGCTATCTTTGTTCCGAAAATGGGCAAGGTTTGAAGATCTGGAACAAAATACGTGAGTAACGCCTGTATTGCAATGTTACTGACAGAAAGCACCAAAAGATCCACAAGTGAGACATACTGTCAATCCTGAGATGATGAAAGACACAAGTCCAGAATACATCCTGGGATTTGACCGATTATCGATATTCGAATTTTCTGATTCTTCCGAGCGCGTATTACCACTGTGGAGCACAGAGTCTCCAGAGTCCACGTTTACACCATTTGAACTTTCCGGTAGGAACGGTGGAAGGCTTCGCGAATCCGCGTCTTCTGTGCGTATAGAACCATGATGGCTGCTGTGCTGCTTCGAAATATTCTCCGTGATACTTGGCCTCGTGTGCAGCACGCCAATGACCGCAGCCACTACTTCACTAATTAGCTTGCAGAATGACAAAGTGAGAGACGTAACATCGATGAAAACTCGGGATGAATCTCATTTCAGTGACGAGGGTCAAGTGCTATGAATCAAATCTAGCTGTACGCAGATAAAGAAGGGGAAGACGTACTAGCCGTCCCTGTTGGAAACCGAAGATAAGATCTTAGAACAAAATGATTGCGGAAGGGAACAGCGAACACGATTCCAAACACGCAGACGCCTAGACACTAAAGAGTCAATCGCCACAATGTGAACTTCAAGGGCCCATTGTCGTGAGTGGTGGTGAGGTACTCCAAAGCCGGTATTATGCCGCTGAGACCGGCGGTGTAAGGAATACCACCCATTGAGGCAGCAATCATCATGACCAGCACATTTTCGCTGGGGTTGAATGGTCTATGCAAGTATCTTGCGAAAGGCTTAAACACGGCGTGAGCGAGAAGGACTGAAGGTAATGGCATCGAGTTGGTCTGCCCAGCCTGAAGCCCATAGTACAGACTAGCAAAGCATATGAGGGTCCCAATGAAGAGTCCTGCGAGTATTCCTCTGAGTGAAAAGGTCTGTTCGTTGTGCCGTTCTGCCGTTGGTTGCGTCGGCGGTGAGTGGGTGCCGTTTTCTTCACAGCTTCGTTCGGATGGGGTCAGCCCAGCCTCATTCTCAGCATCAGGCATAACCACGAGAGCGCTCTCAAAGAACGAAGCGACTATGCTGTGCTGCTCACAATGTAGTGATTGTCAGCTTGAGGAAGGTGGATTGACAGATGGCGGTGACGCTAGGCAGAGCGGTGACGCTAGGCAGAAGGCCGACAAGCTCGTGTATGTGGAGGGTCCGTGCACGCATCACCGCTTAAAACGACTTGAGCTTTGCAACAAGACAAAACACGATCTACATAACATTTGGGCTAGGAGAAGAAGTAGTGTTAACTACTCTTTCATTCCACCACATGATTCGAGATATATCGTGATTCAAGCAAAAGTGGCTTGATGTGACGTTAAACATCACGTGCGGGGCGAAAGTGGCATGCAGGGCATGGAAAAGATGGCACTCTACACGAACGTGTGCATGTGTATGCCAATGCTTGAGGTGCTTCGATGCATTTTCGGAAATCTAAACGGGATAAGCTCTTCGCTCGGGGCTATGTGGAAACCTGTTGAAGCACTTCAACAGTGTTAGAAAGGTGCACCTATAAGATAGCGTGGTTAATGAGGGCCAGCAGAAATGGACAGTCTATGAATCCGGTGTTCTGACTTTACACTTCCTATCCAGTATGTACTCACTATTTCTGTGCTTGCGTACACTTGTTTAGCACCGCTTGAGGTCCTCCAGTATGTTGTTCTTATTCATGAAGTACCAACTCTGGCGAGCCTGATAGCTCTCTGGGCCACCTCGGACGGTGCTGAACTGCTGAGTGTGCCACTTTTCTCATGCCCTGCTTGAGTGGGGATGAAGAAGTCGGATCTTCGGCACATCGCCATCGCTCAACGACATATGCGGCGCACACCAGCAATCCGGCGTGCGAAGCCACACCGGCATAGAAACCAATGAGAAGACGAGATGAAAGAGTCTAAACTACAAGGAAGATGGCGGCAATGCTCATCCCGCAATGTCTTTTTCTCAATCGCGTCAGCCATCCCACCTTCTCTCCATTCTCTCACTCCTGGTAGAATCGTGCGAGGAAAGACTACGTCAACAGCGTATTATATGAATTCAAACTGCTTTCCTAGGCGTTCTAAACTCTGGAATTTATTTGAATGAAACGGAATCATGCGCCACACAACACTCCACAGAGTTCTTCGGTGGTTGAGAGAGCTGGTTTTGACTCCGAATCGATAACGACCACTCCGAGCTCTCCGGCTCCAAGCTTTAGGGAAATTGGAATCGAAGATGTGAAGAAAGATATCCTGGATTCTAGCAGCCGGTCGTCCTCTGAGGACGAAGCTGATAGCCATGCGCTGCTTGGCAACGGGAACGACCAAGAAAATGATCGCGACATTCACCAGCCTCGTAATGCCGCACCTGCTCGTGGCCAAAGGTCTCTAAGCCGACTGGTCACCTCTGTCTTCTCCTCTTCTACACCATCGTCGCAGCCAGCCTCAACACCCGCCGATGACCCCGCCAGGATGGCTTCCACGGACGTCCGTCATAGATTGGCGCCTATTGTCGAAGCCGGCACCGGACTACCTCATATCGATGAGGATGAAGGAGCAGGTGCCGCGAAGGAGAAACCTGTCACGTGGCGCTCACTCCCTAGGAAAGACCAACTCCTTATTCTTACTCTAGCCAGACTCTCGGAACCTTTGACGCAGACCTCTCTGGGCTCCTATATCTACTATCAATTGAAGTCTTTCAACACTTCTCTTCCGGACTCAACCATTGCTTCCCAAGCCGGTATCATTCAAGCCGCTTTCCCGGCGTCTCAATTTCTTACGGCCATGCTGTGGGGTAGATTTGCAGACTCGGAATGGGGTGGACGGAAGAGAGTCTTGTTGATTGGGTTGCTGGGGACCATGTGTTCAGTCATTGGGTTTGGATTTTCTACGAATTTCACTGCTGCCGTCATTTTCCGTTGTTTAGGGGGTGCTTTGAACGGCAATATAGGTGTTATGCGAACTATGATCGCGGAAATCATTAAGGAGAAGAGGTTTCAATCAAGGGCTTTCTTGATCTTGCCTATGACATTCAACATTGGAGTTATCATTGGACCAGTCCTCGGTAAGGCCCATATTTTCCCCATGTCTTAACTTTGACTAACATACTTCAAGGTGGTTTATTAGCGGACCCAGTTGGAAGCTATCCTTCCATATTTGGCCCGAAATCACTTTTCGGAGGCAAAGATGGAGTACAATGGATGATCAAGCATCCGTACGCTCTTCCTAACCTCATGAGCGCTACGTTTCTCCTTGCTTCCGCCACAGGCGTCATTTTTTTTCTAGAGGAAACCGACGAAATTCTCAGACACAAAACAGACTACGGTCTCCGTATCGGCAACTGGCTAAAGCGTAAGCTCTGCGGCCGAAGGGCCACCTCAGAACAGGGCTACGCCGCCATTCCACTAGACGATCCCCCGGATTCCGCCCGTTTTGCCGACTTGGAGCTACAACCCACACCGACGTCCGCGAATCCTCACGGATCAGCAATAGACTCTGACAAGCCTTTCCTCGCCCCCATCCGCCGCCGCAAACTTCCCTTCCGACGAATGTGGACCAGGAACGTCGTAACAACTCTGATTTGCCACGGCCTCCTCGCCATGCACGTCGGCACTTTCAACAGTCTCTGGTTCATCTTCCTCTCCACTCCACGCTTCGACCCGGCGCACCCAGTTCCGGTCAAGTCGCCTCAAAGCTTCCCTATACACTTCACAGGCGGTCTTGCTCTCCCACCAGCCCGTATCGGTGTTGCCCTCGCAATTCTCGGCTTCATTGGAATTACCCTACAATTGCTGCTCTACCCCCGCCTGAGTGCACGTCTAGGGACGGCGCTCTCCTACCGCATCAGCCTCGCTATCTTCCCAATCACCTACGCGCTGGTGCCGTACTTGTCGATTCTTCCCTCGAGCACCAAATCACCGCTCCCCGTCGCAGGTATCGTGGTATGGGCGGGAATCGTCGTGGTGCTATTCATCCAAGTCTCTGCGCGGACATTCGCGCTACCGGCAACCGCGATCCTGGTGAACAACTGCTGCCCGCACCCGAGTGTGCTGGGAACCATGCATGGCATAGGGCAGAGCGTGTCGAGCGCGACGAGGACCATTGGGCCGATTATGGGCGGGTGGCTCTTTGGGAGGGGACTCCAGATGGGGATTGTTGGCTTGGCATGGTGGTGTCTTGGGTGTGCGGCAGTTGTGGGGTGGTTTGCGTCGAATTTTGTGAGGGAGGGGGATGGGCATGAGGTTCTGATGGAGGGGGAAACGAGGGAGGGAGAGGAAGTCGAGGTGAGAAGGTGATGTTTGATGGGCTCCATGCGTTATGCGTAGGTAGGGTCATGATGAGTATAGGTCATGGGTTATGAGGAGTTATAAGGGTATGAATTTAGAGGCAGGCCTTCATGAGCACATACAAAGGACACCGGGACATGGAATACGGAAGCGAGTACTCAAGAAATATTTTATACAAAACCATACCATTATCGCTGCCGCGTGTGTATCATCGTAACATCATCTATCCCTGCCAGTCCTCCGACGAAGCAATTCTTAGCCCAGTCGCCCCCTCAAACACTCCCCTCCTCAAACTTAGTATCCTACACATCCCACCGGCCCAATCTACACCTTCGGCTTCTCCGCCGCTGCCGCATCCCCCTCCTCCTTGGAGAAGTTTATACTGACGCTGTTAACGCAATGCCGCTCGTCCTTCGGATTCCCAAACTTCTCCCCCTTGAAGATGTGCCCGAGATGCCCGCCGCAGTTCGCGCACAGGATCTCCGTCCGCGCCGACCACCCGTGGCCGTCCGGCTTCTCTTGAATAGCGCCGGGGACCGCGTCGAAGAAGGCGGGCCAGCCGCAGCCGGAGTCGAACTTGTGCGAGGCTTTGTAGAGGGGCGCGTCGCAGCCGACGCAGGTGTAGACGCCGCTGGAGGGGTAGTGCTTGTCATACTTGCCGGTGCCGGCGAATTCGGTGCCTTTTTGGCGGAGGATGCGGAATTGTTCTGTTGAGGGGAGTATATTAGCATTTGGGATCCGAGATGGTGATAGGATGGAGGGTGGCGGGGTATAGAATGGGGATAGTGTTCTACCTTTATTCAACTGCGCCTGCCACTCTCCTTCGTTCTTCTGCACTGGGTATGAGTCCGACATCTTTGGTTTCGAGGACGAGCTGAATAGGGATCCGATGAAGGGGATAGTGGGCATAGACGACTTGAGGAGGGCGATGCGGGGGTTCGGGTTCAAGCCGCGGAGGTTCGAGACTGGTGTTGAGTGGAATGTGGTGTTGGAGAATGTGTTGAAGGCTCTGAGGATGGTTGGGATGGATGGGAAGCGCATTAGGATGGGAGGTTATATATCATAGAGGGAGGTTGTGATGTGGAATCAATGTCGCGGCTACGGTTCGTTTCGTTGGTGGCGGAGCTGGAAGCTCGGAATTTGTCAGTTGCGTCATGACCTCGGACGCGCTAAGGAGGTATATCAAATAAGAGATGCTCGAGATTTTGTGGCTATGATACCTTTGTCTGGACATAGTGATATGGAAGCATCTGAAAATAATAATGTTCAGGTACCGGCTTAAATTCCAAGATTCTACGCACATCAATTCCCCTGCCCCCAGTGCTCAGAATACTCCATTTGATTCCGGAATCCTGCCGCGTGAGTGGGTTTTGACAGATTTGTCGAATAGGACAGTTCCTTCAGGCTTTCCTACATTCTACCTTATCGATCAGTCAAAATACCTTCTCTCTTCAGTACCTTTTAATTTAATTGGTATGCTGATAGGAGTATTCAAATAGCCCTTCAACTTTCGAGTTACGCCAAGATGACTAATCACATTAGCTCCAATTTAACTATGTGGTTGGTGTCGTTTCACAGCGTTTCTACAATCCATTTTACTATCACAACAGCCTCATTTCAACCTCTGCCGATATAGATTGACATGTAACACTATCGAAATAATGTGCTCGAGATGAAACACTCATCAATCGGCCTTTAAATGATGCCGGCCCAGCAACAGCGGAACAGGAGAGTCACATTTCCGCACGGGTCGAGACAGCATCCGGCGTACAATGCGAGCTATAAAGAAACGTTCAAGAAAGCTAACAGTTTCTTTTTATACCAATTTTGCTTCTTCTCCTTCTCTAGTCGATCTACTTTCTTCTGCTTTGCCTTTAGTCATTCTCAATCAACCCCTTCAAAAACATAGAATACTCTAAACATTCAGAATGAAGACAATGCTCATTGTCGGCGTTGGGCCAGGCATAGGGTCAAGTCTCCAGATTGTATTTGACTAGCTTCGGCGAACTAACATACCTGAAGCATGTCGCTCGCACGACGATTCGGACGCGAGGGCTACCAGATTGGCCTCATCTCTCGGTCTCAGAAAAAGCTCGACGCTTATGTGAAGGAGCTCAGTGGGCTCAAGATCAAGAGCGTCGGTGTCCCTGCTGACGTTCTCGACCGTGATGGCCTGAAAGCAGCAATCGCAAGCGTTGTTACGCAGCTAGGCCCCATCGATGTCCTCGAGTACAGTCCATTACTAGACATGGGCAGTCTCGTGGACGTTCTCTTCATGGACGTTGAGCAAGCGCAACCGCAGCTGGATATGCAGATCCTCGGGGCCGTCACCTCTGTCCGGGCTGTTCTCGACGGAATGATCAAGAAGGGGGATGGCGCCTTGCTGTTTACGCTCGGCGCAAGCGCGTACTCCTCGTGTCCTAGTCATTCGAACGGGTCACTTGGTGTGGTCGCCATGAAGCAGTATGCTTTGATGCTTAATACGGCGTTAAAGCCAAAGGGCGTCTACGCCGGATGTCTAGCGATTGGACAGCCCCACGACTCGGACGAAATCGCCGATATCTACTGGGACAAGGTGCAGAAGAAGGGGCCGTGCGAAACCCTCTACGGTGACCCGCGTGTTCAAGCTTGCTACGAAATCTTGCTAGCCCAAGGTGTTGGACGAGTTTTTCCTCCTGGACTCGTAGGGAAGTTGCCTGTGCCGCGCGACGAAAATGAAAAGAACATCTTCCTTATCGCACTCCAACATATCGCCAAATGTGCTGTCATATTAGGAGAAGGACAGGCCAAAGTTGACGAGATGGCGGAACTGGCGGAATCGATTGGGGGCGATAGGAATGCGCCGCATTTCGGAGGAGTCGTTGATAAGGCGTTTCCGCAGATTTCTACCTTCGCGTAAAAGCGAATCTTTCTCATGGGACTTGCCGGTCGCTAGAGAAGATATGGTTTTCGAGAAGTGATGAAGAGGCCGGATATCACGTGCCCTTCAACTGGTCATCTCGGGAGCCGAAAAGCGAATAGTTCCATACTGCTCTATGTGGTGGGGTGTTCAAATGGGCGTCCCGCAGAATATACTTAACTAAATTGCATGTGCTCTCTTCCCTCGTCAATTTCAAAAGTCAGCCTTAGGATTTTCAGCCTGACCCCGCTTCGCTTGTCTTCACCTATCTTGTGAATACCAAGACCTTTGGAAAGTGGCAGTGCAAGCGGCGACTTTAAGTGAAGATGCTCAGTCTCCGGCCTTCCAGCTTCGTACCTTGCAAACTCAGAAATGGCGACGTTCGGATTCTCCGTTGGGGACTTCGTTAGCGCTCTCAATCTCACCCGGGAACTAATCCGCGCTCTTAAAGACTCAGTGGGCTCTTCGACTGATTATCGCGACCTAATCAGAGAGCTGCGCAGCCTAAAGCGAGTCTTGACGGAGGTAAAGCGGCTTGACTTGGACGAGAGTCTCAAGCGCCAGCGTGTAGCTGTTGAGCAGGCGGCCTCGCTATGTCAGAACACAATCACGGGCTTTCTACGGAAGATACACAAGTTTGAGCCTTCGTTAGGGGAGAGTGGGTCGGCCGTAAGGCGTTCGAAATGGCGAGTGTCGCTAAGAAAGATGGAATGGGCACTGTATAAGAAAGAGGAGGTAGCGGCGTTCAGAGCGAGGATCACAGGCCATACGTCTGCCATCAATATGCTTCTGTTAACAACTCAGCTGTGAGTAATCTCTCATATTACCTTATTACGGTAACAGAATTCCAAAGCAATGGCTAATTAAGCTTCTATAGAGCGGCTTCAAATCTGAATGGACGCCAACCTTGTGCCAATACAGACCACAGCGATCGCACTCCAGGCTCGAAGCAGCGAGATGACATACCCGAAGCTACTAACACGCTACTCTCAACACATACTGACCTGCTCCTATCGATCACGAGAATAGCGACTGAAGGGGCGACAAGGGAGCAAAATGACGACCTTCGAGATCTAATGACTGAAGTCCTGAAGACCAACCTCCAAACCTACGAGCTGGTACTAAAAATGCAGACAGCCATACCACCGCAGGTCGAGCGGCAACAACCAGTCTATTTTCTGGATGCTTGTGGCCAGCTCGCTCCGTTCCATCTTGAATTCATCTCCTCAACTGAGGCTTTTCTTGCGGTTTTGAAAGTAAAGTTTCGAGATCGTGGAGCTCGTAAGATCGAGAGGTCTGAGTTTGTTCTCGAGGATACTATCACTAATCGGGAAATCGACCTCAGGAGGCCGTGGGATATTTGTTTCAGACCTGGGCAGCGAGTGTCCATGAGCATGTGCTTCAACGACTTCAATGCCAACATTGAATGCCCTGCATGCCACACATCGATATCTGCTCAAACAGATCAAGCAATAGATTGGTGAGTACACTCTTCCCCGTTGTCAAAGATTGAAGCTCACCGTGTAATCCTCTTTGCGGCGTTCATTTCCGCCGCGTAGAAAATGCGGATGGCCTTGAAGATGATGCCTATGGAAGAGCCCAGTATGCTAGCATACCGCACTCTGAAGAGTCGTCCAAGCCCGATGTTCCTTCTCAGCCTAGCTCAGCTGCTTCCGCAAACTCAACTACGGAGTCACCGCAAATAACGAGTCAGTCTATGGACGTCGATCACGAGTCTGACAGTGATGACCCGTCTCTATTTCAGCGCATCCGTTTGCTTGAGCCCAAAGGAATAGCATGGACCGCACTGCATGGAATCGTCAACATACAAAAGAACGGAATCGAGGCTCTGAATATGTACCCAGTACACCTCGAAGTAGAAGGGCGATGTGGTGAGAACGTGTCGCCTCTTTTGTCGTGGGGAGCAGTGCAAACGAGCAATCCCTTGCCGCTCTTCTCTAACGATAGTATGTCGTACTTTGAGGTGCTCCTGGGTGCTTTGGATAAATGCGCATGCCATAACCAGGGCCAAACACTGGAAGACGTCAAAGTAGCTGTAGGATATTGCATCGACCTTCGAAATCCGGAATGTCTCATTCGTGCAATGGTCGAGGTCCTGGAACGCGTTCAGCTAGATGATGGGAAAGTTAATCCTATCATAAACAATTGGGGCCATCTTGAATTCGTGGACTCTCTTGGGTCTTGGGTTCCTGGAGACTTGATTGGATGTCTTCTCGACCCAATCCGAGGCCAATGCATCTTCAGCCGGCAGACACCAGAAGCTCGACAACAACGCCATTTTGGACTACTCACAGCAGCTTCAAGTCACACAAAGTACCGTCCGTTTTCCGCTGAAAGTTGGCGGCCTACGGTGTTCTTTGGCCCTGGCTCTAGTGTTGTAGCTAATTTTGGCCAACGACCCTTCCAGTTCAACTTGAATAACTACATCGAAGGTACCGAAAACTACGTTTGTCGCCATTGAACAAATCTAATGAATAAATAGGTATAGAGTTTGGGCCCAAGCGAGTACCTTCAAGACCCTTGATTGATCTTCATCGTCCTCTTGCTGGTGCCAAGATTGACATCCACAAGAATAGGCGAATGAGATGACGCTTCACTTGGTCTCAGAAAGCTATCAAAGAACTCTTCGAGCCAGATATAAAGGAAGTCAACTCAAGAACAGGTAAGTCTTTCCATTTTCGTTCTAAATAACTCTACCAAAATAGCTTAAAGCAAGATACACTCCGCCCCCAGAGCTATCCCCGATTCATCGAATAGCTCCGGCTACGAAGAGCTCACGGAAGAGGCACTCCAGCCTTTGGATCACACCCCTGATTCAATCAAGTATTCAAGAAGACATTCGTGTTCTCTCCACCTCCCTAGAGTCTCCGTCAAATTTCCTTCAGCAAAATCTCCTTCGTCGGATCCGGCATAATGTGCGCCCCAAACTGCCAATTTCCCGGCCTTCCCGCTTGCTCGTCTACGAGCTTGGTATGGTACTTCAGCACCAGCGTCGCCAGGATAAGCTTAATCTCATTCTCTGCAAACCAACGCCCGGGCACGCATGCTTTCCATACCCCCACCCAAGCGAGTCCTTATTCGACGTCGTAAACAAGTACTTGGTTTGCTCGCTGGCGGACGCTGCTCTCCGCTGCTTACAAAAGCGTAGTGGATCGAAGGATTCGGGGTCTGGGTAGATGGCGGCGTGATAGATGCCGTAGAGGTTTGCTTGTAGGATGGTGCCCGTGGGGATGTGGGTGCCGTCGGAGAGGTTGAAGGGGTGCAGGGCTAGGCATTGAACGCCGACTGCGGGATATCAGCCTTCGAACGGGCTACCGAGGAGGGAAACTTACGGACACTAGATGGGTTGAGGCGCATGACTTCGCGCATGAAACTATCTAGCTTTCATGCGTCGTTGAGCACGGTCTTGTTCCACTTCCCATTGTTGGCGTCCAGCAGACCTTGGAGCTCTTCACGCGGTAGAATGACTAGCTCTGGACGATCGGTGAGGTCGTACATCGAGTGCGTGAGCATCATGCTAGATGTGTGGATGCCGCCCAAGCTGAGCGCAAGTTGGATCTCGGCCTAACGCTACACGTCAGCGCAGCTTTACCTAACAATACTAAAAGAGAACGTACCTAGCGCTCCACTTTCCTATTCATCGTCTTTCCCTCTTGATCCAAGCACCACTGCAAGAAGTCATCCGGTCTCTCTCCATCATATTTTCCGTTCGCCATGGCCTCTCTCCTTGCCTTGATAATCGGGACCATGAAATCTTCCGCGCGTTGCTTGAACTTGTTAGTATTTTGAACCTCCTTGATAAAATATTGCACGTAAGGACGCAGCCACGGCCGCCATTTCCCGATAGCATTAGCGCCCGCGAAGACCTTCAGGGTGTAGTCAATGGATATCGCAATCCAGTCTTCGTTCAACCAGAGCTCGGGACCGACGAATATGCGATTTGATACTTTCGCAATCACGCGGAGGAGCTTTTGGTTTACGTTTACGGGTGTCCATTCTGGAAGATCATGAGAGGATATTCTATTTGTAAACTCAGAAAGCTTCACATACCTTTATACGAAGGGAAATCGGCGGCCAATGCCTCGTCCACCGTATCGAACAAAACAGGTACAAATCGTGCTGCAAGCCACACAAAGTTAGCTATCGCGTTCTCATATCATACCACACGAGTTCGCTTTCTTTCTTACCCAACCCTGGCGTCAAATTCGTCCTTATTAAATTCACCGTCTTCAAATCATCCCCTACTAGGAAAGCCCGTGTATTTCGCGGAGAACAGCTGGGTAGGTACGTTAGCGCTGAGTCAGTTTACGCCTCTAGCACGCTTGCGACACAGTCATCCACTCACAATCTCCAACGCCTTCGCGGAGCTAGAATGCTCCTTGTCCGTCTCCGTTTTCATTTGCTTGATGGCGGCGCCGCTGACGACAACAACGTCGGCGCTTTGGGTTGATGGGTTGAAAGTTTGAAGGCTGCGTTTTTGAACTGTAGAGGTAGAAAAATATGTTAAAAAAGCGATCGCTTCTGGTGTGATTTCTGGAGCTTCTACCTTTTTATATCCGTCGCGGACAAGACTGGATGCATCTTTCGCGAACTGGGCGCGCCGTTTTTCTGCGTCGCCGTATTCAAGGCCGATCCATGGACTCGGGTTGCAGCACTACAACCTAGGGTCAGCAACTCATATGCAGTAACGTATCAGGATAGCATGCTGATACAGGAGGAAGTAACAGGTAGTGCAACAGCAGTGCTGCAGCACGGTATCAGTACTGTATCAGGAAACAGCATGAATCAAGTAACGCGTCAGGAAGAGATACCACGTTATGCCCCCGGGGCTGGCCCCCCTCCTTCCCCTAGTATATAAACAACGAGCTAGACACCCATAGAAATCAGAGTTCACATCAATTTCAACCTGAGTCATGGGGCGTTTGCGGAGCTTTTGAAGATGGGACTTAGGGCCCAAGTAAGTGCTATGACGGCGACGGAGGTGTATAACAGTAGCCCGCCTCTCTAGACGAAACTTGAAAGTGCCTCCATGATTACGAGTACAACTTCAGAACAAAGGTACGAAATTATAAGAGAATAAGATCCAAAGTCAACGAACGCAGGAATACATCCTCAAATTTATGGGAGCACAAGCAGGAATTCATAGTACCAAGGATTCCATATCAGCACTACACATCTCTTCTTGATAGTGAATAGAATGCTTATGTTGGTGCTTACTCGTTTGCGAAACGCACCCTATAGTGCTGCGAAGCTTCCGAAGCCAGTCTTACAAAGGTAGAGTTTCAAGTATCGGCCGTAACGGGCCGAGTGTATGAGCGTATGAGCGTATCATTAGCGACGGAATTTTCTGATATTGCGTCGTCTGGTTAGAGTGAGCATGAGAGGAGTATGGCAACTTGTTAAGAATATATGTATCCTATCAGCTTCTGCGCCCATATGCATAATTGCGGCGCATACGACACTTCCTGGAAGTCTATGGTACCGTGTTGCTCGCGACTAACATCGGGTCAGGTCCTTTTTTATGTAGAGAACACCTCTCGGGCTCACTATACCTTTGATTCATTCATAAAGACCTCCATGCCTCACTTCTCCCCTCTCTCCAACCCCCCGATCCCCAAAGACCAACTCTAGATGCCTCGCTCCCGTCTCCCTCACCACAACTATCCGCTGCCACGTCCGCTTATGCTCCATCCCCACCGCCGTATTCGTCAGCAACTCCGACGGCCTCGAATTCACAGCCAGCGTAACAAGATCACTGATGCCCGCCCACGCCTTCTAAACCAACCACTGCCAAAGCGTAACAGCCACCTTACCCACCGCAAGCACAAACTGGATCCCCAGCACCACAAACGCAAACCACAGCGTTGGCGTCCTAGTCTCAAGGTTCCAAGCGTACCCAAAGCGACGGACCCGCACCTGCAAACGCATCCAGCTGTTTTTCAGCGACTCGGCCTCTAACTGGCGCGGCGGGTGCTTGTGCCTGCTGCGGAACGTGATGTCGGTCGTGAACTCCTCCTTGACTCCCGGCCCAGCATGGACGATATATATATACCGGTGCCGCGGCCGATTAAGGTCGGTGCGTCGCTCAGAAACTTGCTCATCGACGTCGCTACCATGCGTGTAGGTAGCCGTTTGTAGCCACCCCGGGGCGCCATGACGCGGCTGTTGAAGTCGGAGGCGACGAGGAAGATGTCCGCGAGGTCGCCCATGAGGGTGTTATCAGTGCCGTCTGTGGGTACGTTGAGGGCGTCCGCCCAGTCTGTCCCCATCTCAATGCGACAAGAGGCTGTGGGGAAGGGGACAGCGGCGTTCAGTATAGCGGCTGCGTCAGCGGGTTTGTCCCAGGCTTGGTGGATGAAGAGGTCTTTGCGGGTTTCCAGCCACATTATTCCAGGAAGCCAGTAGGCCGTTATGGCGCATGAGATGATGCTGTAGCTTGAGTTGAGGTATTTGGGGTTCTTTGGGTCCGTGCGGTCGAATATGTCTACTGGGACGAAGAAGATGCCGCCCAGGGAAGCATTTCCTCTTTTGCTAAATGTGGTATGTTCGTCTATTGGTACTTAGGAGAACTGAGTCTGATTGCCGGTGAAGTTTTTCCCTACATCTAATGCCGACTGCGGAACATGCCAGAGCTCATCGCTTTCAATCCCAAGGTGTCCAAAAGGGAACGCCACTTTCGGGTCATCATTGTCATACCACGCACATTAAACTCTCACGAAAGGTTTCAGGATGTTCGCGAAAGTCTCTGGCCTCTTTGCATCCGCCGTCCTCACGGTAATGTCGAGCCGCAACGGCGTCGGGTCCCCATCTTCTGCCCTCAACTTCGGATACGACGACTTCCACGCATGTCTCCAAAAGTTCGCCAGGTCAGTAGCAAGCAGGTGGGTAACCGACGTGCCAGAAGCCCACCCAAACCAGCTCATTTCAGAAGCGTAAGTAGTGTTCTCGACATCGACTCCGTCCCAAATATCAGTCGAGTACGGCGGCAGCATCTGCTGCGACCACAAATCGGAGCTGAGGTAGCGCATTGCACCACTTTCATTATCCACGATCGTGAGACTTGGCCACATTTGGCCTCGCACGTAGCCCTCCTGCCACCCTTTAATAACGTCGATGTTAGTTGTGGGGCATAGGCGGCGAGATTTTGCTCCGCGCCGAAGACACCGGTCAGATGGTAGCAAACTCGCGTCCACCTTCGAAGGCCAAATTTGCTCAGAAGTTGCGGCCAGATACAGGAGGTCGTCACTGCCGTTGAACGGGTCCACGACAGGCCAGTAAATCAGCTTCGGAAGCGCAACAATCGCAGAGACCGGATTCGCGATCGCTGCAAGCAGATACCCGACACAACGAGGAGTGGCCGTACTGGTAAGGTACTCCGAAACTCGTTGCTGAGCAAGTAATTGAGCTTTGTGAGCTGATATCCAGAGGTGAGGAGACTGAAAGGGACGCCTCTCGTTCTGCTGAGACGTCTGCGGATCTCATCCAGGACGATGTTGGATAAAGATGCGAGGAGAATCAGCTCGTGAGCCTTTGCAACAAATTGAAAGCCATTCAGGATTATTGCTTGATTCCTTCCGCCGTAGTCGGTCGGATAGATCTTTCGCGCGTAGAGTGCGACTAGGCACATTGTCACGGCTATCGCGAGGAGGTGTATGCCACACCGCCATAGTGCTATCCAAACGCTTTTTACGAGAGCAACTTTGGGCTTCTCATTGATCTCAGTAGAATGCTCGGATGCTAATGCTCGGACGGTAGGCGATAGAGGCTTGGGGTCAGGCTCGATGCGACGGGCATCCAGGGGAACCTGCTTGTATGCGATGTACTCCGTGTCTCTTTGGCTCTGAAGGTGGAAGTCAGTGACTGAGTTCAGATCCACGGACTTTTACTTACATCCATCGTTGAGGATGAGTGAACCAACGTTCATCTGCCGCGATGCCAAATCAATATGCAATCTCATGAAAATAGAAGCTTTTCAACGAAAAGGCATTCCGAGCAAAACAGCGAGCAGACGACCGTAAAGTATATGGGCATGTGGCGCCTGTCACCTTACCTAGCTCTGCGCCATTTGTATAGCACCAATAGGCATTGCGTTAACACAGCCTTACTGCCGTCGTCTTGTTTGGTATTCGAATGCAAGATATGCGCCAATAGAAACACCGCTCATACAGCCTTGCTGCAGCCACATCCTCATACAGATTACCGTTATAATTCTGCATGGCTGGGCACTTGGCTTAAAGTGGGGGATAATCGTTCGAGACGAGACTACGTAATAGGATTCAAAGGTCAACTCATCTCTATTAGGTGCTTAGGAGCGGTTGATGAAATTCGAAACGGCCTTCACGTCTCATCTAGTTTCCAAAAACCAAATCAAGTATTCTATTGATCAGCAGCCAAGGGCATCCGTAACCCTAAGGAGCACGCGTCAGATGTTGTCCTTTGAAGATGATAAATGTGTAGCTAGGTAGGTTCAACTAGCTGAATGGCGCAAGAGCCAATGACCATCCGCGAACGAGCTTACATGATCCGCCACACGAGATGGCCTAGCGAGGCTTGGTACCCTGTAAGTGATCAACATCCATCCCGTGCAAGTTTCTGAAACTACGATGAAGCATTCGTTACATTAGCAAGAAAGCACACAGACAAAGGATGATTGAGGACTGGATGTATCAAAAATAGGTGCTATCGGCTGACAAGGGAGCGGAGAAGAATAATAAGAATGAGCGAAGAGACGAAGATAGGATTTTGGACCAACGAATCAATGCAATCCAGCGTCCAGGTAATAAACCGGTCTAGGTACCGATCTACCAACATAACTGTACCAAGACACCTAACCTTTACTCTCCCAGTAGTGTCGATCTAGAGCTTTCTCCCCGCCACAGACCTCACACAACCCTTCATACATCCGATTGAAGGTCCTATGTTTGCTGAAACATTTTTGGCAAAGGAGCACACTAGGAAATCGCGAATCTCGATTGTGATATTCGTAGACTTGGTCTCGCTCTCCTTTGAGCACATCTAATGAGCTGGTTTGGGACCAAGAGAAAGGGTTATCGGAACGCGATCGTGCAGGCGACTTTGGAGACGGCGGCTGAAAAGGCCAGACTGATCGGAGGCGCGACGGAGACGAAGGGTTAGATCCTGGTGATCGGCTGCTGGTTGGCGACATGCTCACGCTAAAATGTCTTCGAGACGACGCCTCGAAGATGGAATCGGTATTTCCAGGGAAGAAATTTTGAGGCATAGGGAGCTCTGCAGGTGATGAAGACTGAACAGGTGAAAGGTGATGACCCTCGACAATAGGCTGCGAGGACAGGCGACGTTGAGCCAAATCCGACCTCATCCGCTCGACTAATGGCTGAGACGCGACTTCGTTCCGGGCCATGGATACCCGTCGGATCATGTGGCTAGGTATATGTGACTCCGCCGATTTGTTGGAAGTCGCCACCCTTTGTAGAGCTTTAATGGAGGATTCTTTGTATGGGTTCGATGGTGCAAGACTCCAGCGTCTGTCGCTCGCGGCAGGCGCTGCGTCATTGGTACTGACTATCGAGTGGCGTTTCAGTCGGGCCATATCCAAAGCGCGCAGCTGATCTCGACGCTTCTCAGCATCTTCGTTTCCACCTAGCCAAATGGATGTGCGACGGGAAGGAGGTGGAAATGGAAACGGTGACTCGGAATTCTGCTCGATGAGATCTCTTAGCTCGGGAGAAGGCTGGAAGAAGTCTGGGCTGATAGAAGAACGCCGATCCGGAACGGCCTTGGGAGACTCCATCGATACGCCACAATGTTTGGAAGAAGTATGTCCGGATAGGAGTAATTTATGAAGGACAGAGGCACGGGGATTAGAACCAGGGCGTTCGAGGATAGGTTGTGCTTCCAAGCGTCGTGTGAAGGCTACAAAGTTGCAGTCAACTGCACCTGCCATGTACCTCCTCTTGCCGGGCCACAAGTCGAGAAAGAGCATGTTGAGAAGTGAGAAGAAAGACGGAAGGATAAGTAGATCACAGGTTAGAGGGCGAAATCAACAAGAAATATCCGCATTGAGATTGAGGCAATTTCTAGCTCACCTGAATGGTATATTACAGACCAAACTCTATCAAGTGAGATACCGAAGCACCCCTATGCATTCCTGTAGACTCCATCAACTTGTGTTTCTCAATTTACGTTTCTGACATCTCGGTGTCCTCCGCCTTCGCCAAGCCGTGCTCCTTGAGCAGGGCATCGATCTCATCCGCTCCCCAGAGATGGTGGTAGATCTTGCCATTCTTAGTCCTGCCTACTGTCGCAAACTCAACTATTGCGCTGTTAGATTCACTCGAGTATAAGTCGATATTGAGGTGAACTCACTCTTCTCGCTGCTCAGCTTCGTGGAATCCATCGTCTTACTTAGCACCTTGACCGCCAAGCCACATGCCTCCTTCAAGTCGTATTCTTCCTTATAGTCCTGCTTCAACAGACTCTGCGCGCTGGCGTTGTTGGCGCCTACACTCGTTGCCTTCCATCCACCATAATTGCCGCTAGGATTGCTTTGGTAGAGCTGGAACTGGCGCTGCGGGTCCCAACCAGCGTAGATGAAGGAGACACCAAAGGGCCGGAGACCGCCGTGCTGAGTGTAGCCTTGCTTGAGATCGCATAGGCGACGTACGAGCTGTTCGCAGGGGATGTCTTCGTTGTAGGTGAGGAGGTAGCGTTGGGCGGCTTGGCGGGCGTAGTTGATGAGGATGTTCGCATCAGCTGTCATACCTGCTACAGCGCAGATCATGTTGCTAGGCTCCGTTAGCTTGAAGTACGAGGGACGAACGTATGAGTCGTCTTACTCGTTGAGAATATAGAGCTTCTCTGCTGATGTATCTTGCTCCAGCAGCTTGCTCGTCACTTTCCTCTCGGCGGCGAGGACGATGCCATCTTGTGCGAGAATACCCAGCGCAGTACCAGCGTGTGATATAGCCTCCAATGCATACTCGACCTGGTAGAGACGCCCCTCTGGCGAGAAGATGGTAGTCTAGGTGGGTGTGAGCTGGTATTGATTGCGGCAGGGCTGCAGCGTATGGCTTACCCGTGAATCGTATCTTCTCGACATGTTGAAGTCTGGCAGCTACTGAGGATGAGAAAATCAGAGAATGTGCCTCAAGGCTGGATCGAAATCGTGGAGAGGGAGGGATTGAGGTTCACGCAGCAGTGTGATGGAGTTGAGCTCCAGGCACAAGCTCGATGCGCGTCTCGGCGACGGCGCCAGAACCCCCGGCCTTGGCACTTGTTTTCGTGACCTCGAGCATCATCAGGGTTTCATTTCTACTTCCACTTCACTCCTACCATCGCTGTGACCTCAGGATGCTCTCCTCCGCAAATCTCCCTCCCAAACCTCCACCTGGCGTTGCTCCCCTTCCTCCGGGATGGACTCAGCATAAGGCGCCCACTGGTATGGCACGCTCAGAAGCAGCTCAAACCTCTATCTAATCGCGATCTAGGGCACCCCTACTACTACAACATGGCCACGAAGCAATCCACATATACGCGACCCGTCTTTCAATCTCAAGCACCCAGCCCGCCGCCGCCACCAGTTACACCGTCCTCCCAAAACGCTCAGATCCCGAACGCATTTCCAGGTCCGTTCGGCGGAAACTTTGGCCAGCAGGGAAACTTTAGATCGCAAGGGGGCTTTGGACCACCGGGGAACTTTGGACAGCCTGGAAGCTTTGGTTCGCAGGGAAACTTCGGACCGCAAGGAAACTTTGGACAGCAAGGCAACTTGGTACCGCAAGGAAATTTTGGCCCTCAGGGAAATTTCGGTTCACAGGGCAACTTCGGTCAGCAGTATCAGGGCTTCCCAGGTGGACAGCACCGTGGCAATCACCGCGGTGGCCATAATTTCGACCGACGAGATGCAGAGAGACGGGCGAAAGATCGCCCAAAGCATCGAAAAGACATCCCTGGCTGCGCGCCATGGGTCCTAGTAAAGACGAAGCTTGGTCGGCGCTTCGTTCACAACACCGAAACAAACGAAAGCTTCTGGAAATACCCAGAGGAGGTCAGGAAAGGGGTCGTGGAGCTGGACAAGATAGAACGCGAGAAGAAGCAGCGGAAAGAATGCGGGGAACCCAACGGAGATGAGACGGAAGTACCTGTACAAGTGGAGAAGACCCAAGCTGATAAGGCTCAAGAGGAGACGGCCCAGGGAGCGGAGCCTAGGCCTGGCGCGTCAGAAGAGCGAGCCCAGGATGAAAACGGGGATTCTAGCGAGTACGAGGAGGTAGAGGTAACGGACGACGAAGAGGAGGACAACCCATCGAAACGGCAACGGACTGAGGAACCGGCTGAGGACCAACCTGTCGAATTCAATGAAGATGACATAGCGTACCAGCTTGCTGCGATGGGCCAAGACTACGGACTCGATCCAGGCGAATACGGAGACGGTGAAGATGGGGACTGGGAGGAAGGCGCAGAAGGCCTCCCTTTGACAGAAGAGGATTCAAAAGCGCTGTTCCGGGATTTATTGGACGACTTCCATATAAGTCCCTATCATACGTGGGAGAAGCTTATCGAAGAAGGGAAAATTATCGACGACGACCGCTACACGGCTCTCACGAACATGAAGGCGCGGAAAGAATGCTGGAGCGAATGGTCCAGAGACAAGGTCCAGGAGTTAAGAGAGCTACGCGAGAAGCAAGAGAAGAATGATCCCAAAATCCCATACATGGCTTTTCTGCAGAAGAACGCGACTCCGAAACTATTTTGGCCGGAGTTCAGACGGAAGTACAAGAAAGAACCTGAGATGAAGGATATGAAGGTCTCGGACAAAGACCGGGAAAGGTGGTATCGCGAGCATATCAATCGTCTTAAACTACCTCAAGCAACTCTGAAGTCAGACCTCACGGCTCTGTTGAAGGCACAGCCACTGTCAGTTCTCAATCAGTCAACTTCCTTGGATGCGCTTCCTCCTACTCTGCTAGGTGACATTCGATTTATCTCGCTATCTCCATCCACACGAGATTCGCTCTTAGAAACCTACATCGGTACCCTCCCAGCTGTCCCTGAAGGTGCAACAGCCTCTGCAGAGGATGACGCAGAGCTGGAGAAGAAGAGGGCTGAGCGAGAACGGCGAGAGAAGGCTCTCGCTGAGCGCGAGAAGAGGGTGCAAGCAGAGAAGCACAAGCAGCGACGGGATCTAGAGTTTGGGAGGGGCAGACTCCGGGAGGAAGAAATGGAGCTGGAACGTGCGATGAGAGTCAACAAAGATGGCCTCAAGGGGTATCTTGCTGAAGAATGAGACTGATCAGGGCACGTCGAGTTGGGTGTGTTACCCATGGCAACTTGTGTCTGCCATTAGTTCACTATGTATGTACCAGCCCCAAATTAGCATCAGTCATAGCATCAGTCATAGCGACCCAACCCATATCCAGTACCTCAAAGATCACATTTTGATTGACCTGCCCAATCGAACCTATGTTTGTCATGAAGAATCATGACTTGAATTTGTTAACATTAATGTATTAGATTCTAAATCGGTGACCCATTCCCGCCAACGCTTCGCTCAAACGACATTCAAACCCAAGACGCTCATAGAATCACGAAATCAGAATCGGCCGTTTAGAAAAACCCCATTTCTCATCATGCCTTTGGCTGCTGCGGCAACACAGGCGCCGGCCCAATACTCTTCGGATCACTCGGCCCCATCGCCGGTAAACTCGACTGCGCCGGCGTCGTGGTCCAGGGTGCAACGGTGTGAATCCCATCGTAGAAAACGCGCGCCATCTTCACGTAGCCATTGTCGTTGGGGTGGGTGCCATCAGATTGCATGTCGGCCATACTCCACCCTAAATTGCATCAGCTTTAACTTTCCAAAATAAAAGACATGTGGTAGGTGGTTTCACTTACAAGAGCTATGATTATCAACCATGAAAACAGGCTTCTTCAGGTCACCTCGCAGTATCTCAACAACATCCGCAAGAAGCGTGTTATACCCCTTGATCACAGCTTCCGCTTTCTTGTTACCGTTTGGCGGAAGCGTGGAGACAACGACGACGGCGTTAGTCGCGATGCTGAGGATGTAACTGATGAAGTTGTACATGTCATTTGCCATAGCGTCTGTATGATTGTCAATCTCAATTTTTGTCAACCAAATAAAGACCACGTACTCGGATCATGGCCCTGCAGCGCGTCATTTGTCCCTGCAAGCACAAGGACTACATTTGGCTTCTGCTTCAATGCTGTTTTCAGCCCCGTCTGGTTCTGGACCTGGCTAATCCTTAGACCGGGGAAGCCGTCGCATTCGTTGTCGCCCATTTGGCCGCATTTTTTGCTACCTGGAGCGCGTCGTCAGTTCTCGTACTGATAGTCAAAGAGCATAGAAGCAGAATTGGGGAATCTACGCACCAATCATATTCACCTGCCTCCCCTCTGCCACTAACGCGCTCCTCATCGCTCGCCGAAACCCATTTCCATACGCCGAGCCTTGGCCATACACGATCGAGGCTCCGATAGCATGGATGCGGAGAGCTGGTGCCTTGGCTGCTTGTGCAGACCGTGTGATCGCAAGAGCATTGTCTGCTTCGGTGTTTACTGGTATCGCAGAGACTGGGCGTTTGTCAGAGAAAGTCGAGTTGGAATGCGGCTCTCAGCACGTGTTAAGTCAACTTACCGGATAAAAGCGGAATGAAGCACACCAACAAGCTGCTCGCTCCCCAAATCATCTTCACGTTCCTATTTCAGCACGAACCGCGTAGCTATATGTACGACTCCTCGCCGGTCGCCTTTGAAAGATAAGACAGGAGCCACCGAGGTCGGAGTTCACGATCCAGATCCCAAATCAGTCTCTGATGGCGAGGAATGCAAACACGCGCAGCGAGACCCCAAGAACTTAAAGATAAGAGAAAAGACGCGTACTCCGTATGTACGTTGGACGACATGACAGTAGAGTTACATTAAATACCTCATACTCACGTCTTATTTTATATTCTACATCCTAACGTTCACTGCCCGCACACGCCCTGACTTGCCCGCTTTCGGGTTGCAGGCCCGGCCCTGTCATGTCTACGTTCGGACAGCAGTATCGAATCCATCCTGCAGGCGCAGGCTAGGCGTATAGCGCTTCGTATGCGTATATCGGGCATTGGCTTATTAGCCACGTGGAATCTCGAATTTCGAGCGGGAGATAGCGGATCAGTAACACGGCCATGTTAGTGGGTATCGCCGTTGTGAACACAGGGGATCATGAGGCCTCTCGCTGACACCTCTTCTGGGCTGCAAGGCGGAGTGCGACATCGCCGGCGACAGCACAGAATAGCCGCTCGTGGTCTCAATACTATAATCTACCTGGTAGATCGTTGATTGCCAGCACGCACTGTGTGCGGGGAATCCTGAGAGATAGTTGTGGATGTATGGATTGGAGAGGTTTCAGCAACAGTGGTGGTACAGAGTGAAGTGCGACAGTATGTACAGAACGGTTATTGTTTTCGTGATGCGCTAGAGTTGGTGTTGGTGAAAGAAGAGGGGTGAGGAGATGCAGTGGCAGAGCTGGTGAGACGACGCTGAGGTGGGCGGAACTCCAACGAGCATCCATGCCTTCCGTCTTTTTTTTACTGCAATTAGTTACTTATGACTCGACAAAGCACACAGGTCCGGAATTCTCGCTGTTTGACAAGTTCAGGAAATGCCCATATAGCTATGAGTTATAACAGAAGAACGTAGAGGCAAGCGTATTTCTAGTGGTAGTACATGCGCACTAGGTCCTCCCGAAGATACGCTAGTTAGCAATAATTACTTCATGCGGACAAGCTAGTCCGTCCATTCTTCCAGTCCAGTAATCACATGAATTTGGTGCAGTATCCCTGCCGTTCATTAGACTAGAGGTTTCTATATATAAACTTTGATCCGGGGTGGTATTAAGAGTACAAAACAGCGGCAATTGATGACCTAGTGCTAGGTTTGCCTCCGGCGCATAGCAAAAGCTCCGCAGAGTGCACCTTTGATCATCTGCCTCGCTGTCCACTTGAAGCCGAAGGACGTCAGACTTATAGATTTTAGTAGAAAAGGGAGATCGACACATGCAAAATACAGATCCTGCCTTGCTTGCCTGTCCAGGAACTTTTCTTGGGCGACGATTCTACCATCGGGCTGCCAGATTCACCTTCGATTCGGGTTTCGGATCAGACGGCCGTTGTCCTGATGAGATGGCTTTAAACCGGCCAGCTCGTATCGATACACGACACTGACGCTAGGCTGCGCAACATCGTCCAGACCATCCATGCAAGGGTGACAAATAATTGGTCACCGACTTATGACTCAATGCGCCCCTTGAAGCTTTTGAAGACAGCTTCCCATTCACTCGGATTCGATCTCGCCCATGCCTTCACGACCTCGACGCCTTCTCGATCTTCCCGCATGTGGTGCAAGGAGGACGTTCCGTTCAGCACGACGATGCCTAGATTCATGACTAAGCTATACAGCGCAATCGGAGCGGGAACACCGGTAGATTCGGCAATCGTGGCAATCTCGTTGCATCCCAGCAGCTTTAGATTACCCGTCAAAGTCCAAAATGATTCGTAGATGATGTCGTTCTCTGCACAGAACGCTCGCAATTCGACATCATGCCCGGTGGCGGGGTAGAACCGATTCTGAACGACCGAAGGCTTGACCTTTGAGGTCTTGTGTATCTGTTCGAGAGTCTCTAAGTCCACGTTGGAGATTCCGAGCGAGAGGATCTTCTCAGGGACGAAGGCCTCTAAGACGTGCCAAGCCTCCAAAGTCTGCGTTAGTGTTGGAAGTGGGGAATGCATCAGCACGCAGTCGATATAAGATCCAACTTCGGAGTCCTGCAATGGGCGAAGTTTCCTGAGTGATGAGGCTACCGACGTTTCGATCTGCTTTTGCAGAGAATCTGCGGCGTTGTAGGGCATGTTATTCCTGTCTTGGCCAGCGAGTGATGTGTATTTAGTCTGAAGCTATTTAAGGTTAAAAGAAGATATCGTTGGGATAGAACTCAGCCTTGGTATCCATTTTCGTACTTACATAGATGTCTTCCCGACGAACCACGCCATCTTTGTAGGCTTCCCGCAGGGCTTGTCCTACGAGCTCTTCACGATAATGCCGGGGCTGTGCGGCGGTGTCTACAGCTCGGAATCCTGCAATCAAGGCTTCTTTCACCAGCTTCGTCGTGTTATCTTTCTTCCAAGCCGTTCCGTAGATGAAAGCTGGCGAGAGTGAAGATAGAGACGACATCGCAGCTCTGCCCCCGCTTGAAGCCATGATAGCCCGACCTGCAAGCTACTGGAAGGACAGATGAAGGGATCTTGCTCGAAGGACTACTCGACTGGGATGATCAGGCTAAGCTAGATGCAGTACGTCAACGTGCACGAATGGAGTGGTGGAGTACACCTCAGAGGGACAAGCATTGCGGTGGGGTTTCGGTGTATCAAGCCAGCATGGCGCTACTCCGAACATGGCATAGCTCTTCACGTGATCAAAATGCTCATGATTTAAACAGCAAGACATTGCTTTATAGGAAGAGCACGACGTTGCAGTACCGAGGTCTCGGAAGAAATGAGCTTCGGAAGTATTTCTTCCCTGCAGTCCGCTGCTGTTCCCGTTCTATTCCGCCGGAGTCTGGAAGATTGAGAGAACGGTATCACATTGGGATGAATTAACGCGGAACTATCCCATACACTCCGGATAGCCCTCGTGAGCGCCGGTCACATCAAACGGAACATATGTCGGAGCCGCATACCCGTGCGGGGAAGCCGTTGGTGGTTTGAGGGTCGTGTCAGTCAGGATATAAAGACCCACTCTTGTGCCCATCCGAACAAGCTCTGGTTGACGATGGCACGATGAACATGAGAGATCGGAACAGACTATACGGCAGGACTCTCGGGAGTGTTAGGGTTTCCGGAAGTGAGTACAGCTCTTGAGGGAAGAAACGGAACTTGGACTAATCGTCAGGAAGTTGATGTAGGGACGAAATCCGAGACACTGTAGTAACACCACCGTCGTAACAGAACGGAACGGATCCCTATACAGAAACCTTCACCGGAGAAATGGCATCCATAGTAGTTAGCCGGAATTGCATTGAATGCGGGACGGAACGCTTCTCCGATTCCACTCCCCGGTGTGGAACGATTGATGACTGACACCAATATCCCGATCGTGAGGGAGCGGAACGAAACTTCAGAGAAAGCGAAATGGAGGAACCAGCATCCATCGCCATTAACCGGAACCGCGTTCAGTACGGGAAGGAACGCTTCTCCGACTTCCACCTCACGGTGTCGAACGATTGATAACTGACATCACCATCACCATTGTGAGAGAGCGGAATGGAGCCTCCACAGTAACTATCACCGATAAATCGGCGTCCAGCGCTATCAATCGGAGCCGCGTTAAATGCGGGACGGACCGCTTCTCCGACTTCCGCTTCCCGGTGTCGAACGATCCATGGCTGATATTGATATCACATCGTGAGAGAGCGGAATGGGGTCTTGCGTAAGAAACATCAACGGAGAATCGGCATCTAACGATGTCAACCGGAACCGCGCTCAGTATGGGCCGGACCGTTTCTCCGACCTCCAGTATCCGGCGTGGAACGATATTGATACCGTATCGTGAGAAAGCGGAGCGGAATCCTACGGAGGAAGCATGACTGGAGAGCCGACATTCAGCGCTGTCAACAGGACCCGCGTTCAAGACGCGAAGAATCGCTTCTCCAGCTTCCAGTTTCCGGCGTCGAACCATCGATGCTTGAGTTCGACCTCACATCGTGAGACAGCGGAACGAATATCATACGCAGTGACCATGAATGGGGAACCGGAATGAGAATGGTAAGATGGAACCGGTTTGACGGCGGAACCGAGAGTTTCTCCGATCTCCATTCCCCGGCATCGAATGATTGATAACTGATATTAACGCCACTATTGCGAAAAGTGGAAGGGACACGGAATCTTTCACACGAAACCGACGGGATTATGCGGCTCCCCAATTACTGAACACGGAACCGGACGCTCTAAGCAAAGGCACAACGCTGTTGGAAGCGGAACCGTCCGACTGAGCGGAAAGCTTGAGGTCAGATGGAGTGATCCGTGGACCAAAATCCGAGAGAACCCCTTGAAAATCGGGAAAATATACTTTACTCGGAGAGATACCGGTAGAAGGCCCTAGGCTGCGAAAGCTCCTTACCTCAATATCGAGTGTCCTCCCTTTCACCCTCACCCAGCCTTGGCGAAAGCTTGATGCGAGCCTGTCTTACCATTGTCTCGGTTCTAGAGGAATCTCAATTCCCTTAAAAGCTTCCGAGATCCTAGATCTTGGATCTTCGGACAAGAGATCTGTGGAGAGATTCCATTTCCCCAGAACCTCCTCTCGGAAATTTCATTCTTTAACCCGTCGATTCAGAACTTCGTCAGTGCCAATTCAGTACCTTTTCCCGGTACCTTCCTTTGACTATTTTGCCCCAATCGAAGAGAACACTATTTGGAACGCTCCTTGCGATTTCCAGAGTACTGGATGGCCGTTGTGTCGAATTGTGGTGAAGTGCCAGAACCTAGGTTTGTAGGTCACGTGAGACACTCAAGATATCTGGGAATCAACCTTATCTCATCAACGGGAACCTGCATAATCGGTCGGCCCAGCCTTGCTTTGCGATCAAGGGTGTCTCCTGATGGTAATGTCAGGAGTGTGGTGGTTCGAGGAAGAATGAGGAGAAGTTAGGGGCCCGGCCACCTCCGCCCACTCAAGCGAGGAAAAAGTCAGCCCATTGTCTTTCCACAACACCCGCCAAGGATCACTGCCGTCACCCCATCGCAACGTGAGCAGGCCACCTTTGCCCATGGATCAGCAACATTTCCATACAAAACAGTCCAAACATGTAAAAATCCATACCGAACCTGCTGAGTAAACTACCTGCTGCGGATGCCGTCTCCTGACATCTGCTCCGTCGTTTGTTCTAGGTAGACGTGCCAACATGACCCCATAGTGAGAATACGGTAATGTTTCGTGGCATTTCACGCCTCAGGTGATGCTACGCGATAGGACTCACAGCCCCATAGTTTCTCTGACCTGTCTTCGTGCTGCTGATATATAACTTCTCGTGCTACACCTCACTGTCTCTCCCATCATCATCAAGCATCAATACAGGGCATTCACACCGGTTCCAACAATCTCCAATCAACCACACATCTCTACTCCGGCTACTCACGAACGAACAAAAAAATTCGATCGACTCTCCTCTTACGCCAAAAAGTGTATTACTAAAAATCACATCTCATCGACGAATCAATAACGCCCTTTAACGGTCTTAATCTCGATTCGACATATAATCCCAAAAAAATGCCTTCCGCAACACCCATCCGAACCTTCATGCGCTCCGCATCCCGCTACCTCACCGAGCCGCACCCATTTGCGCGGAACCCAGTCACCACACCAGCGCACCGCCACTACGCGCCGTTCTTCATCAAGCGCGCCGCTGCGACCGCCGGAACGTAAGCAACTCTCCATTTTGCGCCTTCTTAGAGCAATCCCACCAACTCTACCAATAGTATGATCCCCTTCTACGGCGTAGTTCTGTTCTGGCCCATCCCCGTCGCCGCCCTCGGCCGCCAAATCGGGATCTGACTTGCTGAATCCCTCGTTATCGCTGTCGACGGCATGGGCCCCTCAACCTACCAGGGCCAGGCCTCGGTCCCATGGGAGGTCACCGACATGAAGACTCCCGACGAGATTGAGCGCGATCGGAAGGCGTCGGCTGATGCGAGGGAGGTTATGGACTTGATCCTCGGCATGGAGTTCGATGGTTGAGCATGGTGTTCTGCCTTCTTGTAGAAACCTTTATGTTTGGGGGTTTGGTGTTTATGTTCCGAGACGAATCGACTTTGATGCATGGTTTGCTGGAGTTCTGGGGCGTTCGGGGTGTTGAATGCCCGCGGCGGCTTTGTTAGTTCTTTTTAAGCATAGCGCGTTCGAATATGATCAAAATTTCAGATCAAATATATCATTCAGGGCACAGTGACAATGACCATTGATTGTATTAGGGGTCCAACTTAACTCCGATTGAGGGTGTACATTGAAAAGGAACAGGAGGACCAAAGCATTAGGGAATCTTAGAGACTGAACATGGAGACAAGCAACCTTTGATACACAGAGAGAGTCCTATTACCCAATGCAAGAAGACCAATGATCCGACAATGCCGCTTAACGCAGGACGAAGGAAACTCCAGAGAAGTTGACTAAAGGGAAGGCCCTCATCCCTCAGGCACCTAGCGGCCAGCATACAGCCGCCCTTCAAGGGAACATGGAATCATCCGGCATGACGAAACCCTTCGAGTCGAAATCGCGGCGGATGTAATCCGTCATGGCGTCAATCTTCTTGCGCTGAATATGCAGAGCTCCACCTTGGAGATCTCTATCCCGCTGGCTCATGTGGCTGTCGGCTATGGATAGAACCGATGGTTTCGGGGAGGTAGCACCTTCGATGATGGTGAATCCCTCTTCTTGAGCAATATCCGAAACTGCCTTGGGGTGGATTCCAGCGGTTTTCAAGGACCCTTCCTTGCTGCTAGGAGCTTCAGAATGAGGATATCGAGGATCGCCATGGACTTCCGGGGTGATCTTGAAAGACGCGTTTCGTCCCGGTGGGACTCCTCCCACAAGAACCAGGAGTAGCTTGGGCTGGAGAGCTCGAACGATGAGGTTGTTAGCTTCGAACTCGATGGTCAGAGTTTCCAAAGTTGACTTGGACAAAGAGCTGCTGGATTGTGCGATATCCGAGTCCAGACTGGCCTGATCATGAGAAAGTTTGGAGGCGATGGCTTCTTCATGCTCCTTCCAAGCCATCGAGATGAGGGCTGCCTGGTCTCTCAAGTCCTTGATGTCGACCGGCACAGAATACGCTAGAAGAGTTCCATTGGGTGACATTACACTGGTATGTTAGCGGGCTTTCGAGGCGCGGACGGCTGCATCGCGTACAACATGCGTGGATATAGTTTCGGATCCACATTCTTCGCCAAAAGTTCGCTAAGTTTCTTTGCGTTCAACATTTTGAGAGTCTCTAGAAATGGCGCGGTTTAGTATGGGGTTGGAGATATTGCAAAGAACATGAGGCACGCGACAGTGGTAAATATGTTATATCGGATGAGCTCAAAGTCCGAAAGATAGATACGTCGACGCGAACGCCTTGAGACCAGTTTCACGACGGGTTTGCGCCTAAGAACAGGATGGAGAATTGGAGAGAGGTGAATTTAAACAACTTACACCAACACGTCGCGCCGCGGCGCTGTGATAAGAACTGAAGTGGAAAGATTTCAACGTCCAACACGAGAGAAAAGGGTCGACAGAGCTCTCCAGAAGGGCATAGTCAAGGCGCCGGGTCTACCAACGTGAGAGGTGAATGCAATGCGGAGCTTTGGCGCATTGTTGATGACGGTGTGACGAGACAGGGCAAGACGTGGGAGCTCAGCCTCAACTGGAAGGCGCTCGGACGTGGAGTAACTTTTGACCGAGACACGGCACGTGACCATATCTCTCATCGTCCGAACATCCTCAAATCCTATCTGCGCTGCTTTTTCCGGCCTCTTAAAAGCTTTATCTGAATCACAGTGTGCCTTCGATTAGTAGCGAATGGTATGTCTGTTATTCAGGCTTGCAAGGCACGAGAACGCCGGGAGGGCACGCTGGGCATGAAGAAAGTGGCACACTCATCAAGCCCGTGTGTAGTGCGTCAACAAGTTTCCACATAGCCCAGGGCAAAGAGCTTCTATCTTCTTTAGTTTCCTGAAAATACATTGAAGCACCCTAAGCAGTGGCAGACAGGTGTACACATGAGACGGCTTGTTTTAGAATTAGTGTGCCACCTTTTCCGTGCCCCGCGTGGATGGCCCGAGAACGTGGGGTTGATTAAGCTCCTGCGCGTCATCTATCACTACAGCGCGCTCTCAATCCTTCCACTCCATTCAACCGATGCTTATATTCAGCCGACTGTCTGCGAAATCATACAATTCTAAACCCACATCTACTTTTCTCTCACGAGCTTCCAACCTTTCTTTGAGACGACCATTGGTCAGGACCTTCGCAATCATGGCTACCAACACGAGCTCCTACAAGCTGAATCACTCGATGCAAGCTCTTTCGCTTTTGCACTTACTACACAAATAGAAATGAATCAATGCTAACATTGGGGCAGGATTCGGGTCAAGGACCCAAAAGTCTCCGTGAAATTCTACGAACTCCTTGGCATGAAGCTCATCAACAAAATCGAGAACAAGGATGCCAGGTTTGACCTCTATTTCCTTGCATACGACACTCCCAAAGCAGTCAACCACGGCAACCATTGGACAGATCGCGAGGGACTCATCGAACTCACCCACAATTATGGCACGGAGAATGACCCGAACTACAAGATCGTGAATGGCAACAGCGAGCCTCATAGGGGATTTGGACACACTTGCATCTCGGTGGACAACATACAAGCTGCTTGCAAGCGATTAGAAGACGCTGGAGTCAAGTTCCAGAAGAAGCTGGCCGACGGGAAGATGCACCACATTGCGTTCGCATTGGATCCTGACAGTTACTGGGTTGAGATCATTGGCCAGAAGCCTGTCGAGGAGACAAAAAGTGTCACAGAAACCGATGTGGAGACATATCGAATGGTAAGTGTGGTGGATTGTGATGGTGGAGTTACGCTTACATGACGTACCAGAACCATACCATGATCCGCATCAAGGACCCGGAGATCTCGCTCAAGTTCTACCAAGACGTCATGGGAATGGACCTCAAACGAGTCACGGAGAGGACCGCGGGCGGCTTCAACCTCTACTTCCTGGGCTACGGACCACCAGCCGTGCAATCCGCGAACGGCCACAATCCTGTTGCAGACCGCGAGGGCCTACTGGAGTTGACATGGAACTATGGAACGGAGAAAGATCCAAACTTCAAATACCACGATGGCAATGCGGAGCGGCAAGGATTTGGCCACATTTGCATCTCAGTGGATGACTTGGACGCTGCTTGCGCCCGATTCGAGGAGAAAAAGGTCAACTGGAAGAAGAGGCTCACAGATGGCAGGATGAAGAACATTGCCTTCGTTCTCGGTATGTCATTCCTATTTGTATCGTTATAAGGCATAGATAACTAAAGAATCACACTCAGATCCTGATGGCTACTGGATTGAGGTTGTTCAGAACGAGAAGCTCAAGAACCGAAGCAACTGGTGATTGAGTTACCAGACGTCGAGATCCAGCAACATTCATCAGATTGACTCAGGCATCCAACTTTGCATGCATTGGATAGCTCAAGGAGTCGGTATCCTATGTAGCTTCTTTTACCGAATGGACAGCCTAGAAATGATTACAATGCCTTGCCATAGAAATCCGTACACCTCCCTGCGACTGTCTATGGGGCTCCAACGTTCTAATAGAAACGGACATAGTTCCAATCTGCGGCCTCCCCATTGACGCTGTCCGGGGTAGCCTCGCGAGCTTACAAAGGTACTAGAAGTCCAAATGCCGAACTTCTACCTTATTCGGAATGCTGAAAATACTATGAGGCTCCTCATGCAGCCGTAAACGAGTGTACGGATTCCTATGACGAGGCACTGTATTGTCTTCTCTTTAGCCATCACGTTGCATATTGGGTGACGCTCCTTTGTTTCATTTCACTAGCATGGAACAGCGTGGGGAAGGTGCGGGAGCGGGGTAGTTCTCTTGCCCTCTTTGGGATAGCTCGCCATTCCTCACCACTCAGCTGACTTCCATCATCGCAGCACCTGCACCACCTGCAGCTCTCACACAGGCGAGCTTATGGTACATTCGCCGATAGCGGCCCGGTAATTGCTCCGCTGAATAAAGCCAGCAAACGTCTCTAGTCGCGTCATTCTCGCTTTCCTTTTGCCGCGTCTTCGCTTTCTTCCCATCTGACTCACTTCTTTCGCTCTTTCATACCTCGACATGCCCATTGCCGTGCCCAGCAACGGAGCGTCGACTCCAAAGCCAAAGATCCTCATCCCAGAGAAGGTCTCTCTAGATGGATTGGCTTTGCTGCAAGCCTCATTCGAGGTTCACGAGAAGAAGGGATTGAGCGCGGAGGAGCTCAAGGCCATCATACCCGAATACGAAGCCCTCATTGTCCGGTCTGAAACTAAAGTTACGGCTGATCTGCTCAATGCGGCCAAGAGACTGAAGGTCGTGGCCAGAGCTGGCGTTGGCGTTGACAATGTCGATGTCGGCAGTGCGACGAAGCATGGGATCATCGTGGTGAACTCGCCTGTAGGAAATATCAATGCTGCTGCGGAGCACACGATTGCGTGTAAGGACCAGTCTACTAACCTTAGACATCTACTTACTCTGCTTAGTGCTAATGGCAGTCGCTCGCAACATTGGCGATGCAAGCTCAAGCATCAAGGCTGGAAAATGGGAGAGGAGTCGTCTGGTGGGCGTGGAAGCAAAGGGAAAGACGCTTGCAATTGTCGGTCTCGGAAAAGGTATGTGACTTCTGAGCCATCTCGAGACGCAATCTGATGTGGAGTAGTTGGTCTTACCGTGGCTCGTATTGCGAATGGCTTGGGAATGAGTCTGATTGCATATGGTAGGTGTTCCCTCCCTTTCCAACTCCAATCTAACTGTCTAGACCCATACGCAAATCCTTCTCTTGCGGCAGCAGCTTCAGTCACCTTGAGACCGGCCTTGGCCGAACTTCTCAAAGAAGCCGACTTCTTGACTCTACATACTCCTCTCATCGCATCGACCAAAGGCATGATCGGAGCCACGGAATTGGCTACAATGAAGAACACCGCGAGAATACTGAACGTTGCAAGAGGTGGTATGATTGACGAAGCGGCTCTTCTGGATGCCTTGAACGCTGGGACCATAGCTGGAGCTGGCATTGACGTCTTCACTTCCGAACCACCAGAGGCTGACTCGACTGCATCACGTCTCATATCACATCCCAAGGTTGTAGCCACCCCGCACCTTGGCGCATCAACGGTAGAAGCCCAGGAAAACGTATCGATAGACGTCTGCCAGCAGGTCATCGCAATTCTGTCAGGAGAACTTCCCCGCTCAGCCGTCAATGCTCCCATCATCCTACCAGAAGAATACCGCACTCTTCAGCCATTCGTACAATTGGTGGAAAAGATGGGGTCGCTCTATACCCAACACTACAGCCCTCACATCAACCCGAGCTCTAAATCCTTCCGCACAACTTTCGATCTGACGTACGAGGGTGCACTTGCCACTCTCAATACTACTAAACCACTCTTCGCCGCTCTCGTCAAAGGCCTACTTACTCCCATTACCTCGTCCGATGGCTTGAATATCAATATCGTCAACGCGGAGATATTGGCTAAAGAACGTGGCATCCTTGTCAACGAGAACCGCAGCCGTGAAAACGTCGAAGACAAGCCCTACTCCTCTTTCGTCACCCTCCGCGCTCGCACCTCTCGCTCAACGTCACAATCCCGGACTCCTTCTCCTGAGCTAAAACGAACGATTTCTCAGGCTACTATACCGCAAGACCAAGACGACCAAGTCATCCAGGGATTCGTTTCCGCGAACAAACCGTATATTTCCAGATTGGACCGCTTCAAGGGCGAGTTTATTCCTTCTGGCACTCTGATCATTTGCCGAAACTTCGACTCCTGTGGCAAGATTGGCTTCGTAGGCTCTGAGCTTGGCAAAGCGGGCGTCAATATCAAGTTCATGAATGTGGCGCCGCTGCATGAGGACGAGGAGGGTAAAGAGGGTGACACCGAAGGCAATGAAGCTCTCATGATTCTTGGAGTGGACAGGCCGGTAGGCGATGATGTCGTGAAGGGACTAATCTCAGAACAGGGCGTGTTGGAGGTGAGCGTTGTCACTTTGTAAGAATGGAGGACGAATACAATTTAACTACAGTAGGGATTCCCTACGGCCCTTTTCAACATAATTATCGTGTACTGAAAAATGGGATGCATGGCAAGCGACAGGCACAATCCGAAAAATCTTAGGGAGCATTGGGATGACTTCAACGTCATATACACCGCATAGCATTATACAGTACTAATATACGCCTTCTTTCAAGGCTAGTACATGGTGTTCCACCGTTCATGATTATTTTGATACCACCCCAATGTGCACACTGTCCAATAAGTCTCGCTGCTACGAGACTGCGCAGACCTGGCGTGCCCTCCCATAAAGTGCTAAGAATAAGAGGTTAGGGTTAGTTGTGGCTGCAGCAAGGCTGTCTTGGTTCCATCTTTATTGGTATATATTTGGCAGCCACGAAATGACATAAGATGGCTGCAGCAAGGCCGTATTAGCCTTTATATCCAATGCCTTCCCAGTCGCCCTGAAAATGGCCACGTCCTTGAAGTCATTGATGCCCAACGTGTCCCCAATAAGACGACTTTACACATCCCCAGACTGCTGAGCTTTCGATCGTCTTCAAGACATGGTGACACAGCATGGGGCGTAGAATTGCATCGTCTGAACGAGCGTGCCCAAGTCAATATGCAGCCTGGCTCGCATGTTTACGACCTTGGGGATCATTCACACCAATAGACCTTGCATTCGCAAGTGAGGCTGAACATGACAGCACGCCTCTTCTGACGTACATATACGAATGCTGTCCGCATCAGTTTACGCCTGCAGTGTTGACAAGGCCACCAATTTGTCTGCTAGCCTTATCGTGGCCATGGCCGATATTGCCGGCCTCGCAATGGCAATTCCTCAACTTCTAAAATCTGTCCACGAAGTGCATCGTTTCTCGTCCGACCTGATACAAAAGGTTAAATACGGTCCAGAATGTGTAACCGATCTCTCAACGCAGGTCGAAAGCATTATTGGCATCACAAAATAACTTCGACAGAGTAGCAGCGCAAGGGTAGACACGGACTTTTCGAAGCGGCTAGTCAAGAAAGGGGACGACCTCAGGCTACTCGTGGACAAGTTGATCTTGGTAGCAAACGATGGCAAAATGACGTTGTTAGAGAAATGGAAATTAGGTGTTTTGTTGAAAAGGAAAGAAGAGCCGATTGAAAGAATAATGAGAGATATACTCCAGGAGATATGCTTGTTGGTTCTGCATTTGCAGTTAGATTCGAACACCATTCAGGTGGCACAGCGGGTGAGTGGGGCCAAGCTCTCAATAAATACTATATCCTTGAAAGGCAATAGTTCTAAAATCTTCGTCTACACAGCTCGACACGATGATGCCATCCAAAAGCTCTTCCTTACCTCCAAAGAGCTTGGGATTTGTAGGGCGAGCTGCCGTCTTCAATGAGCTTGAACAGAAGCTAAAGTCTGCGACGATTCATACGCGTGCGGCGGTCGTCGGACTTGGTGGCGTTGGGTAGGTGGCCGCTCTCCCACAATCAAATTACGAGCTGAACCGCATCGCAAGCAGCAACTTCTATCTAGATTCAACACACAGGAACCAGGAAAGCCAAACCAAATGGAAATGTCGAACATGCAACGCTTTTTGCAAGGGCCGCTGTCTTATACTCCTGGGCACCTCCATCTAGATCGAGAGCAGCAGCTAGAAGAAGCATTACGGCAATTAGAAGAAGCATTGCAGCACCGAGATCAAGAGGTGAACCACCTCAGAACGGAACGTGACCGGCTCCTACGATTTGGCGTTGAGCCGAGGCCAATACAAGACGCTATCAAAGGTGCGGACGCAACACAGCGTGGGGCTCGCCCACCTTTAAAAGAAATGTCCAAGCCTCCTGAGCTGGCCTTTGGTACGTCTATTGCCTACCCCTGTATATGTTTAGCAACGTTAATAGGGCCATCAGAGTTCGAAGCAGTAGCAAAACCACGGAGCTACTTTACTAAAGGCAGATTCTTTATGGTCCTATGGTTTGAACCCGAAGGGAATGGCTCGCACGTAGGCACACGAATCCGACGGTTTATCGTCCTCCGGTCATGGTCTCATTATTGTATCTGTGTCCCAGTACATACTTACGGAAATCGAGGTACAGCCAAACCAGGAATCACGCCAGGCGATCATGCCGCTTCGGTTCTAGTCGATGGCTCCTACACCCTCCAGGACAGCGAAGAGGAATTGACTAAGGCGCCTATCCATGTCGTTCGTGAAAATTTAGCTGTTTCAATAGACCCGGCGTCAAGGATCAATTTTGCGAAGGTCTACACTGTGGACTATAATTTGAGGGTCAAGAACATCGGTAGAATTCATCCACCCGATTTGAAACATTTTGAGGCACGCTTCACAGAAACCTTCAACGTATCCGTCAATATACCGACGGTACAGCGCTCCATGCAAGAAACAATTTCTCGTATAGAGAGCTTCATGCGCCAGCATGGAGAAGCTTCCGAGAAACAAATTCCCATCAACAAAGCTTTCATTCGAAAGCTTTCAACTCAGTATCAAACTAAAACCGGAAGATGTAGAAATTCTCAGGCGCAGGCATTCCTGGACACTAACAGTGCCGTAAATCTTATCACTTCAGAGTTCGTGAAAGTCCACAACATGGCTATCTCTGAGGAACCGAACGAAGAGCTATGCCTCCTCGATGGAACTCGGATCTTCGTGGCAGGCTGTGTCAATTTAAACTGGTCCGAAAATACGCTCAAAACTTTATCTACGAAATTCTTCGTGTGTGAGGGCACATGGCCATTCGATCTTGTGTTGGGGCAGCAGTGCGTTCTGAAGCACGGCCTTATCTCCGTGAAACCTATTCCGTTTGATGTGCAACCTCACAGCCAGGTCGAAATTCAACCTCAGGGTAAAGAGCGAGACTATGAAACACTTGATCCCAGTACGTTGCAAAGGACTATGTTGTCAGATATTCGGTTTGGTTCCTCGCTGACAAATACAGGTTATCATGTTAGAACAAACGCACGCCGCTTTTTCAGAAAGGGAAAGGTAGGTTTGAGATGATTTCGAAGAGGTTCCGGCTGATTTACTCGTCCAGGTGTTCTCTACTCTGTTTAGCGAAGCAATGGGTGAATCCTCTTCCAACCAACTTTCTCTTCGGACCAACAGAAACGTCGCGGAAGTGCAATACGGTGGTAGGGTATTTACCCAGTTACGGCGTTTTGGTAGGAAAGACCCGGCCTTGAGTCATTTGGTTTGGCTAACAGATATTCAGTGGTCGTTGCCGAACGCCCGGGATTTTGCTATGCCTGGTAAGCCGTCCTTCCCTCACATGCAAGTTCACAGTCTTTAATCGAACGAAGTCCCATCTTTACATACAGTGATAAAGGCACCCTGACACGCGGCTGTAAGGTATCGGAGCATTGCGTTGCATACTATGTCGGGCTGCAGGAGCCAATGCTCCTGCCAGGAGAGACTGGCATAGTAAAACAACCTATCGGAGTCGTGCCTCCACCTGGACATATCGAAGCAATGAATTCTGCGAGCCGTATACGTTTCGGGATGGTCAACCCCGTCCAACACAACATCAAGGCCAAAGATCTCGGCAGCGTAGCCAATGCCGATCTAGAGCTGTTAGTAACTTACTACAATAACGAGCTCCAAGGGTAGACCCCCACACTACTCGGGCCTTTCCAAGCCCCCTGCGCAGGCCGCAAATGGGCTGGAAAGGCCCGAGTATGGCTGGGTGTCAATCAGTGAGTCGGAAGCTGAGATGAGATTGAATGGGTCAATCAATCAATTCGCTCGGGTCCTGTTGACTGTCTATTTCCTAGCCCTGCGCTAGACTCGGCACGGACTTCAGTTGGCGTGTCGTAAGTGAGAGCTGAACTCACTACCGGGGACACTCAAATTTGCGAGCTTTTCATGCATACCTTATCACTGAGTATCTTGGCCAATAGCTTCTGGCTAGATGCCACGGTCCATCAAAGAATGACTAACACTCACCCTAGGCATTCCACTCTTCTCGCGTGTTGCGTCTTTCTAGTAAAGAAACAGTGGCATTCACTACACCACCGCGATTCATGTCGCCTAACAGCTATAGCATAGTTAGAATAGTCACATCTACAGCATATTGAAGGACTCAAATCTTGGGCGCGGATATGAGAAGTTGACGGAGAAGAGTGATAAAAGGGAGTTTTTGAGGACTCGTGATGATGAAAAGGGAGTTATTATGTGGGACACTAGACGCTGCAAGAGTAGGATGGCGGCCACAGAAGAGAGGGAGAAGTAGATGGAAGAAATCAAGAAGAAGATTGCCGAGGGTACGGAGCAGACGAAAGAGGGTCAAGAACCTGCAATAGATGCGTTGGAGCGGCTGACGCTGTGCTGGAAACGGAAGAGAGTAAGGAGAAAATGGCGAGGATACGATCTAAGCTGTTATGCTCATGAAGTGCAAAATCGCCTGCTCGGAAGGTTCACGAGGCATGATATCTTCAATAACACGAATTGAAGCGGCTTTTGCGTACCCCTAGCCACATACTTACTACACAGAGTAGCCTATCTTGTGATGGAACGTCAAACCAAAACATCCACTGTATCCTACTTTTGCGAAGAGCTAGAGTTGATGGAACGTCCAAATAGGACAACGCTCTGATTTTCTTTGACGCCGTTCGGATAACTTGCCCTCTCCAAACCACAATGCACAGACCCTTCCCCGCATTCGTCCCGGCTTGCCCTTCTCAGCCTCAGCTTACCTCATTGTGTCATTGTGCATCCCACTTCTCCCACTCGGCTAAACATCAATGCTCCGCCATTCCGTTATGAAAACATCCAGTGTCCTGCCTTCTATGACGCCCACCCTTCAGTCACTCTTTTGACCGTAGTTCTACTCAATTGACCCCCCTTACGGTCCTAATTCTCACAATTATCCTCAAAGATGTCGCTACGCATCGCCCCCACACGTGCCGCCCGCGCCCTCTCCCTCCTCCGCACAGTACAATACACGCACCCGCCCTCGTGTCCGTGCCATTCGAACCCGGGACACCACCATGGCCCCTCTTCATCCATCAGAAATGTCGCGAAGCGCTCGCTAGCGACCCCGCTGCACGCGAGTCAGCAGAAAGAGTACGCGTTCGAGATGGCGGCGAGCAGCATCCGGTTTGGGGCGGGGTGCACAAAGGAAGTGGGGATGGATTTCAAGAACATGGGCGCGAAGAAGGTCATGGTGGTGACGGATAGCACGGTGAAGAAGTTGGATGGTATGAGGCAGGTTGTAGAGGGGTTGGAAGCTGAGGGGATAAAGTTTGAGGTGTTTGACGGGGTTAGGGTGGAGCCGAAGGATAGTTCGTGAGTGCCTCCTCGGTGTTGAGGGATTAGTGGGGATTTATGGGGCGAAAGGACGCTAATGAGAGTATAGAATCAAGGCGGCAATTGCCGCTGCGAAGCCGTATCAACCAGACGCGTTTCTAGCTGTTGGAGGTGGTTCAGTAATAGATACTGCTAAGTTGATGAACTTATACACAACTTTCCCTGGTACGCTCGCGTCGCTTCTTCTACTTCATTATACAGATATTCCGAGAACTGACTAGTGCCCCAGACGCCGACTTCCTCGACTTCGTCAACGCCCCCCTAGGTAAAGGCCTCCCCATAACCCGCGGCCTCAAACCTCTGGTCGCCGTTCCCACTACCGCAGGCACAGGCTCTGAAACCACTGGCACCGCTATCTTCGACCTCGTAGAGAAGCGCGCGAAAACCGGCATCGCACACCGGAACCTCAAGCCCACCCTCGGCATATGCGATCCCATAAACACCCGCACCATGCCCTCCGCCGTCCACGCCTCCTCAGGCCTCGACGTTCTCTGCCACTCCCTCGAATCATGGACTGCAATCCCTTACTACGAGCGTACACCTAGGCCCACCAACCCGATCAACCGCCCCGCCTACCAGGGCGCAAACCCAATTTCTGACATATTCAGCCTGCAAGCGCTACGAAGCACAGTCAAGTATCTCCCGCGCGCAGTAGCCGACCCAGACGACTGGGAAGCCCAAAGCCAAATGCTGCTCGCCGCTACCCTCGCCGGCGTCGGCTTCGGTAATGCAGGTGTGCATTTGTGTCACGGCATGAGCTACCCCATCTCCGGCCAGAATCCTGGCTACAAGCATGCCGGGTACGCCGTCGACGTGCCCATCATCCCTCACGGCGTTAGCGTAGCTGTCACCGCGCCTGCCGTGTTCAAGTTCACCGGGGCGTCGAATCCGGAGCGGCATCTTGCAGCCGCTGAGTGTTTCGGTGTGGATATTAGCCAGGTGAGGAAAGAGAGCGCGGGCGAGGTGTTGAGTGAAGCTCTCGCGAACTTTTTGGTGAAGTTGGGAGATCAGCCGAGGGGTCTGAAGGCGCTGGGGTTCAAGAAGGAGCATATTTCGGGGTTGGTGGAGGGGACGATTCCACAGGCGAGAGTGCTGATGCTGGCGCCATCGTTGGATGCGACGAATTTAGATGTGGAGAGGGAGCAGTTGACGAGGCTGTTTGAAGATGCCATGGAGTATTAAGCATTGGAGTGCTGGAAAAGTGGGGGTACGTGCTTTGTATATAGGCATACTAAAATAGTATATATTGCAAGTAAAAGAAAGCACATAGGGTGACTGAAGTTATGCTTGAAGAAATAAATGCTACTCTTCATGAGATTTTAGGACGTTCGAGTTTCTCTTGTATGGTGAAGTGACAGTCGACGAAGACCACGGGGATATCATGTGACGCTCATGTGATCTCTTCGAAAAGAGTGAATTGTTTATGCTCCGATACTCATTCTCGAACGTTCTGACAACTTTGTCCGACTGTGATGGAGATGACTAGAAACATAACACTCTATTCCTTCACTTAGATCATGTGAATCCACGTGACTTTAGCAGGAGAGAGTGAATTGTTCATGCCTTAGCAAGTTATTCTGATTATGGTAATAGTGGTGAGGATGACCATCATCATCATTGCCAGTGTGCCAGCTACTTCAACTCATCCCTCTCAGCCAGATATTTCGCACTGCCACCTACGCACAACAGTTAGTCATCTGGACACCTGCTAGCTCATGAGCTACGAGCGAGGGTGTGAAAATGAAAAGTCACTCACTGAGGAGTAGTAGAGACGCTTTGATCAAGTTTCAGCACCGTACACAAAATTATACACGCACTGCCCCACTTCGCCAAGCCTTTAGTTTCTTCTACAGGCATACTTGCAGGCGCTACCGAGATACAATTCGTTCTAGGCCGGGATGGGCCACCCACACTCAAAATGATTTTCAGTGATCCATGACGTAGCACAACAGTGTCCAGGACGGGAGTGCCATAGTTGAAAATAAATATAAATCCGCCCTACAGATCATATCTTGTCGCATCCCTATATCGCCACAAGTCTGTCAATTTGATTCCCACTTGCTCTTGCGCTGTTTAGCAATTTCCGCAATTTACGGCGTGACATCCTAAGCTAGCTAGCTTAAGCATATACCTTCCTGCGAACACGGAGCAGACCTAAACATCACCCTACACCCTACTCCTACCCTTCACCTAACAACAACACATCCCATCGTTACCGGCATACATCGCTATCATGGCAGCGACGTCACCCCAGCAGTCTGTGCTACCATCCCGGACGTTCACGAACGGCAGCGAGGACGACGCTGTACCCGGCGAGGACACCAGCGAGGTACGCCTGATGAGAGCCGAGGGCTCTGTCGCCATTCCTTTTTTCCCCGAGTCTACCAAGGTTTCGGTGCGCGTGGATTGCTATGGACAACGTGACGGAGCCCAACCGGTGGAAGAGTGGTTTGAGAGCCCCGAAGAGCCTAATGGCGGGGCATCTCCAGTTCTCAGCTACAAGCAAACGGTAGAAGATACGGCTGCGGCCCAAGAGCTCGAACTTGTAGGTGTAGCTGCCGCTGCAAAAACCCGAGGGATCTGTCACTTTTCCATTCAAAGCCATGCTCGCCGATTCTTTGTTTTATTCTCAAGCGATGGTATTCGCTCTCTGGATCGGACTGAAGCTAAACATTCGAACAGGTGACCAAGCTGTTCAATGAGAGACTTCAGGCCTGGAAACACGCGGTCGTTTATGTTGAAGACTATGTCACCGCGACAGAGAAGATGCAGCATGTGCACGGGAAGGAGTACGAGAAAGTGCTCAAGGTACGTCGAATACCACCATGAGCGACGTTTTGGTGTACTGACAATGTAGTAGACTGTCTCTAACCCATTGAAAGAAGGCCACCACTTTGACCAAGCCTTGGGCGGCGTTGCAGGCATGTTCGAGAACATCAGGTCGAACACACAGGTAATAATACTACAATGTCAGGAGAAGACAGTCATTGACATACGTAGGGTATCTCCAACTCCCACTACGACACCGCAAAGCAACTAAAAGGCACCATCCTACCCATCTTCGAACGCCTCCATACCGAGATCAAGAACAAGCAGAAGGAGCTCAGCAAGGGCGCGGGCAAAGGCAGCAAGATGGTGGACAAGGCACGAAACACGACCCAGAAGCACATTGAACTCCTGGGCCAGCACACGGCCGCTTACGACTCCACCGGCGGCAAGATGAGCGCCTCAGAAGACCCATACGTCCTTCAGCGCGGCGTCTTTCACCGCCTCAACAAGCAGATCCAAGAGGAGAACAACAACCGCCAGGATCTCATCGCGGTGCAGAACAGTTTCGCGCAATTCGAGGCGCACGTTATTGCTGTCATCCAGCAGGGCTGGGGCTCTTTCAACCAAGTCCTCGCCGCGCAGGCTGAGCAGACCAAAGCCATGTACGCCGATATGACCATGACGACACAATCGATCAAACCAGATTTCGAGTGGAACGGCTTCGTCCACCGCAACAATGCCATCCTGATCGACCCCTCCGCACCTGCCCGCTCTATCTCCAATATCAGCTTCCCGAACCAGAACCACAAGGCTACGCAGCCCATGATTGCAGGCTCCCTCGAGCGCAAGGGCAAGCTACTCAAGAAGTATGACACCAACTACTACGTCGTCACCCCCTCCAAGTTTCTCCATGAGTACAAGACCGACGACGACTTCGCTAAGGACCCCACGCCCGAGGTCTCGCTGTACCTCCCCGACTGCATCGTCGGCGCGGTCTCCGGGCAGAAGTTCAACGTCAAGGGCAAGGACGTTAGTAAAGGGAAGGTGGGAAACACTTTTAGCATGTCCCACGAGTTCGCATTCAAAGCCCACACGCCAAATGATGCGAACCAGTGGTGGGAGATTATAAGGGCCGCTGCTGGCCAGACGACGAACGAGTTACCTGACTCCTCTTCCCCAAATAGCCCGATCAGCCCAACCGAGTCGAGGCAACCCGCGCCCCTGAACACGCAGAACCTAGCTATGGAGAAGGAGACGTTCCACCGAACGCCAAGTAGTGCGCACCCGGCCAGTGCGACGCCAGCGAGCGCGGTTTCCGCGCCTAGGTCTGGGATTGAGGGGAAGCCTGGCGCGTATTAGAGTGCCAAATTTGTTCTCTGCGAGATGGTCGACAGATTATTTGAAGCATCTCCTTCCAGATTGAAATGTTGATGGATTTGGGGTTTCGGCGAAGTATACCACTCACGTCAGCTTATGAGCAACGTCTTTAATGTCAATTCCCTTTTCCGCTTCTCAAAAGCTGCCCACTCTCCCTATGCTTCGTGATGACAATGAGTCCTGAATCAGCTAGCATACGTGCGGTATTTCGCAGACTCAATCCCACATCTGCCTCACATTCAAATTAACCCTCTTATTCGCCATCCACCCCCTCCACGCCTCGAACTCCCCTTCCTCTCCCCCCTTCCCTTCTTCCTCCTCTTTCTTCTCCTCCGCCGGCCAATCCGCCAAATACCCCGGACACGTCCCCGCCACCACTTGCGGCACCCCATGCCACGCCCACCGCGCCTCGCCGCTCATATACACCGCACTTCCCGACGGCAGCCCGAACGTCAACACCGTCCCCTCTCCCTCCCCTTCCCCATCCCCTTTCCCATACCCAACCACAAAAACCCCCTCACACCCCAAACTCACCGAGCTCAGCCCCCTCTCGCTCCCCTCCGCGACATCCCGGTGCACGGACAGCGTATCGCCAGGCGTGTACAGATTCACAATCGCGGCTTCCGGCCGCGTCTCGGGGAAGATAGAGGCGAGAAGCGCGGCGATGTCGGTGGGAAACGGCGGCGGAGGGGTGGCAGGGTAGGACTTGGCGGTCCAGTCATATTGGCCGCCGAGGGTGAGCCAGCGGAGCTTGCGGGTTAGGAGCGGGGAGATGGGGAGGGGGCGGTGGATGGTGGGTGTGAGGGGTGTGGCGATGGTGAGGGGAGAGGAGGGAGGGTGGGCGAAGAACGAGGAAGGGGATGGCGGGTAGGTGAGGGTGTAGTGCGTGTGGAGGTTTGTGAGGTGGGACGGGCTGGAGAGGTCGCGATGGAGGAGGCGGGTGAGGAGGGTGCGTTGGGTGGAGGCTGGGAGGAGGGAGGGGAAGATGTGGAGGCCTGCGTTGTGTTAGGGGTATTATAATAAGAAAGGTTGATGAGTTTGTGTTTGAGTGGTTGCAAAGATTGTTGAAAACCTATGCTCCAAAATATAGAGTATAGCAGGGAATGAAATATGCGAGATGAGCGATGAGAGATGATAGGAAAACAGTAATAGTTTGGAAGCTTGATATGGGAAAGGTGCTCTTTACCTGGCATATCTGAGTGCTCGTACACTCTAATTGGCGTTGTGATCTCGTCGCTGAAGCTGCCTTCGCTACTTTCGAAATCGCGGAAAGCTTTTTTGAGCTTCTCGGGCTCAAGTTTAGCAATGACTTTGATAGATGCCTGCTGTGTTTCTGATAATCCTCTCGTGAAGTCTATGATGTTTGGGTCTACAGCCAGATCTTTTGGCTTCATCTTTTGATAGGTTTTGTAGACATTCTTAATGTGTTCTGGAGGCCTCTCATGGGGGTCGAGGGACTTTGAGGACGTCTCAGACATGCTATTTGCTGTCGAGTATCCTGCTTGATATCTCACAATATATGATGGTAATTTCCAATGGATGTAAGTTTGTGAAGCACCTCCGAGAGGTATTCTACCAACTTTGCGGGAATAGGATTCCACAAACCTGACTGTCGAGATTGGACGGTCTAACAAAGGTTCGTGATACCTCACTCGTGCAGCTGAGACGCTTTAGATCCCCTTGGATTAATGGATGAAAAGATGTGATGATCTATGGATGGTGAATTCTGTATGGATGCCAGCGCCAAGGCTGTTCGCGTTTTGGAACCGCGAAGTGTTTACTCACAGACGCCCCCTCCAGCAACGGCCAAACTCTTCCACCGCCCTCGCTGCTCACTACTAACACACAGGACCGCGTTTGCATTTTCCACGGCCGGCCATTCTACACCTTCGCTACATCCGGGCGGCCCCTCGTTCACCAGCAACCCTGCCAGTCGTTCCGGAGCTCGCTCCCTAAATTGTCCCGCAGCACAAACACAGCTGTACTCCATCGAACCCGAACCACACCTACCCACCGCACATACTATTCCCAGCTTAGCAATTCGTCATGGAAAACTACCAGAAGATGGAGAAGGTCGGAGAGGGTAAGATCCCTTTTCAAGCAGCTTAAATCTCGCGAGAGACCCATTAGTCCACGATGTTTACACGAGCTCAATGCTGACACTACCTCGCACTTAGGCACCTACGGAGTCGTGTACAAAGCTATTGACCTCACGCACAAGGACAGGCGCATCGTCGCGCTGAAGAAGATTCGTCTAGAGGCCGAAGATGAAGGCGTCCCCAGCACCGCAATCCGGGAAATATCCCTCCTGAAGGAGATGAACAACGTCAACATCGTCCGCCTCCTCAACATTGTCCATGCCGACGGCCACAAGCTCTACCTTGTTTTCGAATTCCTCGATCTAGATCTGAAGAAGTACATGGAGGCCCTCCCGGTGAACCAGGGTGGTCGTGGCAAGGCTCTCCCAGACGGCACTGGACCCGCGCTGCAGACTCTCGGCCTGGGACCCGACATGGTCAAGAAGTTCATGGGACAATTGATTGAGGGTATCCGGTACTGCCATGCTCACCGGGTGCTACATCGCGACTTGAAGCCGCAGAATCTGTTGATCAACAAGGATGGCAACCTGAAGTTGGCGGATTTCGGCCTGGCGAGAGCTTTCGGTGTGCCATTGAGGACATATACACATGAGGTACTACCAATCCCAGCTTGATCAGTTAAACATGCAGTGCTAATTCATCACAGGTCGTCACCCTCTGGTACCGCGCTCCGGAGATCCTGCTAGGCGGCCGCCAATACTCCACTGGTGTCGACATGTGGTCTGTTGGATGTATCTTCGCCGAGATGTGCACGCGAAAGCCACTATTCCCTGGTGACTCGGAGATCGACGAAATCTTCAAGATCTTCCGGTATGTCATGCTCAACCATCATGTTCGACTAAACTCTAATTCCATATAGTGTCCTGGGAACTCCGACTGAAGCTGAATGGCCGGGTGTTACTTCGTTCCCTGACTTCAAGCCTTCTTTCCCGAAGTGGCCTCGGACGGATATTGCAACTGTTGTCACCACCTTGGACGATGCTGGCCTGGACCTACTCGACGCTCTCCTAGTCTATGATCCCGCTGGTCGTATCTCAGCTAAGCAAGCAGTAATCCACCCATACTTCACGGGAAAGCCTCCTGCCGGCTATGTCGGGGTGCCATATAATGGTTACCATTAATGCTGCCAAGATAAGGCTGGTATGATGACGATGTTGCAGCTACGGAGTTCTGGGGGTAGGCATTCTTGGGAATAGCTGCAGGGTGGGATGGGGCTCGGGTAGAGCTATGGGTTTGCTGTCTCAATTATATCTTGATGCATGATGGCATACACATGGGAAGGGAGTGAGGCAGGCACCAGGCGTTTTGGGAGCCTGCGCAATAGTCTCACTGACTCTTTACCTTGTATTTGCATGAACTCGTTCGTGCTTTGGATAGACGCGCTCGTTATGGAGGTGATGTTTACAACGTGTTCGTCAGTGCATGCCTTTGTATGACTACCACTACAGGAAGTACAGTGCCTTGCCATACATACCGTACACTTTCCTGCCACTGGTTGTGAGGCTCCAACGTACTAATAGAATCCGAGGGGATACACTTCTAATGCGAGTTTACTAGTTGTCCAAAATACTAAAATTCCGCCTTATTCGAAATGCTGGAAAAACTATGAAGCTCCCCGCACAGCGGCAAACCAGTGTAATAGTTTTGCGGATATTGCAGCAAATGTTTACATTATGTTGCAGACTCTGGCATCTCACAAAGTCAAAACCAAACCCCACACTCAGCCTTACGAAGCTACCAACGCCACGATTTCCCCTCCAAGCTTCAACTTCATCTCCAGTCTTACACGAGGCACAACAACGACTATGCCACCTACACCCACCCTCCTCCCTCACCACACGGGTCCGCGGCTAGTCCTCTACGCCCAAACCCACCATGATGGCAGTGGCAACCCGATCTCGCTCCTGCCCCTCATCACGCAAAATACCGGCGTCACGCACGTTATAGTTGCTGCGATCCATCTCAACGAGGGCCCGGGGAATATCACGCTCAACGATGACCCACCCAGTGCGGAGAAGTTCAAGACACTGTGGAGCGAGGTCAAGTGGTTGCAGGGGACTGGGGTGAAGGTGCTAGGGATGCTGGGAGGTGCGGCGAGAGGGAGCTTTGAGAGGCTGAGTGGGGGAGATGAGAGTGTGAGTCTCACGTCTCCTTTAAGAGGCGGATTGTAAGAGAGCTAGAGAGGGAGGGGAGTTTGGGCGGAAATCTCTCTCATTCTGCTACGTGGAATTGAGATTCAAAGCACCCCACGCCCAGTCAATCTCATACTCCACAATTTCCCCAATCCTCGACCCCCTAAATCACATTTTCATTTTAACTAATATCCATCAGTTCGAGTCTTATTACCGCCCCCTCCATGCCATAATAAGCACCCACGCTCTCGACGGCCTAGACCTCGATGTCGAAGAACAAATATCCCTCTCCACGGCTCAACGCCTCATCCACCGCCTCCGAAGCGACTTCGGCCCCCAGTTCCTCATCACCCTCGCCCCCGTCGCCACGGCACTCCTTCCCGATCCCGCCCACGCTCATCTCCATCCACGACCTCTCCTCTCCCCGAATCCAACGCCGAACCCGCTCCATCCCACCCTACCACATCTCTCAGGCTTCAGCTACCCGGCTCTCGAGAATTCGCCGGCTGGGCAGGAGGTGAGCTGGTATAACACGCAGTTCTACTGCGGGTGGGGCGACGCGGGGAGTAGTCAGTGGTACGATGCGATTGTGGCCGCGGGGTGGCATCCGCGGAAGGTAGTTGTGGGCGTGGTAACGAATCCGGGGAACGGGGCGGGATATGTGGAGTTAAGGAAGCTAAGAGAAGTATTGGGACTACTAAGGGCGCGGTATAAGGACCGTGGGGAGGGGTTTGGGGGGGTAATGGGATGGGAGGTAAGTCTAGGCACAAGAACGGGATATGATGTGGGGTAATTGGACGGCGTAGGCTGACTTTTGATCATAGTACTTCAACGCCGGCGGCGGCGAGGATAAAGTCCATCTCCAGACCGTGAGTAACGGCGCAGATGGGCAAGCCGGATGGGTCGGCGGCCTCGGAACCGTCCTTCGAACGCCTGATCCTCCAGCTTCTACAGCACCTGGGTTGTCCGGGGCGAATCTGGGTCAAATCATCGCATCTCTGCCCACCCCGCCTGTTTCCTGGCCCGTGGAATCAATCGAATCACTCACAGTCATAGGATTCTCGAGACAGGAAGCCGTGGCAGCCCTGAACGCGACGGACGGGAACGTAGAAATTGCAGCTGGGCTGTTGTTTGAGAGCTGAGATGGGAAAGCTCGCTTTCCAACCGAATGCAAGAATGTCTGGGATAGACGAAAAGAAGACGACACTACCCCGGGTCGAATGCACCGCCACAGCGATCTCCTGCTCTCAACCGGAATGCATATTCATACCCCAAACACACCCCGTATAACCTCCGCGTCTATAGCTCGGCACGGCTACGGCTACGGCTACGGCCACGGCATCTCGGAACTCTCTCACCCACCACACCGCCCCCCGATTTCCCCAGCCATCGCCCCATCGACCCATGGCGCCACCACGCTCTACCCCATGTCTCCCCACCGGCCCCCATCAGCCGACCTCCAGCCTCCAAATCGGCCGAGCTAGCCAGCCAGCTAGCCGGGCCGGCCCGCTGTCGGTCTGGGGTCTACAATAGGATCTTCTGACCGTCAAAAGGAGCCTCGCCGAGGGATGGACTTTCTGTTTTCGAATCTGCAGACCTTGCCGCCACTCATTCCAAAGATTTCCGATTTTCGTGATGTATGTACAGTACGTTACGGTACGTGACCCAGCACCCGGCGCTCTGGCCTCGGAACCGCCGGCGCAGCGACGTGCGCAAGGAGGCCCTGAAAGGGATTTACGGGTTTCTGTTCGAGGGCGGCGGAGCTTGTGCAGGACGGGTCCAGAAGGCGTGTTTTGCGAAATGGGGAGGAGGGGGGGGGGGTTTGGCATGTGATCGGCATGTGACTGTCGAAAAGAATGAGAGTGAAGGTTTGAAGCTTGTGAAAGCGATCAAGGGCATCTCTCTCTCCCAGCAACTGTTCCGCTGAGAGCTGCTCCAGTTGGGTTGTGCCAGATGTAGGGAGTGAGATTTTGCGCGGCTGGACGTGATACCTGCGAGCCGGGAAATTCGGGGGATTTTACTAAGGAGTTTTGAGCTAGTTTCTTTGACCTTTGGTGTATGATCAGGCCAATACAAGATCAGTTCTCAAAAACAGCTCGTCATCATCATCATCGTCATTTTTAATTTCTTATTATCACTGCAAAGAAGAAAAGCCCCTGGATGAAGAAGCATAATCGCATAATGGTATCTTCCCCCAATCGCCAATGCTAGACGTCCCAAACTCTATCCACCCACTCATTAAAAATACTCATAAAGCTCTCCCAATTCCTGTAAAACTCCACCCTAATGCATCTCTCCTTCTTAACCAACCCCCCCCCCCCTTTCTCGCCCCTTTTCTCTATTCCGCCCAGTTCTAATCCCCCACCTCGGCCCTGACCACCTGCTCATCCACCCTCTCCACCTTCGGCCCCTCGGCAACCATAAACGTGACCCTAGATTCCTGGGCGCTCCCCGGCCGCGAACTCGGCAACGACCGCGAGGGCGAGCGCGTGTAATGCGCATGCCGCTGATGATGAAAATGCGACGCCGCGCCCCAAAACCCGCCCGGGGCCGCCGATTTAGGTTTCCTTCTCCCCAAGATATCGCGGCGGAACTTGTGTGATGAGGTAGGAGGCGAGGGGGGCGGAGAAGAACTCGAAGTCGTGTAGGACGAGCTGCGGGTGCTAGCGGTCGAATTACTAGATGGCGTTGGTGATAAATGCGGTAGCGGGAGCGGGAGTGTGTTTTGGTGCTGGAGTTGTGGCGATGCATGTGTATCTTGTTGTTGCAAAAGTCTATTGCGAATACCGGCGTGAGCCGAAAGCCCTCTTAAGCGCGGAATGGACGAAGAAAGTGGAAGTGGGCGCGGAAGCGGGACTGGGGGCACGGGCGCGGGTGTGGATATGGATATGGGTATCAAAGACCGCGTGGAACGACGATGGCAGACAGCGTAGTTCGTCCGTGAAAAATCGGGATGGGGTGGAAGCGTCCGCCGCCCGCGTGACGGCTACCGGTGGCGGTGATGACAGCTGCGAGGCCGGTCTACAGGTGCGCCGAAGGAAGCGCCAGCGTTTAATGCGGGATTTTTTTACAATTGGGGGATGAAGATGATGTGTGTGATGTGATTTTGGGGGTACAGGAGTGGAGTATGGGGGAAGAAAAGGGGTAAAATGTGAAGGTGTGTGATTCTGTAAGAATGAAAACAAAAGGCAGCGTTACCTCTGTTCGCCGGACCCAGCGGCCTCACGCGTAGGTGAAGCTCGCCGCGAGTTCAGCTCAGTATTGCGTTCTGTCTCCTCGGTGAGGGTGTCGAGACTGCGGGCGGGTGACGGCGTGTTGTGGTCGCTACGGGGAGTGTGGGTAGGGCTTGCGGGTCTACTTGTCGCGATTTCGTAGGTTGGGAGATTCTCGCTGAGAGGGGTGCGAGCAGGAGTGCGGACGGCGGTGTTGTAGCTGGGGATTTTGGACAGAGCTTCCATGTTGTATTCGGCAGAACCGGACTCTTCGACGGGGTTGGCACTGCCCCTCGTCATGTCGAAGTAGCCTCTGCCAGAGCGATAGCTGTTGGGCTGGCTGCTGCTGCCTTGGTCTTCGGTGTGGGGTGTGCTATTGCCGGACGAGTGAAATGATCTACCTCTATCCGTATTGTTGGGCGGTATGAACCGGGCTTGTCGGCCATTTTGGGCCATGCTGAGGTTGCTGAGACGGGTGTGGAGGGCACTGGCAGAAGCGCCAGGGCCGTCTTCATGTGCAACCGCATCAAGGGTCGTTGGGATGTCCTCGTTGGATCCACTTCGACTCTGGCTGTAGAAGGGCGTGTTGAATCCACTATTGGCGCCACCAGGGGTCATAAAGCCGCTGGTATCAATGCCGTTGTAGAGCTCATCAAGCTGATGTAGTCCGTATAGAGGTGGGGCAGTCTGATTCGCTTCGTCCCGCAAAGCATTGGAAGAGAGTATGTTGTGATCGATGAGCACGCTCTGGTCCTCATTGGGTGGAAGATTGGGTGATATGAATAGATGGAGGTGGTTTTTGACCAAAAGCTAAGAAAAGTCAGAAACTGCCCTAGTTGTGGATTTGATATTTACTGACCTGACTCGTGTGCCCCTCGGGGTTGTGCAGATTCACGTATAATCGCAGTTTGTGCACGATTTTCATGTGATCCGTATCCACCGACTGCCTGCATGACTTCAGTGATCGAGGGAGTTCCAGGGTCATCGAAAAGCGGTGTGACTCGTCGAACAGCTCATCTCCCTCTTCAGCACCGTCGGGAACGAGATTCGCAGAATTCTCGGGCATGTTGCTCTCTGTTGAAGCTACGACCTGGTCTCTGGCATGTGAGATAGTGCGCCCGGTGTACTCGCTGGTCAGGACCATATGCTCTACTACTTCCAACTTGATGGTCGTAATCTCGACGCCTTTCCGTAAAGGAACCAGGACGAAGTCGGCGTGGATCGAGGTGCCGATAATGTAGTTTTTCTGAGGAACGGTGATCTTGTAGGCCAATTTTGAGCCCCAGATATCTTCGTTGATCTGCAAGTCCTTATCAGCAATTGACTCTCCTAGTCATCTCTGGACAGTTTACCTGCTCCATTGGCACAGACTCCATGAGGTCCTGCCCCAGCGTCCGCACAATCCGCACATGCCTTGTTGCACATATCTGCTTCGAGATATATCCCCTGTCCACCACGGCATTCAGATTGTAGACAATGTAGTTTCCCACCAGCCCCTCGACACTCTCGTCCGCATCGCCTGGAATGATAAACTTGAAGGTCCATTCGTGGACGCCCGGGTTAATCTTGTGGGCTTTGTTTTTCACACCGTCAGCAGGGAACAGGTTAAGCTCGTCCTTCAGGAAGGTCCGCTTGGACACAATGGGCTGCGGCGTCACAGTGTTGGTCATCCACCTGCAGTGCCACGGGGCACAAGGTCAGCAAGTCGCGTGTGTGGGTTGTGGGGCTGCGGTGGTACGGGTACGTACGAGATCTTGCGCATGCCGGATAAATTCACTTTTATGCCCCTCACGGCCATAGACTCGTGGTTGGTGAGGACGAGCTTGCCGGTGAGCTCGACCTGCTGGGCTTCGGAGGGGAGGCCATAGAGGACGACGAAGGGGGAGTCTGGCCTGGTGCAGTGGGAGTCAGCTTCCGCGTATTTTTCTTCACGATGCTCGCTAGGAAGGTTGGTATGGTGGTACATGGGTACATACAGGATTTCGAGCGTCGGCCGCGAGACTGCGCTGCCAAAGACGCCAACCGGACCGCGAACCATGATTGCAGACTCTCACGAAGGGATTGCTTGGGACTTCAGCTTCACGGGCGGGGTGTTGTAATAGTGCGGCCGCGGTAGAAAAAGAATTGGGGGCGCGGAGAGACTGGGGGTCTGGATGACGGCGGCAGGCGCAGGGCTACGGATCATTCGACGGGAGAGCAAGCCTCATCCCACGCTGGTCACTGGTGGTGCAGCAGCTGCCGTGCTGCCGTTGACGACACGGCGGGCAAGCAGACACCGACACCGGCTGGAAGTGCTGCTTCGGTGCAGTTGGTGGTGGTGGGCTGGCGCGGCAGGGCGTTCGGCTGGACAAACAGAGGATGCCGAACGGCGCGCGCGGACTGGGTCTCGGGTGGACGGTGGTGCGATAGGGGTCCCTTGGGCCAGAGGACGCGAGGATGCGATTCGCGAGGGGCGAGGCTGCAGCTATCAGAGTCGGGAAGCGTGTCAGGCGTGCCAGGCGTGCCAGGCGTGCCAGGCGTGCCAGGCGTGCTGAGCGAGCGTGATGCAGCCGCCGCTGGGCAGTGTCTCGTCTTATGCCGCCGCCAGAGCGACAGCTGTCTGGGCGCTGGTACCCACGGCCGCCGGATGGGTGTCCCGTTTGTGCGTGTTATCGCTGCGGCCGTCATGGCCAAATTGCTGCATCAAGCTCTGTCTGAGGCCATTCCTCGGCCCCGGCCGCCATTGGCCCGCCGCGCGAAAAGCTTGTCTGCCATCTGCGCCACGCCCGTGACAAGCACTGAGCACCGCACCGCGAACCTTGGAATCCTCCCAGGTCGCGCCTCGGCCCGCAGCAACTTTGCCTGTCACGCTGCTAGCCGCTGCTTTCCTCGCGAGGCCCGCAATTGCTCAAGATAGCGGCCACGACGCGCAGCAGCCCGCAGATTGCGCGCCGGCGAGAGCCTCGCTATCTGCTGTCTCACCGGCAATGGCCCTTTCTCGGCGCGAGAGCCGCCCACTGACGACGTTTTCAACCGCCGGAACCACGTTTTCGATGCTCAACAACAACCCGTCCCCACCGCCGCACGTGCAAAGCCGCCAACAATCCATTTCCGTCCGCTATCATACAGGGTGGAGCCCCGCGTAGGGCTGAAGAAGCCGCCTGCAAACAAAGACACATGTGACTCGGAAGAATTCGGGCCTCGCCCGTTGCGACACCTCACTCGCCCCACTGTGTTCCGTACGCTGGCGTGGCTGGGTATTTTCCGAGGCATCAAAAACAGGAACACGCCGCTGCCTGCCTCTGGTCTACCCGCTGCTCGTCCCAGCACTCGCGCTCGCCGACGTCGTCGACAATGCCCCGTCGTCGCTGCTAGCGCCCTCTTTGGGTCGATCCCAGGTGCGGATATGGCCTGCAATCGCTGTCAGCCAGCCGTCGCCAGACCAGTCAAGCCATGCACATGCTGTGCTCTGGCGCTGCAGTGGCGGCATCGCTTGTGGCACAGGGAGCGGGTTCCTGCACGACATCGCATCGACCCGCCCCGAAGCTTATCTGCCTGCAGAGAAGAAAATTCACTCACCAGTCGCGCACGTCGTTAGAATCACGTCCTCCTCGAATCCCAGCCACGTGAGGGGATGCTCATCTATTGATTTGGCCTGTCGAGCTGTCAGTGGAGCCCATTTCAGATGCTGCAACGTAAACTCACCATGACGGGCGGCAGCATCGCCGTGCGCGCCCGCGGTTCTACCGGGTGGACCGTATCCTCGCCCTCGCCCGCCATGCTGGCCGACGTGAGGTTAGAGTTCGATCGCAGCCGGCTGTTGCTCGATGTGTCTGTGCGAGTCCGTGAGACCTTGAGCGTTGCCGACGCCACGCTGCCGCGGTGTCGTACTGAAGCCTAAACACCATGATCAAAACCCGTCTCGGGGTGCGTTGGCCAGGAAGGCTTACCGCTCTGGGTCGATGCAGCATGCCAACGCTAAAGTCCCACAGCAAAAGTCTGCAGTCCTCCCCCACGCTGCCTATCCGATAGTTGCGCTCATCGCATCGCCATGGATCAAACGCCACAGCCGTGACCCATGAATTGTGACCCTGGCATCGCGCCACTAGCATGCTGTCTTCCAGAGACCATATAGATACCAGGTCATCCTGGCCGCCCGTCACCACGTATCTGCCGTCTGGCGACCAGCATACGCACATGATGCCGCCGTAGTAACTGTTGTAGAGGTCGAGTAATCTGTCTTGTCAGCATTAATCACGCATTCGGCATTGGTCGTGCTTACTGCTCCTTCAAGTAATCGATGATCCTGAACGACCCGTCCTCTGAAACTACCGCAAGATGCCGCGAGTCTGGTGATATGGCCAAAGCGTTGATCTTCGAGTTCGACACCTTCCAGCAAGCCACCGGGTTCGTTTTCTGATTCTTCGAATTTACCGACTTCTTGATTTTTAGAGAAACCTTCTTCTGTTCCTCGTTCAGCCTCTCCAATGATGGTGATTCTTCCTCTGCCACGAATGGTGCATCTTCTTTCTCCTTGTCGTAGACCACCAATGTCCCGTCCGCATGCGCCGCAATGAAAAGGTTCTCGCTATGTGGGAGCCATCGTATCTCCGTTACTGCTGATGGGTTTATTGCGCCCTATAAAGGTTAGAAATCCGCCCTGAAGTCACTAAGCTAGACACTTGCTTACATTTTTGTTTATCCTGACGTACTTTTGTGACATGGGCTCGTACCAAATTATGTCCCCTGTCGAAAACCCTAGCACAATATCGACATGGTTAGGCCCTTTCGTCCCTGGATGGATATCATGACAAAGTGGGTGCGCTTTTGTGAAGAGAATTTTGGTCATGTGCTCTTCCTGTTCAGAATGTTAACATAGCCAACCACAGACATCTGATGACGAACTGTGGGGAAGCCTACCTTTATAGGAGAAGACAAGTCCAGCCATTGCATAGCCCTGTTCACATTGGCGAAGACATATATCCCCTTTGGGTCATGCTCTTGTAACCGTTTCGTCAAGCCTTCGTGTGGAATGACCCTCGATACGAATGACGAATTGCTCTTGACGATATTACTCTTCGGTTTCCGCCGCTTCAGAGGATCCTTGAGGTCTTTTCCGTTCGGTAATGATAGCACAGGATTGCTTTCCCCAAATGCAGGCGCATTGCTTCCATCCAGCGACCCTACCCCATTTGTCATAGGCGGGTGCGAAGCTGTGTCGCTAGCTTGGCTCTGTCCCTCATGAGGGCTCTCTTGTATACTCGGCGGTATCTGCGACACGGTGCTGTTGTTCGTAGTGAGGCGGAACAATTGGGGATGCGATTGCTGTCGCGGCGCGAGCACTAATACAGAGAGCTTCGTGCCAGCCGTGGGCGGTGATAGCGTAGTCGCGAGGGGGTTGTTGTTGTGAATCGGGGCTTCAGAAGGGTGAGGCGGCGGCGTTGCGAGGAGGAGGGCGTCCTTCAAGACGTAGGTTCCTGCCGTGATACGTGCGTGAGTACATCACACGAGCAATTGCGAGAGCATAGATTACCTTCTCCGACAACCAACTGGTGCTCCGGGCCCGTGGGATGCGTGAGGATGTTGTTGGTTTCGATGAGCGGCTGCCCGGGCTGGTTGCCGTACGCCGCAGCTGGGTATCGGGGCGGAGGGGGTAGCACACTGCCAAAAGCACCCATGAGGTCAGTGACTGCATGCGATAGCCTGGTGGCATGATTGGGCTGATGCGTGCGACTTACAACATGGCGGTCGAAACTCGGCGCGGCACTCAGGAACCGTGGTTGTGAGTCGCGACGCTTGTTCTCGCTCTTTGCTATCCACGCGGCTGGGCCAATACCGGCGACGATGTTTCCAGAACCATGGGGCAATGCGACAGGAGGCGGCCTGGTAATGTGGGGTATGGGGAGGATGAGGTGTCGTCGAGGTCCGCATGCGCCGCAGAGGGCCCCGAGTTGCGGCTAGTATGGGCGAAGGCACGGAAGGATGCCTGCTCCCAAGCTTGGTGTCGAGTTCGAAGTCGAGGGCCGCTCTTGGTGGAAGATTGCAGCCGAGACTGGCGAGCGTGTGCGGAGAAGGAGGGCCTTGGGCCGTTGAAGATGTAACTCCGGGCCAAGGAGGCGCCACTTCCTGATATCAAATGCAACCCCGGCGTCGTTCCCAGGTCCAGTCATTGCCAGCGCCCGCAAACCGATCCAGCGGGCTTAACGGCCTCTTCGCCGAGCGCCCATGTACCGTGGTTGGCAGCTCCCTTGAATATAAAGTGGCAGTCTACGTATGCGTGCGAGTTTCATTCTAGAGCTCCGCTCTCGTGACACTTGTCCAGCACTGCTTGGGGTCATCTGGTACATTATTAGAATTTGCAAAGCGACAGTTGAGGCAAACCTACAAAGGTACAAAGGTAATAGCGCTGCGAGTAATCTCGGAGTGCTGACTGCCACTTACATTCAAGGGAGCCTGGTCAGGCGTTCAAGCTCACCCTTGCCGAAAGACAGGGCGGTGCCCGCCCTGTGATGCACCCCTCCCTCCCATCACCCGGCGCAAACACTCGAGCTTCATTCACCAAGCGCACTCACTCATTCCCCCGCTTCACCTGCACTACTTCTAGGAGATGCTCTAAACATGCCTCCTGAGCATGGCGACAGGTACACGCCCTCAAGCTTGATCTCCCACCTATGTCGCGCCATGGCTAACTCGTCCGCCCACACAGTCCGAATCTGTGTATGCGGTGATGAAGGAGTCGGAAAGAGCTCCATTATCACCTCGCTGGTCAAGGATGTCTTCGTCACCACCAAAATCCAACCCGTCCTCCCCCAAGTAACCCTCCCGCCGACCCTGGGCACCCCGGACAATGTCACCACGACCATCGTCGACACCTCCGCATTAGTACACGAGCGCCATACATTGAGGAAGGAACTGCGGAAGTCCAATGTGATACTCTTGGTCTACTCGGACCACTACAGCTATGAGCGGGTTGCGCTGTTTTGGATGCCCTACTTCCGGACTGTGGGCGTGAATGTGCCGGTCGTGCTATGCGCCAACAAATCAGATCTCCAGTCCAGTGGGACAACGCCGCAAGTCGTGTCGGATGAGATGGTGCCGGTCATGAACGAGTTCAAGGAGATTGATTCGTGCATACGGACGAGTGCGAAGGAGCATCACAATATCAACGAGGTCTTCTTCCTCTGCCAGAAAGCAGTCACACACCCTATAGCTCCGCTGTACGATGCAAAGGAAGCTGCCCTGAAACCTGCAGCTGTATCTGCCCTCCAGCGCGTATTCCATCTCTGCGACAAGGACAAGGACGGATACCTGAACGATGCCGAAATCCACGACTTCCAGATGAAATGCTTTGAGAAGCCCTTGGGAGATGACGACCTTCGCAATATCAAACAGTCAATACAACGGTTTGCGCCGCAATCCGCCAGTGACGAGGGAATAGATGGGAAGGGGTTTCTGGTACTCAACAAGATTTTTGCGGAGAAGGGCCGCCATGAAACTATATGGATTATATTGAGGAAGTTCCACTACACGGACAGCCTCAGTTTGAAGGACACCTTCCTACGACCCAAGTTCGACGTGCCCCAGTATTCCTCAGCAGAACTCAGCCCCACTGGATATCGCTTTTTCGTGGATCTATTCCTGCTCTTCGACAAGGACAACGATGGCGGATTGAATGACTCGGAGCTCAAAGCCCTATTCAACCCCACCCCAGGAATCCCACCCTCCTGGGTTGACTCTGCCTTTCCCTCGTGCACGGTACGGAACGAAGCTGGGTATATTACTCTCCAGGGCTGGCTGGCTCAGTGGAGCATGACTACCTTTGAAGAACCCAAGACGACTTTGGAATACCTCGCATATCTTGGATTCGAAAGCACTGATAGAGGAGGCACGACTACCGCACTAAAAGTCACAAAAGCACGCAAGAGACGCAACAAGCCAGGGAGAGTCGAGCGGAATGTCTTCAAATGCTACGTGCTGGGTGCCGGAGGCAGTGGAAAAAGCTCGCTCCTGTCCGCATTCCTCAACAGGCCCTTCAGCCAAACCTACCACCCAACTATCAAGCCTCGAACTGCAGTAAACAGTGTCGAGCTGAAAGGAGGCAAACAGTGCTACTTGATCCTCGAGGAGCTGGGCGAGCTCGAGCCAGCAATACTAGAGAACCAGGCCAAGCTCGACGCCTGTGATCTCCTGTGCTACACATACGACTCCAGCGAGCCCGATAGCTTCGCTCATATCGTCGAGCTGAGGAAGAAGTTCCCTCAGTTGGACTTCTTACCCGCAGTTTACACTGCGCTCAAAGCTGACCAGGACAAGACTATGCAGCGATGCGAGCAGCAGCCAGACGAGTACACCAGCGCGTTGAATATGGCAGCGCCACTGCATGTCAGTGCAACCTGGGGCAGCATCTCGGAGCTGTTTGTCCATGTAAGTGTCCTGTTACACCGTTGTACTTGTCTCACTGACGCCGCTCCAGCTAGCCGAAAGCGCCACTCACCCATCGACAGCATTCCCGAAGCTGGACGATGAGCCCGTCGACCGCACGAACCTGTACCTTGCGCTGGCCGCGATTGTTAGCGTAGCGGCAGTGTCTATAGTGATTTTGAAGCGAAATCTGTCCGCTTCAGCGTAGACATGATGTTGGTTAGCAGGCCGGCAGGGACCCTGGATGATAGGAGTCGATACTCGTAGTGTGTAATATATAATAGCATGCCTCCAGCAATAGCTCACGGCATTATGTGCAAGGGGTGGGGTGCTCTGCCTCACTGCACGTGCAGCCTTTCGAGGCTTTGTGGCTATTTATCTCCACATGTGACTTGACGAATTGTTGCTATTTTTGCTGCATGCGGCGTCCTTTCTTCGACCCTCTTCAGGCTTGCCAAGTGCGCCACGCGAGGCTAGACGGTTGCTGGTGTGGATGGGTACATAAACGGCATCTGGGCGCTTCAACACACGGCGCTTAGATAGTAGACCTATGACAGTGCGGGTGATGTAGATGAGGCCGAGAGGGGCCTGGCCATAGACCATAGATGAGATAGGAGGTCCTGGAAGGAGGCCGCATAACGGGCATCAGCACTGAGGTCCGAATTGGAGAGGCTCGTGCAAGGATGAGCCTGAAGAGGGGTTGCTTGTGGTTGAGCAGGCTGGTGGTGAAGCTTACCTTGATTGCACCGCTCAGTCGCTTGTTCTGCGTGAAGCCAGTGGAGACTGACCACGCTGCTGGTCGAACAACATCACCAATACTGCTGCGATTGAAGAGCCCCCGTGCCAGACCCTCGCTCTCTCCCCACGGTCACTCGCGGTTTGAATCGTCCCGCCGCCGATGCTCCCGGGCGGCCTTAGCGAACGCGCCGAGCACCTTGCACATCGACCTCTCCTCCCCTGGCATGCAAGCAAAGGGTGCTCCTCTATTCTTATTCTCTCCACCACGAGCCCTTCGATGCTACACTCGACCGCTGCCCGGAGCCCCCCACATCTGCTGCGCCCTCGCTGTGGCAGCACCCTCGCCGTGAGGAATGCAGGTGAGCCCAACCCGCGACTGCGACCCACGCCGCCGTGATCTTCACCACCGCATCACCTCCCCCATTGCCCGCCGCATACCTGTCCACTTGCCCTAGGCCGGAAGCCACACCGCGCCGCTCCCCGTTCCTGCTGGCCCCTCTGTACAGTTCGGATGCTAACCCCACCTGCTTCTTCCCAGTCCACCACTCGAGCACGAGAGCTTGAGCTCATGTATCAGGCCAGGCGCGGCCATGCTCCGCAAATCTCCATCAGCGACGACAATCACCATGTCACCGAGGCCATCGGCGATCTGTACGGCGATGAGGATGACTACCTGCCCAAGCGCGACTCGCGTCCGCTGAGCTTCATATCCTCTCCCCTCGGCGAGTCCCTCGAGACCGCTCCCCCTTCATTCGACGCTGCCCGCAGCTCTCCACCGCGATCCCCGCTCAGCCGCACACAATCGAACGAGAGGACTCCCCCAGCGCAGGTCAATGGAAGGCCCAAGATGCTGTCCACCCGCACCTCCTCGTTTGGACGCGAGAACGACCCCAGCCCGCTCTCACCACCCCCTCTAAGCCGGACCAACTCGGACACCGCCAACCAACAGTTCCCCCTAAATGACATAGATTACGAGTCGAGTCCGGCCGCGGTGGCACAGGAGCTGAGTAATTTACAAGCGATTCGGCGGATGTCAATGGACGTGAATGCTTCGGACCCCGATCTTCCCTCGTTCTCCTCTGGTTTCAGCGTTCCATCAGTTGCACCCGCCAACTTCACCGACGATGAAGACCCATCGAAGTTATTTTGGGTTCCTGCAAGGCTACATCCTGAGTTGGCCCCGAAGGAGTTCAAGACATTTATTGAGGAAAAAGTCGATAAAATAAGGCGGAGGTCTGGTGGAGAGGATTCGCTGTCTCCAGATGGTGTAGGCCGTTCTGGATCAGGGTCAGGGTCAGGATCTTTGAAAAGAAAGAAGTCGATGCTGTCGCGGCAGATTGAAGGGCCAAATAATTACCGGGATGGGGCGGATAGATTGGAGAGAAAAAGATCTGAGAGGATACAGGGCGAAGGAAGCACGCCTTTGGCCGATTTGCAGGAGCTGGAACATCTGGTCGAGGATCCAAGCTCGATGATGCGCCGAATGAGCATTGACTCAGCAGCTCGTACATCTACCGACTCGGGTATTGAGCTCACGAGCGAGGACATGCCGATATTGCCACCAAAGTCAGCTGGCCAGCCAACATTGAAGAGATCGACAAGAACAAACTATCGACGTGGAAGTCTTCGAAAGGGGGAAAGGGTGCCATTCTCTAGACGGATGGCTGGACGACAGTCAGAAACTGATACGGAAGAGTCACCAGTATCTTCTCCAACGCACAACAAACACCCAGACCTGCCTACTATAGGACTCACCAGAGTTCAAACAGAGCCAATACATCTGCGGCCAGAAACTGTGGAGAACTTTTCACGCCCTGGCCGGAAACGATCGCCTCCCATAACACCACCTCTACGGAAATCTTCTGAAGATCAACCATTTCAGCAACCTCTCATCACGAAATCCATACCCGAGCAAGAACCAGAGCCGCAATCAAGAAAGTCCCTCCCAGCCAAATCTTTCCACTCCCGCATTGCGTCAAATGGCCGTACCACAGCACCGCTACCTGGCTACACACCTCAGTCCGTTCCTCAAATTATCGAAACGCCGCCTCCGCCCCAGGAACCGCAAAGGTCGTCGTCCTTGCAATTACCAGAAAGGAGTTCCTCCCGTGAAGCTCATCAGCCTCGCCCTATTCAATCTCAAGCGCCGCCGCCTCGTCAACCACCTCCACCGAGACAGCAACCTGCAAGGCCTCCTATGCATCGCACAGGAACCCCTCCTATCAAGACCGACAACCGCACAATTGAGGACATGGCCTCACATCCCTCTCCCCTGCCCGGAAACCAAAGCACACGCACCGATTCGTTATCCTTCATCCCGACGTTTTCTGATGAAAAAGAGAAGAAGTCTGACAAGAAATCGAGAGATAAGAAGGACGCCGAAGGTGGATCGAGGAAGACGAGTTGGGGATGGCTATTAGGAGGCGAAGATAAGCAGAAGGAGAGAGAACGGGAACAGAAAGAGAAGGAAGAAAAGGAGGCTGCAAAAAAGGCCAAGATCAAAGCTAGCAAGGTAGTGGACAAGTCTCATGATAATACCCGACTCGATGTACTCCAGTCTTCGATCGACGGATCGAAGGGAAGGGAAAGTATTGTTATCGACCGAGAAAGTCTCAAGCTAGAGGAAGAACGGAAAAAGGAGAGCACGCGGAAATCTGGAGGCGAAACTAAGAAAGAGAAAAGTGGAATTTTCTCTTCGTTGTTTGGTGGTGAGAAAAAGAAAACCGAGAAAGAAACATCACACAAGAAGGGGAGCTCGATGCGTGGTCTCTCGCCAGAACCACCGCCACGGATACTCAAGCCCGACATCGACTACAACTGGACGCGATTCTCGATCATGGAGGAGCGTGCTATCTACCGGATGGCGCACATCAAGCTTGCCAATCCTCGCCGCGAACTCTACTCACAGGTCCTGCTCAGCAACTTCATGTACTCGTACCTTGCCAAGGTCCAGCAGATGCACCCACAGATGCAGATTGGACAAAAGCAGCAGCAACGGCAAGCTCAGCAGCAGAAGAAGGACCAGCCTGAGGAGTTTTCACAGTATCAGCGGTATCAACAAGTACGACGACTCGAGACTCCACCCTTAATTTCTTTCATAGACTAACATCAAACAGCAGCAAGACCAAGCGGAAAACAAAAAGGCTCCAGGCGCTCAAGAGGATCAAGGCAACCAGGAGGTCCCCGAACACGATAGCCATGGCCAAGCTAGGCCCGACTCCCGCGCATCACAACATACCCAACGCTCTCAGCAATCTCAACACTCCCAGCACTCTCAGCACTCTCAACACTCTCAGCAAGCCGCCCAGCAATCCCACAGCAATTCAAACGGAAATTCTTACAGCGTCTCTAGCGGGCAGGACTATCTCGGTCAACCGCGCAACACCCCGCAAAGCAAGTCACCACCTCCGTCACAAACGCCGTATTACGGTGACGGCATGTTCGACGACGAGTCACCCTCGGAAGAGAACAAAATGTGGTGACCCTAGTGGTCTAGTCAGTTAGGTGGTATAATATCTAACTCTAATAAATCAATCAAATCAAATTATCTTCTACATTACAACAGAGACAGCTCTCATGTTCCCTTCCTCCAAGACCGAATATGTAAATGGCTCTTCTTCTTGGTCCTCTTTCCTTTCCTCTAGTTCTTGTTTCCAAGTGCTCAGAAACTCGTATCGTGTGCTTAGGACGGATAAGGCGTATTTTTGGAAGCAAGCTCGTTTGGGGCGGGGACACATACGCACTCATGAATGCATAGCGAGCGCTACTTTTTCCTTTTACTAGGGCTTTTACGTCTTCTTGTGTGCCCTTTGTGGGGAGCTGGCTGCTGAAGGCTGATTTTTTCTTTTTTTCTTGATGCTGTCGCTACTGCCCGGCTGTAGGCCCGGGACTTTGTTTCTCTGTACGATAATGTTTGGTTTTTCAACTTCCCCAATCGCTCCGTTCATAACCTCCCTCACCTCAATCAACACGGTTGGGTCTTCCACTTCTACTACTTCGGTCTGCTCTTGGACCTAGGGATCTTATAGGGGGTTCGATATGTGGGGCGTAAGAGCGGGATATGGGACTTTGTACAGATTGAGCGTTGACGGAAGACTTAGAAAAGAGACGGGCGGAGTAGGACTAGGAATGGATGGGATGGGATGGGTTGGCATGATCTATCTAGTCTAATGTATTTACCGTTTATGGATAAGGATAAAGGATGTGTTGATGACGTGCATGTGTGCGTGAAGGGGCAGGTGACTTCGGTGACTATCACGTGCGAGGTGAGGTGGGCGGGTATATCTTTCGTTACGGCCACAGGTTTGGATTGGCAGATTAGTTTGAGGTTCGCGATTCTGGTTAAAATCGTGGTATCCATCCATCCATGGGTGGAGTGGATCTAAAATCAACTCCGAACATCTGTATGGAGTGGTGCGGTCTTGGTGGCGGGATCGAAATCCTGGATGATCAAGTCGAATGGTGTCTGCGGTGGCATCGAGTTTTCTGTTCTCATAACCATTATCATCTCTTTACGCAAATTCTGCGACTCTTTAATCCTCTGTTCTTTATCTTCTCTTGATCTCTTATCGATCACCAAGCAATACCTGCCACCAGCAGCGCCTCCGTCAGCTATCCTTATGCTTCATCTTAACGCAATAATCCACATCATCATTATCTACATGCTGTCCTCCTCTCCAACTCCAACCCACTCTCCGCCCATCGCCAGATCCCACTGTCCTTTTTTGATCCGCCCCACACCATATTCCGAAAGTCCTGCGTCTGTTGATCCCCAATCCCCACCCATAAGCAAATCTTTCGCCTGCTGGTTCAGCCGCCACAGTCCCAGGGCCATGTTCGCTCACTGGCCCTCCTTTTGATTCCAACCAACGCACTATCGGGCACTGCCACTTGTTGGTTGCAAGCCGATCTGCTCATCGGGCGATGTGAGCCACGAAAATTCTTGTCTCCACCCCATGAAAACCCATCCTGGCACCTGTTTGACTGCCACCACCCTGCTGGGCCATGGGCCCTCTCTTTGCCACTGGTTGAGAGCCACAGACACTACTCATAGGGCATTTCCAACGGCGGCCTTTGGGGTAGGCGTTTGAGCTACCAGACGGCGCTACCCATAGGCTGTCTATGTAGGTAGGGTGACGACAAAACTGAAACAACAATGTGCACCCGACGCCCTTGCATACATGCAACTTTGCTATACACAAGGGATTTGGAACAGAAAGAGGCCTAGAGTTCATTTGGAATACCACGGCCGAAAGAGATGGAGCAAAAGACCGCGTATGTGTAGAGGAGCCGGACCAGAATCAAACATTATTGTACAAATTAGATATTGCGGAAGACTTAAACGGCTGTCCGTTCGCATTACTTTAACGTGTTCTACATGCATGTGGTGGTTACAAGCGAGTGGTGGCGCTTAATTTTTGGTGCGATTTGGACGTTTTGACACCCCAGCAACCTCAACAACTATAAAAGATTTGAATCTATAACTTAGAATAAAGATATGCATAGCTGTTTCAATATTATAAGACAAATTTTTAGGGTCTCTTGATGGCCACATTTAGTTATAGTAGAGTTTTGGCCCCCTAGCATTGGGTAAGATCTACGATATAATAGAATTACAGAGACACATCACTCCAAACTATTGCCTAGCCATTGAAATGAGCTAAATACTATATGCATTCATATAATCTTATTTAATACTTTATGGTTGTTGAGATTGCTGGGGTGTCAAAACGTCCAAATCGCACCAAAAATTAAGCGCCACCACTCGCTTGTAACCACCACATGCATGTAGAACACGTTATAGGGTAACGCTGAAGTAAGCAGAAAATGACGATATGTGCATAATGGTATAAGGTCCTACCTTCTTGCCAGGGCCGCCTGGGCAGAACTACGCTGAAATAGCGATCGGATTGTTGACATGGCTGCCAAAGGAAGGAAACGCTCGCATCAAACGCATGCTGGCTTTAACCTGAGCGAGCAGCTTTTGTTCGCCCTCCTGGACAGAGCGACTTGCAGGCTCTTCCACGAAAGCCGAATTTGCGGTGGATGGTAGATGCAGGGGAGGTTCGCTGGCCTTAAAAGGTGCACTGGCTCCAGTACCGTCGGCGATCTCTCAATCGGTTGATACTTCTCGACGTATTGCTCTGACATGAAAGCGAGGAAAGTATCTACGTCAGAGAACGTACTCATAGCACCCAAAGAGACGCGTACAACCCCAGGCATCTTTCCCCCGAGCAATTCTGGCGTAAGCGGTTTGCTATAGCGATGGCCAAGAGCAAATATCGCCTTCACATCTGAGGCAGTGAAGTTTTGGAAGGTCGCGATTCCTCCCGGATTGCACAGACCACTAGAACGGAGGTAGATGTTGTGTTCGTCTGCGAGTTTCTCAACGTCGGAGTAGGCTATGGGCATAACCAAAGAGTCCTGAACATTGAAAGCAACTGTGGCGCCTTGGGTTTTGGCATCGCCGTAGATTGCTTCTGGGTCCTTGTAAATCCGACAAACGGGTACACCATTAGCATGGGTGAGGGCGCTCATATGAGGAACTCACCACGCTGCTGGCTGGCTGAAGTAGAAGACGAGAGGCCGCACAGAGCAGCTGATGAAGGGGTTGAAAAACTTGAGGTGGCATGGAGAAAGTATACTTCCCCAAATTAATCCAGAACGCAAAGCGCAGCACATTGATTAGATATCATCGGAGTAAAAGCTCCCTGACGAGCAGATTTCCGCCCTCTGATAGCATCGTGAGGCACAGTACATCCAGAACAGACGCTAGATTAGCACGATTCTCCTACTGCTGCTATGGAGCGGCATATCGTTATTTGAGACCGCTCATTCGCGGGAGAATCTGCCGCTCATTCCCAGGTGCGGAGCTGCTCACGTGGTCAAAGATTCCCAGAAGCTGTTAATGAACAGCCTTTTTCCTATTGAAGCGATGGGTGACGCCAATTTGGGGAGCATAGCCAATTCGGGAGCAAGGCGGGCGCTTGGTATTGGAACATGTGGAGGCATCGACGACGTGGAGCTGAGCTGCTGCACTGCGATGCAAGGAGTCTGCGGGAAGATCATGATACGGCGCGGGAAGTAGATTCGCTAGCACGGAAATAAGAAGATAGAGTCTGGATGGTGAGATGTAAAGCGCGTTGCTTTTTAGCGGGAGGCGATGAGAATCTGGTTGGCTATCATGGACGTCTCATAGAAGCGGTCCACCGGGACGCAGCCGCCTGTGTGGGAACTGTCCAGCGACGTGTGCCTTGAACCGTGATGCTATCTCGACGAAGCAGAAGGCCTATGAGCTATTGCATGTACCGGCGACGGCTGGAAACTGCAGCAGGCAGTCTCGGGGTCCTCGGATTGTACACCAGCATGTCAATCCAGGCAGACAGTTCTTACAGGCTGGCTTTACGACGCGCAAAGCCTCTTAGGGCGGCATGGAGTGCTTGAGTCGAATGGCGGCATCCGAGCCCGGTTGTCAGAAGCCTGGACGCCTCCACCCCATACTCTTCAGTTTGTCCGGGGAATGTGTTGACTCAATGGCTCAATCCTGATCCCGTCAAGCTATCCACAATGTCAACAGACACATACTAGTGGTCAAGCGGCAACTGCTGGATAGGACGCCGAAATTCTGAAGCTAGGAGCTGCGATGCGTGCGCATCATAGTGGACGTCTCTTCTTCCAAATACAACGGGAAGGATCCGAGCTACTGTACCACCATTTTCAGTACACCAATTGGGGGTTGCTGCGCGCGGCTCGGGGAGGTGGTGATGGTGTTGAAGGGTGAGGTCGCCGAAGATGACCCCTGTGGGAACTCTGGGCCCGCTTGGTGGCTGACGCTTCTGTTCTAGAAAACACCATACCTAGGTATCCTCAACTCCTTTTCAGCCCTATCACAGGTCCATCATCAGTCCATCGTCAATCCATCCTTTGCATGCACCTTCAGCCCCGTCTTTTCTTCAACGCCGACTTATGGCACAAAGCTCGGCGTAATCGAATGTGATTTGCAGCATTAGCCGTTTCAGGTCCCCAAAGCCTTCCTCTGATGCTGCACGGGCCATTATGCATTGCTCGCATATTTTTCCATGGTTCAGCTGGGATCGATCGTGCTAGGTGCCATGCTGGCCTTGAAGTAAGTGGCACACTCATCAAGCACTCTGGTCGTATGTACAACTGTCTGCCACTGCTTGAAGTGCTTCAATGAGTTTCCACATGGCCCAAGATGAAGAGCTTCTATCTCGTTCAGGATCCTGAAAATGCATTGAAGCAACCCAAGCAGTGGCAGACAGGTGTACGCACGAGACAGCCTGTTCTATAATTAGAGTGCCACCTTTTTCATACCCTGCGTGGGCACATCCCCAAGAGGATTGACAATCTCGATCTTGATAAATAGTGTGGCTCCCGTTTCGCCGTTCCGGTGAGATCTCGAGATGGCATGGTGAAGTTGAGTGCGTCGCCGAATTCCCGTAGGCAAGTAGCATAGCACTCACCAGGCCATGAAGAGTGGGTTACACCACCACTAAGCACCCTCGATGACACCGACCCGCTACTAGGAGGGAGTGTCTGGCTGACTGCATGGTCGCCGTCTACGGTGTCTCTCGCCGACCCGGTTGGGAAGTATAGGCCGCTAAAGCAGTCTGACAGGCTTCATCAAGTACAAAATAGCTACAGAAATGTTACAGTTGCCCCGCAAATCTTCAGAATCTTTTTCCTGCTCTTTCACCTATTTTGACGTAGAGGCCCAAAACACTTAAAATAGCTTCATCAACTGAGGCCTAGTCTAGTCTTTTTCTGGCGACTGGCTTTCTCGGGAACACCTCTCGCTCTTCAATCAAGGCCTGCTGTAATTCATCCATTTCAATCATATTGCTGTGCTCTCGTACTTTTCTGTTAGATCCCCAACATGTCGGATATCCTTAGTACAGTAGATGTCGAGAAAAATGACAGAGGCAGCGATTATACCCATTTGACCAACAGCAGCATCCAGACCTTCGGATTTGAGGGCGTCACCGTTACCGTCAACGACCGGACGACGAAGCAACCGAAGGAAATTCTATCTGGCGTTAATGGCATGGTCGAAGCAGGTCAGTAATACTCATTGCTTAAAATCTTTCACCGCAGTCAGTATAACCCGGACGAACTGTACTTTTTTGCACGAAACAAGTCGAGTCCCTTCCAAAAAAGTCACTATCGACATCTCACACTCTGATGGTAGCACCTCAAGCAGCTGTAAGTAAGAGTCAAATCGTGCTATGAATTTCAAGTCTTTACTGGGCTAGATGCTGACCGTAAGAAGGGGAAATGCTGGCGCTGATGGGCCCGAGTGGCTCCGGAAAGACCACCCTACTCAACGTTCTGGCTCACCGCGAAGCTATGTCTAAGGCCACTGTACAAAAAAGATAGAAAGGGCTCTATATCAACGGCAAAGAAACAAAGTTGAAGGACTTCCAAAAGATCAGCTCCTACGTAGAGCAGGAGGATGCTCTGGTGGGATCTGATACCGTGAAGGAAACTCTATACTTTGCCGCAAAGCTGGCGCTTCCTAGGTCACTACGGGTACAGTACCAGCCCATAAGTCTGGGCAAACGTGTTTATCACTGCTTAGCTCCAAACGTGCTCGCTTGACGCTACTGTAAGGAGCAGCCCAGTGAGTACGTAGGCAGTTAGTCAAGAGGCAGTTTAATTTGCACTACTTCGAACCTGACACAGCGCATAGGCTTTTGGAAGTTCACGGGGGTACCCTAGGCAGTGGGAAACGCGTGTGCAGACTTCTGACCTGTCACTGTAGTTGCTCCAAACTCTTGTCGGACTCCTCTCTCCCAATATAATTCTGACTGTAGTAGTTCCATTATCAAGATCGAGCGGATAATGAAAATCATTGCACTCGTTACTGCATTCGGTCTTCAAGGCCAGGCAGAGACGATCATCGGAACACCGATCCAAAAAGGCCCAAGTGGCGGGCAGAAGCGGCGTGTCAGTGTTGCCAGCCAGCTAATTACGAGTCCAAAGCTGCTCTTCCTCGATGAACCTACGAGCGGCCTTGACTCCGCGGCCAACTACGAGGTCATATCTTTGGTGAAGGCCCTCGCCAAAAAGCGCAATATAGGGCTCTATCTCAACAAATTCTATATCCAAGCCCACGTTAATGTTGATCGCAGCTTCTTGTCATTGTAAGCATTCATCAGCCCTCCACGACGACGTTTGAGCTCTTCGACAAGCTACTTCTCCTGTCAAGAGGAGACACTACTTACAATGGCTCCGTAGCCGGCGTCCGCGACTACTCTCAGTCTCAGGGCCACGCAATGCCTCTGTATATGAACCCTGCCGAGTTTGCCATTGACCTAGTCAATACCGACTTCTCACGCCATCAGGACAAAACTCTCAACAATTGGAGGATCTCGTAGCTGGCTGGTCAAAGTCTGAGGCTGCCAGAATCGTGGTAAAGGTCGAATCCGCAATCAACGCCCAGCCTTCGAATAGTCATGGAGTAGAACGTAGCAGAGAGCTATTCTATATTCTAGTTCTATAAGGTGGGTTCTTTTGTATGTCATCTACACCGGCGCTTCTCAGTAAATGAAATCGAGACACCCAAAGTTTCCTCTCTGGAGAATTAGATGTGTGCCTTGATGTACAGATACCTAACCAATCTTGATCTTTCTGCGATCCATAAAAAGCGATAGGCAGAGACAAAAGCAGCCGGAGGCTATCGACGTGATGAAAACACGACTGATCGCGTACACAATAGCTGCTAGGACTTCCTGTTGCTGAGTGGAATTGAGTGTTTCCAATAGAGCGCTCCCCGCGCCTGAAGTTAGACTCTGAATTTGTGCGATGCCTAGAGTAGGAAACAGATCGCGAATCCTATTTTCGGCCAAGTTCAGAAAGATGGCGTTCGCGATGGACAGGGCGATAGCGAGTCCTCCTCCACGAGCACACATAATGAATCCAACGGCGCTCGATATCTCCTCGGGTGGAGCAAGCCACTGTGCAACAGCAAATGGAGCATTTAGAAACATGCCCGTGCCGATTCCGTTGAGCACCATCGCTCCGTAAATAAATCCATTTGAAGTAGGTAGATCGATAGTGTAGAGCATGCTGTTGGCGGCGATCACGAGGGCAGAACCGGTGGCGTACCATGGCATGCTGTATCCTGATCGCGCCATGAGGTGGCCGTTTAACATAGTGAACGTCGCCAGTGAGCCGATGAACGGTAATAACCGTACCCCTGCGAGGAGAGAGCTGCTGTGTTGCACGAACTGAAAGTATAGCGGGATGAAGTAGATCGTCACAAAGGACGACGTTCCCGCAGAGGCTCCCACCAAGAACTGTATCAAAAGGCCCCTGTTTTTGAGGAAATGAACCGGGAACATTCTGTTCTGCCAGTTTGACCAAACTTGGTGAATGCATAGCGCCATGAACAGAACGCCCGAGATGCAGAACAGAGCTATGTCTTGGACGCTGTTCCACGCAAAGGTTGTGCCGCCAAATGAGATGGCCATGAGTCCAGAGACATACACACCGATGACGAGAGTGTTTCCTATCCAGTCAACAGCTTTCATCCTGTCCCAAAACTTCACACCCGGTCGGAGATCACGGGACGGAAGCAAGAAGAAATACGCTGGAGAAAAGGCGCCTCCAATGCAAAGATTGATATAAAAGGCCCATCTCCAGGTTGTTGATGCATTGTCGGCAAAGGCTCCTCCAATGACAGGTCCTAGGCTGTAGCAAAGATGTCATGGTCAGTAATTATATCCGTCCTTGACTCTCCGAGAAAGGGGCACGGCACTCACACTGTGCCAAAACCAAATACCACGCCGATGATGCCGATATACTTTGCTCGTTCAAGAGGTGTAGTGAACAGGGACAGCATCATCATCACTCCCAAGTACATTCCTCCGCCGCCAAGGCCAGCCAGAGCACGTCCGATAATGAGTGCATTCATGCTAGGCGCCGCCCCGCACACGGTTGAACCGATCTCGAAAATCGCTACGCAGAGCACGTAGATCCACTTTGGATTAAATTGGCCATATATTCGTCCCCTGAGAATATGAGTGATTTGTTTGAAGGAACTTGGCTGTAGAATTCGTGCAAAAGCTTACCAGAACAGATTAGTGCTTGCATTTCCGAGGAGAAATGACACCGATAGCCAAGGCAATTTATCGATCGAACCGAACTCGGCGATGATGTTTGGCTGAACATCAGCGACAATCGTCTGGTCCAGAGCGAATAAGAACACGCTTGATAATATGGCAGTCACTATAACGTATATTATTAGGAACCAGATCGAACTTGGATTTATGGAATCGATAATCCTATTTGAGCTTACCAGCGAACACCCACTTAATGCCATGTATATCCCGTGGGGGAGGAGCAGATGATGCTGGGGGCAACGGTTGTATGCGGTCCGACGGCGACTGTACGGATTGGTTCGTGCTCACTACGTTGTTTGGCGGCCGCTCCTCGTCGGGATAAATCTCTGGGCCTCGAGAGCTTTGTCGAGAATCAATCCAGCCATTCGCGGCTATTCGAGGCTGCAGTTCGATATGTGTAACACTGGTTTGCGACATTATGTTGAACTGGGATAAGGCGGATGTTAGAGCGTGAGAGGTGTTCGAGAGTAAGCAAAAGCACTCTCCGCGGGCAGAGCGCTCATATGATATTCGAATGCAATTCGTCTGTTGGCTTTAATCGGCCAATAAGGCGCAACGCAATCCCCTGGCCGATAAGTATATCCATTTTCGTGTTAATCCCAGCTAACAGCGGTTAACTCCGTCGCAAATTTTAGTGGGGGTTGTAATAGATGGGTCTGTAAGCACATACGCGCGAAAGTACGGAATAGAGGCCACCCTAGAAAACTTCGTTTTATTGATAGCTTCCGTTAAACCACGCAATCTCCTCTATTCCTATAGTAGTACTCGCTAGTCCTGTAGTAGTATTCTGTTGTCGTTGTTGCTAGCTAAGGACCTCCCCAAAAAGGGGCCGATTGCTATTACAGAGCTTGGCGATTACTACTATAGGACTAGCTATATAGCGGAGATTAGGGAGACTATTTCCGAGACTTGAATCTTCCAATTCAAGGCGGCCTCTGGTTTCGCACACAGCTGCAATAGACCCCGCCTGCTATGATAAGGAAGAGGAGCCCCTGCCTCAGGGCCTAGTGCGAGGTCTTCCCTGGTGATCTTTTCCCCTAATGACTGTCACGCCCGTCTCGTCATCCTTTGTATATGCATGCAGGTGAGGAGATACTGGTAGACGCGGCGGAGCCCTTTTCACCACATTCGCATAGGATTAATGCTAGTCTACCCAACCTCCTGCCACAGGCTCGCCAAAAACCTCCACTCTCCTCACAAACCAACGAAGTTCACCACCCACCACCTTAAAACCTCCATCATTATCCTCGACCTTCGCGAAGTAGTAGCACACAGACGCACTGAACACCATCATCACCTCCCTGCCACCCACCCCCTCCACTCCATGAATACGTCTCGATCCTTGATGTTTTACTCCCAACATTGCCACCAACATTTCCACCTTCAAAAAAAGATGGAGGAGTAAGCTTCCTCGTTTGTGAGGAAGAGGAAGAGAATTGAAGAGGATCTTTTATTCACGAAACACGTGATCGTCGGGTGATGAGAAGGGAAGGCTGACTTATGCCTGGCGCACAGAGGATGAATAGCTTGCATTTTTTGCGAAATCAGGGAGAAAGAACCTGTATATCATCTCTTCAGATTCCTCGTCCTCCAAAAGTACCTACGGGCTGAGGACGACCAAACAATCCCCTTTGCCCATCCATCTGCTAGACTCCCTACAACACTACAAAGCCTCTCCTTCCTCACTCGCCCTCATTCCCAACCCCAATCAGCTCCGCCGCCAACTCCGCAAACGCGTAAACCGTCGCCTGCGGCATCGCTCCCACAGCCTCCGGAAACACGCTCGCATCGCACACCCTCAGCCCCCTGACCCCTTTGACCCGAAACTCAGCATCTAGCACCGTCCCCAGCGCCGCCGTGCCCTGCGGGTGATAGATAGTCCCACAAAACCTCCGGATCCTTGCATCGATCTCCTCGTCGTTGGAGCGGGACGTCAGTGCCGGAAACCCATCTGGTGGCGTTTCCGCGATTAATTCGCTGGCTAGAGGTCCGGTCTCCGCGAGCTCCAAGTTGCGGCGCACGGCGGCGCGGAAGGTGTAGCGGTCTGCGGCGGTGGAGAGGTAGTTTGGGTCTATGACAGGGTGGGCGGTTGGGTCGGTGGAGGGGAGCGTGATCGTGCCACGGGAGGTGGGGAGGAGGAGAAAGGATATGAGGCTGATGTGGGTACCATCTAGGGGCCGGCCAAGCTGGGCGCTGTAATTCGGTTGGTCGATTAAGGGGAAGTAGAAAACTACGGAGAGGTGGTGGCAGCGTTTGGGGCGGAGATGCGGGTGGGAAGCGTCAATGGAAGGGTCGTCGGCTGCGAGGGCGGCTTGGAGGTCAGGGGTTGGGAGGGTTTGGAAGGCGAGGAAGTCTGATGGCGCGCCTTGGCCGTACTCGGGCTTTGCGGTGCCGGTGAAGGGGAGGGCGAAGCCTTTCTCTGGGTGGCGGAGGCGGTAGTATTGCTTGAGGGAGTTGTGGTCGAACAGGTTACGGCCGACTTCAGGGGAGTCCACGATTTGGGGGACGGAGTGTTTGGATAGCTCGGATGCTGGACCAATTCCGGAGAGCATTAGCAGTTGAGGGGTCTTGTACGCGCCACAACTGATAATGACTTCACGGCGAGCATGTAGCTGGTTGCCGTTGAGCAGTTGAATGCCTGTCGCCCTACCGTCCTGGAATAAAATTCTTCTAACGAACGTGGAATCCATCACGTGTACTCTGGAGAGGTCGTATACCCGCGCGCTATGCTGTCTTGTTGAATCAGAGCTCGATGTTACTCGAAAGTTTTGGCAGAGATCTGAAAGGCCGGTCGGATCGCCATCAAAAGGGTCCGGATTGATGTCAACTCCCCTAGCGACGAATGATTCTTGCAATATTTTACGCATGGGATACTGCCGGCCAGCGGCCGTGTGGATCGGTCCGTCGAAGCCATGGTATTTGCGACTGGCTGTGGTATCCCAGAAGCGCTCCGTCCGTTTGAAGTAAGGCAAAAGCCCTTCGAACGTGAACCTAGCATGGCCCGCTTTTTCCGCTATTACCTCATAATCTGTCCTTGATGCTCTTGTCCAGACTCCAATGTTGACCGCGCTAGATCCAGAGACGGTACGACCAGCAAACTGGGTCATGTTTCGGTCGTCGCAGTGGCTCTGGGGGACGCTTGAGTAGTCTAAAACAATGCCATCTTCTATAAGTTCAAGAAGGCTTTTCCGATCCGTGACATGCGGATTGAAGACGTCGTTTGAGCCTGCTTCGATAAGGGCAACGCTGAACTTTTGGCTAAGGCGGGATGCTATCACAACACCTGCTGTTCCCCCTCCGACGACAATGAAATCGAACTTCGTTTCGTCGGACATGATGATTGAGATATTGAGTGAATACAGAAAAGGTGAAGACACGACTCTAATTTATACCACAGAAAAAGGCGTACTAAAACTGTTAGTAAGACCAAATTTGGAAGAGAGCTCGTAGGTTAGGAACGAGGCGTCCAAGGCGTCCCATCTGAAATATACATGTCGCTCGCATCAGAGCGCATTATCCCGTTTAGAGCTATTGACCCCTTCGTCGGTACGAGCCTTGTAAGCCCTAACCTTTAGGTCTTCCCGGCATTGGCTCCTATAAGTTCCCCTGGGCAGTCTTGTACTCTCCCTCTGCTATCATTGGGTTAGTTGTATGATGTTAATGTTAAAGCTAATCATCTAGCAAGCATTTCTTTAGTGCCGACGGATGGCTCGGATCGAAGATCCATTCTGTACAGTAAGAAAGTAACCTCCATCCTTTTCCAAAGGATTGCTGATTCTGTTTACACTACCTAATCAGGCCTGAATGTTAGACTTCGGATCTAGGATTCGTGCAAGATGTAGGAAGGAGAAGAGTGGAATTGGATCTGAGTTGTCCCTTAGCTATTTTCGGCAAGCTTGGGACGACGCCATGATATACCTATCTCTAGGCTAAATTACCCTTTGTACATGTTCGTGTTCTTTACCTAAGCACTGCTAGTGGCAAACATATGAGTATTGTTAAACGAAGGGAAAGGATGTGTAGATAGCCGCTATCATTCACGGTCCCGGCCCTGGTCCCGTTCACACCGGAGCATCTCCTCCCCTTCCGAGCACCCATGGCAAACCCAATCACTTCCGAGGTGAACGCTTATCATGCTATCAATCGCTCAATCCAGAGTCAGATTCATTCGAATTCGGCCTCTATATACGCGGTTCCCTTTCGCCGCTAGAGCCATCCCATCCGCAATGCGACATTTCATGAATCATAGAATCATTTACAGCCATGTCAGAATCCAAAGCCTCTAGTCCCTGAACTCATCCATGAACTCCTTGTGGAACTTGACGATCCTACCCACCCAGTCCGTGCCGGGTGCTAGGAAAGTCGTCCTGAAATGCAGCGTGCCCTCCTTCTGGCCGAAGCCGGAGCCCGCGACGACGCAGACACCTGTGGCGTCGAGTAGGCGGAAGCAGTAAAACTCATCGGGTGCGCGGCCTTCCTTCTTGGCTTGGGCGATGGCTTTGGCGGGGATGGTGATGGTGGGGAAGAGGTACATGGAGCCCTTCATACATGGTTAGTCCGAGAAATTCGAATAGAACGGTTGGGTATCAACTTACAGCAGGAGTGTTGCAGCTCACACCCTCCATTTGCTTGAAAGCATCATAGAGTGCATGCGCTCTCTTCTTGAGGCCCTCAAAGATACCATCATATTCCTGCTTATACAGCTCGTAGCTCGGCTCGCCCTCCTTGGGCGGGTTCACCATCATTTCGACGATGCACTGGCCCATGACCGGCGGGCACAGCTGAATACTGATGAACTTGTAGATCTCGGCCGCGACCTTCTCGTCGAAGCCGATGAGCTCGAAGTAGCCGCCACGGTGTCCGCATTCGCCGACCATGCCCTTCGACACGCTGTGCAACGACGCAAGCTCGATGTTGTCGAACTTCTTGGGAACCTCTTTTTGCAGATCACGAAGAGCTTTCTTGAAAGAGATAAACTCGCCCTGGAAAACGTTGGTCTGGTAGACCTCGTCGGCCATGACCACTAGCTTCTTTTCGGCGGCGAACTCCAACACCGATCGGATATCTTCGGCTGGCAGACTGGCGCCCGTGGGGTTGCCCGGGTTGATGATGACGATGGCCTTCACATCAGTCCCCTCAGCGACGGCCTTATCGTACGCGCTCTTGATCTCGCCGAGATTAGTGCCCCATGCCTGGCTCTCGTCGAGGTAATATGGGACCACACGCGCATCTAAGACGGCTAGTGTAGCAGTGTACAGAGGGTATTGGGGAATTGGAACGAGGATGCCGGTCTCGGGCTTGGAGCTGATGATATGAAGGAGGGTGTTGACGCCTGAAGAAGCGCCGGCACTGAGGTAGATATGGTCAGCTTCAGCTGGGTATCCGTCTCGTCCTGCAATACGATGTAAGTATGTCCAATCTCCAATATGACATGCCAGACGTACGCTCAATGAACTTGGCAACGCTCTCTCGGATGGCCGGAGCACCATGGCTCTGGCTGTATGCTCCCACGCTTTTGACGGCCGCAAGCAGCTTCTTAGCCCTCGCAACCACATCCGGTTTGTATCCCAGACCGCTTGTCAACACTTCCTCCTTCTCGAGGAGCTCCGGGTTCTCCATGATACTGGCGACCTGTCGGAAGAAGGTGATGGGCTTCTGGTCCAATTGCTGCGGGTTTCCGATGTTTGCAGCAATGACAGTATCAAAGGGCAGATCCTTGCCCTCGCCCTTGGCCAGCTTGGCTCGGTATTCCTCTGACCTCACGGCCAATTCGCCGCGGACGGCATACTTCGCGGTCTTGACATGGGGATTGATATTCTCATACGAGAGGGCGCGGACGGCGGTGGCAGACATATTGCGAGACTGTATGTTCAATCCCCACGAAATACGAGGAGGAAGTAGGAGGACAGGTCTGGCGTGCGAGTCTAGAGCAAACCGCAGCGTTTAGTATATCTCTCCCAAGTGTTGCTTTTTCTCTGCGCTGGTGTTGAGGCAATATTTTTTTTCCCGCGCGGACGGAACGCGTGCCCCGCTATGCTTTTCTCTAGGGTGGGAGGGGGTTTTCGGGGAGAGACGGGGGGGATTTGCTGAATATAATATTTACCTCGTACTCCCACGTGGAGGGTCCAGACTGGCTTTGGTGATGCATTGATATTGAGGTAGTGGCGGCCGGTTTGTTTGTATGACTCGATCGCTCTGGTCGATGAGCGCATGGACGCGACTATCTTATCGCCTGGCGCCATCTCCCCACCCTGCTGCTTCTCCGCGAAATGTGGTGGAGTGATCGTATGGGGATCAGGACATGATGATGGAGTAACGGAGGGTTGCTGAGATGGATAGATCTCACTAGGAGAATGGCGGTGTCCGATTTGCGCACCTACCTCAGATTAAAGTTGCGGTAAGCAAACGGTGAGGTGCTGCATATCCCCACCCCGACAGCGGAGACATCCGTAGTTGTACAGAGTCATGTACCTGGGTATATAAGTGGTGCTTTCAAATAGATCAAGAGCTTGTGTAGACCAAGAGCACATCTTGAGGGAGTCATGAGAAGCTTCATTGCTAGACTCGGGGTCGTAGCGCGTGGATGCGTTGTTGGTCTATGTCTACATTATACAAGCTCACTTGCATGCTCCATGATCCACATTGTAGCCAATTGCCGGCCTAACCCCTCTCACTTCCTCTTAGCCGGACCGCCTGTCCGTATTTCTGGAGCTTCGTGATGAGCTGGTCGCCCTGCTTGACCACGTCTGAGTATTGCTTGTTCTTGTCGTCTGGTCTGTTCGTCTCGATGATGCCCTTGACGCGATCGATGGTGCAGGGTATCCTGTCTGCTGCAATGAACTTGGCAAGATCCCTTTTGCACAATTAGCGGACGAAAATAAAAGATGAACATACGAAGTGGAACGTACCTGTCCAGGAAATCGATTGTCACTCCGAAGTCATTGGCCATGCTGGTCAGGCCAACCACTCTGTAGCTCTGGAGAAGCTGTTGATAGCCTCGTAGTCGCATCTCCCGCACAAACCAACTCTTATGCTCGTACAGGTATCGGTCCTGGCTGAGGAACGCATCCTCGACCGATGCCAGAGCTCCGAAGAAGTCTTTGTAGTTTCCGTTGTAGAGACTGCTAACCAATGTGGCGAGCCCCGTGAAATCGACGGGCGCTTCAGCATCTTGTTGCTCTGCCTCCGACTGGCCGATGGTGGTCAGATTGACAGCTGCGTGCGGGATTGCAGAAGAAGCAGGCCCATCTTGCATCTCCTCATCGCCAGCACCTGCGCCTGCGGACGTCTTTCCAGAAAGCGCAGATGATTTTTCATCCCCATCACCCAGGATTGCCTTGATCTCTGGCGCATCGACAACCTTCGACTTGAAGTCGACTCGTTTCAATGACACGGCACCAGCAAGGACGGCGTAAACGACTAGCGCGGAGTAGTTGCATAGCTCGTAGCTGGTAAATGTAGATAGACTGTCGAGAAGAAGGGGTGCGGCTTGAGCATGTGATCGAATGGTGAGCAGGTGCAGCCCTTGGTATGCCTTTAGGCGATTTCGACGATCCCAGTCACCACCACTCTCCACCAGTGTCCCGGCGCGTTCTACAGTCTTCTTGACGAGTATCTTGTCCCCGAAGAACAGACCGATGCGTATTATTGCGAGCACGATGTCGATCTTGGTGCCTAGAATGCCGGTCTTCTCGAACACAGCTTCGTATGCTGCAATAGCTTTCTCCTGGAACAGAAGACCCGATTAGCGTTTACTCACATAGAAAATTCCAGTGATTGTCTTACCTTGTCTCCGATGCGCGTGTAGTATTCTGCCCGCTTTCCTCGAGCTGTTTGCACTTCCGTCTCCCCAGCCTTCTCTGCCGCCTCATCCTCCTCCTTCTGGATAGTCTCAAGCTCCTTCTCGTTGTCGGCCTTCAACTCATCGTATAGCTTCTCGTCCCATGGCAGGTTGACCTCGAGAGTAGGATTCTTCGTTGCGAGAAAGGTAGCGGCGCTGGACGAGGGTCTTCGGTGGCCAGCGGGCTGTGACGCGGTGCCTTCCCCCGTTGCGTTCAGGATGCCTTCTACAGGGTGAGCCAGATGCCTGTAGAGAGGCGCCATTTTGTGTTCTCGGATGGCATCTTGGAGGGACTTGAGCGAAGCTTGCTTGCTGGCTTTCGGGGAGGATGGATTGGTGAGCTGGAAGACGTGTTGAGAGAGCTGGAGGTTGGGGTACTTGGCAAACTGGGGGTCGCCCATGTTGAAACGCTTGACAAGGTAGAGGAGGAGGTAGATAGAGTGAGTTGGATGGAGGGGATGTCTATGTGGCCTTGGTGTTGGGGCGTGGTGTTGATGCTGGAGCTCTTGCGTCGGTGGTCGGCGGTCACTGTGGAAAAGTCTTGGCATGCACAATGCACAAATTTGTGCATGTTGCTGGAATTAAATCAAATTCTATCTGATGACCTCAGAAGGGATAGAGAGAGGCCTCGTTGAATGCAAACATGTAACCAAAGGGATACAGTACTGCTCCACTTCACTTGTTTCTCGCTCTAGAATTGTCCACGTAGGCGCTTGAAAACCCGAATAAACGAATTCAGCATCACTGTATATACATCATCCAAGAATTACGCCCATGTTATAAGTCTACGGTGATTAAGCCTCTGAAAGTACGCTGGTCTAGCGCGGTACTAAGACATAAGGTTGGGCCCTCTTTGCAACTGCTTGGGGTACCCCGACAGGCTTTGGAAATCTGAATACGATGTAAACGTCAACGCAGTCGAAATCAGACTACCTGTTGACTAAGTGAAGACATGTTACCTAGGGTACTCCTCACAGCGGTATCGAGAGAGCAAGAGTGAAGCCAGAGCGGTGGCATATCTGTGTGCTGAAGCTCATGATATCCGTACACTTTCCTACCACTGTCTGTAGGGCTCCAACGTACTACCAGAAACCGGGGGCAGCGGATATACTTGCAATCTGCTTACACCCTGTTGACGCTGTCTAAGGTGGCCCCATGAGCTTACTAATTGTACAATATGCCGTACTTCTCTCTCATTCGGAATGTTGAAGCTCCTCATGCAGCGGTAAACGAGTGTACGGATTTCTGACAAGGCATTGTAAAGGTCAACGCAGTGAATATTAGACCACCTTTTGACGAACTAAAGACGTGCTACCTAGGGCACTCCTTACAGCGGTGTCGAGAGAGCAAGAGTGAAGCCAGAGCAGTGGTACATCCGTGTGCCTAAACTTATGACCTAGTAGTATAGGAATGTAATACTTTCGTCACGACCAGCTATACTTTCACATATTGGCCTCCTTAAATCCTATCATGTTGCATTTGGAGCTTGATCTCCTTTTGATGAGGCGGCGTTCCCTGTGGCCAGCAACTCTGCTTGGCGGCCTAAAATTGTTACTTTTTGTATCATTTGTGGAAATGAGTACGAACCATCATTGTAGAAGATGACCGGGGCGACTAGTTCAGGTAAATGCAGATATACGAGTTTATCTAGCTCCTGGCCTAAAGCAAAAGCTTTGAGATTACTCTTGACTGTGCTAGTAGGCTCATCGCCTTGCTCGTTGGGGTCAAAAATCTTGGATGCTTCACGAACGGCCTTAAAGGTAGTCTTGTTCTTGACCTTCTGCCAAAACGTCTCCAAGCCGTACCAGAAGTCAATCTTGGCTTCGATATCGAAGTGCACCTTGAACCTCGCGTCTCCAATACGTCTGAGGACCACGGCAACGGTAAACGTGTCTGGTAATGACTCTTCTTTCTCGTTCTCGGTAAATGTCCATTCAACGACATCTTCGCCACCTCGACCACCACCTCTGCTGTGTGTCTTGTATGCCTGCGCGGATATCGTTGCTTTCCTCATTTGGTCCCATTCCTCTCCTTTCGTCTTGCCTGCCGTGAGAGCCAAGCTAAGTGGCACAGGGTCTTGCTGAACCCCCAAAGAGGCCTCTTTATTGGTTTCTACCGTTTTATGTACCAGGGTCGGGAGGAGATATATGACACCTTGCTGTGCCGGCGCGAACGATTTGACGAACGGGTCTTGCGCCGGCTGTTGCAGAGGCTCAGTCTCAAAGCGTAGTGCAACCTTGAAGTGTCGAAAGCGTCGGTGCTGACCCGCATCAGTCTTCCGGAGTTCGAATTGGAGGCCAAGGAGGGTTGCTGGATCAGAGTTGTCGGTATACGTGCCGTGTACCAGACACTTCTGGCGCACGGTAATACGGAACTTTGAGGCCTCGTGTTCGTGGAGGGCAGTGAGCAACTCTTCACGCGCGGTACCCGTCAGGCTGGGGTCTTCGTATAGCTCCAATTCGAGATCTGTAGCTTGTTTCTTGCTCGGCTGAAGGTTGCTTGTCAGCGCGTTGAACTCATCGAAAGCGTCCATGTTGACTGTGATGTAACAACGTTGTGTTAGAAGAGAGAGTACTTATACTGATCGGCTCTGTATCTACGCGGGCGTTGAGCAGCTTGAGGGCGGCCTCTTGCCTTGCTTTTCGTGAGGCTGGGGCTCCGCTCCGCCTCCTGATACCACGCCATGTCGGAAACAGATAGGTGCATGAGGCTGGATGTGGAGAGCGGCTGGAGCCCATTGCCCTCCTCGTTCAGCATTGCCATGCGCAACCTACAATCGATGTTCCATCCGTGAAAAGAACTGACCGCAGGGATGAGTGTCTCTGTCGCGGAGGCGACGAAGGCGATTGGGCGCAGGGAGGAGGCAGAAGTTGCTGAACTCTTACAAAAGCTTAGCGTTGAGGTCGGTACCCGTCTCGTGGCACAAGCCTGACCTCCAGGCAGGCCGCACACTTATTGACATCAACACCACTAGGAACCACGTCAGGGGCCAGAAGACTATATACGGTTACTTAAAGACCCGGATAACGAGCTAATTAGGCACGTTTTGCTCTCGGAGCTCCAGGAGAAGGATTGGGCCTCTGAGTGCTTCGATTCGGCTCTCCTGGCCAAATACAAAGCCTTCAAGGCCAATCGTGAAGAAGAAGAGGCATTCAAGGCTACGCGCAAAGGAGAAGAAATTTCAAAAACAAGCCGAAAAGAGGAAGAAGCGGAAGAAGCGGAAGAAGCGTTCAAACCCAGTCGTAAAGAGGAAGAGGACATATATCTACGAATCAGCCAGGACATCTTGCGCGAAAATACAAGCATTGTGAAAAAGGGCGACCGCGACAGCTTGGATGGCAAGAATGTCTTACACCGTGTTGCCGACTCGTGGTGTCCCGAGCTGGTTCGACAGGTCTTGCTCATCGTTGAACAGCAGAACCCCAATAAGCAAGACCGCTATGATTTTGTCAGTAAAAAGGACACCGACGACAAAACGCCTTTGGTGTATGCAATACGCAACGCCGATTTCGAGACAGTTCGAATTCTCATCGATTACGAGCCGGCGCTCTTACGGGTACGGTTTGGCTCATCCGCTGACACGCCCTTACACCAGGCAATTCTACTTTTCCGCCAAGGGAAATCCGACGACTATTTCAAGATATTGCACCTTATTGTCGAGGTTGATCCATCCACTTTGTGTATTCCGAACAAGAATAACTGTCCACCGTACCGTTACGCAAGCGATATGAGAATCCCCCATGAAGACCCCCAGGATCCACAGAGACTGAGAGCCCGTCTATTAAACAATCTAAAGGCCCTTATTTTCCGAAGCCATCGGGACGTGGGGTCATTGGAATTGGCGCTCTACAAAGATGGAGGTATGTCTTTGAAGCGTGTTGTGAGTGCGCAATGAGCGGAAGACTAACGCATGTTCTAGATAAGCGTAAGGCATCTGAACTTCTATGATGACCCCAGGTGCTAAAGTTTGAACAGGCAAGCTTCTTGAACTGGATTTGTCAGACTTCGACGTTCTCGGCAGTGAAGCGCAGAGATGCGATTTTACGCATTTCGTGAAAAACTTCAGTCGTCCAAGCGAGGGACTCGACTTTGAGAGCACGCTTGCGAGCGTACAACTACCTGACATTTCCCAGGCACGGGACCGAAAATTGCACCAGGAAGTTATTGATTTGCTCACGAAACTAAGGCGCCCTTTCGGCGTTGAGAAAATCGTTAGCCTCACGGTTTGGGATAATCCGTTCCATCCTATGAGTGACCTTGTTATTGCTGAATCTGTTCGGCTATACCAAATTGAAGAATTGAACTGGTGTAAACTAGATTTAGACCTTGACGTCCTGAAGAATCGTGCTACCTCTTTGAGAAAGTTGTGCTTATACTCGAGCGGAAATTGGGGCATCCTCTACCACTGGCTTAGCCCAGAAGGACTGGCATCTACTGAGCACTTTCGCAATGTAGGTAACGACCTTTCTTCGACCCCTATAAGGCCCGCCACAAAATCTGGGCCGTTTTTCTTCTATGCCTCTTTACTGTGCGTGATCATAGACAACCGCGCGCTATTCTGCCACCGCTTGTAGTGCCTCATAGTGTTTTCAGAAATCCAAGGCAGTAGACCACACTTCCAATCTGTGTACACTCCTCTGCCGCTGCTTGGGGTGGCTTTACGGGGGTTTCAGTTGTTCAAAAGACAGGACTTCCCTCTGAACCAGGAGCCTGAAAACATTATGAAACACCACAAGCGGTGGCAGAGAAGTTTGCAGATATCTGTGACGAAAAACAGTACTAACGAGACATCTAGTTGGAGGAAGTATGTGTCAGTATTGTCAACACCGAAGTGAGTTCTTCCGTATCAATAGCTGTGTTGTGCAACTGCATACTAAAAAATTTGTTTAGGGAGACAGAGCCAGCGATGCCCACCTTACTAGATTGGAACATCTTGCAGAGAGAACCAGGAGAATATATGGCCGGTCCGGGTCCCGGAGTATCAAATTCGTGGTGACTGTCGATCTACCACATCGACTAGAGTCATCTACAATACCTGTAGAGAACGAAGGCTCTAGCGACCGGTAAATCATCTCTGCAGAGTAATCTATGCGATTCGTGCTAACCTCCACCTCTAGATTCTTCAGGTCGTTCTCTACCATACACAAGACGCTAGACAGCCCCCAAACGCAAAACCTGAGCCGCTCCTGTCAACCTGCCAATCGAATCAAAATCGCCATCATCGACAATGGAGTCGACAAATGGCAGACCACTATCTCCGAGAATATAAAGAAAGGAATCTCCTACATGAGCAAAACCCATGGCCACACCCTCCCATGGTTCACTGCCTCCCACGCACACGGAACGCATATGGCTTCGCTCATCCGCAAAGTGAGCCCCATATGTGACTTGTACATCTATCGCGTGAACTCGCACCGAGGGGACATCAATGCCGAGAACGTCATCAAGGCTATTAAAGACGCTAGCAGGGAGAAAGTAGACATTGTCAATCTTTCTCTAACTTTCGACAAAAACCCCCCGGGCCTGGAAGATGCTATCAACGCCGCTGCTACACGTGAAAAGGACAAGGCACTCTTCTTTTGTGCAACTTCCGACGAGCCACACCATTCCGGCAAGGTGTACCCCGCGCACTCCCCGAATACCATCTCCGTCTCTGCGGCTAATCGCGGTGGTCGACGGCGTATGGAGTCAAAAGGTGACGTCGACTTACTGGTGCTCGGTGAGAACATGGCAGTAGAAGGGCCGACATACTTCACGAAACCACAAGGCGTGGCGTCCGGGTCATCAGTTGCCACAGCGCTGGCCTCCGGGATTGCGTCCGTGCTGCTGGTTTGCGCGATGCGTGTTTGCGCAAAAGAAGGAGGGGATTGGGAAGAGTTCAAACGAAGGGATAAGATGTTGATGCTATTTAAAGAGATGCAACCGGACGAGAAGCATAAGTATATAGACCCGGCGTTACTATTTCAGCGGAAGTTGCAGCAGAATGGGGAGGCTTGGTGGCATATTTTTAATCCGCAGCGGTACCCGTAATAACTTGTCCATATTGTGACAATCAGTGCTAGATACCGCTCTTGGGTAGCCTATCAAAGGGTTTAGTGGCATTGAGCACGTATTACATCGCGTCTATCAAAATTATGCAGACTCGCCGTCCGCGTCACCGAGGCCCTGTATCGCTCCCTTCACTTGATGGTCACATCGTGTTCTTTTATTTTGCACGCTTTATAGCGCTGTAAGAGGTAGCATGACTAGTAGGTAGCTGGTCGGCCAAAAGGTGGTCCAATTCCCACTGCTTCAACGTTAATATCATGCCAGTCTCATGTTTTTCCGAGTACTTCGATATCTTTCGTATCCGGGGAGTCTCTTGCTCGTTCAATAACCCTGTCAGAAGTAGCCTAGCTAGTGGTAGTGGTTAGGGCGTTAGATGGGCTCAGCAAAGACTTGTAAGAGCGTACGTTCGTCCAGATGTTGGCCAATGGAACATTGGAACCCTCAACACTGTCCAAGTTCTTGCACGCGGTCTCCAACATGAAGACGCTCCAGATTCACTGAGGCATCCTGGAAGCAGCCCTACTAGAGATGGCTAACGCGAAACATTTTACAATCGAGGTACAGTCGCTGGGAGGGGAGGCTATTTTCGTCGCTAGACTAGCTTACAGTTTCGAAGATGACTAGTGGTGGACAGATCACTCGGAGTTTCTTCAAATAGGACCATGGGTTACCCGGCCTGTAGCAAAGCTGTGGAAGGCAAACTATGAACTCATACGAGACAGTACCTCGGACTTCCAGCGAGCGGAAGCGAGCAATCGTGCATGCACGATGCTAAGAGACCATTATAAGTCTGTTGCAGTAGCCTCGAATTTGCATTGGAGACTATGGGACCAAGTCAAGGCCTATCGTGATGCGTGGTTTGACTATACTAGTCCCATCGACTACGCTTCGATAGGCCAAAAGGTAGCCCAATTTCCATTGCTTTAACCTCAACATTATACTGCTCTTAGGTTTTTGTCGGTAACCAAACATCCATCACATTGAGGGAGTCTCTTGCTCGTTCGATAGCACTGTGTGGAGTAGCCCAGGGAACAGCTGGCAGGTTGATCAAAAGGGAGTTCAATTCGTACTGCTTCTACCTTGACATCATACCGCGTCCAGATTGTTTGAAGTACTCCCATATCCGTAGCATTCGGGAACAATCCTAAGTCCGAAATTTAGACCGACGCGCTAACCATGATTCGTCTTTTATGCGGCCAGCGATCGCTTACAAAGGTTAACCATGTCATTCACCATAATAGATGCCAATTTGATCGGCATTAAGACGCGGATTAGACCGTTGCTCACATTATTGGAATATTTTCAGACGCCAACGTGATCTTTCTTCGACAGACGAGGGTGCGGCATCATATTTCAGCCGACTACTAACTTGTTGCGGAACTACTCTGCGGGGACGACAGCGCGCCATCCCCCCGTCGTATTCAGTGTCCACTCAACCCCAGCATTCCTCTCTCACTAGTATGCATCATCGGTAGCAACCGCGCCGTTCGCCGACCTTGGGATATTTAGAGATTGATACTGCAGATCGAAGGGATTCAGCTTGCAGAACGTCTATAAAGCTCGACTGCGCGACCTAAAACTAGACTAAGTTACACTTCCTCTCTAGTTTCTAACATATCTAATCCTTGTGTGTCTTCAGATACTATCCGATATCAAAGCAAGAAGAGTTACACCGCATCACCTCTTACTCTCATTTAATTGCATCATCGACCTTTGCTTATTCGACTTCTACAATCCTAAACCATCACATCCAACGATATGCGCGTTTTCGTCACCGGAGCCACAGGCTTCATCGGCACGGCGGTCGTCCCAGAGCTTCTCGCCGCGGGCCACCAAGTTCTGGGCCTCACCCGCTCAGACAAAGGTGCTGAGACGCTGAAGTCACTCGGCGTTGAAGCACATCGCGGATCACTCGAAGATCTGGAGAGTCTGAAGAAGGGCGCCTCTAGCGCCGATGCAACAATCCACCTCGCCTTCGACCACAACTTCGCCGACTTCGAGGGCATCAACAAGAAAGACAGAGTTGCCATCGAGGCTATAGGAGAGGCTCTCGTCGGTACCAATCGCCCGTTCATTATCACGTCTGGAACTTTGTTACTTCCGCTGGAAAAGCTGGCTACCGAGGACGACAACGGCGACTACACTATCCCTACTGCCGTTCGTGGATTGGCGGAGCAGTTGACACTGTCTTTCGTGCCGAAAGGAGTGCGTGCTGAAGTCGTGCGTCTTCCACCAACGAATTACGGGGAAGGTGACCACGGATTCATCGCCATGCTCATCAAGACTGCACGAGAGAAAGGAGAATCCGCCTATATCGGGGACGGATCCAATCGCTGGCCCGCGACCCATCGACTTGACACTGCTAAAGTCTTCGCATCGGCTCTGGACAGGGGCACCGCCGGTGCCACCTATCACGCTGTCGCCAACGAAGGGATCACCGCTAAGGAGATCGCGGAAGCTATTGGCAAGGAGTTGAACGTGCCTGTCGTCAGCAAGAGCACGGAGGAAGCCCCGGCGCACTTTGGTTTCCTGGCATTACCGTTCTCGAGGGATAACCCGACTTCTAGTAAGAAGACAAGGGAGGCGCTTGGTTGGGAGCCGGCGCAGCCTGGATTGATTGCAGATATCAAAGAAGGACACTACTTCAAGAACTAATGTGAGCCAGGAGTCTATGGTTAGGACATTGATGAACTATGCAAGACTCATGTCAGGAGAATGGTCTTTGTTCTCGGATGGGGATTTTATCTGTGGACATGGAAAAGCAGGCCTGAAGAAGCATTCGCTTGAGGAATAAACATCAGTTTTACTTTCCGTTGGTATTTCCAATACAGATTTCGGTACCAATGGACTGCCCGAGGGTCTTTTCCGAAGCATGTCATGTGACCGTAGCCTCTACATGAATACCAACCAACCAGCATCGAGCAACACCAAGTCACCAGGAAGCCCATCATCTTTTATTTCTCATTGATCTCTTTGATTGGCCAAGCATTTCGTTTAGTATAGACGTCATTCCCTCGGATCAGCGACAGCCGGTTCTAGTTGAACGTTTAGGGGAATAGTGGAGCCATTCGGTGGTCGTGGCGCGGGAAGCATCACACCCGTGGGTAACACAGCGTCAAAACACGATTTTGCGGACTCTAGACCCTAATAATCATATAAATAGCCATCATGCGCCTTTTTGATTGTATTACAGCATATCGTATATACATACTCGGAGTCCTCAATTTCTTATGATTCAATAGCATTTCTACCTTTCTTTAAAAATGCCTCCTCCACATCTTCTACTCCTCACGCTCTTCCTATCCATCTCCATCAATTTTGCCAAACCCCTAGACCCCCGACTCCTCTGCACATCCCAATCCCAACCCAACCCCATCTCAAACCAACACCCCAACAACGCCACTGGAACTATAAACGGCACCTTCGCCATCCTACCCATTCCGCGCTCCCTCGCCCGCTCCCTCATACCCTCCAAATACGCCATCCTCACGTCCGCCATCTCCGCCGAGCTCCCGCACTTCCTATAAGACATGTACCCCTGCATGCTCCAAGCCGTCCACGACCACGGCATCGGCATGGCCGCTCTCAACTTCTCCGTGTCCGACTTCTCGCGCGCAGGCATCGAATTCCCCTTCCTCGATCTACTGGGAGACGGGTTCACGAGCTTCAGATGGGCGTCGGAGCTCCTCATGACGGCGTCGAACGCGGTCGCGATCAGCGGCACGGTCGCGTACGGCACGCTCGTGCATCCCGCGACGTTCGAGCCGACGTGCGACGCGTATGCCCCTGCGCCGGAGCGCGAGGGCGCAGGCGCGACGACTTTCGGGGCGGCTAGTGTTCTGCCTGGTGCCGCAGGCATCAAGTCGTTGTTCAAGCCGTTAGGTGATGGGACTGAGAGTCCGTACTCGGAGGCGTTTTGGAGGAACGTGACGAACCAGCCGAGCTTTGCGAATGGGCTCACGTGCGATGAGATGGTGCGGTACTTTAATACGAGTGTGTCGACGGGGGAAAATGCGCCGGTGCCGGTGAGGGGGAGGGTGGAGGCGAAGTTGCAGACGTTCAAGGGGGGAAAGGTGTGGAAAGGGGTGTATGGGATTAGGTTGGATACGAGTTTTGTGGAGAATAATTATTTGAGCTGTGAGAGTTTGAGGGGGTATGGGGGGAGGACATGAGTAGAAGAAAAGGAGGAAAGGAAAAAGATAAGTGATTGTATTGATTCTTGGATGAGAAAAACTTGTAATACTTTCCCATCGGGCTTTGGGCTCTCAGCTTGAGATATCGGACTGCACCAGATGCAAACGCTGCAATTCGACGGGACATTTACCCGGAGACTTTGGAAAACCTATTCTAAGATACCCTTGGATTCGTATGTTGAATTTGAACATACCACCTCTGTTGCTTATAGACAGACATGTGCTCCAGTCCCAAGTTCGATATGAAAATCTCGACCTCCGGAGATCGGCATTCGAGTTCGTTGAGAGCTGAAGCCCTTCTCTCCTCTCAATCTTTCTGTTAAAGTTTAGCGCTCTCCGCCCGATTCACGCAACCTAGTGCTTGTACACAAGCTCATGCTCCTCCGGCGGCGGCTCATTCCTCAACATCCACCCCAGCTCCTTCGCCTGCTCCGGCGTCACCAGCTCCTTCAATTTCTCGCCACGCAAGAAATCATGGTCCGAATACTCGAAACCCGGAATCACCGTCTGCCATCAAATCAGCAAGTACTCTAAATGAAGCGAAAGGAGAACTAAACTCACCTCGCTAATCAATAATCCCCCACTCGTCTCCCCTTCCCCATCGTCCGGCAACAGAAAGCTGCTCTTGAACTTCCCCCCTTCCACAATCCACTGCAACCGCTCCCCGTTAAGCACATCTTTCCCCACCACAAACGTTTCCACCCTCGCCTTACCATCTTTCCCCACCTCATCCGCATGGATGATCACATACCGGCCCTTGCCCCAATGCAGCGTGTGCACTGTGCGTCCGCGATTACGGTGCCAGGCGCCAAGCGGCGTGCCGGGCGTTAGCAAGTAGAAAATGCTAGTGCTAGCACTACGAGTTGCATTTTCTTGCTCCGGGTCGAAGTCGGGGTCCCCTCGGAGTGCGGCGATGGACTTCGAGGTCGTAGCCGTAGCCGGGGTGGAAGCGGCTAGGAACGGATTGGGGATTCGTAAGGTGTCACGGTCTGTTTCGGCGAAGTAGCCACCTTCGATGTGGGGTTGCAGTTTTAAATGGGAGATGAGAGATGCAAGAGCGGGCGGCTCCGGGGGTGGAGATGTAGCGGAGGCGGGGCGGGGGAAGATGGGCTGGAGGGGCTCCAAGGAGGCGGAGACCGAAGAGGGCATTTTGGTGGTTTGGTGGTTATCTTCTGAGTGAAGGTGGGTATTGGGAGTGTGAGCGGAACTGGAAGAAAGTGTGTTGTGAGGTTGTAAGGATATAGTGCTGATGGAACATGCAGGGTGGTGGCACCGATTACTTAGGCAGGTGCTAGTCTACCCTCTCCGATCACTGGAAAAGGTGTTTGTAGACGCTGTACGCAGATGAGTAGACTTCACCAGCAACGGACTACTGCATGTCAAAAATATCAAGTATAGATCGGTTTGATAATCATCAGAATCTTTACCTGTTAAAACGCACACTGTGCTACCTACATTGGGGCTAGTTAAATACTCCCGCCTAAGATGACGAGATCCCAATGCCACCCGGCAACTCCGCCTCACTGCTTTCTTTTCCATCGCATGTGCATCTCTCTCTTGTACATGCGTCTTCTTGTCTTACGTGCGAACATTATTTGTTTAGTATCCGGGAAAAAATGCAGAGAATAGGGCCGGGAAGACGGTGACAGCGCTCGCGGACCCTTCAAACCACATACAGCTAAGACAAGGGCATCGAGAACCCCTACCTACCCCTGGTGAGGCTGAAGCTTCTCACCCTTCATCGAACGATAAGCGCCAGCTTCTTGCCTTGAGCCTCGTGAGGCACTGCACATTGCTTCCTATTCTCGGTGCCTATTGAGCCGTAGAATATCGACTTCTGCTAGGGAACGCCATCTCCTGCATGATGTTTTAAACCATCTACGAACGTTGAAGCGACCTTCACATCATGTCGGAGCTCCTAGGTATTGGAGGGCCTTTCACACGAGAACAATCGTCCTCGTATAACACGCACGACTTCGAGACCCTTTCTAATCAGCCGACACCTGCCCCCTACGACTATATCGACAACGAGAGCTTTTTCACAAGATCTCGAACTCGCCATCTGGACGAATTCGACTCTGACCTTCAAGGCCTTGGATCTGTGTTCAGCGACGATCTCGACAGCCCTCAACCAGAATTAACTCCATCGCTGAGACCCAGTGAGACTGACAGCCAGTCCACAGAGCAGGATCCCGACTTGACTACAAGGACTCATGTTTTGCATGAAATATATGTAGGCGAGGAGCCTCGAAGCTGCGAGTATGACATCTATGCCAAAATAATTCTGTAGCTTGTATGCTAATCTCAGTCTGGTAGCGTAATCTTTGTTCATGGACTCAATGGGAACGCCTTTTCGACATGGCAGTCCGGAGATGTGCTGTGGCCTCGTGATCTCCTTCCCCGCGACATTCCCAACGCTCGTATTTATTCATTCGGCTATGAAGTCCCAATTTGGTCTCTCTCAAAACCAACTCCTGCAGACACCATTGCTGAAAATCTACTTGCCGAAGTCGCAAAAATACGTAGTGATGATACTCATTTCGATCGACCTTTAATCTGGATTGCGCACAGCTTAGGAGGTCTCATAGTCAAAGGAGTAGGCACTTACTATCCATGAGGAGCTTGTATATTTAGGCTGACGAGACCTAGTGCCTTGCATTGTCTACGAGCAAAAAGACCATTGAGCCAGTTCAAGCCAGCATCAGCGAGTCAACGATTGGCGTGATTTTTATTGGCACTCCGCACCACGCCCGCACCACCTTAGGATGGGCGAATGTACTCAGTAAGATTACAGCGGTTACAAGCCGTTCGGAGGACCTTAGAAAAGTCATGAGCAGGTCCGCCACCCATAACACTCGATTTACGCACTTGCTCCAGTCATTTGATACTACACTTGATCAAAGCCGAATCAAGCTCTACTCCTTCTATGAGGCCCAGGAAATGATCAGTAAAGGAGCGCCAACTCTGGTCACCCAGCGCGATAATGCTATGTATCACCCGTCTGAGCACGTAGGCATCTTACTCGGGAACCATATTACCATGTGCAAATTTCGAAACTCACTAGAGCGAGGCTACATACAGATCATACGGGCAATACAGGAGATCTTAGTTCGCCCAGAAGACTACCGTATGTTTTCTAGCTCATGATGATATACCAGGGCTAACTTCGTTAGCAGGCCCGATCAAGCGTGCCTCAAATGATATAATTACGTCAGGCTATTTCGAAGCTGCCTCGATGCCAAGAGCAGGTGAGGGCTTTCAATCCACGGAGTCAAATTATCCTTTTCTACCGTTATGCTAAATCATTACAGCTGTTACTGAAATAACTGAAATGAACGATGACTCAAGCGTAATAGCTTCGTCTATCTTTTCTGTAGATGCACAAACGAGTGAGTTTTTGCCAGTCTCGGTTAGCCCAGAAAAATAGCTAAGTCATGATCAGAGAAGCTTCGCCGTGTGAAGAAGATGCTCAGAGCACCCGTCATGGGCCGAAAACACATTCCAGAGAGATCTCTAGGAACTTGCGAATGGATACTTCGAGTACCGGAATTCGAGGATTGGCTGAAATCGAAGACTGCCTTGATCATCAATGGGCCCCCAGGGTCGGGAAAGTCGGTATTGGCCAACTACATGATTCGACATCTCGAGGACCGCCTCCAAATCAGCTATACAGGAGACTATCCAAGAACTTCTATTTTACATTTCTTCTTCAACATCCAAGCAGACGTCAAGCACGCTGGCGAGGAGATGGTGCATCAGTTCCTCCAACAGCTCCTTGAGGTCAGCGACTCGCTTGTCCGTCACTTTCCGGATGATAAGATCTTCGGCCGAGTTGATACGGCGGGCGAGATCGTTGAAATAGATGGCGCCGAGGAGGATCGTGCTGCTGTCGCAACTTCGACTGAATCCACTCTCGGGCAACCAGTACATGCGTTTCCCATGGACGATAGGGTCCTCTCCATCGAGGAGCTTCACGAAGACGTCGAGCATCCGTCGACACCGAGTCTGCCTATTGAGATCGACGAGTTGATCGGCATACTGTTGTCTATGCTGAGGGATGCCGACGTAAACAAAGTCTACATCATAATCGATGGACTGGACGAATGCGACGAATCATCACTCACCTTGGTTCTTCGTTTGCTAGATGCAATGAAACAGATGTCCAAGGTGAAAGTTTGTTTGACGTACCGATACGATGAGATACTCGACAAGAAGGTGAAGTCGCATTTAAATTCATGGAGTCCTCTTCCCGTTATTTCCGGGCAAGGCTTTATCGCGGACATCGAGTCCTTCATAACGAAGCGGCTCGAGCATATCACGACCCAGCAACGCCTTCCTCTAACGCAACTCCGGCAAGTGAGTGCTCTTCTGGAAAGTGGGAAATCAAACGCCTACATTTGGATCACGTTGATCACCCAAGTTGTTTCTGGATTGCCCAACTTACAATCCGTGAACGAACTACTGTCAATATTCCACGGACCCTACCTCGAGCAAGCTCTTGGTACTCTCCAATCCTTACCATGGGTGTCAGACGAGCTTCGAGCCTGCATCAAGGAAGCAATTCTGGAGGGGTATTCCAACGCATTTGTTTGGGTTACCTTTGTCAAATGGATCGCCAATGGCCGGCGAGCTCAATCTCGACTTAAAGTGATGGAAGAGACCCCCGAGGCCACACAGCTCTTTCAGACCGTTGTAAAGTCACATAAAGTCTGCAAGGAAACACGTATCAAGCTGACTGAACTGGAACGACTTTATGCATGGATCTTCCAATTCCTTTCCCAGAACTGTAACCCCGTGGCCTACAAAGCTCTATGTTTTGTTGCCATCGCTGCTCGACCGCTCAGCATCGACGAGTTATGCACATTCCTAGCCATAGACGCGGATGTTCAGTCCATGGGAGATCTCGAAGAAAGAAAACGCCTAGACCTCTCAACCTGGCTCCATTCTCAGCTTTTTGGTCTGCTCACCTTTCGCGGCGGCTTGGTCTCGCTTGTCAACCCATCGTTGAAAGACTTCATCGCAAATTATCTCTCCGCAGAAAGTTCTAATCGAAGAAGTCAGACGCTCCGTTCTGGCTCTAGTAGTAACTCTCCGCTAGCAAAAACCTCCGCAATCGGAAAGATATCATCATTGTCATGGGAGCAGCTCTCACGTCCAGAGCGACTGCATGGGATTAGCGGCTCTAAGAATGAGGAACTCGTTTCACCTGTCCCACAATACAAGCAATGCAAGGTGCTGGCAGAAATCCACTGTGACATGGCTGCGACATGTCTACTCTTGTTGTGTCTTCCAAGAAGGGCGAATATATCCTTTATCTACCGGAATCAGGTTCACATCCCTCCCGTCGAATTCCTCGAATATGCCATCGCAAATTGGTCCTATCATCTTCGGAAGGCGGAATCGCTCGCAGTCACCCTTCAGCCTTTGTTGGAAGAGTTGTGGGAAAATAGCCAGCTTCAACCACTTCTGGCGAAATTTGCGTATAAGGACTTCCTAGGAGACTTGCGACCTAGCCTTTCGGGCCTTTTAGCCGCACTTAATCTCTCCCACAATCTGAAGGCAATTTTTTCCCCTAGCTCAAAAAGATATAGAGGCAAATTGACTATGGAGATGAGATTGGCGGCAGTCAACAATGCAGCTGACGCCTTTCAGACCCTTCACCAGGATGGTGGCCATGATATAATGGGTGTGGACGAAAATCGCCGAAACGCCATGGACTACGCTTGGGCTGGTAGCCCGGATGTTACCCACTATCTTTCTAGCCGTACCAAGCTCACGCCGACACGGATTCCTGATACTAATACCTTATCAACGGCTGTTAGGAAAGACAGAATGCACATACTTTTGAGAAGAGAGTCGTTGATCCTAGACGACCAGCGGAACCAGATCTTAAACTTTGCCTCGAAATTCGGCAAGCCTATGCTTGTGGAAGAGCTGCTTAAACCGAATATTGACGTCGGGCAAGCACAGCAAGCGCTACAATGGGCCGTTACTATTCAAAGCCAGGATGTTGTGGAAACTTTGCTCCGATATTTCAAGAAGAACTTCCGTAATCAGGAACTCATGCTAGGTGCTAGCCTACGGCTCGCCGCAAAGAAGGCAAACGTGGATATTACGAAACTACTTTTGGAATCCGGCGCTGATATCAATGACGAACCAGCCGATGAGCCATCTGCTCTTCATTTTGGCGCCCTTTCTGGACAACTGGAACTCGTCGAGCTGTTGGTCAAATGGCGTGCGCGGAAATCCGCTACCGACGAAAAGGGAAGAAAGCCGATTCACTGGGCTGCGAGGCGTGGCCATTCACAGGTCGTGGAGTTTTTGATCTCTCCCCTAACTGAAACAGACGAAAAAGGAATTAGCACGCTTTCTCTGGCCTGTAAGAGCCGCTCCCTTCCAACAATTCGAGTCCTACTTGAATACGGAGCCAGCGTAAACAGAAAGGACCAGCGCGGTAGGACAGCGCTCCATATCGCAGCATCCTGCGGCTCTACTGATATAGTGAGACTGTTACTCGACGAAGGCGCAGATCCAGTAGTAAAGTCTGAACTCTCCGGGACTACTCCATTGCACGAAGCAGCCTATCGGGGCTGGGCTCCTGTTGTCGAGGAGCTCTTACAAGCTGGAGCTTCTATTGACGACTGTGACATAAACGGTCGAAATACCCTCCACCACGCTTGTAGATCACCGAATCCTTCGGCTGAGCTCGTCAGATTTCTACTCGACCAAGGGGCCAACCCTGAGGTGCGCGATGACAGAGATCAGTATCCGCTGCATCTAGCCGCTAAAAGGGGGACTCCGGACATGGTCTCTACCCTGCTCAAGGTTTTCCCTGCGGTCTATGAGCAAGATAAATACGGCATGAACGCTCTCCATTACGCTGCTCAGTACAGTCAAAGTGCTGTCACCTCCTGCTTGCTCGACTCTGGGGTTGGTCCCGAGCTAATGCCAAGTCACGAGGTAGTAAAAAACATGAACATCTTGGACCATAAACGGAAGACAGCTCTTCACTATGCAGCCGAATTCGCGCCCACCGATCTCCTTGAATCGCTACTCAATTTTAGCGCCTCCACCAATATCATAGACGACGAAGGCAACACTCCGCTTCATCTCGTGTGCGCCTCTCAGCGCGACTTCACGGAGAAACTCTATCACCTGCTCCAACGCACCGAGCATTGGGAGAAAGAGGTTTCCCGCTGCAACAAAAGTGGGCGGTCGGTGTTCCGTTGTGCGCTTGATAATGAGAAGTGGGAAGAACTCTATGAATGGAACGGCCGGGGGGTCTTCCGTAGTAGGCTTAGCAACGAGAAATGGAGAGAGATCAATGAACGAGAGGACTGGACGCGAGCTGATCTTTCTCTTTCTGAGGTTGACCTGAGATTCCTGTTGTTTTGTAAGTTGCTGAACTGTTTGAGACTTGTGGATCGATGGAGGAAATTCGCCCGGTCGAAGCGGGAATGGAGGAACCAAAAAGGGCACTTGCGAAAGCCACGTCAATCGCTGACGAACGTCGCTATGGTGCAACGACAAACGAGGCAAAGCTCGACAACGCAGAGAGAGGAGACTACGAGTGAATCGATATTTCTGAGTCCACCGAGTCCACCAGCTAGGAGCCCGCCAAGGTCACCTAGCCCGCCATCTCGTAGTCCACCGAGGTCCCCTAGTCTACCATTTCTTAGTTCAACAAGTATACCGGATCTCAACCCTTCGAATCCGTCACTTGTGCCAAGCGCCAACAGGTCCTCTCCTCTGGAGCCGTCGAGTCAGCAAGCTGGGCTGGCCATAGAACCTGCCTCTACGAGCAGACGAAGTTCAAGCATGTCTCGCCACAAGAATAGACTTTCACGTTTTTTCAGCAGGAGCAGGAGCGATATTTCGCGGCAGGAAGAGCGGAGTTAGCCAGCAGACTTGGTACATTGTCATACAATGCCTCGTCCTAGATATCCATACACTCGTTTACCGCTGCATGAGGAGCCCCCTACTATTTTCAACATTCCGAATAAGAGAGAACTTTGGCATTTTGGACAACTAGTGAAGTCACGAGGCTACTCCTGACAGCGTTAGTAGAGTGAACGCAGATTAGAACTGTATTCGCTAGCCACTTGTGATCTGGAAGAGCGACTTGTGGAGCTACCGAAGGCGCACTTTCTCTGCTCGCTCTCCTCTTCCTCTTGGAAAGACACTGTCGCGCAAGGACGTCTTTTGTGATCCATACCCTGGTTCCGCCACCGAGATGCTGCTTCGAAAAATGCTCTCGGGCAACAATCATCAAGCCAGATCTAAGTTGCTGGCAATGACATCCATACGTTCTATTCTGTAACATACACCATCAATCGTAATCATCCATAGAGCCTCTTTATCAGTAAGTGAGCATATAAAGCGTTTAGCCGAGGTCTTGTAGCTCACCTAGAGTAGGGAGTACAGTCAATCCAAATCACAACATGGAGTACCCTTCTCTCAACATGACTGACGATACACACCTCATCAACGCCAAGACGCCCATATGCTACGTTTTGATCGGCCTGCCTCGTTACTTGGACAAGGACGGCGTCGGCACAGACCTGTCGCAGAAGAGAAAGCTATGCGGACTCGGTCCGAACCGTGAGCACGAATGGCTAGGCGTCGTCGAGGTGCAGATGCCACACAGAAACACCATGCAAGCGTCACGACAACGGATGTTGCTTCAGACCTTCCGATCCCCCGAACTGTTAGAGGCCCGCCTAGCCAGACCCGTTGTCGCGGATACCCCAATAGATGAGAATTTCGCAATGACAGACTTGGACAAAGAACAACGCGACCGCGACAGAGTTGCATCAGGCGGGACGCAGCACTTGCGGGGGTGGGGAGTGCTCGAACAATTTGAGAAAACTCTCGTTTGCTACAGATGCGGGGAACAGCCTGGCAATTGGGCGGATTTTCTTGATGAGGGGACGTTGGTGACTGCGTATGAAGGCAATGAGTACACTTTTATTCCGGAGCTGCCTGTTTCAGCGAAAGGGAATCAGTTCAAGAGAGACGGGCCCAGCCCCGTTGACCTCTTGGCTGAGGAGGTAGTTGACTTGGAGATTCGACATCACATGTTTTTGTTGTACGGATATCTGATGCCCGAGACGCAGGTGCGGAAGTATACTGTTCAGAAATCAGGGGGAAGGGACCCAAAGATGGCGAGGGGCTGTTAAGGGAGTTATGAGAGCTCGTCGGGATAATTTTAAGCGTGACGATGCACTGAGCTTTTTGTGGGTAGTACCTGGGTTCGTCATGAATTCACGCACGCGAATATAATACTACGCAGGTTTTACTCTTGCTCATTAGACACCGCTGTGAGGAGTACCCCCGCGTGCAGGTGTTCAGCTAGTCAAAAGCTAACCCAGATTGCGCTGCAACGACGTTTACATCGGATCAGAATTTTGAAGCCCGACGGGGGTTACCCCAAGTACTGGCAAGATAGAGTGCTCACAGGGCTGTACCGTGTGAAGCTCTCTAGCGGCTACACTCGGACCGACACATCTGCAAGGATGTGGTGAAGATACCGCTTTGCTGGATGGTTGCTGAAGTGGCTGTGATAGCGCAGAGAGTTGAACAGTACGAATACGCGAGTAAGTAGATGGCGAAGCAAAAGAGCTATCTTTAACTTGCCAGTACTACTTTGATTCCAGAGAACTATCCACTCTCTAGAGCTTAAACGCTCCATAAAGAAACTAAACACTCCCACGCCTCACCACAGCAATGTCGTTTCCGGAAGATCCGGCACCCGGGAAACCATTTACCCTCGAAGACCACATCATCGACATACTAGTCAAGATCGATGGACATCCCGCTATGGAGCTTTCCGCAACCACCGTATCGCACGGCTGTGAACACTGCGGCCAGATATGGGGTGGCAATCTTGGCAACGGCTACGAAGGAGGCATGGCGTCGCTCCACTTCGGAAGTCCCCCAGGTCACGTCGAATATCCCGACAGCCAAGCTCCAAAGTTTCTTGGCTTGTTCGTGGAATCGGAAGTCAACCAGGGTCTTCGCATGACGTTCGAGAAGCGTGAACACCCCTGTAAGAGATGCGGAGAAGATCTGGAGCGTAAGGCTCCGCATTCAAGCCTCGGAACTATATCCATACAGACGAAGAATATCGGCTCCGCGATGACTCCGACAGCGCAGTCGCCGTTCCGGAAGAGGGATGTGAGGAAGTCACCGCCGCCGTGCGAGAAGGATTGCTTGATCACGATGACAAAGGATCTCGAGGAGATAGAGATTGAGATGAACAAGCATAAGAAGAATGTCAGATACTACGAGGCCAAGCTTGAGAGGCTGCCGGAGGGCCAGCGCGGTCCGGAATCGGCAGTGTGGTTCTATCTTAGCAAGGCGCGCGATGATTCGAAGAAGTGGCTTGAGGATAATGAGGGAGTTGTGAAAGGTTTGCATGATAAGCTGATTGCTTTACGGCACGGGGAATTTGAAGAGTATTGATCTGGGGACACTACCTAGAGGAAGGAGTAGTGTATGTACATAAAGTAGCTCAGGAATATTAGAAACTTTGCTACAGTACCTTGCCATAGATATCTCTATACTTTCCTGCCACTGTCTGTGGGGCTCTAACTTTCTAATAAAAAGGGATACACTTCCAATCTGCGTACACTCTATTAACCCTGTCTGGGGTAGCCTTGCGAGTTTATTAGTTGCCTAACATGCCGAATGTCTCTCTTATTTGGAATACTGAAAATACCATGAAGATCCTCATGCCGCTGAGCGGCAAACGAGTGTATGGATCTCTATACGAGACATTGTAAAACGATGAAGAAGCCTCCAAATTCTCTCACTTCTATCAGATACAGTACTCAAATCGCACGTATTTTTTTATTGATGCCAGTAATGTCACACAGCGCCAAGTAGACCGAGGTGTCCTACCGGTTCCTGAAGACGTTAAGGAGTGGCAGGTGGCAGATAGGTATACACACACATGGCCCGAGAGTGAATATTTCGTGAAACATCTCTGCCGACCAAGTATTCAGCTAGTAAGCAGCTTCTTCACTCATCATGAGGTATTTGCACATATAAAAGAAAGTCAACGGAGACTCTTACCTTCCACTTTCAAACTTCTTACCTACATATCAAGAACCCAATATTCAAATACCAAATACCCAAACACTGAATATAAACCCACCTAGCTCAATAACACCCACCATGTCCACAGAAACCAAACCCATCCGCCAAAACCCCCCTTTCGTTTACGACATCACTGCCGCCTTCCTCTCCTGGCCCTGTCCCCGCACCACCTGCGTTGTCCCAGGCTTCCTTGATTCCCGCGTTGACGGCTTCGGCCGCCTATCGCGCTACTGCCGCCACTGCGACAAAATCTGGCTCGACCCCTTCTTCTCTGCCACCGGCGAACCCTACACACTCCCGCTTTTTGACGGCATGATAATTAGCGAATTTCGCCCATGCTACCAGTCTTGCATCCACTGCGGCAAGGACATCTGGGACATAGATCGCCCGCTGGTAATGGATGATGCTGAGTTCGAGGAGGTGAAGAATAGTATATCGCCGGCGGGCCACCCAAGCTGTGTGTTCGAATTGCCAGGCGGGAAGAAGGCGATATTGGTGAGGGTGAAGTCAGTAGATGTCGAGGATCCGGAAGTGGTTTTGGAGAAGGGGTGGAAGAAGGGGGTGAACAAGCTGTGGAAGGTGGTTTTCAAGGGACGGTACGAAGAGCAGGGCAAGTTAGACGAGCCAAATGTGCTGGAGAATTTGGAGAAGTTGAGGTTGGTGGTGTGGAAGCAGGAGCTTTTGACTCTGGAGGGGGTAGACTGGGTGATTCAGCGACCGCTGGCGGTCACAGATGAAATCTCGAAGGAGGTGCTGGAAGGAAATGTGGAAAAGCTATGAAATGGAGTTGTAATGGTCTTGATATTAGTCCGACAGTGTCCGGGCCTTTATGATGACTGTTTTGGTACTTGGGGAGTAAGGGGTGTGAGACTGAAGACAGATTTGCAAGTTGATGGGATTCTTCTACGACTCTAACCTATTACAAACCGCACGTGGGGTTGTGACAATGAATTTTGCATGCTAAATAGGTAGGGGGCTTCTGGAGTTTCAATGAAGTTGAGCCCATGGAACTCCCAAAGACAGCCCTCAAGTATTGAAGATCACGTGACTAGTCATTTCCAAGCATCTTCGTTATGGATATCAAATTATTACTCTAGTCTTGGAGGTCTTAGCAACAGCCTCTTGCTTTGCTTGCTAAATGATATTAAAATGAACCTGAGCATCCATAGTCACGTGCTTGCGGCGAGGCTCAGGCGAGGCTCGCAAACTTCTTCACTTTTCTCCTCGTTACCTTCACTCTTGATAGTTAAAAACATACCGGCCCAACTCTCTCCGCGTGTAAAGATCTCTCATGCTACCTAGGTAGAGCTCCTGCTTCGATTCGCGCTCGGTGCCTTAAGAGGTGCTACAGCCCAATTTCCTTTAGTACTGGGTCATTAGATTGGGGATCCGGGTATAGAATGTCACTGTCAGGAATGCCTGCGTGTCGCTCTTGGATGGTAGATACAGCATGGCTACTCTAGGATGCGGTAAGGTAGCCAGTGAATCAAGCTGATTTCCTAGCTAGCCTATCTTCCGCCTGTAACACCCTGAAATTTTTGGAGGCCCATCGGGATATCCCCAACAGTGTCAGGGAAGTGTACACGAATTATTGGTAAGCCGTCAGCGCACTCTAATTTCAAGAATCACTATGCAAGCCTTCATGGCTTCTTTCCTTACCCTACCTTCTCCCAAGCTGGGGCAACCAATTCTATTTTGAAAATCAATTACTCGGAAACGATGAGATGTGAAGAAAAATCTGCTTTTAGTTTAACTACCGCTGAACTCACTAAAAAATCCAAAGAACTCCTTTAAGCTTCCAACGTCACAAGATCTGTGGTCCCGCATATGAGTTCCAGTGGTTCGGGTTATGTAAGCCATCAACTCTGAATATTTTTCGCGCGGCGCTCTGAACATCTTTTACGCGGCGCGCAGAGCAATTTATTTGACGGGGCTGAGCCGACACTTCACTTCGAACAGCCAACCTCCGCACACTTTCCTCCACAACCTTCGCACAATCCTCTGTAACTTCCTCCTGCTCCTACCACTACTTTTTGCAACCTCCAGGACCAACTACACACCATGACTCCAACAACGCTTCTGACGCTCCCTACTGAGATGCGACAGAAGATCATCTCCCTCACTATCACCACCAAATACCGCCCGCCCACGAAGGAAGCGGCCGGCCGCTCTTACTTATCGAGTCCAGTCAAAGGTGTATGCAAGACCCTGAAAGCAGACTTCAAAGAGATCACTCTAAGCTGGCTGCCCGACCCTATCACCGCCTCCCTCCCCCCGGTCCAGCAGCTACAACAGCTGTTCACCCTGAGGCGTATGAACAAGTACTTCATCGAGAGAGAAAAGTCGTCAAACCGTTCCTGGCCCGGAATGCAAGTGCTCAGGATCCAACTCGTGAACTTCGGCGATGCCACCATCGCTCAACAGTTGCCCCAGTCCTTGATGAAACTCCGATCTGAGGACCGTGGCATCCTATCGCAAATGGTCGACTTCCAATTCCTCCACTTGAGGCACTTTCCAGTCGTTCCGACAACCGTGAGAAGACTCGAAATAGATCTCACCTTACCCCCAGAGGCCTCGGCGCTACTAGATACTATCGTCCAGATGGACGCCGAGATACCGAAGCGAACCCGGAAGCTAAGAGCAAAGGTTAAGGAACTGGATTGGCAATTTAACTTTTGGAGACAGCTTTGGGAACATGCAGAGGATATCGCTTACCGCCTCGTCAAACAAGACGGGGCGCCCTCCAAGCTAGCCGTCAAAGTCATCGGATCGATACGAGAAAGGCAGCTTGAGTTCATCGCCAGAGAGATGCGGCTTCGTCACTTTCGGAAATCCGGCGGGCTGGTCGACTTCCGTGAATATCTGGAGAAGGTACGAGCAAGAGAAGCTGAGTTGAGTCTTGAAAGGGAAGAAACAGAAAGAAGGCTGAAGCTTGTAGCGGAGGAAAAGGCGATGAAGGCGAGAAGGCAGAGCAGGAGCGTGCGAGGCAGACCGGCGAGGAGATGAAGCGGCGAAGAGAGGAGACGAGCAAGATAAAGAAGGAGTGGGCGCAGAACGTGGCAGAGGAGAAAGAAGACGAGGGAAGAGTGGATGTATGGCGTACCAAGAGTATTCTCTAGGGCTGTTGACGCATCGATGTATAGTTTTCCAACCCTCAGAGCTTGTTATATGACTAGGTTATGAGTTCATGCCCGGCTCAGACAGCGGTATGAACATAGATACGGACCAACAGGTAACATCGCATGATTTCATTCGAGTTTAACGCCAGCTATGCTAAAGTAAAACATGAATTTATGTACTTTTGAAGTGTCCGATGTGGAGTAGTCTACCTTCACTTATTATCTGGACCGATTGTGCTTACGTGCAGCACATATCCTTTCCCAGTGCCTTTCCATAAGTCAGCCGAGTCGCAAATCAAGCACGTTTTAAGAAGTTTAATTTACCGAACGACTTCTCAGTTCTTGCAGAGCTCCGCCTACGGAAGACTCTACTCACCAAGCTCCTCTGTCCCTCGCCCTTCACAGGTTCCTGATTCTCAACCTTAGCTGGCAATGGGGGAGCAGCTCGTAGCTTGAGCGGCGCCATCGCACCCGGCGGCAGCGAATGAGCAGCCAATGTGTCCAGCAGCAACAACGCATACGGCCTCTTCTCCTCGCCCGCTGGGAGCTCCGCCCACGGCTTCTTGCAGTGCCCACAGACGACGCTCACGTCGCAGAAGCAATAGCAGATCTTGTCCACAACGACCGGAATGCACCAGGCCTTTCGGATCGTCGTCCACCTCTGACCGCCCGGCTTGTCGATGGACCATGGAACTTTACCGCAGGCGCACCGCTTGTCGACTTTTCGGAAGCGGGTGATGTATCCGTTTTCCACTACGGCTTCGATGGTCGATTTTTGAGGGACGATTGATGAGAAGACGTCGGCGTTCTGAGCTTCGGTGATATAGGGACTAAAAATTGGTGGGTCTTCTATCGTCCATTCGGGTCGTGGCTCTCCAACTCTGATGATCAAGGGCTCTGGTAGGTTCCATTCCGCTGCTCGAGTCGGGCACTTGGAGAGTGAGTAAGAGCTGTGGAGGACTATATGATAGTCGCCGCAGGCTTCTTCACTGCCGTCGACCCATGTTTTATGGCAGCTGATGCACTTCGTAGATATGGTAGCGAAAAGATAGCAGATATCGCCGTCTTTGACGGGAAAGTAGTCGTTATCGTAAGGACGCAACTCCATGATGTGGTCGTTATTGAGGATTCTGGCGGGCTCATGCCAGCAGCCGCGGCAGACATTCTCGACTACCTGGAAGGAGATAATCTCGGAGCCCTTGTGAGCCAGTTCGACTATCTTGCGGTCGCCATTACACCTGCCTCGATCGTCGGCGTCCCCTAGACCTTTTGGATGCTGTCGAAGAAGGGAAGCGGTTTCTTGAAGTTGTCGGGGGTTCGAATATTGGTAAGGGCGAGTCATGGTTTCAAGATCCACACGTGTGCCTCACCACGATGAGGCTCTAGGTCGACATAAGGCTCGATGGTCCTGTTGAATGTATTTTCTGGTGGCAAATCTAGGGAGTGAGAGTGATCCTTTGGGTCTAAGCGAGTGGTAAGTTACTGCTTTGGGTGTACGCTCTACTACTACCTTGTGAGCACTACCGCAAAGTCGGTGAAGTATACCACAAACTCGGTGAAATTGGCCTGCTAGCCGACCAATCAGATCAAGGCTGTGCTGTTTCATCTTCACCAATTAGTGGCCATGTGCCTTCTGAGATACACGTCACTTCTATGCACGAGACACCATGTAACCCTTGGCGAGTCGCTCTCAGCGGCGCCCAAATTGCAGTATATGAAGATCGTACAGCCCGTTTGCGAACGGTGGCGGGTTGAGTTTTTATTTGATTGGCAGGTGAGCATGTAGTTGAGCTGATGCCAACTCTGCAAGGCTGACGGCTATAGGTGCTGACCACCTCTCGGCTGAGCCACGTAAGATTGAGGCTCAGAATCAAGAAGAACATTCGTGACCATAAGCATGGAACTTAGAATTCATGCCGCTACATGCAAAAGAAATTTAGCCGCAAACTAGCGGATGAGAAACACGTGACCCACTACCTGAAAGCTCCTACACATCTATGTGTAGGCGCAGCGCACACCCTGGTTGCAATATGGAGAGCTGCTCTGACCTAAATTATGACGAAACTCACAAACCCTCATCAGAATCTTTTGCCCGCACAACTTCATCAAAATCCTCTACCTGAATCCAGCCCTCTCCATCAGAGTACCTCAGTTCTTGTTCAACCTGAGCGTACGAATCCTGAGAACTCTTACATAGAGTTTGGCTGAAGGCCCATAGCACTTTCGCTAACTCGCCCTGGCAGCTTTTCCAGTCACCGGAACTACTTCTCAGTGTCGCTTTGTCCTTGAGAGCTGCCTCCTGGAACTTGCCTATCCACTCATTATCCATGATGATGACGATACCATTCTCTATGATCGTAGTCTTGGCCTCGGGTTGATTGACTGAGAATAACAGCCTGATAACACCTTCCGGGCATACGGTTGCAGGTAAAGAAACTGCATCGGTACCAACGGACGTGGATGGTTGGGGAGCCAGTGTAGACGTGCCGTTTGAAGCCGGAGCAACATCGACATTTGCTGTTGAAGTCAAGTTTTCTGTCGGGGTTCCTTGCTCGAAGCCGTCACTCTCGAATCCGTGCTCGACGAAGTGGGCTTTAAAAATGGAGTATAAAGTCGAGGAGTCCATGTTCTTGGCGGGAAAAAATCCGTTCTGGTTGCTCAGTTGATGATTTTTATGGAGTCGAAGGGTGTGTTCGAAAGCATATATAGGTGCGATAGGAAATTTCGACAGTCGGTCATTTGCGCGTTGGCATCCTCGTGGCGAATGTCCACGTAACCAGCAGCCGTTCCCGCCTCCCGGATCTACCTTCACTTTTAAAACCTCGTTAGTGATTTATTAACACCCTCGACATACCACCTCCCCGACTCTTACACCATTACCAACATAATCAAAACTCTTGCACGCACTACACCATCATCAAATGTCAAAATGCCCTTCCCTTTCAGCTCGTTCTTCCCTCAAAAGAAGAGATACTATCACCCTGACTTCGGCTACATCGAACCACGAGACTTTCATAGATACTCGTATCGGGCAGACTTCCACCCCACTGGCTACTACGGCACGGTAGGCGCGCTTCAAGGTGATGACTTCCATGCACAGCAGCACCAAGCCCGTGAAATGCAACGAGAGCAACAGCAAGAATACCAGCGGCAACAGCATGAGATGGAACGGCAGCAAGAACGCGAACACCGCCGAGATATGGCACGCGAGCAACGTGAAATGGACCATGCGTATCGCCGCGCAACACGTGATAGAGGTCGTAGAAGCCATCGGGTTCCGGAGCACGGCTATGAGGGTCCAGAGTACAGCTACGTAATGGGTGGATGAGAACCCGGAAGTAGATAGTGGAAATGAAGCAAATAGCTTGACAGAGATAGTCTGACTATCGCTAATAGGCAAGCAACCAAATCTTAAGAACATGTGATGGCCTCACCATCCAGGATATGTTGCCATTGTACGCATCTAGAGCCTTAACTCAGCACGAACTCAATCAGGCTTCTTCAAAACCACCGCAGAAGAAATTCCGACATGTCTTTCCCGCCACCGTACTCCGACCCTCGTCGTCATCAACACCCCTCAGGCCATCATCGCCGTCATCCTCAGGAATCCCCAAGTCACAGGGTGTATAGCAGCTATAGACACAGGCCTCAGAGGCTGAATGTCTACGACAGATATCCTGAAGGAGTGGGCCCCTCAAGGTACCATCTCCTCCGGGAAGGGCACCCAAGATTGAAGCCCTTCAACATGAGCCCGCCTGAACACAGGAGGAGTGGAAGGGTCGATCGGACTCAGTTCACGGCTTCCGAACAGGGGAGACTTAACGGCTATGCCTCGGCGCAAGATCTCCGTGATTTCGCTATCTACCAGCACGGCTATGGCATTGGGTATAGTGATGGCGTGAGCAACATGCAAGCTGGATCTTGGTATGATCGCGACATTGAAGACTTCGGATATGGTCTTTCTTCGGCTTTCGGTTATCTGGAGCCGGACTTCGAACAGACCACCTTCCAGATCCGTGGCCAGGAGTTTGACGTGTACTCGTATCGACGCAAGCCCCACGGGAACGGTATTGAGCATGTAGACCATTTTGTGGATCTACGCGAAGTTGACTCGAGTAAGCTGGGTGGGATTCCATTCATAGTTGGCTTGTAAGGCAACTTAGATAGCTCGAACACGAGAGTAGAGCATATAGACGTTTGAAAGAGGTGACTTTATGGACACTACATTGTTCTAGTACTGAGAGCGAATGACCGAGACTAAGCCCATTTAGGGAGGAAATCAATTGAATTTCATGTTGAGTAGGTTGAAGTGCTTCCCGAGTTCTGTCCGCCGAAGGCGGTTTGTATTGATGCATGTGCAATAGAAAGGTGCCAGTGCTCGCATTGTCATGACTAATCGTAGATGGATTTGGTTGTTGTACTTGTACTATACTTGATAATTGTTTACGCTTCCGGTGGATCGTAAGCCTTTGGCTTCGTATCCTTGATCACTGGCTGGACTTTGGATGAGTCGAGTGGAATGCCCATCCAATCTGAAAGAGCCACAATAGCAGCAGTACATGGTACAGCGAGAATGGCCGCCACGATCATTCCCTGCAAATCTATCTCACGTTTACCGGATCTCCCTTCGCTTGCCCAAAGAGCATCTATTTTTTTGCTGCTCCAAGCTTTGAAATCTCGAAGGCTCTCCCCTGGTTTAGGAGGATCTTTCCCCCACTCTTCCAAAGCTGTTTGAACCAACCGTTTGTAGCTCTTTTTCATTGTTGGCTTGACACTATCTTCTTGGTCAAAATCCAGAGCGACGGCTTCGCTCCATGCCTTCACCTAGGCCGGACTTAGTATTGGGATCTCCAAGCAGCTGTTGGCACTGATTGCTCGTAATACTGTGTGCCGCGCTCGAAAAAGGGCAAAGCCAGGCTGTTTACCCCCTGGGTTATCCATGATGGCCTTGATCCGGCCAAGGTCCGCTATATCAGCCAGATTGGTGAGTTCGTCGTGGGAGACTACGCCGGCATCGACCTTTTCCAGGATTTGGAGTCGTTTAACGGTTTCGAGTTCGACCTGACGACCGACGCGTTCGATGAAGGATGGGCTGTTCGCCGCCTGTCTAGAAAGGAAGAGACATGGTTAGACAATTGTTGAGATGTAGACGGCACGGAACTGAAATGGCTGACTTTTGAGTGGCATATGATCGAGCTTGGGAGCAAATGAAGGCTCGACTTGTTGATGCAGTGCGAATGGATCGCGTCGCGATGAGTCTCGACGCGGATTTCGGAATGCAGCCATTGGAGTGTCACAGGGACGATGTGGGCGGTATAGCGAGCTATAAAACAAGCTGCTAGAGAGGTCGCAGCTACATCAGAGTTGTGCCGAACGAGCGCGGTGTCGTCAACCAGCAAAGGAGCACACGAGTTGACAGGTGATACTCTGCGTAGAGCTCAGCACGCTAAACTCTCCTTCAGCCTCTTGCCTTCAACTTGTCACGACTCAACTCTCCCCCGGACCGCATACCTAGGTAGAGAATTCCGAAAGCTCAAGCAGCCCTACCAACGAATCCTACACAACATGGCTGTCCTAACCAACGATGCTATTGCCCCGGAACTCGGCCACGCTGACTTCCATACCGCTGACGACACCGCCTGACTATCACCTGATAATTTAACAACCCCCATGAATCTCTACACATGCCTTCCGAGCCTCCCTGTGCCCTTAAACTAATATACATGGTCGCTTTACACCCCTCATCATGAGTAGGACCCGCGCGCTCACTCTTCTGATTCTCTCCATCCTTGGCATCTTTGCCGCATACCAATACAACCGCTCCACCATGGCCACCACCCCAAAACTCATCCCAACCAGCGCAATAGCCAAGAACGGCGCAATAGTAGTCGGCTCAGGCCTCGCTGGCCTCTCCGCCGCCTCTGAACTAATCGCAGCAAACATCCCCGTCCGTCTACTTGAGCGGAACGCAAAGCCAGGCGGTAACTCGATTAAAGCCTCATCCGGCATCAATGGCGCCCCTACCCTCTTCCAACCAGGCCCACCAGACACAGAGTTCTACGCCGACACAATCAAATCAGCCGGCTACGCTATGAGCACAGCCCGCGAGCACCGCGAAAAGCTAATCGGCACCCTCACCAACTCATCCGCCTCAGCCGTCACGTGGCTCAACACCACCCACGGCATCGACCTCAGCAAAGTCGCTCAACTGGGCGGGCATTCCCGGGCTCGAACCCATCGAGGCGCGGGCGGCACACCCCCCGGCTTCGCCATCGTTTCCACTCTCCTCAAAAGCCTGAAAGCAAGCCCCCTTTTCGAGCTCAAGACATCCTGCACCGTAAACCGCCTCCTGCGTTCCGGCAGCTCGGTCACAGGTGTCGAGTACACCTGTATCTCACCCGAAGCCGAAAGCACGACTTCAGAACTCCATGGCCCTGTCATAGTGACCACGGGCGGCTTCGCAGGCGACGCCGCCGGCCTCCTAGCCACCCACCGCCCGGACCTCGCAAACTTCCCCTCAACCAACGATCCCGCGCCGGGATTTACGCATCTGCTAACTTCCGTGGGCGCCCAGCTGCTCGATATGTCGAGCGTGCAGGTCCACCCGACCGGTTTCGTAGATCCTGCAAATCCTTCATCCCCGCTCAAATTCCTCGCCGCAGAAGTATTGCGCGGCGAGGGCGGAATCCTGCTCCACGACGGGGAACGGTTTTTCAACGAGCTGGAGACACGCGAGAAAGTCACGGCTGCGATTTTGAAGAACCCGCCGATTGAGGAGAAGCCGAAGCAATGGGATGTGCTCTTGGTGTTGGATGAAGGGGTCTATGAGGCCGCGAAATCGCATATTGATTTCTACATCTTCAAGGGACTGATCCGGAAGACGACGATTGGAGATCTGGGGGAGAAGGCGTTGCCCACAATTCAGGAGTATGCGGGCGCGGTGGCAGGGAAATATGAAGACAAGTTTGGTCGGACCGCGTTTGCGAATTGGAAGTTATTGGAGCCGGAGGCGGACTCGGTGGTGTATGTCGGGAGAGTAACGCCGGTGGTGCATTTTACGATGGGCGGCGTGGTGATTAGCGAGAAGGCCGAGGTGCTGGACGCGCAAGGAGTGCCGGTTGAGGGCGTCTGGGCGGCTGGGGAGGTGACTGGGGGCGTGCATGGAGGGAACAGGCTAGGTGGGTCGAGCTTGTTAGAATGTGTAGTGTTTGGGAGGAATGCAGGAGAAAGGGTGGTAGAGTATGTGAAGAAAGAAGAGAAGTGAGGCCTATAATGGGTGTGAATGTGAGGAATAAATTTCACTTCCTTTCTCAGTGTATATATGACACTGTAATCTGCGCATGTGCTCCCCAGTTTCCTTGCTGTCTTCCTCAACCTGACGGAAGTTGAGTAAATAGTGCCCTAGATCGGAAATGGTGAGCATGCGATGGCCACGTTGAAGTCCTATTCCTGTTGAGAAGATGTATGCAGAGGATGTCTGACGGATTGGAGCAAATACTTATGTGATCTGGTGAAGAACACCTTTGCGCACTCACTAAAATCTCTCTAGAGCTTCCAGCCCCGTAACCAAGCCTCCAAAAGATCAATCGTGATCGGCTCCAAGTCAACTTTGGAAGCCGCTGCGGCCGTTGTCTCCTCCGTCGGGAGCCACTCAAACCCCCTACCATTCCCGAACACCCTATACGCCTCCAAAAACCCCAGCGCTCCTGTCTCCACTACCTCCAAATCCCCCTCATTCCCTCTCCTCTCCAGCTCCCTTATCCACTTCAATAAACTCACCGTCCTCAGATCCATCCCAAACCTCTCTCTCAACGTCCTGGCAAGAATATCCCAGGGCTTAGGCTCCGGATGCGCCAGGTTAAACATCCGCGATCCATGCTCCTGCCCCCCATCCCTCACATCCACCACCTCTCTCACCACTTCCGCCAGTTGATCCACCGGCACCCAATCAACCGCCATGACGTGCTCTGGAATAATCCCCATAGCCCTCGACGCCCGAACCAGCGAACCTAGCCACTCCTGCTCTGCCCACAGCCCCTTTGACGGATCAGCCGGCCCACCAATCTGCCCCAGGCGTATAACATCAACAGGCACCGCAGACCGCTAGCAAGCGATCTCGAGCATACGCTCACAGACCCACTTGGCTTCGGAGTAGCCCATTTTCAGCGCCGCCGCTGGGTTATCGAGGGGCGTTTCCGTTGACGGGATCTCGTTAGGCTTAACAGTCGCCCAGTCTCCGACCGCGCAAGTAGAGGAGATGAAGACAATGCGCGGTCGGCGGATGCTGGCGATGGACCAGTCGATGACTTGGCGGAGGCCACGGATGAAGGGTATTTCGAAGGCTTCGAGTGGGTTGACAAGGTCAGGTTTCCAGGCATTGTAGATGATGACGTCGATATCGTCCAATAGAGTTTTGTAGAGGATGTGGTCGAGGGAAAGGTTGGGGAGGGAGAAATTGATAGGGAGGAAGGTTGCTTTTGAGGCGTTGGGATGGGAAGTGGCGACGGGTGGAGGACAGGCGAGATGGGTATCCATGCAGTAGATCTTAAAGATCCAGGGAGAGTCGAGAAAGCAAGGAAGGAGATGGGAGCCGAAGTAGCGTTTGTAGCCGATTAGAGCGATGTGCTTTGGGAAGAGGAGCGGCTGTTTTGGTATTGAAGTCTTGGCGATCGGCCCGGATGTGTATCTTGCAACCATTGCTTGCATACGGGTGGAGCAGACAGCGTTGTCGTCATGACTAGGGACGTGCTTTAAAGTGAGGTAGTTGTAGGCGGCAGTCGTTAAACCCTGGATGGTCGAATTTTGGAATATCGTTCGTGGTACTACCCACGATACATCGGCGGTTGGTAAGGCCGTTCACAGACATGTTCTGAGCCTTGCGACGATTTCACCAATTTGGAGAGAGTCAAGGCCGTGTGAGAGGAGGTCGTCATGAGGGCCTGCTTCAGCTGCCGCCAAGAAGCTTTCAAGAATGATGTCACGAACGAACTGTGCGATATCTTCGATCCGGAATGTGTTTTCGACGGAGGGCTTCAGCGAAAAATCAAATTTTTGATCTGCGCCTAGATCCCGAGAGTACAATGAATCAATCTCCATTTTATAAAGCTGCTCCGTCAGCCCTCGGACGATAGTGCCTTTGGAAGCTCTAATGAAGGGCTTCTCCAAGCTTGCTACCAGTATTTTGGATCGAAAGATCCTTCCATGGCCTGAGACAAGCCGATTGGCTTCGTTGACAAGTGGCCAGATGAGCTCTAGAATTCGTTCTCGCACTACACGCGCGTTTGTATTTGGTTCAACCATCAGTGTAGGCTGAGGTCTACCTTGGCCGACAATAAGAGCACCAGCGAGGAGTAGACTTTCCTGAAGGGACGCCTCCATAGGGACAGGGTTGAACTTGGACGCACTGGAAAGAACTATGATGTCATCTTTACGGCCGTAGTATCGCCAGAGGTTCGGCTTGGTTGGATGAGGACTGAAAAGGTCCCCGGTGGGGTATCGAATAATACCAGCCAGATTGTGATATAAGCCGGTGAAGTCCTTTGTCCTTTCATCGACCTCGACTACAAGCTCGAAGGTTTGCTCTAGATCATCGGTCTTCTCCATTTGGACCTTCATGTAGGGGTTCCATTCTATCCATCCCCAGTTCTCTGGGTCTGGAGCAAGTTGAGGCAGGCAAGCTGTCTCAGTAGATCCATAGAAAGTGATTATGCCGCTCACTTGGCGAATCTGCTCCGCTATGCTTGAAGACAATGGCCCCCCTGTATAGGCAACATGATCCAGTCCTCGGAACACGTCCAGTTCACCTGGTTCGAGGAATAGATGTTCGATGACCGCTGGTGGGAGATAAAGTACTCGAATGTCCTAGTGTCTTCGAATTTCTTTTAAAAGGTAAACACTTGGAGGCATAAGGGGTGGGCCTAAAACTGGACATGCTGATGTGAAAAGCGGACTGACTTCGACAGGGTCAGCAAGATCTCCGTTTACCAAACTCGCTAATGTAGCTTACCGACCAAAGCTATGAATCCGGCAAGCTACCCCTTCGTGAGCATGAGACCTGCTAGATCAGATTTCAAGCTTACATGGTAGTGGGGAAATACGCTGTAGAAGCGACCCAAACATCCCAACTCGAGAAATCTTGCTTCTTTCTGCCCAGAATAGCAGGGAGGTTTCGCTGATTATCGAGGACCGCGAATGAGCCATGTGTCATGACTATTGACTTAGGGTAACCTAATGTGCATCAGCGCTGCCGGTACCGACCCTTTCTTCAACTACCTGTCGATCCGGACGAATGCATTATTGCCACTTCTCTCCGGCTGTGCGTGTCGAAATTTTCGTTATATTGATATGATCTAGGAGTACTGTATAGCATCTCCATGAATGCCGGAATCCCAGTGCATAGTAGAGGGCTCGATAGCATGTAGATTCAAAACCAAAGGACCGACTTCTTCCGCGTAAAGAATTTGGGAGCAAATAGTCTGCTGAAGCAACGAAATATTTATTGCAGAGGAGTTTCTAATGGATAGGAATAAGACCTAGGATGGTTAGCAGATAGTTCGAGCGAGGCGAAAGTTTGATCACCTTGTATCCGCACTTCACAGCAGCCAAACAGATGACGGCGCCTCGCAAGTCTGGAATGCCTAAATAGCATAACGTCTCGTAGGTAAGGCTCGCGCCTTTCTTGGATATTATCCAGTGAGCCATATAGTCAACGCAACGAGCCATATCAGTACAGGTCACGTCTATAAAGCCGTCCGAAAGCTCCACCGACCGTGGGATTACAGCAAAGAGTCGGCCGGGGTCGGAGCGGGAGAGCTCGTCGAGCACTTGTGGTAGAAGTCTTTTGCCATAGTGAACTTCCACCGTCGACTCCGACGTCATAATTGAAGAGAGATGCTAGGAAAAAAAGTTGAGAAAAAGAAGAAGGATAAAAGAAAGCTGTTTAGCATGGTCTATAGGCTGACGATATCTTAGAATGCCGACAGATTGGGGACACTCGTATATAGCTAATGGCGTTCCATGTCGGAATAACCGAACATACCGCGGATTCTCATCAATCGACCAATCAAGAAAAAAGCACTAGAAGAACGGCGTGCGGGAGACGTCCTGCAGGAACAATAATCAGGACCAAGCATTTTCCTCTTTCGGCAAAGGCGCATCCTGTCAAACAGGGAACAGAAGAGGTCCGAATAAATAGCGCAGACGAGAAAGAACGGATTTGAGTTTCTATACGCCACGAGCCATGTGATAAACGCACGGCTGCAGAAAAATGGTATCCTTCTTGTCCGAAAGCGCGTATTGTAAGAACTTTCGATCCCCATTAGTGAGTTTACCTCCCCTCGAAGTGTCCAGCAATCAACAGTGCTATATGCGTTCAGCTTATCTCAGGCCTTGGTATTTTGCAGATCTACGGCCGTGACCGAAATCCAGGTCCATTAGAAGTAGTGTAACGTGCAGTGCGTTTGCCTTGGTGGTAACGGGCATAATTCGGCCACCTTAGAAGACCCTGCGAAATATGCATCAACGCGCAATGAGGGTGCAGATAGTCGGATAGATCATCAAGCTCGAGCTGCTGTGGGACTAAGGGTCTTCCTGATGAGTGAGCTATGGGAAGGACTGTTCGCAATGGAGTGGTGATGGTTGAGAGAGGAAAGAAGATATATTAAAGTAGGGGTTAACCCGGATATAGAAATAGTGGCTTGGCATCATCTCCCACTATTAACTAACGTGTTCTACATGCATGTGGTGGTTACAAGCGAGTGGTGGCGCTTAATTTTTGGTGCGATTTGGACGTTTTGACACCCCAGCAATCTCAACAACCATAAAGTATTAAATAAGATTATATGAATGCATATAGTATTTAGCTCATTTCAATGGCTAGGCAATAGTTTGGAGTGATGTGTCTCTGTAATTCTATTATATCGTAGATCTTACCCAATGCTAGGGGGCCAAAACTCTACTATAACTAAATGTGGCCATCAAGAGACCCTAAAAATTTGTCTTATAATATTGAAACAGCTATGCATATCTTTATTCTAAGTTATAGATTCAAATCTTTTATAGTTGTTGAGGTTGCTGGGGTGTCAAAACGTCCAAATCGCACCAAAAATTAAGCGCCACCACTCGCTTGTAACCACCACATGCATGTAGAACACGTTACTCCTGGCTGCTTTGTAATGACGACGTCCGCTAGTAAGACTGCTATTCCCATCGCAAAATGGACACGCAAAGCCCTGATCAGTCCCCTACTCCATCGGCATGGAGAGCAGGAAAAGCGCGAGGCCCTATCGTGTTCGCTTCCGCAATTCTACTTGTCCGAGTGGCGCCGTGACAGGCGCCGACTACAAGAAGTATGACTTCTTCTTCGATCCGCAGCAAGTCTGGCTCAAGACTCAGAAAACCCGTACGTATCGTCCATGGCAGTTGTGTGAACGCATCTAAAGTGCGCGGCTTAGTCACGTTTCACGATCAGTCCAGGTCTATCTACTACGACGCCAACAACGCGGAGGAAGATTCAGAAATCGAAGCGATCCCTGATAGGACAGAACTTGATGCACCTCCCCGTCAAACGCAGCTCGAGCATGGACCTAGGTTCCAGGATGTGGCCCTTAGGAACGAGCCGACGCGAGCCAGCCAGCACCAAACCCCCGCTGAGAACACCCCTACCCTGAGCACCGTCACTGCTTGCACCCTGACAGGAGAAGCAGACGTTAATGTTAACTCAAACCATGACTCTTGCACTCATGTCGAAGAAACTTCGGATGGGTTCGACTGTGGTGTGCCATTCAGCAAGTTTCCCGACTCATGCAAATTTGACAACATGAAGGAGGCTTCATTATTCCGGCATTACATAGAGGATCTCGCACGATGGGTAAGTGATGCCGACGTGACCCTGAGAACTGATTCAAGGTTTCTTTCAGGGAGCATTTCGTATCAAGCATATGCTGATGCTCTTCAAGTTCGATGTGTGCAACCCTCATCGCCCCTTTGCATATGCCGTTCCTAGACTGGCAGCTTCAAGTCCACTGTTGCGAAAAGCCATTCTTGCTCACTCAGCACATCACATCAGCCGGGTCACGGGATCCGACCCATCACTACCATTCCAGTATCTAGAGGAGTGTCTTGCGTTGCTAATCCCGGAACTTAAGAATGAGCAAGTCACGAGCGTGGAAAACAGCGCCCTCATCGCCTCCATCTTCTTGCGCTCATTTGGCGAATTTGAAGGTAATATTAAAAGACGACCTCAAAGATTTCCGAATCGAGACTAATAGCACTGGCATAGACATTGCTTCAGGCGAATTCCACATTTCAGGGACTTCTCTTTTTATCCAATCCGGTGGCGGGTGTGAGTCGCTTCGCCGCTCGAACAAACTGCGAAATGCGGCCTACTGGATCCATCTGCGCCAAGAAGTCGGCTACAGTGTCGTCGAGCAGCGAAACATTCGTGCTAATCTCAACATCTGTCCGTTCGACGCGTCCACCGATGCTAGCAGTGACGCCGGTTGGTGCAACCGAGTAGTTTGGATTTGCGTTCAAGTAATCCGGTGGGCATTTGGCGGAAACAGCACTGCTGAACGGCACAATGAGCTCACCGACATGATCGAGGACTGGGAGAACCGTCGACCTCAGACATTTGAGGCGATGTTAGATCTTCGTGGACCATTTGACTCCGACGTATGGCATAAGGAGGTGTGGTTCACCAATGACGAACATAGTAAGATCCTCTTCCTCACTAGTCCAGTATTCCCACTGATTGGCGTGAAACACAGTCGACGCTCTGCAATATCTACTTATTGCAAAGCTCATCTTATCCCTCCACAACCCGCATCTTCCAAGGCTAGGTCTGCGCGCTCAGACAGCGTATTCGAATTCAAAAGCCGTGAACCAGTTCTACGTCCGAACCATGTGCATAGCCGCCAAATGTAGCAGCTTCGTTCCGGCGAAGTTCATGGCCTGCAACGTGCTATTCGCCTGTAAGTCCGATCTAGTTATACTTGACCTCTCATATCGACCATGTTTACGAACGCTGTACTAACTCCCAAAGGTGGCGGCTGCTTTCATCTAAAGACCGACCAAGAAAATGCTGTCGATTTTCTCCGCAGCTGCGAGCGCGACCATGGCTATGCAACCAAAGTCCACGTCGACGCGCTCTTGGCTATATGGGCCGCGAACTATCAGTGATATTACCCCGAAATACTTAATACTAAAAGCCGAGAGCGAATCCAGATCAGACAGGCCAACGACAGCAGCTCTCCGAACACAACTCCAACCCACTTCCAAGTGACGAAGGGCGTCGTAATATAAAGGACCCAACTATCCAATGGACCTAGCTACATTTGAAAGCATCAGTCTACGGCCCGGTCCCCGGAGTACCGAGTTCAACGACCTCATTCGTCCCCTTTCACATTGGAGCTATTGGGCTTCTCGTTTGGCGTTGGTGATTCAAGCCGACATTCACCACAAGAAGATCATGCGAGAGCTGATGGCTCTGGCGACAGACCTCTCCCAGCCCACTAGGTTGGAACTGTCCGTAGGCACTCCACCATTGAACCCCTCGAACGCATACCCAGGCACCATGGGCCCTTCTGCCCCTGCGCATTAATCGCCCCTCCTCGCTGTCATCTTTGGAACACCAAAAACCACATCGAGGTTCCACAGCTCCTTCGACATCCCTTCCAAACACCCTCCATATCCCGTCTGATTTACGGCCTCCGGATTCAGCCACCTATATCGGGCTTCAAATCAGACTCGTGTCAAAAGGCTGGCAACAGACCCAAAGCCTTCTCCCCGGAAGCTGCCGGACAGACACTGGGTTCTACACATTCTCCGCTGCCAAGAATTACCAAATCGGGAGTGAGGAAGTGGAGGGTGTTGTCACGACAAGTTACAAAGGTAGCATCATCTAATGGACGCTCATATCACCACCCAAAGCCACCTTATAGCAATAGAAATCGATCTTCATGAATTTTATACATAACCCTGCGCACCTGACTCCCATCCCCGTCGTGCCACTCCAAAAGCCGACCCCATCACTTATCGGGCACGGCCACCACCCCCGCCTTTAAAAATCATGAATATCTTCTAACCAATGCATTTCAATTCACACGTAAACACAATTGTCTTCTTCGCTCGAAGGCGCTTTATAGCTCATCGTGCCCCGCATCCTCATCGCCATCGTAATCCGGCATGCCTCCCGCTCCGCCGCCATACAGCTTCGAGGTGATCGGGTAAGCGACGCTGCTGAGCTTCTCCTTCTGCTCGTCAAAGTCCTCGGCGTTGGCCGTGGCGGCGTTTTCTTCGAGCCAGTCTTGGGTTTCCTTGACGGCTTCGAGGAGCTGGGACGGCGAATTAGCGTTATCTTCTTAATGGTAAACAAGGGATCAACATACCGTCTCCTTGTCATCCTCATCAATCTTGCCACCGAGGCCTTCCTCGTCGGCGACCTGGTTCTTGAGGCTGTAGGCGTAGTTCTCAAGGCCGTTCCTTGCCTCGATGCGCTCGCGGGTTGCCTTGTCTTCCTCGGCGTACTTCTCGGCTTCCTCAACCATGCGCTCGATTTCCTCGGCTGATAGACGGCCCCTGTCGTTGTTGATGGCGATGGAGTCGCCCTTGCCGGTGCCCTTGTCGACGGCGCTGACCTTGAGGACACCGTTGGCGTCGAGCTCAAATGTCACTTCGACTTGAGGAACACCACGGGGTGCGGGACTGAGAGTGTATTAGCATGAAGAATAGGTGGTAGGTATGAAAGGGGCTGCTTACGGAATGCCAGTGAGTTCGAATTTGCCCAACATGTTGTTGTCCTTGGTCATAGAACGTTCACCCTCATAGACCTGAATCAAGACCACGGGCTGGTTGTCCGCAGCGGTGGAGAAGATCTGGCTCTTCTTGGTCGGGATGGTGGTGCCGCGCTTGATGAGGTGGGTCATGACACCGCCAGTAGTCTCAATACCAAGAGTGAGCGGGTTGACATCCATGAGAACGACCTGCTGTTCGGGTGTTAGTATGACTCGAAATCACTAATGAGCAAAGTAGACACATACGTTAGCCTTGGTATCACCGGACAAGACACCACCCTGGACAGCCGCACCATAGGCAACGGCCTCATCGGGGTTAACATCCTTGCGCGCTTTCTTGCCGAAGTATTCCTCGAGCATGGCCTGGACCTTGGGGATACGGGTGGAGCCACCGACGAGGACAATGTCGTCAATGTCGCTCTTTTTCATCTTGGCGTCTTTGAGAACCTGTTCGACGGGCTTGAGCGTCTTCTTGAAAAGATCATTGTTGAGCTCCTCGAACTTGGCGCGGGTAAGGGTCTCAGAGAAGTCCTCGCCGGCGTGGAAGGACTCGATTTCAATCTTGGCCGTCTTCTGGGAAGAGAGAGTTCGCTTGGCCTTCTCGACCTCACGCTTCAGCTTACCCATGGTCTTGGCGTCCTTGGTGATATCGACGCTCTTCTCCTTGTTGTACTTCTTGGCGAAGTAGTTGATGACACGGTTATCGAAATCTTCACCACCGAGATGGGTGTCACCAGCGGTAGCCTGGACCTCGAAGACGCCGTTGTCAATGGTAAGGATGGAAACATCGAAGGTTCCTCCTCCAAGATCGTAGACGATGACTTGGCGCTCTTCCTTGTCAGTCTTGTCCAGACCGTAGGCGAGAGCGGCGGCGGTAGGTTCGTTGACGACACGGAGAACGTTCAGGCCGGCAATGGTACCAGCGTCCTTGGTAGCCGCTCGCTGAGCGTCGTTGAAGTAGGCTGGGACGGTAACAACGGCGTTGGTGACGGTCTCGCCGAGATAGCTCTCAGCGACCTCCTTCATCTTGCCCAAAACCATAGCGCTGATCTCCTCGGGGGTGAATGTGGTCTCCTTGCCGTGGACATCGACCTTGACGCGGGGTTGACCGCCCTTGTTAACAACGGAGAAGGGGAAGTGCTTCATATCGGCCTGGACATCTTTGTCGGAGAACTTGCGCCCAATCAATCGTTTCTGCAGAGCAGTCAGTACTGTGCTTTCTGAGGTAGCTTCAGAGGGGAACCTACAATATCGAAGATGGTCCGGTGGGGGTTGCTAGCGTATTGATTCTTTGCGGCGTCACCGACCAGACGCTCCTCATCGGTGAAAGCGACCCAAGACGGTGTTATCCGGTTACCTGGTGATACCGTCAGTCTTAGCTTTTGAAAGGTGTCCTTTCAAAGTGGAGTAGAACATGCCTTGATCGTTGACCATAATCTCCACCTTTCCGTTCTTCATCACACCCACACATGAGTAGGTGGTTCCCAGATCGATACCAATGACAGGTCCCTGGACCGAATTGTTCTCTTTGAGCGGCTCCTGATCATCGTCTGCCCGTACGGTCGACGCGAGCATCAAGCCCCCAACGAAGACGAGAAGAAGGTAAAAGGCAACGGACCACGCCGAGCGCGACGAGTTGCCGCTTCTTGACCGCCTCGCCATTGTATGTGTGTGAGAGGACTGAGGGAAGGGGAGTAGGAGCAATCTCTCTCGAAGAGACAGCAAAGAGAAGCGAAAGGACGAAGCCCTAAGGGTGTGTCGCCTCGGTGCACCTCTTATACAGGAGGACGAGCAAATGTAGAGAGACAAGTGGGGTGTGGTGGAGAGGATCGGGGTGTCGAAGAGGATGTGGGTGGAGAAAGGACCGGTGTGGGAGATGTTGCTTTAAAGGTAGCCACAGCTAAAGTTTTGGCCAGAAATCGCTTTGGAGTTCTGCCTGTGTATTTGCTCACCGCCTGCTGTATGAGGGAAGGCGAGGCCGTCATCCGCCACTATTTGCGACTTGCAAGCTGTCCTTTCCAGGGCCGTTGAATGCTTCCCCTCAGCCTCACCACTCACGATCCTGCATGTGCTACTAATTACAACTTAATCTCAGACGCCTGGAGCCTCCGAATGGACACGTGTGAGCTCGCTCGTGCTAGAATATTCTCTGCTCCGACCACCATGCATGCACCACTTCACGTGATACGTTACCTCTCTCTTATTACTTGAGTGATCTCCAAACTAGTCCTTTACTCACTCGAGTTTCTGCGTTTGAAAAGGCCCTATTCCGTCCATGCTAGCGGATGCTTTTCCATAGAACTACTTACAAATCCTAGGCCATCTATCTCAAAATAAAACCAACATCACCCCGCCACATTCCGGATTTAGAATAGAAACTTTAAGCGCTGGTCCCTGCACCCAGCCTCCCGTCGAACCCGTGCCCCTGCCAAGCGCCTCACTCCTCCATGTGTCCTTTTCTCAGCCCTGTACACCGAGAAAGCTAGCATTCCTTTTGATTGAGACAGTTATTAAGGCCCGCAATCAACGAATGTCGGGGAAAGACCATCCTCGGCGTGAGAGGTTTTTTTCGTTCATTCACATCCAAGCACACCATTAGGATATAAGTCTGGAAACGCCTTGCATCTGCTTGGGGTATGCCCAAGTTTATGACCAATAACTCTATCTGCATCGCAGGCATGTGAGGATAGATCAGCTGGCAAGTCTCGAAAAACATGTCACGTGAAGGCAGGTGGGCAGGTGTGTCTGAGGTTGAAGGTTAAGAACTTGTAGAAGTAGCATTTCAGAAGGGAACGAGCCCAAACGAAATGAAACTAAAGTAGCACACTATCAATAAGAAGGAAAGCCCTCCAAACAATGATCGAAAACTTCGCCAAAACAAACACCACTGAGCAATCCACTTCCCGCAGGTCCAAAGAGCTGGTCCGTCTAGGCCTCTGCACTAATTCGGTGGTGTCCAAGCACCGAAAGAATGTACGTTACAAGAGGCGCGGGATAGTAAAGAAAATCGTGACGAGAAAGGCAAACAATCGTTCTCAATGAAAGGAAACGGGAACTTTGATAACAAAAAAAGAAAAGGAAGCCACGGTTTGACTTGAATGGGACTCGGAACTCGTACTCTAAACCTGACGAACCTCGAGCGCAACATCAGCGAGGGGTAAGCACAACAGTCCGAGAAGGTGTTTTGAAACATGAAAGTATGAATCCTGAGGCAACGTATCGTATTTGGACAGAACCTTTTAGTTCTTCTCGGTTGATGTGTTCTTACTCGTGAAATTTTGCTTTCGGTATCGTCCACCGTCATGTTTCGAATTTGCGTGTATGGGCGTTCTCAACTGAGAGATACCCAGCCCTTCTGGGCTGACTTCATGAGATCAGGTAGCAGGGTAGTCGGAATGTGGTAAAATATAGGTAGCTCCTAGGTTCGGGGCTTCTCGGGGAAAGGCGTGGTAATCGTCGGGCATCCTAGGGGGAGTCCGATGAAACATTGCCAGGTGAGTATGATGGGTGGTATTTTCGCATATGGCGCTTTCGATTGTCCTCTCGGTTGAAGGTTGAACCGCAATGCGGATCCCGGCATCTGAGGACTACCCGCATCGTTGGATCGGAGTGTCGACTTCTTATATGCCGTTCAAGGTCCGCCCGTAAACCAAAGGGCGGCTGTTCACACCCAAGGACTGGGCAACGGTACTGTTTTTCGTGGACGCTGTAGAGATGCTTCCTGTGACTCAGATTAGTCCCGCTCAGTTTTGGCTTTACGCTCTTTGTAACGCTTACCTCAGTTGACTGGGCGTCTTGAAAGCCATTTCGCATGAGGAACAGTGCAATAGTGAGGCGGATGTGTCCCTTTCCTGTGATGCTGAAATTGAGGGATGATTGGCGGCAATGCGGTCCTCTGGAGGGGATATTGGACGTTCAGCATCTGGGTCATGGTAGGGATCAGGTGCGGCCGAGGGCGATGACAATACTGAGCTGGATGTGGATGTAGATGCGGTGGCGGATGATACAGATATGGCGGGAGGGGTGGGTGAACTGCTACGAGAAGTACTGCATTGGACTAGAGAGTACTCTAGTCCAATTGAAGGAGAGGGTGCAAAATTCGAAATCTGGGGCAATTCGGGCCAGATAACGGGGTTTAATTTGAACTCAATGTCATAAGGGTTGACATATTCGGAAAGTGGAGTGTCAGAGTCACCGTCTAAACGATGGTCCGGATGGTCGCTCGAAATTGGTGGTGCGCGAAGACGTTATGTCTCCGCGCGACAGCGCTGTCGGAGGTGATGGGGATGGGGCTGGAGTGCAGCTTGGAAGAAACGGAAGAAGGTCCCTTCACCAGCTGCCGTGAAGGCGTGGTTCAGGGATGTGGATGCGAAGACTTCACCCCCAAAGGTATTTCGATGATGATGGTACTTTAGATGCTAAGATGGGACCTTCGGAGGCTTAAATATAACGTTGAAGCTGGAGGCATACCGTGGGGGCGAAACTCGTGCCAGCGAATCGGGCCGTCATTCTGCATGTCGGTTGGTTGGGCCGGAGAACGCCACAGCCGGGAGGCATGCCTCATCCCGAGGTCGGACGTGGCAGCTCGGCATGCCTCTCAGACATCAACATGCACACCGACGTAGCAAATGAGGGGGTTAGAGGCGGTGAACATCAATTTCAGCTATGGCATGAACGACTGACTAGACTCAGATCTATGTTGCGGTTGGTTGTCAATCGGGATTGCAGAAGCGTGAAACATCTCTCCTACGTGAAACATCTCTCCTGCCCGCCATCATCTCCGCCTGCCTCATTCTTCAGCTCACTCCTTATCTCTAGACCTTTGAAAGATGGCACTAGAGGGTAAGGGCTTAGATCGCAAGCAGGGCAAAAGAAGGCTATCGTGCTTGACATGGGCGAGGCGGGTGAGATCGATCCCCTTAGGCTCGAGGGGGCGACGCTACGACAGTTCGGGTGTCTCACATTGGGGAACAGCCGGAGTTACGAAAGTTAGGTTGGGTGCTTTCGTGAAATGCGTGTCAGCTAAAGGTAGTGATTGGTTGTTCCTGAGGCACACATGCGGAGGCATTTACGCCCGATTTGTACGGCGAATAGCTCGCTTCTGACTTGATTGGCCTTCGTGAGGGGTATGCATGTCGGACTGTCCCGAAATATGTCTTCACTGTTCTGTTACTCCCGAGGCTCTTTCATTTGCCTTGTCCTTGCTCTACTGCTCCGTACCTTCCACTCGATCGTAGCCGTTGCGTCAAATCTTGCCAAACTAGCCATGCGAATCAGCTCTACTAGCATCCAAGTTGAACAAAAACATGAAAGGGAAAGACTGTACTAGTAGATTCCTGGCAAGAAATAGAACCATGTGATGACGTTCGATAGATCCTCTTCGCGTCACCGCGACCAAGCGACGATGAGATTATCAATGTCAATCTCCCCCAACACATGCTACAGTCTCTCTGGACGCAGCTGGTCATACATCTCCCCGGCTCTCAGTCGTTTCCCTTCTAGCATCACGTGATCTAGCCGTATACGTTCGAGTCTGTTGATTGTCTGAGCCATCTCGTTTCTGATACTTACTGCCGCCGCTGTAGATCGCTAGGGCTTATTCAAGCATGGTACTGTGAATTGTGAATGTTCATTCAGTGAATCATAGTTCAGAAGGTGCGTTGCTCAACAAGATCAGGATATACGACGCCTCGCTTAGCTGCTTTACAACGGACACCCTGTAATTATATTTAGAGCTTTTGAGAATTAATAGAACGATGAAGGGTGACACTGGTCGGTGGGAAATCGCACGCGAGCTTGCGATGAGTCTGCATCATGCATTGAAGTCGGGTATTATGTGCGAGTGCTCTGTGAAGCATTTAGCGTGCTTTCGCCTTGAAAGCAGAAGTGGCCCTTGTGAGTTCGAGGCACGGTTCGGGATCCTGTTCTCTTCTCCATCGCCGCTGAAGAAATGGCGAAAGAATATTGAAATTTGCAAAAATGGCGAAGAGAGATCGTCTCGAGATCGGGTAGTTGATGAGTAGCATCCAATCGGAGACCAGCAGCAGCTTGCCTCAAGCGTAAATTGAGGGACAAGTACGAGCTAGCCGTGACGCTGGCGACATCTGTTCTGCAACTTCATGCAACTCCATGGCTTGATGAGCATTGGTCAAACAAGGACGCATGATTTGTTCGCGGGCGGTCTCGAAGTTCTCCTGCTAACCGCACCGCGCATACACCCAGCAGGCATTTAACGCTCCGAAAGTCCGCGCGACGATCGAGTCGGAGATTCTTGCTGTGTCGTTCCTAGGCCAATAGTGAAGAATGAGGCCATTTTCGCCCTAGGCGTTACTCTCATCGAGCTCTCCCTCGGTCGCAATCTCGCATCGTTCCAAACCAAGGAAGACCTCGGTCCTAATCGTGAATACAGTTACTTCACTGATTGCATGATTGTGAATCGCTTAGTGAAAGATATCGCAGCGAACGAGGGGGACCGCTATGCCAGAGCCGTCCCCCGGCGTATCAACTGTTTTTTTGATCCGTTGGAGCCAAGTCAGGGGGATATTGCCTTCAGGCAAGCGTTTTATGACAATGCTATATCTCCGTTGAAAGAGATATACTTAGACTTCGTTAAGTAGTACTTCTTTTGGTCGCACAGGAAATTTGGCATTGAGGATTAGGTGTTTTCTTCCCAGTCATACTCTCGAATTTGTTTGACTACGAGTTGGAATATAAAATCACAACGTAAGATCCGAAACCTCACTAAGAGTCTACTGTAATGACTGAAGCAAAAGCGACAACGACGAGGCTGAGATGTGGAAACGAATTTGTACACAGCCCAACTTACCCCAATGACTCACTCACGTGCATCAAACCTACTTAAAGTCGTGATCCTCTGCTCTCGCAACAAAAACCGCATCAACTCATTTCTTCGCAATCATGGAGAGATCCGCAGCGGCCTCGCAAGCCTCAGCACCAGAAACGACGCCAGTGGAGCAACCTCGTTTAAGCCTCGCAGCCCGCATGAAGACCTACGAAGCCGTCACGGACACCAGAGTACCCTCAGACTCACCAGTAATACTCCGTCTCGATGGACACAGCTTCTCAAAGTTCACTGCCCACTTTGCGCGTCCCTTTGACCCGCGCATTCACTCGGCAATGGTCGACACATGTGCCGACTTGCTCCACTTCCTGCCCTCAGCCACGATAGCATACACCCAATCCGACGAGATAACTCTAGTATGTCCACGTGGGCTGGGCTGCTTCAACGACCGAGTGCAGAAAGTAGGGAGTCTGGCCGCCGCGTATACCAGCGTGCGATTCAACGCGCATCTTTCAGCTGCTGTGGCTGCTATGCCGGAGCCGGCTGTCCGCAACGCAGAGATGGTACTCGGTAGCGCGTATTTCGATGCGAGGGTTTTTGGGATTCCGAGTGTGGAGGAGGCGCTGAATTGTCTGGTATGGCGGTGTCGCGGAGATGCGGTGAGGAATTTTGTCAACGCGTTCGCGAGAACGCTCTTCAGTACGCGAGAACTGCATGGGAAGCGGTGCGAGGAGGTGCTAGAGATGATGAAGGATAAAGGCATAGTGTATGAGGAGGCAGTGCCCAGCTGGGCGGTTGAGGGGTCTATTGTGAAGAGGGAGTTGGTTGAACATGTTGGGCTCAATGGGAAGACGGGAGAGGAAGAGACGACGATGCGGTCCAGATCAAAGGTGGTGGACCGGGGGCTAAGAACATTCTCGGACGAGAATCTGAGGCTGATGGTGGAGAAGTATTGCACGGAGGCCTAGGTACATGTACGAGTGGTGACGGCGTGGAGATTCCAGAGGTGACGAGATCTACCTACAAGGCCTGAAGGCCGTACCTCGGGATCTAAGAATAGCTTCATAAGCCTACCTCAATTCGACAACGCTGTGACGCGGCTCCTTTGCTATCTGCAACTACTGCGTAGATCGTGCCTAAAGATGCTAGCTAATCACTGTTCAGGCAGCACTACCGGTAACTCCGTGGACAACTATGCTGCGCCCAGCCTTCTGTGGGGCCCTTATTGCTGCTACATTTTCACCAGCCTTCAATTCTTACATCTCGGCCGCAAGGATTTAGCCTGCGCGCCTGTTACATACTGCACCGGTGCTAGCATAGGCTGCACAATATCTTCCACGCGATAATACTACTATAGACCCAGCCCCTCCCACAAGCCCCTCCCGTGTTTCAGTTTCAGCCCTGCTCTGATCTACAAACACTCCATGTCATCCTGAAAATCGGATTTCCACCTCTATCCTCTTCCAGCCATGGATTCCAGGGTCTCGGACGATATCAGCCTCTTGTCGTATCCCCGGCAGCCCTATCATCGTCAAACATCCACTTCTACCTTCAGCAGCAAAGGTTATGCGCCCGTATCAGAGCCGTCTATTGCAGAATCGTCGACGCCTTTCTCTCCGGGCGACACTTTCGAGGGAAGCACTGCTTACGGCGACTCTTACAAAGGCGGCGAGTTGCCACTAGAACACAAAAGGACTTTCAAATCGAAGCAGCTCAAGCAATTCAAGCCGTGGCATGTGCTCTGGATCTTTTGTGAAGCTATCTTCGCTTTTACCCCCTTGGCCTTCATTGGTACGAACCCCCCCGAGGACTGTAGGCGAAGATTAGCGTATTGACCCCGAGATCCAGTCCTTGCCCTTCTTTCTTGGAAAATAGATGGCCATGAAGTGTCGCCTTATGGCGTTCGTCTAGTCCGCGTTATCTTGTTGAGCCCTACCGTATTTCCAATCGTATTCGCTGGTTTAATGGGAAGATGCTTTAGAGCCATTGGCCTGTACCTCTCTGAGCGAGGTATTGAGATTGCTGTAAGTATGATTCCAGTGTCTAGATGCCATGTCGCTCACTCCACTAGACTCTGGAACAGCTCGTTGGATGCCAGTCCATGTTCGCCGCATTAGAGCGATTTATAGGCCTTAAAGCCTTGAGTTTCATCGGACTGCCGTTGACTCTAGTGTGGTTTCTCTCACCTCTCGGGGGCCAGGCAGCCCTTCGGCTGCTTCACACTTCAAGGGAAACCATCCAAACGAGCGGAAACGTCAGCTATGTCGAGCCGGACGCGTTCCTGGACTCATTTCTTATGGGTGCTAGCGACATGAATAGTGCTCGGTCGACATATACTTCCATCTTCCTGTCCTCTCTCCTGAGTTCCGGAAAGTACCAAGACACTCCAATGGATCTGTGGGGAAATGTTAAGGTTCCGCCATTGACATCATTGCCCGATACCGATCTTGTCGATGGCTGGCGATTAATAGACCGAAGTACCAACGCTACTACATACTCTTCACTAATCGGCGTTCCAATTGCAAACATCTCCGCCACGGGAACAACCGAATTTAATTTCCAGAGTCGGCAATTTGACATAAATTGCACAAGCAACAAGCAAGTGAACGCAAGCACGGTCAACATAACCGGAGCCGAAACCTGGGTGCTCCAAGCCAAGGACGCAAAAACGCCCTGCACGAATTGGCCATGTCCTATCATCCTTGGCAGCATGGACTCCACGAGTAGTTCCGCCGACTCTGTCGCGGATACGAAAATAACGTACGCTGAGTGCGTGGTCGGCTTCAACCTCGTCGAAACATCGATCAGTTGCAACGGAACGTCGTGCAGGGCGGACAAGATGCGGAACGTCTCGGAGCCATTTAATACCACTGTTGAAAGCCAAGCACAACATCAGCTGTTCAACAGCTTCGCCTACCTCCCCACGACCGACAATTTTGACGTCGGATCGGCAGGCGCACGCGGGAGTACGAATATGGAGAAGTGGATGGCTAATCCCAACGACTTCATCGGAGCGACATACGTATACGTTGATCTCTGGCGTCTTTCCCCGGATGTACTAGGCCAGCGGCTTGAGATCCTTGTAAATACGTTCTGGCAGTCAACTTTTGCAACGACCGCTCTGTCTGGAAAGCTCCCATCAAACCTAACATCGCTGCAATATTCTAGCCAAGGAGGCGAAGAGTCCCAGCTCTATCCCGCTCTTTTCTTCAACACTTCCGCCGCTCTTCTGACCCATGAAACACCAGAGAAGTATCAGTGCGACTGGGCATGGATGGTCAGTCTTCTGGTTTGCTCGACTATACTGCAGGTTGCCGCTTTAGCTGGCCTGGTGCTGCGGTATATGACCCTTGCGCCGGATATTCTTGGCTACGTATCTTCGCACACGTTCTTGAATCCATACTTACCGGTTCCGACTGGTGGAACAACGCTGAGTGGGCTAGAGCGGACTGCGCTGCTGAAAGGAACGCACGTGAAGATTGGAGATGTCTGTTCCAATTCTTCGGTAGGCGCGATTGCGATTGGAAGCGCAGAGAATGGTAATCTGGGGAGACTGAGTAGATCACGATGGTATATATGAGATATGATGGCATGTTTAGCTTCGACATTCGTCCTTGTAACGGTCATTTGCAGCGCTTTGATGTTGGGTATTAGAAAGTTTTAGTAACCTGTCAAATTTGATTGGCTTGACTCGACTCTAATTATGGATGAGACCTGTCTACTAAATATCTATTTGTCCACCTTCAATCGCTGTCATGAGCATTGGAAGCTCCTGTTGTGTTGAAGATCTTCCGAGGACTGTGATTGGCCTAGCAGTTTTATAGTGGGCCGGCGGACGGGCTTATCGGGAATAACACTTCTGACTTCACCTCTTCAGACGGGCATGGTTACAACCCCACGATCACTCTCCCAATACAGCGATTGCTTCTACGAATCCTCTCTCATATCAATCCTAAATCTTCCAATCCATCATCCAAGACTCCACCACCATGTCCGTCTTCAAAGCCGGCAACACAGCCCTCATAACCGGTGGCGCATCCGGCATCGGCCTCGCAGTCGCGCAACTATGTTTCAAGCACTCGATGCGTGTCGCAATTGTCGATCGCAACACCGACACCCTGTCGAGAGCGAAAAAGACGCTTTCGTCTAGTGATGTAGAGACTTATGAGGTGGACGTCTCAAAGAGCTCGGAATGGAAGACGTTGAGGGAGAGCGTGCTGAAGAAGTTTGGCCCTGTGGACTTTCTTATGCTGAACGCGGGGATTGGGGCGAAGGGCACTTGGGGGGATGAGGATTATTTCGCCAAGGTAGGTTGCGTGCAGAGGTGGTTTTAACTTGACGGAGGCTCTCTCTTTGGACTTCAGCATCCGAAGCAGCGGATACATCACGCGCAGTTGCTAATACCTTCGTACAGATCATGGGGACGAACCTCTTTGGTGTTATCAATGGTCTGAATGCCTTCGTACCGGAGTTTCAGAAGAGATCAGGTGACAAGCCTTCCTCCATTGTCATCACCGGAAGCAAACAAGGCATCACGAATCCGCCCGGAAACGCGGCATATAACGCGTCGAAGTCAGCGGTGAAGACTCTAGCAGAGCACCTCAGCTTTGACCTCAAGGACACGAAGACCTCCGTACATCTGCTCGTGCCCGGCTGGACGTTCACCGGTTTGGTAAGGCCTACGACCTGGGACTAATAACACCATAATACTGAGCTGACTACGTGAGCAGAGCGGAAATGTCCCTGGATCCACCACTACTAAGCCAGTAGGTGCCTGGGAACCGTCTCAAGTTGCGGACTACATGTACAAGAAGATTTTCGATGGCAAGTTCTACATCATCTGCCCCGACAACGATGTCACGGAGGAAACGGACAAGAAGCGCATGCTCTGGACAGCCGGTGATCTCGTTCAAGGTAGACCTCCGCTCACGAGATGGCGGCCGGAGTTCAAGGAGGAGGCGGAAGAGTGGATGAAGAAGCAGAGTGTGTAGAATAATTCCAGCTCCGAAAGCTTGACGCGGAGCCCCTGGCGCGAAGGTGAGATGCTACAGCGGTATGTAGAATCTTAGGTCCAGTTCAGCGCATGCGGAAATGACATTGTTCGTTCCAAAATTCCCTATGCTATAGGAGATCTCCTACAGGATATCAAGGTTGTCAAAGCGAATGAAAGAGAACATTGGATCTTTGGTACCTCGTAAGTTATCATGTTCATGTGCGTACGAATCAAATACTGCAATTCTCTATCGCAATTCGGTGTGGGAAATAGGGGTCAATAGCGATGTGGTTGAAATCGGCTCTACTCACCGTCAATCGTGCCCAACGGCACGTGACCTCAACCGACGTCGAAAAGATTTCACCACTTCACGTTTTCACCACTGACGCTAACCAATTTCGGTCACAATATGGCTCACAATACCGATGCTCCTATTGTTGCTACTAATACTAATGTCACTTCACCCAGCCATTCATTCTATTGTCAATTGCTCTATTGTTGGCCAGAGTATATAACATCTTCTCCTTCCTCCAGTCCTTCCAATTCCTCAGTATCATCGTCCGACCAGTTCCTCAATTCCTCGTCTCGCGACGTTCTACGTCCAAAATTTCCTTCCAACCTTGCTCGTCGTCATCATGCTGGACATGACCCTCGCAATCAACTTCGCCCTCGAGAAGCTCTGCGAGCACGCAGACTTCCTCGGAGGCATCTTCGGCCTCGTGCCACCCGTGCCAGCACCTCGCTCTCCAACACTCGTTTGCTACGGTCCGGGTGCCTGCTAGTTCGATTCAGCGGGCCGAGAGTGCATTCACCCCAAGCACTGGCAGAATCAGCCTGTCGCCATGCTCGTCCTACCGCCCGCCTGCCACCACCTGGAACCCGTCGACCAATCCATCGCCACCCCGCAACCCATGTCAATTCTAGCACCCTCCGAATCAGCACCAGCCTCTCCACCTACTTTCGGAAGTGCCCCAACGTTGCCCAGAGCCCGTCAAGCAAGCCCGCGTCGCCGCTCCAATTCAAAGGGAGTGGATCTGAGGAGAGTTTTCGGCGCTCGAATCGAGAAATGCCCGGTCGCCGCCTTCGGATCAGCGCCAGTTCGTGTGTCGTCTGCCGAGGAGGAGGATGACGATGACGCGTAGGAAACGTCGTCGGTTGAGATCCTGGGGACGGACTCGTAGAGCCCACGGGGGCTAGTCGCCAGGATTTGACCTGGTGGCGAGGGCTGCGGCCCGGGATTGACCATCCTCATTGATATACTCACCTTGTGTGGGGTATTGAAGAGGGTTTCTGTGCGATTTGGAGGTTATGTGCCGCTGTCAGAGGTACTCTGCTATGGTCTCAAGTTTCTGAAGACGATGTCATAGCTATGAGGTCGCATATTAGATTGCCGCTATTTGCACCTGTTTGACACGTACTTACCGCTGTTAGAGGTTCCTCCGCCGTGCTCTCAAGATTCGAGGTACGATGTCAAATACGTGGGCCCGTAGATGGGATCACTACTTTCCACACCTGTTTGACAGCTGCTTACCACTGCCAGGAGCCCGATGCTACGCTGATAGTATCCTAGATATGGAGTCAACATTCCAGGCTCGTAAATTGGATCATACCCTTATTCAAGCTTTCAGCACCTACGTTCCACCATATTCCCAAGTCCATAGATCGCACCGCCCTTCACACCTCCTTAACACCTGCTTACCACGGCTAGACATCCTCCATCGCCGTCTTGAAATTACGGTTACGGTGTCAAAAGCTCAAGCGCGTGTATCTCATCGCAGCTTCCGCCACCTTTTTGACGCCTCCTTACCGCCGCTAGAGGTACTCCAACGCAGCCTTCGCCTTTCGAGTAGTATGTTTAATCCTCAAGCCTGCAGACGAGATCGCCGCTTTCCGCTTATATGACGCCTAGTCCCCACCGTCTGAGGTCCTCCAGCTCCCCGAAAAAGTTCAGGGACCATGTAAAGGTTGGCAGGGCCTAAACCTCGCTGTGGGAATTTGAAAAACTTTAGTAATACAATGACGTCGTTGGGCGTGGCTCGGGGCAGGATATAATATGAGGAGAAGATAGAAAGGCCTCCAGGGCCTAGATCGTGCGTTAAGAGAAGGCGTGATCGATGACGCCGTCAGAGGTGCCTTGGAATAGCGTGAGAAATCTGGACGCTATGTGACGATTTACAAGGCCTATACCGCAGTGCAGAGTCTAGCAGTGTTTAGCAGGCTAATGATACTGTTTGACGTGCCCTATAGTTGCAAGAGAATTGTAAAAAGGATGTAGATGCATAGGGCCTAAGTCGGATGCGGAGAATTGGGGGGGATTTGAGAGGTTGATAGCGTCGCCTGACGTGCCTTAAGGTAGCGTGAGAATTGAAGACGAAGTAAAGATGCACACGCCGTGGATCGGGTCGTCGAGCATTGATAGTGAGTGGGAAGTTGATAATAACGTCGGCCGTACTCTGATACATTATGAAATATTGAAAGCAATGTTAAGATATTGAGTCCGTGTATCCAAAGATAGCTTTCTAGATCTTATTTCTACCTACTCGATACACTCAAAAAGCCTTCGGTATGCTCTCAAATATCTAGCACATCTTCAAAGTCACGAGCAAAGTCACGAGCAACTACATCGAGATTGCACTTTTTATCAAAATCGATACCATTAGGAGTCCTATAACACACTCAAAAATATACTTCACGATGCTAAAATCAGCAGTACCTATATTAAAGTGTGACATCCTACTTATATCTCAAAATTGTTCACTGTTGTGAGAAGTTCTCTGGCATACTCTGAGAGATTTAGTGCAAAGTGAATTGCGCAAGCTTACACATCGCATCGGAGTTTAAGAGATATTTCCTTGCCACTGTAAGAGGTCCTTTAGCTTACTTGGAAGCTTCCAGTACTATGTGAAAATCTCAAGCTCGGATATCGGACTAGGTCTATTTATAAGGTAGTGGCATATAATCAAGCATAGTCTTTTAATGGTATCCGGGCAGTGCTAGAGGTTCACTAGTATTTAGATAAGCAGAAAAGCTAGTCTGCCACGAACTATACTCTGCCTTCGATCATCCAAAAACGGTGAGGTTCTAGCAAAACCGAAGTTTTCAATTGCTTCTTCTGTCAATTTGCGGTTGCCTGACTGAAGCATGCGAATGATGTTTATCCGTTTCACCGTTGATAATGTTAGAATCAATTCAACTTACGAACAGTATCATAATAAAAGGACGTAGAGCTTTACTAATAGGAGTAAGAATATATGAGATGACCCAAGCGGAGAGACGAGAAAAGGTACTTGGTGATGTTCTGCCAATCCTAAACCAATGATGGTTCAAATAGGATCTAATTAAAAGAGCAGACAATGTCATGAGCCCGAGGGTATCTAAAAAAAAAAAGTCTTCCAAGACACCAACATCGACGCTAAACTTTGCCCTCAATGACGGAACCCTCTCGTAGCTAAAGAACGGTACTTGCAAATGCCTTGAAACAGCCTGTAGCTATGGCCGGAAGGAAAACACATCTAATCACCAAACAATCTAATCTTGATACCAAACATGTCTCAAACGACACATAAAGCGTACAAGCTGGCTAATATCATCATCACGCTAGAAACGTTGCCTATAAGCCCTCTTTAGCCTCCGGGAGAACTACACAGCTTATAATCAGTTTGACAAAGTCTATAGTTGTCGAAAGCTGGTATTCTACTTACCACTTCTTCACACCCGCAACGGCGCTTCAACTCAGCAAAAGGCTCCTCAGTGAGGCGGCCCATCACTTCTTCTTTGCCATTGAGCGGAGTCTTCCTACCGAAGTCAATCTTATACTTTTCCGAAACTCTGGCATAAGAGTTCTTCTTCAAATCGAAGGACAAGTGTCCATCTAGGATCAAGCGGGGTCCCGGGGCGTAGCGGTCGTAGTCGGAACTTGTAGTCTTTCCCTCCATACCTAGACATGCGTACTTGATCCATGTCGATGGAGCCAGATGGCCAATCCCCTGGGCCCTATGGGTGTACAATGGAATGATGTCCATGATATTCCCCAACTTCTGGAGTATCAGGCCGAAACGCTGCTTGAAAAGCATCAGACTTTCATCTGTCCAGATGACACCTGGGTCCCCGGCCTTGAGGCTTGGGTCTGTGCATACTCTAATTATGATGAAATTTATGACCATTCCCTCGTCAAAATCTTCAATTTTGGACCCATGGGCGTGCATCTCGGTCAGGTCCCATGCGCTTGGGTCCATTGATAGTAACGTTCCAAAGACCGCAGCCTCTGTAGCTGCATCCTCGATGCGCAGAATGCCCTTGGAGGTCGCCTGGCCATACGGCGACGGAGGGACGGCGGTCTGCTGTTGAGACGACGCGTCGGGCATCCACGTGGAGAGCTTCTTGAGCTCTTTGGTTCGTTGTACTGTCCGAGTTGCTCTTGCAGGCTGTGATCGCGTGATCAAGGATTGGTTGAAAATATTCTGGACTGTTGCAGGCATCGCTTCAGGTGTCGGTTTGAGGGACGGCAGATTTTCAGAAAGGCCATGGCCTCCATGGTTCGCCTTTGTCAAACTCCACAGGCCTCACCAAGCATGGGGAAGCTCTCATTTTCTTCTTGAGGGCGTTGGAGCTCTGGAAAACTCTTCAGGTAGGCTAGGTTCGTTGTCGACCCAGTCACAACTGCGGAGTAGCTCAAAGAAGATAAAGTCTGACTACTAGGAATAGGCTTCGTGGTCTCTGCGTTTACAAGACGCAGGCGCGACGCTGGTGGGTTCATAACTTATGACTGGCAGGAAAGGTCAGCTGGCAGGATATTCCGCCTCATTATGGATCTACTCACACTCAGGGGGTCAATATTGGGAACATTCTTCTCGTCCTAAACATTAAGACCCGAGGAAGAACGTGTCGTACGAGCTGACCCTACTGCCCTATATTGGTTGGCAAACTGTATCGTGTTCAAGACTCTTAGGAGGGTGGTGTTGGGTAAATCGCTGTTGTACGGGACTTGGTGGTTGTTGGTATTGAGAACTGGTTGAAGATCCAGATTTCGAGGTGGATAGTGTTGGAAAATAAGAAGAGCAAGGAGTTTTCGAGTGGACGAAGGGGATGAGTGGTGTTGAGAAATCGTTGAAGGATGAGACCTCGAGGTGGTTGTTATTGGAAGAAGTAGTGAGCGTAAGGGACTTTCTGGTTAGTGGAGAGGGTGTGTGATATAGTTGGTGGTAGATCGTTAATAATGGCACAGGTGGAGGGGACGCTAGGTGTGCTTACAATGCTTTATCAGGAGTGTGGAGCTGCATAGCAGTGAATTGAGTACCGTGCATCCGGAGACCTGGTGCGCGCCTTGTGAATTCAGTGACCGCTACCCTAACTAGACAGGAACAGCCCCTCTCGCAAATCGTAGACGGCGTCTACCTTGCGAATTCACTCTCTGGGTTCCCCAAATGGCTATTTAAGCCAGCCGTGACCACGTGAGCAAGTTGCTTCCACCGCCCACCGTTTACTAACCCACACCCCCCCTCCAACTTCAACATATCACCACCTCTTCCTACTTTATAGCCATACATTTCACAATAGCGCCAAGCACTGCTGCGTAAAGTGTGTTTAGTAATCCGTATTTTAGCTGCGTAACTGTCTTCTTTATGTAAGTAGTCTGAGTCTTATCATTGTTGCAGTTTGACTAACGAAAAAAAGTACGCTATTGCTAGACAGCACTAGAAGATACCGTACACGAGCGCGGTTACCTTTAGTATAACCTTCTCTAGGGCCCAACCTTCGCGACGGCCCAAAACATGTCATCTGGCGGTTGAAGACTCTGTGCAACCCATCGAAGTGAGCAAGCACGGCGTTATGAGCCAAGCTAAAGCAATTTCAACAAGTCAGAAATTCGTAGCTTTGAATCTGCCCGCAGATCTGTACTCGACAGTTCGGAGCGCCCTGCAGTTATGGCGGAATTTCGAGACGACAGAGGCGCGTCTGGAACCCAAGCGACAGAAGGCTTTCTGGGAAGAGCAAAAGCTATACGTCGTTATCCTGCGGAGCGAACGAAGACTGGATGATTTTGAAGAAAGAATCGGCGGTAGAGAAGCTGAAGTCTCCGCAGAGGACAGTCGCGAGAGGGAAAACCTCGAAGCTGTCGCCATCCAAAACAGGAAAGACCGGGCTGCTCTCAAAACAGAGATCGCGCGCCTGGAGCATCTCATTCAACAAGCCCGCATTGCGTGGGAGAAAGCCCAGGTTGATGTCAACGCAGCTCTTGAAGACTTCTTCCTCAGCCCTGAGTTCTTAGCGGCACGATCTCCTGAAGAAATAGCGATAGCAGACACTCATGAAGGTTACCAGCCCGTTCGCCGCCAAACATCAGAGGGGGTGTCCAGAGAATCTCAGACTGCCAAAATTCCCTTGGGGCAAGCGACTGAGAACCTGAGTGAGAAGCGGCGGAAACTTTGGCTTGCCGAGAAACGACTTCAAGACCATAAGGAGATTTACGAGCGGGACCTCAGGGACTGCGTCAAAGCTCCCGACGATCGCCCAGTCGACGATCTGAAGACGGGGTTTGATCTCTCCTATCTCGCCAGAGGGGGGAAACTGGCCAGGGAGCTCCAAGAAGCAGAAGCCGAGTTGCAAAGTGCTAAGAAAGACGCCAAGGCTGTTGGAGTCTGGGTTCCCGCCGACCAAGATTCACAGTTTGGTGATCATCCTGAGGATGGCTATTCAGAGAATGACGAGAGAACATGGGTCATGGACGTCGATCGTTCCAAGATTGAGAGTTGGATGGATGTGGACGAGGCTCTACTTTCGCCGGAATGCCCTGGTACTCCTCCGGAAATTGATGATATCCTTTTTGACCCGCACAAGCCAGTTGACAGCGTGAGCGCAGCAGCAAAAGGCTCAGATCGAAGGAGGATCGACAAGTATAATCAGATCCTTGGGCGGTATGGGGCACGGTTTTCAGATTCATCGTCAACTTCTTCGATGGGATCTGGTTCTCGAGGCTAGCAAACCGATCTTGTAGACGGCCGACCACGGGCCCGAGTGTGTCAGCTCAATCTGTCACGAAACCGTGTGGACGCCAACCTCAACGACGGCTTACGCATGCACGCTGTCCAGGATGTGTCTTCTCAGGGAGCAGAAGGCGCAGCGCGCCAGCACTCTGCCTTAGCTGGTGAGATCCAAACACCAGACATGCTTGCTTAGGGATCTTATATATCAGGCAATGGCAAAAATGAAGCAGACAAAGCCTTCCTTATTTGCTTGTCTGCTTGGTTTTGACCCTTGTGCTTGTTTATCTAGCAAGCCAATAAGCTTGTTAGGGACGAGCGGTGCGGTCCACGGCAGGGACGTGTACCTTGCCTCACCTTCCTCCAGAGCGATCTCTCTTCATCATCATCATTCTCATCCAATACATCACGTACACGGTATACAGCTCCTTGTTCCGTGACACTTACCTATTTGCTTCTCGGCTTAAGTTGAGCCCTCCTCCTTGTTCATTCAAGAATCCAACAAGCAATTACTCAGTTCTTGCTTGCTTATTAGCAAACTTGGCCGCAGTCCTATTCCTTACGGATTACGCCTTTAGTCGCCAAACAACCTGATCCTAATACACGTCGGAAGAGACACTAAAGCTATACAAATCACAAAGCACCGATGACTTCTTCAAAAGACACCAACAGCCAGTAGTCCATTAGCATTTCATTATATTTATTAAGGGTTAGCGTTCGATTTGCCCCTACTTCGAACGGCACAACGCCGCTTCAACTCCTCCAAGGCGGCCAGATCACAAGTACTCTCCATGGTTGACAGCAGTGTCCTCGAGCATATGGCCTCCCTAGTAACTTCCTGAATGTCGTGGTTGATCTCGGGAATCGGCGGCGCGTTCGCCAATGGGGACAGATTCTATGCTGAGTTGGGAGAAGAGCTCATCACCGCAATGAAAATTGCAAGATACAAAGATGCACCACAGCCTAGGAAGAGTGGAGTTGCAGGTTTCGTACAATTAGATATATAAATCGACCACGAACTATACCGATGAATATATTATACCGATCTTGCTATTGCCGTAGCATAAATTCCGAGCCAGTCTGACAATATGTGAATAGCCATGCAGTGCGAGCAAAGTTGAATTCAGCTCACCCGGCGTGGGCACTGTATTGAGAAACTTCAAGCAATCGCACCTTTGTAAACTAGTGTACATATATCCATGGCAAGGGAGCGTCACGAAGCCTTCGGAACCTTAAATGTTTATTTCGGACTAAAAAATTTAAAGTTGAGAAATCAGTCTTCAGTCTTTGCCACCAAACACATTCACAGCCTTGATGTGTTTCTTCGAACCGCGCCTAGGTATTTTGACATCGCGCCTAGGTTTTTGAAACCTCATGGGGGTACCCCAAGTGGTGGTTAACGCGTGTGCACAGACTTATGACCTGTCACTGTAGGTACCTGGCAAGCCATTCTTTGATAAAATAAAGTCTTACTCCGCTCGACAATCTGCCTTCAGGTCAACCATGGCTTGATTGAATATCAATTCATGCTGTTCCTTGAACCAATCGCCATCGATGGGATCGTCGTTTAAATTTTGCTCCCATCTCATCCAGTACAGATGACGGCGCCCAGGGTACTGATTCAACCCTATCCATTCAGAAGACACCGTGCCTATCCATTCTTCCTCTATTGGTGTTGAGCGTTTCCACCTTTTGCTTGCGTGAAGCACAATCCACTCCCAGCCCTCATTTATCAGCGGGCGATACTTGTATATGTAGACCCAGCAATGACAGTTGATCGTCTTGCAAAGCAATTTTCTGTGGTTCACTGTCCTATTAATGACGTAAAAGAGAAGGTCACGGGAACCCGCTCGGCTGTCTGTCCCACTCCAATCCGTACGGTGCGTCTCCTGCACAATAGCCTTCTTGACAGCTTCTAGGACCGAGTCATCATTAGGACGTATATGCGGGCATATTTCCACGCCAGCTTTTCCCAATTCGCCCAGCGCAATCTGCACTTTTGCCATGGATTCCGAAGTTGCAGTGCCGACAGGAATGCGCGTTATTGGAAGCCAGGAATCGGAACGGTAATCTTCCGGGATCATGGTAACACCATCGCTAGAAAGTTGAGTTAAGGGTAGGGAAATAGACGGGTAGTATCGACCTCGTACTATGTCGCTTTCCACAAGATGGTCTTCGTGCTTGCAGGTGTATTCTCCTCCAGGTGTGATCAAGAGCTCTAGCTCTTTGTGCGTAAAGCTCTTGTGCCCGCAGAGGCGGAATTTGTTTTCCGTTCCCAGGCAGAGGCGTTCAAGGGGAGGGCATGATCGTTGCTTGACAGAGAAGAGATAGGCAGGGTGACGGCTCGTGCATGCGCTGCACCAGATGCGGAAGATGGGAGGTTGATTTCTGTAAGTTAGAGGTATTGGTTCAATTGGTAATATGTTGCCGCTCGATTCTGGAGCGGGTGGAGGTGCTCTTTCCAAGGAGGAGATCTCCCAATCCATTTCGCTGAGCGGATAAAGCCCCAGATCCGGCGGAAAGATATATCGCAGTTTCCTGCATGTTTGGCGGATCCTTAGGGTAGAAAGAGGCGAAAGCTCATCGCCGATCAAGACGAGGACCTCGACCGGGAGCCGATAAAATTGGCTTTCGACTTCGTTGTGTTGAGTCGCAGCCTTTCGCTTTGGGTAAGATTTCCACGCCGCATAGCTGAAGTACATATTCAAGAGGAGTTTCATGCCAAATTTCGGATCCTTGGCCATGATAATAGTGCGTGGAGGCTTATCGCGGCGAGGTGTGAATTTGTCGTTGACTTCTGTAGCCGCGATTCGATGACATGTGCTGCTAGTCAGCAGAGGACACGTACTTGGGTTTGATCGGAGTCTAGATAGAAAGGGTGCTGCAAGTCGTAAGACAATAGTCCCCTAAAAATCGTCACCGGAGATAGATTTGGAGATAGATTGGGGGATGGGCTTGGAGATGCAATAACGGGATGAATGAATTTTTTGCTGTGGTGGTATATGCTAGAATAGAAGAAGCCGAGGCGAAGCCGAAAACGTGGAACCCAAGAGCTTCCAGCCTTCCATGGATTCTCAGTATGAACCATGGCTCCACTCTCAGGTTGCTGTCACATGGCCTGAGGATAGATGTTGGGCTGACGAAAGAGTACCTCCACTTTATGCTGTTTAGGTATAGCAGCGATACGGCGCCCAAGTCGCTACATCCTCCTCATGCGAGTAAAATTTGGTCTCAGGACGCAATTTGGGGGTGTGGTTTCTTAACCGCCGGTTAATCCACGCCGTCCTAATACAATCCAATCAATCTAGCGCTTGAGCAATCTTTACTCAGATTGAAAAGGCGTTATTTCGCGTTATTTTTAGTCCGTGCAATCCAGATTTCTACTCCAATTGCCCCTTACTATGCCTTTCTTATGCGGTCTTAGTGATATCTCTTGCTGAATCAGAGCAGATCAGTAGAATTGGGTTATTGCTCCTTATTTTAGACCAGGTCAATCAATCAGACCTATGCCCTTAAAATCCGGCCGCGGATTACTGCCCACGCTAAGCTCCTCATTAATATGCCTGATGGAGTTCGTTGCGGATCTTCAAAATGAGTTACTAGGGTTGAAATTGAAACCATGGATAGTGAGGATGGAGGTGAAACAATGCATTGAACGAGGTAAGTTATGTATTGGATGAGCATCTATCTAGGCTACGTACGCCGTATATATACTCCTGTGTGTGGAGGCTTACGTAGCCGTACCGTAGAACTGTGAGGGCTAAATATAGGAACCGTGTTCTATATTAAGGTAGCCGACGCTAGCCGTACCACACTCCGTAGGCTAGCTGGCTAGGAATACGTACTCCGTCA